CAGGAATCGATTGCGTGAAGTGGGAATTCGAACAAGAAGGCCAGTTGTCGCCCCTGTTTTGAGAGACTTCCACCGGCGCAATCGCTTGCGGTGGGGTTGTAGAGTCCGGAACTGGAACCTTAGAAACTGGTTCAGTGGTGAATCACGATTTCTTCTTCACCGGCGAGATGGAAGACAGCATGTTTACCGTCGTAGAAATGAACATTTGGTCCTAATTGCATTCGACAGGTCGACAGATTCGATTGAGGAGGTGTCATGGTGTGGGGTGCGATATCCAGCAGACAAAGATCTGATTTAGTGGTAGTTTAGGGGAATTTGACAGCAAATCGTTACATCAACGAAGTCCTTGCACGACACATGCTTCCGATTATGGACCGACAGATAGTGCTGGCATTGGCATACAACCTGCGATACGATACATCACGATACTAACATTTTAGTCACGACGATATATTGCCAAAGTATTGTGCACTGAAGCTGCGATACGATACAAATCCCGATACGATACGTATCACGATACTAAAATCTTTAATTCTAACACCAACTATAAAACACCCTGAGATCAAAACAAAACCATTTTAAAGTATTTCGTCAAATTCCGCCAGCGTCTTTCAATGTTCATACGGAAACGAGATAATTATGTTTGTACACGGGGTTTGTGAATGTTAATGACATACGAGCGCTATGTCTGAATTTCCGAGAAAACGTTTACTTATGAAAGAAAAATAGTATGTACATATTTTAATCATCAAACAGAAGTAAGTCTTAAGCTTTTTTCTTGACAGATATCGCGATTCGGCAATATTCAAAGCTAAACATCGATGTATCGTGGCCCATTTGAAGTATCGTATCGGGACATACGACAATGTAAAACTTTGTATCGATTCACTGTATCGGCGGCCCATGGATCGATGCATCGATGCGTATCGGTGAATCGTCACACCACTACCGACAGAGGGAGTTGTTCCAGCATGACAACGCTACTTCACATACGGCACGCCTCATGGTCCGCTACCATGAAAATTCTAACGTCAATGTCTTGCCATTGCCTTCCCGATCACCAGATCTAAACCCCATAAAACACCTAAAGGATGAACTCGATCCACGTGTACGTACACGCCTCAGACACTTCCACAACTGGCCATCGCATTGCAGGAACAGTAGGGAAGAATTCTGCAAGAGCGACTTCGTCGACTTATCCCGTCTGTGTCGACACGGTGCCGAGCAGTAATTGCTGCCAATGGTGGCCATACAAAGTGCTGATTTTGACGCTATGCTGTGGACTCAAGTAAACAGAAACACAATAACGGCTGCTGTTGTGTTGGTGAACTCTTTGTCTACAGACGTGTGAATTTTCACCTATTTACCACTGAAATTATATGAAATAACTGCTCTTAAACTAACGAAATAACTTCTTCTAAAAATGGCTAATGCGTTCCTATATTTTGGGAAGAGTGTATATTCCTTTAGTCAGGGATGTCGTTATAGTAACTTCTTTATTTCAATGTAAATAAATCTCTTATTTTGATGCATTCTTTAACAAATGTAAATGCTTGATAAATCCAGTTCGGCACAGACGTAAGCTCTGATACAACTACTGTCAGCTTCAGTAAGATTCCCCTGCATGGAACCTTTCCACTGTGAGGCTTTCAGTTTCCAGAGGATGAAACGGATAACGAACTGATTAATCGGGGTTAGTTCATCATGTTCTCTTGAGTAATGCACTGTTTGTGAATCCTTCCCCACGCCATTATTCCACAGCAGCTCTATCTGACATCAAGAATATCCCATGTACAACGGTGCTGTGTAGACATCAACAAAAATAGTTCTGTTCCAATATTGTGAATAATGACTCTTCTTGAAGTGAATGTGGCATAACCCTCCCTAATAGTGGCTTTTAGGCGACTTTAAACTGCGTAAAGGTTACTCCAATCAGGAACTGAATGATGGCATAGAATGCCTGATACTGTTAAGTGAGTGAGTGAGTTTGGTGTTACGCCGCTTTTAGCAATATTCCAGCAATATCACGGCTGGGGACACCAGAAATGGGCTTCACGCATTGTACCCATGTGGGGAATCGAACCCGTGTCTTCGGCGTGACGAGCGAACGCTTTCACCACTAGGCTACCCCACCGTTCCATATATTGTTAAGAATGGGGGCATACGTCATGTGTATACAACACATCCTTCTACAGGATAACCTGTTAATGGGAACCTCCAACGTCAACTGAACCTAATATGCTACTTGCTCATAAACTCTCAGCAAGATCCCCGTGGATTATGAAGATAACCCTTAAACACCTGACATGTACTATACTCACGTCTGATATTAAAGATGTCTGCAACATCTACCAAACGTCAGTGTATCCACAGCTTCATTTATGATCCCTTCGACCTATACTTTTACGGCCTTTTTAACTTTTTGGATCATTCAGTGTACGGAGTATTGACAGTTTTCCACTGAATATAGTCTCCGCGTGGGAAATATTGTCGAGTATTTGCAAAGGTCTCCTCATACATGTTAAACAGCATCTGTTCATGCAGACCTTAGGTTTGTCATCAAGTGACAAAATGACAAAAATGTATCGACCAGTTGTGCTGAATTTGGAACTGCTTCTCAATAAATGACAATTCATTTCCAACCAACTATTCTTCCAGCCCCAACGTCACTTTCACTACAGACGGGATATTTGTGGCGACTTCTATCAACCTATTCCATTGCCTTGTTTTCCACTTAATGACTATAGCGGGTAATTCTTCATCGTTTCCTCTGACTCTTCTTTTCAGAATTTGTCATTTCATTTAACGTCCTTCCTTCGCCTCACTTATTTGTCAGGTTTTCTTCTGAAGTTTCTATTAACATTTTCTTTCTTTTGTTGACAGCACCATCATGTTTCGGAGTGCTTATTCTTGTTGCTTGTGTTTCCCGTTATATGTATAGTGTACCTCTCAAAATAGATAAACTAACTTACTTAGACTTCAAAACGTGTACGTTAGACTTCAAAAGGTGCTCGCAGTGTCTTAAGTAATGCGGTTGTTTAAAACAATGAAGGACACGCATTTTAACGTGTATAATTGCAAAAACAAGTTCTATATGGAATGTTAGAATGATCTGCTGACAGATCAAAGAGTTGTCTCCCCTGAACTTTTGTTTCTTTGTAATGGTTAAGGTCATTTAGGAAATATTGTGACTTTTACCGCTTATTTTTAAAAGACATTTTCAGCAATACGGATGTAAACTGTCAAGTTTTACGTTAATGATATTAAGGCATAGCCTACTAAATAATCAACATGACGTGATAAATAAGGGAAACAAGATTTTATGGAAGCTTCTATCACTAAGCAAATTTAACATACCTAATTTGGGGCTTCTTCAACATTCCATAAACCAGTTCTCACCAGAAACACTCACTTTTAATTAAATCGTTGATGTTAAATGGCAGCCACCAGAGAGTACACCTTATTAATCATGGCAGTATGTCATCCAATTTCAGTTGTAAGCTTCTAATAACATGCACACAAATTAGCTATCTCTGCAGGCTGTTTCATACACACAAAAATACAATTGTTTCTTAGTCGCTTCTGTGTGGAACTATTTCTTTTCATCAGATCATCAACGAACGTAAACATTCATTCTTCAGTAGCCTATCTTCATTAGCTGCTCCCCAGCGCTGTGTCTAACTTCAGCAAGGCTTCAAGTTAATTATTATTCATACTTGTATATTTATGACGATTGATTGTTCTAAATGCATGACCTATTTCAGCGACTTTCTGTACACGTACCTATGTACGTGATCATTCACTTTACCGTTTCTTTCATGTATTATCACAGCGTATGTCTAAATACACAACGGGTTTTTTTTAGCTTTGTATTGTATTTCTGTATCACCTGTAGGGCGTGTAGCTTGATTTGTGAAGGTCATGGGTGTTCAGCAGTTTGGTTCACCCAACGATTCCTGAGACCTTTAACAAACCAGGAATCGAACCCATGATTATTCCCCATCACAAATCATAACCCAAATGTCACCACTTCAGAGGGCAGATATTGGGAAAATGGAAACTGCAGTGAGACAACCTTTTTGTCATACTTTGCAATCTAAATGCATGATGTATCCATTTGCAAGAGAATGCGATAATTTTCATCTTCTTTCTTCGAAAATAATGGCACAGGAAATGAGACAAGACACAAAGGGATGCCACTTCAATTTCTATTAAAACCGTTTCCTAATCCCTTGTCCATTCAAAATACTTTAACACATTGACCGGGTAGGTGTGAACAGCTCTGGTCATTCAAAGTTGACCTGATATATATATATCTATCTCAAGAGAGTTTTGAAGTTGTGCCCCTTCAAAATTATTAGTTGATCCACTCATTGATTGGACTGTTACTTATATTAATGTTTCAACATTTCAGTTAAGCAGAGTAAATAGCATATAAACTTTCAACAGTGTTGAACACAGCACTGAAGATGTCTACCTATGAAATCAGATGTTGCAGATGTTAACTTTCTTGGTCACTCAGTCATCAGAAGTATCCTTCAGATACAGGGATGAGAATGGGCGAGTGAAAAAAAGAGGAAAATGAGCCGTGACTATTTGGGGAGGTACGTTTATATGTTCCTAAGAATGACCCCCATGCCATCAGATTTGTGTAATTCAGCAGAAAATTCTCATCACTGCAGATGTGTTTCAGGCTTGGTAATGTCCTTCCAAAACATGCCGACATTCTTCTGCAGCAAAACTGCCACTGACTTTGAGCAACAATCCACACCAACAAGCAAGTATGACCACCTCATACATGCCGCAACATAAAGCATGTAATACGAATTTATTCCTCAAATGCCAAAATATATGCATCCATAAATGCATTACTGACAATTGCCACACTGTGGGTTATTCCTTCCCTCATACTTGCACTTTTAAAATTGAAAATTACATGTATATCTTTGAATTGTCTGTGCAAGAGCCGTCCCCGACTCATTACAATACAATAACAACCATTTAAATGTTAATACGTTTTATTTTGTCTTTCGAACTCTTTCTATAAAGAGTGGATAAGGTATCTGTACAGCAATCAAACTTAATGATTTTCTTGTTTATATCTTACAACCTCGCCTACAAAACTTTCATTTTTTAATACAGTTCGGGTAGAACTGCTTTTCCTCATGTTGGTTGGGCCCTAGACCTGCAAACACACCAGCTTTTTTATGAATATGATCCACGAACAGTTGAACAAACAAACGCGCCTGGTATTTCTTCTATTGTCTATAACATTAAAAGGCGAACAACAGGAGGAAAGCCATCATAAGACAGAAAAGACCCATAGCCTCAGACAAGGCAAATCCAAGAATGGCATAAGAGAAGAGTTGCTGCTTCAGAGATGGATTCCTGGCATAACCAATAACTAAGCTTCCGCGAAAACGCTGCCAATTCCTGCGCCTGAAATCAAATTAAAATCTGTCTTAGAAAAGTAACTTAATACAGACTTTAGGCTTTATTTAGGCTGAAATCATGGCTAGTTCAGAAAATATAAAGACATTGCTGTGTTATGGTTAGTTTCTTCAAAACTAAGGACCACACATGAAATAATCCTTAGGCCAGTCTTACAGTTAATATTGTTTGCACAATGTAGTGCTTTTAAAAATGGGTCCATTCCAGTCAAAACATCAAGAAAAACAGAACAAAGAATGATCCATGAACATTTGACTTTTCTAATATATTCAAATACTGAAACATGGACAAATTCCCAAAGATTAAGTTCTAATAAAGTACCAGCAAGGCATCAGAAACTTTCTCCTTCCATACCTGATCCTGCTACTCCTACTGTGGCAGCTCCAGCACCAATGTATTTGGCGGCCTGATCAATATCACGTTGTACAGCGCTTGTTTGAAATGTTCGGATCTAAAAATTTGAATTGACATTTTGGTAAAATCATTTTCAGAAAGTAAAAACCAAAAACACATATCAGTCAATTGAAGACATATATTGTCCAAAACATACTTATTCAACATTCCATTTGGGATCAGGATAATGGTAAACTGTAAACTCTATAAAGTCAAGCTTAAACTGTCTTCTACATCTTGTCCCAGAAGCAATAGTGCCACAGCACTGCAGCCCATGTGGTTGTGTTCTGAACAGCCAGAGAACAAACCTTGCTACAGAAGATTGACATTTTATCACATCTTCTGCATATATCTAAGGATTTGAACAAAATATTGAGAAACAGGCATGCCAAAGTTCAGCTAAACCCAAAACTGATTTTCAAAGGAAAACATTAACAAAGGCAAATGTGCATTTTGAGAATTTAAAAGCATGATCAAGCCCCACAACTACATAAATGAAAAACATATAAAAAAAAGAATTGAAATAGTTTTAATATAAACCATATTAACATTCTGATGAAAGCGTCTTTGGGATGTCGTTAGTGAGACAAATATTTGAGCAGATGAGGCGAGTGAACAGGTGAGCAAAAAATTAAAAGGTCAAAGCATAGAAAAAATTTACTCAAGCTAAGCGTAAAAACTTATTACCCTGAAAATATATTTTCTGCTCATAAAATTTCATTATGACTTCTTCAGTTATGGAAATGGCAGTCTAAGTAAACTTAGGCACAGTATTATTCGTTACACTGCTTTTCTGGGTCTAACAAAACCTTGTGGAAGGTCGCGTCAGGTAACCTTTGAGCGACCTATGACCTTCCAATCAACCGCAAGATGGCCGAACGGATTTAACCAATCAGACGACATCTATTTAGGGTTTGGCAGGACTTACAAAATGGATTTTCTCTTCCCCAGTCGCCAACACTGATCTCATAACAAATGAAAACCCGCATAAAACACAGATATAGGACCTGCAGAATATACGCTTTTGGGTTTCTTTTGACACAGCTATCATTAGCTAATATTTCCGCAAGCTGACATCCCTGAATGCTGACAAAACGCTATTCTCAGCGACTGTTTACTCTATGTGTTTAGTTTTACGCCACACTCAGCAATATTCCAGCTATATGGCAGCGGTCTGTAAATAATCGAGTCTGGACCAGACAATCCAGTGATCAACAGCATGAGTATCGATCTGCGCAATTGGGAACCGACGACATGTGACATCCAAGTCGGCGAGCCTGACCACCCGATCCCGTTAGTCGCCTCTTGAGTTCAGAAATCAAGCGTGCCCACATGTTTTTAGAATAAATGACTGTAGCAAGGATGATCATCTGAAATTCATTGTTAGTAAAGAACAAATGTAACCAGTTTTCTGCTGTCACTGGTCTTCTGTTTAAGATGGCTTTCTGAAGCTTCATTTGTTCTGCTTTCCTCACACCTTTGATAGCTAAGAACTTTGTGACAGGTTCACTTGTTCAATATATCTAACATACACAATTTCCTCTTCAATAACCAAACTATCAGTACTCCCAACACTCTACATGGAAAAACAACCAGATTTCTTTACATCAATCATAATTCCAGTTATTTCCTGGACAATAAAGTCAATGTTTTTACTTGGTTGTCATTTGTGCAAGTGTTTTGTTTTGGGGATTAAATGACTAAAGGCAAGTTATTTCTCTAACAAATTAGGCGTGCCATAAGGGCACCGGGAACATTTTTTATCCATGCCATTTCAATATTTACTGTGCCATGGCACACTAATATATGGGGTATTTCGAACCCTGACAAGGTTTTGTTAGACTCAGTATAGCAGTGTAACGAATAACACTGAGCCTAAGTTTACTTAGACTGTGGAAATGGCAGCATTGCTTAAAACAGGGCTGTATCTTTGTGAGCAATGGTTAGAGACCATAGCTGTGACCATTCATACCGAGGTTCAGGTCAACAGTCATTGTAGTTTTAAGAGAAAATGCTTAAGAAAACCCAGATTGCTGCTTAACATCACACATGCACACTTGTCCTTTCTGATGATACATATCAGCAAATGAACACACTGATCAACTGTTGCATGTACATGCAGTTTAGGGTCAAGATTATTTTGAAATGGAAATGCATAATGAAGAGGTATTTGTTGCATCATAATTGAAAACGGTAAAATTGCAATGGGCCTTCACTTACAGTCTTTGGTACAATAGAAACTACAGACTTTAAACTAAGTATCACTATACATGGCGATAAAAACAAAACAAAAAAACAAACATTGGCTAACCTTAAGAATGATCCTATCTAAATAGATAAATGTGAGCTTTGAAAGCGACCTGTGTCCCAAAATCAGCTGTTTGGGATCATATTAGAATACCTGTTACATTTTCTAAAGAGTCAGAACAGTTAACACAGAGGAAAGTGTCCTGTTGGATCTGCAACATATGAACACTTAATATCCCTATAAAATGTCAGGTTTGTTTTCGTTAGAACTTTTCCAGCTGTATTACACCCGCTTCCAAATGATCAACCTTGGTTGGGCAGGCTTCAGATTGACAATGATCAATAGCCAAAATCAGAATCCTGACAAAACCAGAGCATCTAATCACCATTTCTGCATTTGTCCCATAGGGAGGCAAGAATATTGTGTCAAGATATGACTGCGCCGTGCCGTACCTGCGAGATAAATGATGACACATTGTTGTTGACAGGGGCTATGTTAAGAGCACTGAAACCTGTGTAGGATGAGAGGTTTGCTGTTGGAGCTGCTTGTGGGATCTGCTGAAAGAAAAAAATATTAAATCATTATTTTTCTCATCTCTACTAGAAACAAATATTAGCAAAGGTCTAAAGGGACATCCATTGCATCTACAAGGATGGGTCAGTATGGCAGGAAGAGAATTTAACTTTTGATATATGTACCTAAACAGACAAAAACATTGTGGCAATGGTGGAACTGCATAGTGTTTCATGATGATCAGTACCTGGGGATAGATTTTCAAATGAAATTTAACCCAACCATACTAATCAAATGAATGCTCCCTAAATAGTATGTATTAAGTGCACTTATATGCCAGTCAAAAATCTCATTACAATTTCTGACTGGACATTAAACATGTGAAACAATGAAGTTGTTTATGGTACATTTGATATGATATAACAAAAGGTAAAAATAACTAACACCATACAATGACAAGTCCTATTTAGAGTGATATTGATAACTTACTTCATTATTTACTACTGAGCTGCCTAATGGCCTCAACACCGCTCTGCTTCCACTGGACACCTGCAACATGAAACCTCAATGAGAAGCCAAAACAATCTCAGATATTTAGTCAAATCCATTGAGTAAAACAGTTATATACCGTTTTTCAAACATTAACCTAAAAAATTCAATCTATTTCCAAAGTAATAATAAGTAATAATAAGCCTTTGCATATACTCAGTTGGTACAAGTGAGCGTTAGGCTTTAGGTTAACGTCAAGGTTATTGTACTTAAACAGAAACACATTTATTAGTGTTGCTTGTACTCGTTCACATTTATGCTAGTTCATAGTGAATCTCCCACCAACATATGCTGCAGTTGAACATGGGTACCATATACAGACTCCAGTCTGTTTTTCTGTCTTAATGTCAAGTACGGTAACAAATACCACCTTTCATGGTTTTGTGGCATGAACATGAAGCGACCATGGGTCCATGCAAATGCTCAGACCACTGATTTGTCTTAAGAGTTTTAAAAGTCAATGTTTGTCAAGGTGAAGCAACTAGGAAGTTTGACAATGAATTCAGATCATAAGCTTCAATGTCTTGGACAATACAGGGGTGGAAATAACTTTAAAATCGCTAGTGTACTCCGGTACAGTGGCACATGTAAAATCACTTGCCCTGATAATTTTTCCACTATACCGGACATTTTCTTGTTGATTTCTTAAATAAACAACATAATTAACGTTGGAAAGTCAACTGGACACCGGTACAGTGTGATATACAAATTTGCTTGCCCAACAGAAAAAAACACTGGACTCGGACGTCGGGCAATGGGTTATTTCCACCCCTGCACTATATTTAATGCATAAGGTACTCTTGTGTAATTGACATAAGTGACAGGCACCTATAATCATAGGTTTTAATCAGCATAGATGACTAGGCCATATCTGTAAAACGTTTACAATCAGAACTCCTATTCATGAATACTGATAGGCCGAATGTTTACAGGTAAACAGTTCACCAAACCAAAACAAAGCGATACAACTGATGCTACACAGAGTACAAATAAAAGCTGAAATCGTCTTATCTCTGTCAAAACATGTCACAAATCTTTATTATCAAATTTTACTTAAAAGTCTTTCGTCAAGGGCATTCGTGTGAGAAGCGAGCGTGACGTCAAGAACCTCACTTTGGATATGCCGGTCGAGGGACGAAGGTCAAATGGACAGCTTCAATACAATCATGTTTTCTACAATGACAGGGTATTCACCTTAACTATGAGAGCACATGTACATACTAACTTCAATGCACTTGACTGTCATTTCACCGAATACCAACTATCATGCTAAGATGGGCGGTGATCGGACCGGCAAGCAAAAATCATGGCGACTGCAGTAAATGCAGACGAGTACAGGCACGAACTAATTGCAAACTGTATAAGTATTACCATATATTCTTCTTAACAAACAATTAAAGTAAAGGTAAATCGTACTGACCACGGACCGGGCAGCTGGGTGAAAGAACCTTGTGCAAGCAAACATTTTGACAGTTGACTCAGTCTCTTGTCGGGCCTGCAAAATGCCGGTTTCTCATTATTCGACATGTACACGAATAATAAAATTTCACTATTAGAAAACAATCATGCACCACAAATATCTATCCTAATAGTTATCACATGAGAAAAGATTTAAATTAAAACCAAAAAGTATTCCGATGGCACAAAATAATTAGCAATTCTGACCGATTCCAAAGAGATGGGTTGTCTGCACGGTAACGCTTACCCAGAGGTGAATGAAGGAGACCGATACAGCGCATGCGCATGGGTAGTTTCCCGTCGCAACGATGTAAGAATGTTTCTCATTTATTTTAATACAAATACATCAATATATTACATTGAAATGAAAATCTTTACTCTTCAAAATAAAATAACATAAAATACATCACATTTTTTGTTATGATAATGAGCTTATTAAAACGAGGCTGCAGGTACTCGGTGAGCTAATGGCGGTGTTCCTGGTAAATAACTGTGCATTTCCAGGTTGTGGACTGACATTTACATCCCTTGCAGATCTAATCCAACACATCGAGGACATACACATAGGTAAATCGACTAGACCTGAGTGTGATCCGTGTCAATCATGCAACACTGATTCCGAACTTTACAAAAAAAACATTCCAACGACGCTTTGTTTACATTTTGACACAAGCATGGGTTACACACGTGCAGCTTCCCGCGAGCTGTCAAACTTCACAGGTTGCACATTTCAACCTGAGTGATAAAATTTCTTGTTGTACTTGACAGATCGGTGTTGCTAATACGATTACTTACTGGTTACTGTTATATGTTAAGGTTTTTGAAATTTACGACAAATAGACCCAAGACAATAGCGTTACAAAAGCTGACCGAAACAGATTTGCATGTTATGTGAAGTTCAAAAGAAGAATCAGGAATATTATCAATCCCTCCTTTTCAGACGCTTTACCGAAAATATGATGCCCTTATCCATTAACCTCACGTAGTGTAACAGCTTTGCTTCTACTATTAGACATTTCCTGGGCCTTTTCAAAGTAACCATGCAGAGTGCAAAGACTGTCATAAGTCACTGAATATGAGAGTTACAATCTTGTAGTATTTGTTTAGCCCTAAGATCACTTAAATGGGGATGGTGAATGGTCTTGATCAACATCATTTTTTTTGCAATATTTAGTTTATGATAGGCTTAGGGTAATGCAGTGATACGAACCCATGGTGGATCGCGTCCCTTATCACTTATCTGTATCAATATGATTCACACCTAGATAACATCATCATGGTAATCTACCATTTAAAATGTAATTTTACACTGGGCAGAGTTTCAGAGTACAAATTATGGAATAATGTAGAAAAACATTTGAATTTTTTTACACTCTGTCCTTTGTTTTTGCCATTTACTTTAGTGAAAGTTCGGAATCATTGAATATGTTATGGTCAAGTTAATTGCTGTATTTCAATATTTTCATTACTTGTGACAATATGCATTTCAAAAGAAGACATTAAATTTTTATCATCTTTATCAATGTTAATATAAGTACCGCTGTCCTATCTCAAATATACTAAACACTGAGATGCACAAGTGAGTGACTGAGTGAGTTTGATTTTATGCCGCTTTTAGCTATATTCTAGCAATATCACGCCTGGGATGATGCACAAGTGAATTTTAATGTGTTCTATGTACCAATAAGTAATGTATTTCATTCTGGTTTCTTAATGTTTTTACCTTGGGCGTAGTCATCTTAAATACTAGGTTGGGCAAGTCGGTAATGGCGTACCTGCAGCCATGGTGTCTAGTCACAACCAAGTGTAGCGTGAAATATTTCATAATATTTGTTAGAGACACTGGTAAGGGTTTACTTTTGAGCTCACTTTGACATTCTCAATGAGAGCTGATGTTTTGTGTATGTTTTTGTCGGTATTCTGTCTGTGTACTGGAAATAGTTTTGTTAAAGGTCACATGCAACGTAAAACACAACTTTGCAGATTCTGATACCTTTCGGTATGGACTTACCGAAACAAAGCGTCAAAAATGCAAATTCAACTTATAAAGTTGAAAAATAACGCGATGAAAAAAACGCGAAATCAGAGTTCAAACGTTTCCCTAATTTTCCCCAGACTTTTTCTGGGGAATACGGGTTTCAACAGCTGGGCTGCGCTCATAGCATGTGCGCAGTGAAATAGGTTCGCGCAACTTGGAAGCGGGCTGTCTGGTGAATACTCGGTGAAGGCTTTGGTGTGAGCTATTTTCATAATGTTTTGTTGATATCTCACAGGCAGGCGAGCTTTTATATGTTATGACAGTAAATAAACTGTTTATATAATTTCATTTGTCTATTTCACCACACGTTCTTCTTACCGAGTCACTTTCTCAGTTCGATACTTAAAAGCAATGTCATTATTTAGCGTTGACAGAATTTCTAACTGTGATATAGATATGTCGCTGTCACAGACAAAACTCAATGTCTTGTTTTATTGACACCTGTGTGTCTGCCTGCCTGTCTGCTAATGACAATATTCAATACACAACTGCGATCACTGACCACATGCAATTTGAACTTAACACCAATCAGGCTATACACCATAAACAAAACGCATTGATTTATGGCCCGAGTTCGGTCTCTGTCACATTATGTAATTACACAGACAGGCAGGTGTGATACTTGAACACATGACATGTTATGATGTCTGTTGATTGCAAAATGTTATACACAAAAAATGAGCATGTATTTACAAAACCCAACATGAGCCGTGAAGGCGGCATCTGCTAATGAACCAGCCGTTACACTTGAGTGCACACCCACCCGCTCTGACTGGGTTCGGTATCCCGACTGCTTCGTTTGAGGGAGGTAAACCCAAGTACAACATATTGCACTTTTGATTTGCGATTATACGCTTATAATTTTGTTTATTTGTTTTTTCATAATCAGCAATGCATATTATATGTCATGAAGAAGTGATAATTGTGTTTTAATTATGTTTGATTTTTTGGTTGCATGTGACCTTTAATGTATACAAGTCAATAGGTTCATACAGTAAGACTCCAAATCATAGGATGTCTCTAACATCGGACTGGTTTATTTCCTGGCAGATGTGTATACTGCCATTGGCATCAGATATCTTGCTGTAGATGATCTGATGCTTCTATGGTGTCAGTGTCACTGTGAGTAGGACATATTGTTGACTGTTTATGGGATGTTGTCTTGGAAGCCTTCCCATAGAATCCAGGTCAGAATAGGTCCTGAGTTTCCCGTGTCTCCAGAACTGACTGAGTGAGTGAGTAAGTTTAGTTTTACGCCACACTCGGCGATATTCCACTGATATGGTGTCGTTCTGTAAATAATCGAGTCTGGACCAGACAATCCAGTGATCAACAACATGAGCATCGATCTACGGAATTGGGAACCAATGACATGTGTCAACCAAGTCAGCGAGCCTGACAACCTGATGCTGTTAGTCGCCTCTTACAACAAGCATGGGTTACTGAAGATCAATTCTAGCCCGGATCTTCACGGGTCAGAATTGACTGAAATGAGAATTGTGTTGTTATGTTAGTGTGTATGATCAGGTCATTTCATATTATCTGTTGAACGCCGCGCTCACCACTATTCCATTTTTATGATGTGGCATGTGTAAAATGGAGGCTGGTTTAGGCAAATCCAGTAAGTTATGTCGTGATCAACAATCCATGTTTTCGGGATGTAATGGCAGGCAGTCAAACTAGTCACCTTCTTTGACCACCTGATACATTTGATGGTCACTCAGAAGCAACATCAGTTGCAAGGGATCAGTTCTACCCCAGAATCCTCATGTTGGTACATGATTTTAGTTAGTGGTGAAGCGACAGTCCTGGAATTAATTATTTTTGTCATTGGATATTTGCTGTTAGAACATGTAAAACGTGAAATTAAACTGCATGCCTTTGCATAGGAAATGTAACAGTAATGATAAGATTTCATGACAACGTATGGTATGGATTTACAACTTGCCCCTTCATCTTCAACGTTGTGTTGTAAATATTATAGAAGTTGTAAATCCATACCATATGTTGTAATGTTACCTTCCAACTTCTAAATACCCATCAAGCATCTAACAATAAGATTGTTCATGTGTAATGTTAATGTTGATGGTTCATCGTTCACTTTCTCTAGATACGGACCCTCGTGCATTAGAGAAACAGGAACTCCAACAGCCATCAGCTCTCGCCCTTAGTTACGTCTTGAGGTACATAGGATAGCCTTTTATCAATGTTGTGTTCATGATCAACTTTGTGTTTGTAGTTATGCTGCTTGGGTATGAGGTGAAGCATGTAGTTAGAGAGCATGTTGATATAATATTCACCATTAGAGCTAAAATGGATGGAATTGTTATAAGAATGCCTGCGTCTTATCAGAAATCTGCAGGTGTAGCTAAATAGCAGCTTGCATTTCCTGAACAATGGGATTCTTTCTATTCTATTGTTATGTGGTGTATTTGGGCTCACGTTTCTTGTTGTGACATCACCCTTAAGTATGTTCTGTGATGTGAAGTTAATGATACAACCTCTTAACGAATGCTGCTGTTTCCTTCATGTTGGCAGTTGCGACAAAATGTTCTCCATTTTAGTGTTAAAACAATGGTAACAATAACTTCCTTGGCTTTCATTTTTGCTTAAGCCCTTGGCCTGTTGAACAGCCCTCCTTTTCAAAATTTCAGACAGTCAGTGGCTGACCTTTGGCTTCTGCAAAGGCAAATGCCCTGGCAAACAATGTAACCCTCATAATATATTTTGCAAGGTGCTTTAGATCTTAATGATATTTGCACCACATATATATTGTTAGACCATGGTCTGTTTCACTTAGATACATTTATTAGCAGCCATCACATAAAATTGTAATATTCCTGACAAGATAATATATATTTTTCTCACAAAACCAGGGAATGCAGAAATAGTGAGTGAGTGAGTTTAGTTTGACGTCGCTTTTAGCAATATTCCAGCCGTATCACGCTGGGGACACCAGAAATGGGCTTCACACAATGTGCCCATATGGGGAATCGAACCCGGGTCTTCGGCGTGACGAACGAACACCTTAACCGCTAGGCTACCCCACTGCCCCGAATGCAGAAATAGACTTAAGACTAAATGTAGCCTTCACTATGTATGGTTAATGATTTGCATGACTGAACATCCACATGGTGTAAACATGGTGAATGGGGGTGTTTTTAGGACAGGTCAGAATATAAGGTCTCTGCCAAGATTTCTTGCTTTTTAAACTATATAGTGCTTTGGCATCACAGGGATATCAAGTAGAAAGTTTTTTCTGCATGGACATATCATGAGAGATTTTTTGGGTCATGAAAGCCTTACATGAAAGGTCATCATCACAGTCATTGCCATTAAAAATGTATGTTTGCTATATTCACTTAGATGGGTTTGTTTATTGAGAAATCTTCTGTAAGTCACTTGTAGTGGGTATATCATTCTTATGTACAGCAAGTGATGACTGTCTTATTATGTCAGTGGCGACCATGATATATTTTCTTACTTTAAGCTCCACCTAAAGACGTCATTTTGGGTACCTGAAAGCCCATGGGAATGTTCTTAGGAGCGTACAGGTGATATAGAAGGCTAAATTCGCTGTTTATATCTATGCCATTGTAGAGTTAATGGCATCTTGGGAAGGGGCATTGCATTGGTAATGTTTTGAGTAACGTTTATTGAAGGTTGAGGTCATTGAAGTGCTTTGTGTACTCAGCCTATCCAGAGAACCATCACCCACCTCTTCACTCAAAAATAATAAATATGCAGTTGTCCAGTTGAGGAACATTTGCACTGCAAGTGCAGATGACTTTCTTATCAAGGTAATTAGAGGGACAGAACTTTCTGTTAAGAAGTTGTTTTGATTGAGACGTGTTTCGGAGGCCAAAGGTGATCTTCTTCAACCTGAAATGCATGTAATTGTCTTATTAACTTGCTTGATTATGTTAAAGGCATAGGCCTGTGTCTCATCAACCTGGAGGTACCCGGTAATATTATTTGACTGGAAGTGCATGCAACATTCTTATTAATCATTTTAACAGAGCCAGAGCTAACAATTTCATGTCGTCACAGCGTTGTCACAACGTTATGCTTTCGTTGTTACAATGTTGTTCTGTGGACTCCCATTGTCACTTTTACGTTGTCACAATGTTGGGTGATACGTCATTTTTACGTTGCCTGAAGTTAAAGTTATTTGATGCTAACATTTTATGTTGTCTTAACATTCTATTTAGCGTTAATAGTTGAATAGTTTTCCCAGTAGTGAACAGTACATAAGAGACAAAGCAGAGATTCAACTCAATGTTTATTCGTCAATTTGCACGTTGTTTTGGTCGTGTGTTTTCTGAAGCTGTAACGGAATAGTGAAGAAAGAATCTCAAAGTGAAAAGATTACACAAGACTATCCTGACACCAAATCATAAGATATGTTGTTTTTAACATTGTGAGGAGCCCAAAGCATAACGTTTCTCAATGTAAATTTGCAACGTTGTTATTACGTTGTGACATAACATTATAAAATGACGTAATACTAACCTTGTGACAACGTTGTGTCATGACATTACCAATCTACAACCTTTCCACAACATAGAGAAAATGTTGTGTGTTAGCTGGGATGGTAGCTAGAGGCATGGAACTGTCTGCTTTATGGTCGTTTACATTAAATGTGTTTTCTCAACCAAGTAAGCATATTGTTAAAATGGAAGTGCATGCAGCTTTCTTATTACTCATGTTAATGTAGCTATTTTAGTTAGAAGCATGCAACTTTCAATATAAGGCCATCTTCCATTGGGAACTTTCAAAAGCAAAATGTGATGCCATGAAAGGAGAAGTTAGAATAACATTCCTATTAATCTGGTTATTAATTAGCACTGTAAATGCAGTTTGCAATCCTTGACACAAGTACGATGTCTAGTAAATTTTCCTTCCATCTGGTAAGATAAGCTTATGTAGTCAGGGTACTGAGACGAGGTCTACTGAAAGTATTGCTAAAATACAACCTCAGGTAAGTACACGCGGAATGTTACGGCACATACAGGATATAACACATTTGTCCACCATCTGGAAGTAAAATTCTTCAACTGGAAGTACGTAAGACTTTTCATATTTGTACTTCCTTCGACATGTGTTTCCCAATTTGGAAGCAATTGTCATAATGGAGGAAATTCATTTATGGTCAACGTTGTGTTAGCTGCAAACAGGTACTTTTAATTGGTTTGCGATTCAGATTGTTGTATCTTTGCATCAATTTTGCCAAGATGGATTGTGGTATGGTGCTTTCTAGAAATGGCGGTGAAGGTGATAAAATCTAACTGACATGTTGCCTGACAACTCAAGATGTTTCTGATAGCACAGCCATACATACATTTTACTGTGAATGATTCAGCACCTTCAGATTTTGTTTTCTGATTCCATCTGTTCAGGTTTTTCACAGAGGCAGCCAAGAAGGAGAATGCTGACCCATTCAGGAAGAGAGTTCGCCCCCAGTCACCAGCCATGTCCCTCCCCAGCAGCACTCCAACCGGTACGTAGCAACACTAGCGTTACCTGGCAACACTGTTGTGATAACATGTCCCTCCCCAGCAGCACTCCAACCGGTACGTAGCAACACTAGCGTTACCTGGCAACACTGTTGTGATAACATGTCACTCCCCAGCAGCACTCCAACCGGTACGTACCAACACTAGCGTTACCTGGCAACACTGTGTTGTGATAACATGTCCCTCCCGAGCAGCACTCCAACTGGTACGTAGCAACACTAGCGTTACCTGGCAACACTGTGTTGTGATAACATGTCCCTCCCCAGCAGCACTCCAACCGGTACGTAGTGTTACCTGGCAACACTGTGTTGTGATAACATGTCCCTCCCCAGCAGCACTCCAACCGGTACGTAGTGACACTAGAGCTACCTGGCAACAATGTGTTGTGATAACATGTCCTTCCCCAGCAGCACTCCAACCGGTACGTAGCAACACTAGCGTTACCTGGCAACACTGTGTTGTGATAACATGTCCCTCCCCAGCAGCACTCCAACTGGTACGTAGTGACACTAGCGTTACCTGGCAACACTGTGTTGTGATAACATGTCCTTCCCCAGCAGCACTCCAACCGGTACGTAGCAACACTAGCGTTACCTGGCAACACTGTGTTGTGATAACATGTCCCTCCCCAGCAGCACTCCAACCGGTACGTAGTGTTACCTGGCAACACTGTGTTGTGATAACATGTCCCTCCCCAGCAGCACTCCAACTGGTACGTAGTGACACTAGCGTTACCTGGCAACACTGTGTTGTGATAACATGTCCCTCCCCATCAGCACTCCAACCGGTACGTAGTGTTACCTGGCAACACTGTGTTGTGATAACATGTCCCTCCCCAGCAGCACTCCAACTGGTACGTAGTGACACTAGCGTTACCTGGCAACACTGTGTTGTGATAACATGTCCTTCCCCAGCAGCACTCCAACCGGTACGTAGCAACACTAGCGTTACCTGGCAACACTGTGTTGTGATAACATGTCCCTCCCCAGCAGCACTCCAACCGGTACGTAGTGACACTAGCGTTACCAGGCAACACTGTGTTGTGATAACATGTCCCTCCCCAGCAGCACTCCAACTGGTACGTAGTGACACTAGCGTTACCTGGCAACATTGTGTCGTTATAACATGTCCCTCCCCAGCAGCACTCCAGCCGGTACGTAGTGACACTAGCGTTACCTGGCAACACTGTGTTGTGATAACATGTCCCTCCCCAGCAGCACTCCAACTGGTACGTAGTGACACTAGCGTTACCTGGCAACATTGTGTTGTGATAACATGTCCCTCCCCAGCAGCACTCCAACTGGTACGTAGTGACACTAGCGTTACCTGGCAACACTGTGTCCTGATAACATGTCCTTCCCCAGCAGCACTCCAACCGGTACGTAGCAACACTAGCGTTACCTGGCAACATTGTGTTGTGATAACATGTCCCTCCCCAGCAGCACTCCAACTGGTACGTAGCAACACTAGCGTTACCTGGCAGCACTGTGTCACGATACATGTAACATGTCCCTCCCCAGCAGCACTCCAACTGGTACGTAGTGACACTAGCGTTACCAGGCAACACTGTGTCCTGATAACATGTCCTTCCCCAGCAGCACTCCAACCGGTACGTAGCAACACTAGCGTTACCTGGCAACATTGTGTTGTGATAACATGTCCCTCCCCAGCAGCACTCCAACTGGTACGTAGCAACACTAGCGTTACCTGGCAACACTGTGTTGTGATAACATGTCCTTCCCCAGCAGCACTCCAACCGGTACGTAGTGACACTAGCGTTACCTGGCAACACTGTGTTGTGATAACATGTCCTTCCCCAGCAGCACTCCAACCGGTACGTAGTGACACTAGCGTTACCTGGCAACATTGTGTCCTGATAACATGTCCTTCCCCAGCAGCACTCCAACTGGTACGTAGCAACACTAGCGTTACCTGGCAACACTGTGTTGTGATAACATGTCCTTCCCCAGCAGCACTCCAACCGGTACGTAGTGACACTAGCGTTACCTGGCAACACTGTGTCCTGATAACATGTCCCTCCCCAGCAGCACTCCAACCGGTACGTAGCAACACTAGCGTTACCTGGCAGCACTGTGTCACGATACATGTAACATGTCCCTCCCCAGCAGCACTCCAACTGGTACGTAGTGACACTAGCGTTAGCTGGCAACACTGTGTCCTGATAACATGTCCTTCCCCAGCAGCACTCCAACCGGTACGTAGTGACACTAGCGTTACCTGGCAACACTGTGTTGTGATAACATGTCCCTCCCCAGCAGCACGCCAACCGGTACGTAGCAACACTAGCGTTACCTGGCAACACTGTGTTGTGATAACATGTCCTTCCCCAGCAGCACTCCAACCGGTACGTAGTGACACTAGCGTTACCTGGCAACACTGTGTTGTGATAACATGTCCTTCCCCAGCAGCACTCCAACCGGTACGTAGTGACACTAGCGTTACCTGGCAACACTGTGTCCTGATAACATGTCCCTCCCCAGCAGCACTCCAACTGGTACGTAGTGACACTAGCGTTACCTGGCAACATTGTGTCGTTATAACATGTGACTTCCAAAAAGCACTCAAAACGCTATGTAGCAATGCACAACATAACTAGAGAACACTCGGTTGTGTTGACATGACCCTCCCCATCAGCACTACAACCAGTCCGCAGTAACACACAGCGTTACTTAGGAGCACAGTGTTGTCATGACATGACCGTGTCCCAAGATATCTTTTAGTTTTCTTACATCCATTAGTGTATTCCTTGTATCTGATAAATTGTGTTGTATCCTACACTGTTACATATTTAGATTATAATATTAAATTAAAAAGTTTGAATGAACTAATGCAACGTTAAATTAAATTGACTCTCGTGCCCTCTACTGGCCGAACATTATTTCAAGCGTACCCCATAGAGTTATGTCCCTTGGAGTGCTCTTTACAAATAACCTACGCACAACTTGTGATTGAAACCAGTTCTGCAAACACCTACAACACCGCATGCGACAGTTTTTGATGTACGGAGCAATTGTTTACATTCCATAGTGTTAAGCCCATTTCTGGTGTCCCCCGCCGTGATATTGCTGGAATATTGCTAAAAGCGGCGTAAAACTAAACTCAGTCAGTCAGTCAGTCAGTTTACATTCCATATATGGCAAGTGTTCTCTGTTTGGAAATTGTTCGCCTTGTTATTCCATGTTTCGTCTAGTTGGTATCCAGTGTTATGCCCTGTACTCCTGACTGTACTGTTGGTATATATACATGTGTTATACCTCAATGCATCATGTACAGCAGCTGTATGTTATTCCACTGCAGGGAGTGAGATAGACGAGGAGGAGGTGCGGAGTGATGACGAGGAAGACAGTAACGACTCATGGACCACACAGGAGGAGTTCTCTTCAGACACAATACTCAGGTGAAGATCTCGTGTGTTGAGCAGAGGGAGAGGGGGTTTACTTCTTACAAACAAAATGTCAAACTCTGTAATTATAGCCTACTTTTAACTGACACGCATCAGAGTGATTTCCCATAAAACACAACACAAAGGTGGAACCAGCCACAGTGTTGAAATGCTGTGATGTCCCACCTGTGAGCCTGAGCCTTTAGATGCTTAGCATGGTACCTTGATCAGCTTGACTCACCATTTTAACCTTGAAATCTTTGGAATAAATCCAGAAAGTAACATATAGATAGATCCATATTGGGAAACCTAAGTAACCATGGATACCAACTTGAATAACAACATGACACTGGGCATGGCATGAACTTGACAAGGTGACAACATAGACTGATTCAAGCTCAGGATTTTGTGATCTGCTCATTTCTGTACCCAGTCTTCACAACTGGAAAGCTGCAGTTATCAACATGAGGCCACCTACAATAAGGACAAAAATAAGTGCCCCTTGCAGCATACACAAAATAGAAGGGCTGGTTTAATCAATTTACTCCCCTTTTAAATTACACCAAAACACTTCAGAAGGAATTGACCTTTGAAGATCTGGGTTAGAATTATTCTTCAGTAACACATCCTTGTTGTAAGTGGCGACTAACGGGATCGGGTGGTCAGGCTCGCTGACTTGGTAGACACATGTCATTGTATCCCAATTGTGTAGATCGATGCTCATGCTGTTGATCACTGGAATGTCTGGTCCAGACTCGATTATTTACAGACCGCCGCCATATAGCTGGAATATTGCTGAGTGCAGCGTAAAACTAAACTCACTCACTCAGGAGGAATTATCTCCCTTTGCGCTGGTTTAGAAACAAATAGTGGGCTTAATTTCGCAATAGAGTGAGTGACCTTCACGGGTCAATTATGCAATAGACACAAAGGAAGGGTATGACAGTGTACTGTGTGGTATTGCAGCATGATGGGCAGTAAGGACCAGGAGGGAGACAAGCCGTTCGCCTGCCCCGTCCCGGGCTGTAAGAAGCGCTACAAGAACATCAATGGGATCAAGTATCACGCAAGACACGGCCACAAGCGGGAGGCCAAGATAGTGTATGTATAATTTGTGCAAAGTCAGTGTTCATATCGTATGTTCAACTCCTGCTTGATATATGACATGCCTGACAGAACTGACTGGCCGGCTTGCTAACTTGGTTGATGCAGGTCAGTTTATCCAAATGGCGTTGATCGATGTACATGATGTCAATAACCAGATTAGTGTGGCATTAAACAACAGAAAGGGAAGATCACATGTTCAAAGAACTTTTGTATTGAGTGTTTTTGGTGCCTGTGACATTAAGTTCATCTGATAGTTGATCCAAAGGGAGGCAAGCGCAGGATAAGGCTCAAATCAGATATACGAGGATATTTCATTACAACTTTTAGAAACATACTTTCTTATCTGTAATCATGTTAAACCTGATATGTTTTGTTTACATAAGTTTGAAGTGTGTCTGCCATTGAATGTCAATGCTGATATACCATCAACATATGGTCCAAAGGTTGTGTGGTCAGAGACAGTGCCATGAACAGAGTTGTCTCCCTTAGCTTTCACCCCCACATTTGATTTAATCACTCATGCCATGCTACACATTGGTTCTACACTGTGAGAAGCACAATTCTAGTGTTACTCAGCATGAAAACACTAGATTATTGCGGAAAGTGTCGTAAAACCATACTCACTCTTGCCATATGTGTAAAAGTGTACAGACATTTGTGTTTCAATCTTTCAGTGTGAAAAAATCTTACAAGTGTTTTTGTGGGAAAAGTTACAAGACGGTCCAAGGCCTTCGGAACCACAGCGCTCAGCAGCACCAGACGGTAGACATGGGCAGCAGTCAGACGGCCACCATTGCCCAGTCTTTGAGTCTCAAGACGCAATACACACCCACAAGTGTTCTCAAGACAATTGCCAACAACACCACCATTGACGCCCTCCTTCTGTCAACATCTACACAGTCAGCAGTCAAACTTCCACAAAATGTCCTCCAATCTGCAGTGTCCACAGCTCAGACAGTTCGCAGTCCCTTGACAACTGTTGCCATGACAATTGTACAAGCAGCTAATGAAAATACTCCCACATTGTCTTCAGTGACCCCTATGCAACTTGTCAGCCAGTCATCCCCAGCATTATCTGTTGCCATAGCTACTGCTAAAGTTGAATAACCAAAGAGCAGACAATTATAATGCATTCACTCACAGCCAAAACACTGTCACGACTGTGTTAATTAGTAAGCTTAAAGAGAACATTCATTCTTTGCCAGAACATTTTTACCACTTTATGGTGTTTTTCGTCAATAATCTAAGGCTAAATACAGCTGGAAATATATTTCCTTATTTCTTTCTAAGAGGCCAGGGTTAACCGGCATGTACAAGAGAAACAAAAACATTAGTATAACCTAGGAACACAATGTATTTTGAAAGCTTTGGTGGACATATTAAGTTTATATTCCATACCAGCTACACAATTAGCTGCATCCTTTGAAGAAGTTTGTGAAAATATTCTTGATAATTCAAGAACAAGCCTGGATAAAACAATTATGTCTGAAATATGTATTTCACTCAAACATCATGATATTAAGTTGTTGTGATAGATAGGACTGCAAAAATTCTAACCTTTCCAAAGACCACTGTAAGGTATTATGTCCTAAGAAGTTGTATTGCTGTTGATGATACATCTTTTATAGGTGCTCAATGAGTTAAGCAGGCTTGCTTTAGACATGTTGATATGAATATATTGTTATCATGGCTATTGTAGTCCTTTCAACATGTCCTTGATGACTTGCTGTAACAGCACCAAACTGCTTCACAGTAATGACTCACAATACGTTGACACACCGTGACAAATGCTGAAGTACTGTATCCCACAGTAGAGGCTGTCAGGTTTGCAGATGGAATAGAATCTTGCTGGTTTTCATGACACAGCATGTGGAGGCTTACATTTGCAGAAAAAGAAATGCTGAAGTGTTTGGTTCAGTCATGATTAATTGAACCTGCAATGTTTTCTTGATGTTTGTGCATTATTTGTGTTTTGCTCATTTTATGATTGCATGAAAGTTTTGAGAGTAGTATCAAGTACATTATCACCTTTTCGGTATTCAGTGTATTTTATCTCCATTCTATATGACGAATACTCTGCGTCTTAGTTTTGGAAGCACATTACAACCTTCATTGCCTCTTTCTCTGGGTTAGCACAGATTGTCTTCAGCTCATGAGAGCAATTTGAATACTGTATATTGCCTTCTATAAAGAAACTCCATGTATATGTCGACCCCTGTATAAACCTTTAAAGTTGATCTAATATATAAACTCTTCTATAATGCGACTATGAAGGAAGCACATCGTCAGCGCATACACAACCCCAAAATTTGCAATGAAAACATGTCTGTCTTCTGTTGTTTTTTTATACAATGCGTGGTTATGTAGAATTCCAGCTCATAGCGTCATGCATTGTGTCATTCATTCAGGCTATTGAAGCAGCTGTAGCAACAGAAATGAGTCCAGAGTGTAATAAAATAAAATAGAATGTAGATATTATACACTTCGTAAAGCATAGAATCACTGACCAAACTTCAGCAATGTTCAAATTTCATATCATTTGTCAGTTTATTTTCAACAATTTTTATATATATTGTATTTTGTGAAATCAAGAATCTCATAGCATGGTGTGTTCATGTGTAAATGTGAAATCCATCTTTTGTCCATTATGACATTCACTATATTATTGTTGCTGCTTGTGATATTTGAAGCTCAATGTGTATTTAGACATTAACAATTCAGTTGTCGTTTACTTGTTTGCATCACAAAGTATTGGTTTCAGATTCAGGCGCAGCCAGGGATACCCAACAAGTAAAGGTTACGGTACTTGTGTATACACCTGATGTCTGTCTATACATCCCACCGATCAAGAAATCTGTACCCCACCATTATCTTCATATGTTTTGTAACAGATTTATAGATTAGTGTTTGTCAAGAGACAGTAGAAGACACTGCCAGTGGGATGGCTGTGAATGTGTTCACTGAGAATATTTTAGGTAATTTTGACACATATTTTTACTGCAAGTATCTCACTCCCTCTCCATTTTCGGAGGCTGCACAACTATGCCCACCTCTAATAACCAAATGACAAACTTGTGAAGGGAGATAACTGAGGCAGTAGTGTATAAAGTGATTATGAATCAAGATGCTCACATTTTATATTGCAAGTTGTTGTGATAAGGGATTTACTAGATCATTACATTTTGAATATTTTCATTGGCAACGAAATTACAACCAGATTTATATGCAACAAAGGAAAATATCTTCACAGAAAGGAAAACATGGAACTACAAATAACATTATTTTGTGATATTCTCACTGTCTGGGTACAGGAGGAGAATAAACCCAACTCACCCACTAGTTGTTGAATATAGTATTGGAGGTTTACATACTACTCAAAAGAATTTAAAGAATACTAAAACCTTTTCCTATTACCATTGTTAATCCATCATGGACAAATTATGTATCAGTAGTAATATGACAGAATCAGTAGTCCTTAACGTCTTTTGAGTAGTATAATAAAACATTATGGGCTGGTGTCATTTCATGTATGAAGTTTTCATAAATATCTTCCATTGTGTCCTGGGATGTACCAGTGTGATGCATGCTAGGATGTGTTCCAGTCGGCTCTAGTCAATCCGTGTTCTTCTGTATGTGTGCTTGTTCACGGAGTATCACGAGAACTGCATACCATGACAACTATTTATTGAGTGGTGTTTCGTGTTGGTTACTTTCGTGACAAAATTCAAACCGTAACTTCTAATGTCAAAACTATTTGAATGTCTCTTGTTTTTAATTTATTATGTATTATACAAAAAACAGTACTAGTCTGATATACACCTCAAGAAATATGACTGAACATTATCTGTTAAATATGTTATGTTGCTCGTTGCTTAATCTGTCAAAATTTAGGATTTCTGAAGTTTATGAGCGGAAACCAAAGACCCACTAAGTAGATATACTTAGTCTGTGGGAAAATACCACGAGCACCCTTAGTTAGGAAAGAGATCCTGATGGTAAAATGCCCTGATATATAGACTTTCCTGAAATATATTGATACTCTATGAAAAAATGTGGAATTTGGGAAATAATTTTCAGTGCACTGACAGAAATTGGTATGATGCCTGAATTCGTGCAGTATTTCCGTGAATATCCTAGTTTGAGTATTTGCTGATGTTGTAGTACCTGAACATCAGCTTTTAGTCACTTGTCAAGAAACAAAATTTACTATGCGTTTTCAAATTGTTCCTGTTTATAAAAGCAATACCTGTGGCTCTGGTTTTTTACCAAATTGTCTTTTGGGAATATTTGTTGAAGATGGGTGTTTATGTGCTTGTTCAATATGTTCCTCGGAGCTGCTTGTTAATTCTAAGTTTTGTAGCATTTACCAAAGTCCTGATTCTGACGTTGTATTTCACGCTGTGAAGTTATTGATCCTGATGATTTCAGATGTGTTTTACAATTAATCAAATCAGTAAGTTTTACAGTTACTTCAATTAGTCAACTTTCACTTGTGTATACCAAAAGAATGATGATCCCGGTATTCCAAGGATCTGTCCTCGGAGGATGGAAAGATTGAACGATATATCATGATCCTTGCCTCATGATATGGAACAGAATGAATGTGTTTAATGGGATATGTATGAAGGATACATGATATCAACGCTTAGTTCTTCATGGGCGGCGTAGCTACCATTATAAAAAGAAGCCCAGGCTTACACATGATTTTGAAAATGAAAGCCCTCAATACTATCTAAATATAAGCTTTCCAACCTATCGGGCCTACATGAAAAAATGGCTTGCTACGCGTATGTTCTTTTTGACCCGATTCATGCAGTTTCCAACATTCAGGAAAGCATTTACTGCATGTTCTGTCACCAAGCTTCTAATTTAGGAGTGAGTAGTAGAGTAGCCTAGAGGTTAAAGCCGTCGCTTCATCACACTGAAGCCTGGTTCAATTCCCTGAATGGGTACAATGTGTGAAACCCATTTCTGGTGTCCCGTTATGAGATTGCTGGACTCATATTCTAAAGGCGGTGTTAAACCAAACTCACTCAGAATTAAGATATTTCCCTGGATGTTAATGGAAATTGCTTTTTCCACTCAGTATTTGGACACAGGTGACTCCGTCATATAAGGTATGTTGAATATATTGTGTTTGTGATGTTTCTAGGTATTTCAGCATCATGGGTTTGACCAAAGTGGTAAAAGTCTTGGCCCCTGTATGACTTTATGCTTTAATCTTACGCTAAAAATTCCTCCCTTGCTCAAATTCTGTTCAAACCGACATGACACTCCTCTGTGTTTACTGTCTACATGTAAGGGCCAAGATATGGGCACATAATTCAGTGGTCATAAAGTGTGAACAAGTGGTCCTTGTCATGGCCCTAAGTTGGGGGGGTGCAGGAATTCATGAAGTAAAGGAGCAAGACTCAAGGGCCCTATGAGCAATCAAACTTTCGACGGTTAATTTAACTTTGTGTATCACACAGTAGGCTATACCAGGATATTCCAGAGGATTATTTGAACATTAATGCCACAATATTGTGTTTTTCCTGATATTGGAGCACGGATGAGTGCTGCTGAATGTGTCAAGATGGGTCAGATGTCGTGATATGAATTATAGCTATCAGTATTATTTGTGCTCATTCAAACAACAAAAAAACTGTTCCTGATATTATTATCACATTAGCCAAAGACTATATTAGGAAGAATCTTGTGTAGCTCATAATCTCGTATTCGGCAGTTATTTTTATTTTCAGAGATTTGTATCATGGGAATGATTCAGAAGCCATTGTTCTTTGTTATGAAGTGTTGTGAAGAAGTGGTGCAGCAGTCATAGTCTATATACAGGCCATCTGGGAAAATATTAGATCACATGATTAGTTACTTTTGTCAGAATTTTGTAGATAGTGTATCATCTTTCTGTCTGTATAATGCTTCAAAGAGAAACTATTTGGGCACATAGAATGACATAAAAAAAAAACCAGTACTAGTATTATTCTGTGATTGAGGTTATGGAAAGTCTGAAAGGTTTTGCTTAGTATGCTACTCAAAAAGTTATGAACGCTCAGTTCTATTATATTACTATAATGCATGAAATTGGGTTTTCTTTAACTGTTTCAATTACTATACACAGTCCTTTTTCAGATATTTTCATCCATACAGCGTAAGTGCAGTCATATCATGGTATAACCTGTGTGAAGCCCATTTCAGGTGTCCCCTGCCGTGATGTTGCTTGAATATTGCTAAAAGCAGCGTAAAACTAAACTCAGTCAGTCAGTCATGGTATAACCTGTGGTGATGTTGCTGGAATATTGCTAAAAGCTGTGTAAAACCCACTCACTCACTCACTCATGGTATAACCCTATATACTACATTAAGTGTTCCAAAGGTTACATGGTTGTGTATATTTTTAAAATGTTTTTTATTAATATTGCTTTCAAATTTGAATACTTGTCAGACCTTGCCATACTTGTATATTCCATGCTGATAGGTTTTTGCTTAGCATGAGGTATTGTGTATATATATATGCCTCATATGTTTTACAACAGATATTTGGGGTTCATATCTAACCCCAGGTGAATATTCTGTGCAAACGTAAATAATATGAATTATTTTTGTGGAATCATTATCCGCAATCAACATAGGACATCACTGATGATGTTGACAGGCTTGAAAATCGTAGTAATATTTGAACAGGTGAGCATCAGTGCATTTATTTCCATTGATTTCATTTCAGATACAAGGATGGAACAAAATCTAAAAAAAATCAAATATAAAAAAGTAGTCACATAGTAAGATGTCTGTGAAAGGGATCAGAGCATTGAATATGTCATGGTGTCCAAATATCATGCGTGTTGTCCACGAGACTTAAGTGTTGTGATGATTATAAGCTTCTTGTAATCAGCTATTGATTGTTATTTGATTATATTCATATTTGTTCTGCGATTATTTTGTGATACTGAGCATATCAAAATTTCAGTGTGTCATATAGATCATACATGAATCATCAAACACACATAGTTCATAACATAGCATGCACTTACAGCTCAGCGATGGCGGCACTAGAGGGAAGACAGACATGTCAAGGGCTCCACTATGTCAACTGTTGGCATTGTGTTCCATGTGATCTCGGCAACATATGCTGGTTGCAAGAGGCAACCAAAAGGATCAGGAATGTTCGATGACTTGGTTGATGGTGTATCATCAAACTCCTTTGGCATGGATTGTTCTTTACAATGACAATCACTGGATTGTTTGGTCTAGATTTGGCAACCTATATTGGTTGCAACAGGCAACCAAAAGGATCCGACAGAGTCTGTCAGAGTCAGAGACTTGATTGAAAGTGTATCATCAAACCACAAGGCTGTGGATTGTTCTTTACAATGACAGTCACTGGATTGTTTGGTCCACATTTTATTATTTACAAGCCACCGTGATGTAGCTGAGCGCAGCATTAAACAGCTAAACGCCATACACATATTGTTGTTGTAAAGCTGAGATGCTCCCTCCAGAATACCCCCCTCATAGAATCAGATTCACATCTCATACAGAACATTCTACACTGATCATTGATAGCATAAAGTTGAAAATTTGATGATTAATTTCAGATTGATAGGAAACTAAATAATATTTCATCCCTTTCATGATGTGTTGAATGGCTTTTATGACCCCTGTGAAGATCCGGGTTAGAATTGGTCTTCAGCTACTCATGCTTGTCGTACGAGGTGACTAAAGGAATCAGACAGTAAGGCTTGATGACTTGGATGCATGTGATTGTGATTGTAGATCAATGCTTATGATGTCAATCGGACACAGATTGTCTGGTCTAGACCACAGGGGCGTGCCTCACTTAGAAACAGCGTTAGAAAGACATATAGGTGTAAAGACCAAACCCTATTACTATATATATGGAAAGTCCTTTTATATAGTAATAGGGTTGGGTCTATACACCTCCATGTCTTTGTAACGCTCTTTCTAAGCAGGACACGCCCCTATGCTCTAGACTTGATTATCTGCTGACCGCCATCACAACGCTGGAATATTGCTTAGTGTGACTTTAAACAACTAATAATGGTCGTGATGTCCTCGTGTTGTATTATATTACACGTGAAGTGTTACCATTGTGTCTGTTGTGTCCGTTGTGTTCATTGTGTTCAGTTAACATTACTGTGCATCAAGATCATTGTCATTCATGTTGATTGCTATTGTAGTAAATTGTTTTTGGTTGTTATATTTTTTTGTGTGTAAATAGTGCTGTTATTAAGTTATTTGGAACTTTCTGTTGTTTGTATGTATTTCATTCTTTAGCTAGTTAGCAATGAAGAATACTCATGGCCAGATATTAATCTCCGTTTATGACATGTTTGTAGAAGAAACCCTCATTAGTCATGTTACGATGCATCAGATTAGTCATGTTACAAGACATCGGATTATTCATAAATTCATACACATGTACCAGGATTTCCTGTATGTAACGACATGTGACATTAATCCCAATATTAGGCCCATGGGCTTTAGTTAAGAATACAATTTTATTGTTTGGAGTGATGTCCCTTGGTAGAAGCTCTGGCGAAAGTCAGTATTTACAATGTTCGTAGTGCAATCAGGGGACTCCATGTGTACAGGACTCACTGGGTACTGGACGTGATAATGGTCCGCTTAATGCCCACAAGTAACACACAGTTCCTATCATTTCCCAAATTTCAGGCCTATGGATTTTGAATTTAATTGCCAAAGGGGTCATTTTTCAATATTAAGCCCAGAGATTAGATATAGGAATTCCTGGTATACAACTCTGTCCTTGTACCCAGCATGCAACATAGCTGATTGCCTATAGTCCTGTGGCTAGTAACTTTTACAGGAAGCTGTAATCATTTATGTATTCTGTTGGTCTGGGGTTGTATTTCCTCATCAACTATTTACATGTATAGATCCACTGATTAAACTGTGACACGGAGTCTCAATTCTTATTTATGAAACCAGTAATCTGTGTTTTTTACATTGGCAGTTTTGGAACCTATGTTTGTCATAAGAGGTGACTATTTGGATAGGTTGTCAGACTTTGTTGATTGCATGATCAGGTTGTCATGACAGCAGTCACCGAATCGTCTAGTCCATACTGGATTATTTTCAGACTTCCATTATATAGATGGATTACTGCTGAGTGCAGTGATATACAACAGACATTCTATACTAACTGGTGATCTGGTGATAATACTGTTGAAACTATTGGTCCATCTAGAAGGCTACCATGGCTACGCTATCGAGTTAATTCAGACACTGCTGCATCTGATCATGGTATATGTTCAGTGATACTGAACTCTACGTAGGTCAAGAACATCAGTTTTGGTACAAGTTTCTTGTACACCATCCTGAAGCACTGGATAATGGGAACATTTTGTTTTGATAATAATTGTATCAATCAATTTGATTCTGTAATGAAGCATGCAACTTTATTGATGACAACTGCTTGTCTGTTGCGTAGAGTGACATTTTGGTGTAGATTCGTACACTATTATCAAGCTAAAAGGCCTGTCTAATCATACTATTACAATGAAACAGATCTGATTTAGCCTCTGGAACACATACCCCAGCTCATTGTAAGGGGTTGTGACAGAGAGTGGCGAAGATATCATTTGTCATTTACATGTTTACTTTTAAGGAATATTTGCATGCATGTGATATAACATAAATCATCTGTTTTAGTGGTAGTGTCTGCATAAGATAAACACGTCCTAGTTCTGACAGTTCTCCAAATGATACCCAGAAACACTTCTCGTTTATGATAGTTATATTTATTCGCATGTGTCAATGTATTACTCAAGATGTACACAAATCCAAGTCAGTATTGTGCAATGATACCCACATATGTATTTTTTCATGTATATGTTGAATAAATAAAGTTTCACCACTTATCTTGTCTTTTGTCACAGCACTGGGGACTCACCATATTTAAAAGTGAGGCAGTCAGTTGAGTGTTTGGTGGAAGTCTGTAATTATATACCGTATGTATTTTTGATATGGCCCCAGTGAGATGACCTTTCAAACCAACACGGGTAGCTGTTGAGACAGTCCCTGCCAGAGAAGGTGACCTTTCAAATCTGCACAGCTAAATATGTATAAGCCCTTGTCAGTAGAGGTGACCTTAAAACCTGCATGGCTAGGTTTTGACACAGACCCTGTTAGATATGGTGTCGTGTCATTATCCAATACACTATATTTCAAAATGGCTCCATTTGAAATTTGGGAGATTTACCCGGTGAAGTTTTTTTAAAAAACAAACAAAACTAACCATGTTATCAGGCAAGAGATAATGGTGTAACTATCTACACCAAAACATCACAATCATTGTAATACAGACGTCTATGATAATTGTTGTGTTGTAAATTTATAGCATATAAAAAAGGTTTTTCTTGTCTGTTTTGTATCTACTCTGAAATGTAGCACTTGTTGAATATAAGAAGTTGTAGTTCCATAGAATTATCTACTTTCTTAAACATACATACACTTAAGAAGTTAATGATCACTAATACACTGGAGCTCATGATGCTCACTTCATAGGCTGTGAATAGACCACATAAACATGAAGATTTTAAATGGATGGAACTGGAACAACAGCTTTTTGGAAAGTAAAACTTTATATTGAAATTTACATAAAATACCAAACCAAACCATTCTTTGATTAGTTCTTCAATAAAATAACTCGGGTGACTCATTTAGAAAGAAGTATGAGGGGTTGTTGTCACAACCCTAATGTTAAAGGACCGCCTCCGTGGTGTAGTGGTTAGAGCATCCGCCCAGAGAGCGGAAGGTCGCGGGTTTGATCCCAAACCACGTCATACCAAAAGACGTTAAAATATCGTACTTGTTGGTCCCTGCCTGGCACTCGGCATTAATGGGTACAACAAGGACTGGTCGGCTCGGAGTCAGTATAATGTGTCTGAGTGGGGTATTCATGCTTCACTGCGGCATGGTATCTCAGTGGGCTAGCACTATAAAACCAGCTTCAGTCTGGGCTAGTACAAGCAGCCGCACATACACATACACACGCATGCACGTCGGCATATGAGCGAAATATTCTCAAGCACAACGTTAAACCCAATTTCACCTCACCTCACCTAATGTTAAAGACTGACGACTACCTGAATTTCAAACCTAAGTCTCAGAGATACAATTTCTAGTGGATTAAAGAGAGCAACAGCTTAATTTCAAAGTTCAAGCTGGCTTCATGAAGAAAGTGATACAAAGTCTATTTTTTTGAATTTTAGGGTGGACTTAAAAGTTTCTTTGAAGATTAATTCATATCCACTATGTTGTGTACACCAACAACTTGAGTAGATCAATGGTTTTGTTTCATATTATATTTAATTGCAAGTAGTTTATTTTGAAAGAGGAAATACTGTTTAAAATATGCAATAGATCTACCTGTAGTGATACTGCAGAATCTAAAATTTGGCTCATTTTCTGTCATGTTTAGATTTATTTCTACAGGGAATGAAGCTTTTGTCCTGTACGTTTATTAAATGAATGACGGGTGAAAATGAAGTGTGCAGCCCCCTTTTCTCAAAAAGCTGTATCCACCCCTGCAGAACAATACCGAAACTGCATCCAGCTTGTAGACCAGCATCTCCAAACATCCAGTAAGATTTTCCCCCCTTCCTTTCAGGAGACATGTTTCAGGGGGGATATAGAAAACGTCAATGACTGAATCTTACTGGTTTGGTGCAGTAAAGGTGTATACATCTGGTATCACTGAGGGTCCTAATGGAGTATATTGATTTGTTTTAAACAGTTGAAACAACAATATTGTAAACATTGATGAGTAAACAAATGATCATTAAAGATAAATGTAGAAAGATAGCAAGATAAATAAACTTCCCTAGCATAAATTAAAACACTACTGTATTTTAGAATTGAGCTAAAATCTTATATGAGGTATCAAAAAAATAGATTGGATGAAATCTATCAGTGCTTGTTTCTTGCAATCAAAAAATACTGAAATGAACAATAGCCAAACCTGCTGTAGGGTCATGTTTACTAGCAGATGGAAGATCAGCATTCACATAAAAGTGACTTCGCATTTTAGATGTCAATCTGCGATTTATCACGGACCAATACATGATGTAGACTGCAAGCATGTTTTCACTGAGCTGAAAATTATTAATACTGACTGCAGATTAAAGGCCCAAAATTTTACTAATTGCTGTGACACTTCCCAGCAAGACCCTCACCAGTACCCAACTTGAAGGTTGCCTATATCATGTGTATGGCTTTTCAGAAAGAAAACAAACAATGCTGCATAATAGGTAAGTGTCACAGACACATCATGCTCTGGTGCACATGCATGGTCTAGCCACTTTCACAAGTATGTCTGGAATTGGTGAGACACAATGTGTGGGCCAAGATGCATAAGTGGAATCCTTGTGATCGAGATGATAGCTAGTACATCTGAGCGAGTACTGTCGGAATTACAAAATTCACATTGACTAGATCTCTCCACTGAAGTCAGACCGAAGAACTGCAAACTGATTAAGGGCCCAAGTAGACTTAGTATGTTATTTAACACTGCACTCAACATTATATTCTAGCTATATGGCGTCAGTCTGTAAATAATTGAGCCAGGACCAGACAATCCAGTGATCAGTAGCATGAACATCGATCTTAGCAATTGGGATAAGATGATATGTCAACCAAGACAAGGATGATGATGCTTTACCACCTGATCCTGCTGAAGACCACTTCTAACCTGAATCTTCAGGATTTTATAACTGCATAAATGAAAATATGTTGCCTCTATTATGGGGACGGTCTCAGTGATCTAGTGGATAGAGCATCAGTCCACAAAGCAAAAGGTCTGGTTCAGTCCCAATTCGAGTGACATCACAGTATTTGCTCAAAGATTGCACTTCCTGTTAGACAGATGGTGTTAACTTTTGGGGCTCAAAACATGGACTGGTCTGCCCAAATGCAGTATACAAATTGTGTGAGTTGGGTATCTATGATAAGCGTCTGCATGGAGTCCCTTTGGGAAAGAACAACCAGCATGGGTCCAGGCTAAAACAAGCAGATACACTCACACAAACGTGCATATATATATATCACACTGTAAGTGCAATCACCTTCAAAACAACCATGAACTCCCAATATTGGAAGCCTTGCTTTTTTGTGGGTGTCTGAATACTAATCACATAAGATATTGTGTTCTTAGTTTGTGCGAGTGCATATTGTAAAGTGTACAATGCAAACACTATAGCATTATAATCTTATCCATTGTAAGCTTATATATAAATTAGAATATTTTCTCAGTAACTGCTTATTTTGGACTGGTACATGCCAGTTGCAATCTTCTAAAACAATTTTTGACTGTTTGACGAATGAGAGATTTTGTATGGGCAACATAACGTTATTGTGACAGAGCTCACTGGGTTTTTTTAATTCGTGACATACGATCGGTGTATATGACATAAAAAATACGTAAGTTCAATAATAAACAAACAAACGTCAAGTTAGGTAACTCTGCTGCAACTGAATTACCTCCCTTTGTCCATGTGTTTCGTGGGCGCGGCCATCAATGTTATGAATGCTGTTACACGGGTCCGGCTGATGAAATCTCTCTGTCATTGGTAAATAGTTGTATATATACTGACAGAAAGTAATCATTGAAGACAATTCTCCAAAGATGAAAGTATATACGGACGTTGGGAATTTCCAGACAGTCAAGTTACTGGCTGCAGCAGCAACAGCCGGCGTGGATGTCGAAGTGGTGGTGACAAATAATGGTAAACGATGCTGTTTTCTTCACATACTGCTGTGTTCATAAAATATATCATCATTCCGCATAACGACGTAATTAAGCTATAAACATTCCTAAGGTAAAATTTATTAACCAAAACGGTTCGAACTTTTTTTTACAGTTTATAATATAGGACTGAAGTCTTAAGCCAACGGGAACCAGCCGGAGTTTGATATTTGTTTGGTTCCGATCGAGTAGGTTAACGAGATCAATGAAAACCGGTCGTTTGCTTGAGAGCTGGTCAGAAATTTTGTCAGATTATCAGCTGATTGTTGGATCTCTAAATTTTCTACACATGAACACATTCAAAGCGAGATGTCACACCTAAACTTTGTATTTTCTACGTTTACTTTGAAGTGTTTACAGAATGGTGAACTTTGTATTTGTCTGCAATTCAACAGATCTGTAATTAGTGTAATTAATTTGCACCAAAAACATTAATTATGAATACCGGTATATGCTACCAGTCTCCTTTGTTTAAACATTTTTACTGAATAAAAGCTCACCAAAGTTTCTGGCCTGGTAAATTCAGGTTCTTTTACATGCAATGTCTGGAAAGTAGAGAGAAAAAATATTTCTGATTAAGAATGATGGTCACCACCAATAACTTATGGTCAACTTCTAATCTAACCTGCTGCCAGAATTCCGTTGACAAACAAATGCAATATTTGACCCTTCTGTCCATCATTTCTGTGACATCTTTTCGCCATTGTAATCATATGTTTTCCAGAGAAGGTGGTTCCTTATCTCACCTGTAACAAACTTCCAGTACTGGAGCCTGAGCCTGGGGTGTTCATTTTCTCACCAAATGCAGCAACCAGGTTTGTACAAAAAAAATTCTGTGGTGCATTTCAATTTGAATTTGGCGTTGTGTTAGCTCAGTGGTGAAAGTATTATTCCTTCTCTATAAACAAGTGTTTAACTATGATAACAAGGATTCTTGTTCAGAGGATTGTCAGACGTTTTATCGGCAGAAAATACTTGTACATCCATTAGAATTAAAATGATAAACCAAGTTGTATATGAAGTGCAAACACCACTAATATTTTGCTGCAACAGACACGCATATTATATGTCCCTATTCTGAGATAATGGCGCTAAGATGATTAGAGCTCACATACTTCACCATGTACTATCTTCAATAGCAACGATCACTAGTATGAATGGGACCCAAGGTCCTCCTACAAATAACACCTGTAACTTTGTGTCTCAGACTGCCTTGTAGCATAGGGACCTGACTATTTCTGCCATTCCTTTGTTCAGATATCTGCTCAGCTTGGGCAATAAGATCGTTGATGAGGCTGGAGAGAAAAAATGGGCGGAATGGGAGAGCTCGGAGCTGTTGGTGAGTACAGGGTTTGATGAAAAGGCAGATTGCTAGAGTAGAGGGGAGGAGCGCAAATGAGATATTGGTGTTGAGTATTGATTTTTCATTGGTTTGAAAACAAGCAACTGATGATTGATGAATAAATGATAAAAAATGAAAATCTTCCGTTTAGAATATTCTATTTTTGTATCATTCATGTAGATAACACTATATACAAAGAGAAAACTCTGAAATGTGAACTCAATGTGGATTAAAGTCAGTAGTGTCAGACTTTTGAGGTTTTGTTTGGGAAATTCTATGTTTTGAGACATTTCAGAATGTTACTTACTTTCAACCCGATGCTACATTTGTAAGCAGATTGTAACAGCTGTAAAATCCTGTACCCCAAATACTGCTGGCAAACAAGAATAAGTTGGACTGGCACAGAGAACGCATTTACGAGAAGTAGGTGGTGCACGGCAATGAGCAAACCCATTTGGTTTGTGAAAGGTAGAGCAGATGTAGGCTAGTGCATGTGCAGTGCATGGCGATGAAATTGATTTCGTGCATAACTGCTTACGCCTTGCTGATAAGACTCTCATGTGGTCGGTGTAGCACTACACTTGATCGTGGACAACCTGGGGCCCATTCGCTCAGAATGGGAAGCGCCAGTTGGCAGCACTCATACATGCTAATATGGGTCAATTGTCAGGTCGGTGCTCAAATTATTCTTGTTTGCCAGTAGTCTTGTTGTAACATTCATGAAATTTGTGTCCTCAAAGCAATCGTAGCTACAATCAGTTGTAAGCCTACGATCAACTTTACAATTATTGTAAATAACAATTTATTGTCGTTCCTCAAAGCTATTGTAAGTATCGCGATTGTAATTCTTTCGATCGTAAATTACAATCGTGATCTTCTGCGTGAAAGTGAGAAATAATGCATTTACATTACTTCCGGTTGGTGAGAGTTGCTTCCCCTTTCAAGCAGACGAAAAATAATCCACCTTTAGCAAGATATCACAAAGTAATTAAAACCTTGCTTTCTACGGATAGTACATGTAAACGCTGGGTGTCCGAGGATAACCCAGGTTCTAGCATGTTTACCAGGGCCCCGTTCCTCAAAGCGATCGTAGCGCTACAACAGTCGTAAGTCTATGTTAAAGTATGGGAGTTACGATCAACTTTGCGCTACGTTCGCTTTGAAGAACGGGGCCCAGCTTCAGAATGGAAGCCCTCGTCATTCTGTACCTTGAAAATATTTCAGCGTCATTTTAAACATCAAGAACATGACAACGGTCTTGAAATATCCTCTCAGGGCCAAATTTCTGTCTCCTTTGTTTATGAATTACAACAAACACCGCAATCTTGTTCATACACAACAATCCATCGTAAGTAAGTTACAGACGGTCATAAGCAACTCACGGAAGTGATTGTAACTTACAACTATTGTAACTTACAATTGCTTTGAGGAACGGTGGAGTGATTGTAAGTTAAAGTTACAATTGTATTGTAGTGATTTACAACTATTGTAGTGTTACAATCGCTTTGAGGAACGGTGGAGTGTTTGTAAGTTAAAGTTACAATTGGATTGTAGTGATTTACAACTATTGTAGTGTTACAATCGCTTTGAGGAACGGGCCCCTATTTCAGTCGATCCCATAGTATTGGAGTTACGATCACTTTGTGAAACAGGCATTGGGGACTTAGGTCTTTAGAAGATTGTAAGCCCCAGTGCATGGTGTTAGTGTATACAATATCATAGAGTGTTCTAGAGTTAAACCTGCCCCTTCATCTCTTCAGCCCGTTGTGGTGCCCCTCCTGGTGAGTGCTCTCGGCCAGGGCAAGCAGGACAAGGCCCTGGAGAAGACTCTCCAGCCGCTACTCAAGCATCTGGAGGCCAAACTCAAAGGGAAGAAGTTCTTGGTTGGGGTGAGTTTGTTTCTGATTTTATTAAGAATGTTTCTCCTTTATAACACAAAGTAATTCTGACTTGACTTTTGATATATGGCATTGAAGTTTGGCCCAGAGGAGATATTTTTAAACTTATCCTGTCTCACGGTATGCACTTCTCTCTCTTGATTCAACACTGAGTGGAACGATGTAAACTTTTTTCCCTTGGCATCTCTTGTCCATCCGCCCAAGCACTCCATGCTACCCTCATTATAAGACAGCTTCCTAGTTGTCATGCAAAGCATGCGGCATGCACCACTAGCTACCCACATGACTATCTCCGAATCATCATTCTCTTTCTTGTCGCACATGAGTGTGAACATGTTTTACTTGGCTCAACATTTTCAACTTAGTCTACAACATGGGGAAGTTGACCAGCCAAAAAAGAGGAAGAAATGCTCCCGGTGTAATGAAGTGTTCTACACGAGTGATCCACATGCGTATTGTGTTGACTGTGTGGAACAGCATTAATGTTGGTTCATTCGACACACATGATCACTTGGTTCACCTAACATCTTCAGCTATCCGGCGTAAAATCATACTCACTCACTCACTCATCTACAACTATCTTGAGCGAGATATCAAACGCTACCAGCTTTCAACACGATGTTACTATTCAGGGTATTTGTAATACACTGAATTCCTCACCACGACGTGGCATGCTTTTAGCATGACAATCTGACTTGGTTCTCCAGATTACCCTACAGTATGTGAGGCACTAGAAGTTTTCAGTCACATGACTTATCTTACCTGGTACCCCTTTTCAACTGGTTGAACGAAGGTGGTAGCTATGTCAATAGCGCACACATCTACATTACGCCGGCACTTGACCTTCTGACGATCCCGGATCTCCAAGACTTCTACATGACTAGAGCTCATATCATTCCAGATTTATTCTACCATCCGATCTTCACCTTGATGAATGATTTAGTTTAGGAATCTACCCTCCGGCGTAGATATCAGCTCTTCGACCACTCGTTTGTGCATTACCAGACAAGCTTGATGCTTCACTGAGTCCTGTTACTACAGACAACTCATAACAGCGTCATGGTGTATCTCAGGATGCAATCATGGCCTGGTTCGTCATCTTCCTCACCCTTCCTTTTATATCACCAGCAAGCTTCTGGACAGATGGAGCAAGTTTCTGCGCATGGTACCAGCAGTGCTGTCTTGTCAAGTAGCGAGCATCCCTTTACCGGTTTTTATGGGCTGTGACCGAAGAACGTGTTGTCTGGATTTTTGTCACTGTTGCATTGTTGGTAACAATTGCAAATGGCGGACTACTGTTTGTTTACCAGAGAATTGTGATGTTGAGAGTGATTATGACGTGCACTGACAGAATTGTCTTGATCCTACACAGTGGATAATAACCCCAGCCTTTAATCGCCAGCGATGATGAACAGTGCCATTCCCGGTAAGAGTGATTATGTCGGGATTTGTCAGCCGAGGGTGTTAGACAGAAATGTCCCAGAACGCTTCAACTTGGGTTACTTGGGTTTTCTACTTTAGCCAAACCCTCAGTTCAGAGGTCACTGCAGTCCCCAGGCACTTGTTTACTGCCTTCGTCTTCCCAACGAACATTCCTGGTGTCGCCAGTCTTCTTTTACCTTCGTCATTCCAACAACTTTGCGAATGTCTCGGTAGATTCACGATAACCATGCATCTAGTCTACTACATTTATCACTCCATCCAGCGGACCAACACTTCATTTGGTGAACTAACATTCCACAGATTGCCGATCATACGACCTTCATCACCCATTTACAATGTACACGTTACTGTAGATTGACTGACAATCTCCATGCGCCGAATCTACTACATTCAGCACTCTATCAGGAGATATCCCTTCATCAGTGGCAAGAGTTGCTGGGTCTCCTCACCTAAGCTCAAGCATCTTCGAAGCTACATTGATGATTGCATCCAGGCACAACAGGATCTGATAGTACTTCGTCGCCGCTAACTGTACATTGCTGTATCGAAGCTCACATCAATCCAGAGACTCCACTTCATCGATACATTGTTCGACACCTGTCAGAGGATGATGTTCAGCCTTCAAGACAGGTGCATCATGACTCCGCAATGCATTCCTCCAGCGCTTTCTGACGTCAGCTCAAGCCCCAACTACCAGAGGGTAGCTTCAGCTTCAGCCGTGTTAGACGAGCAGAATGTTGTCCTTCGTGTCGACTTTGTTCCTCGACGCAACCCTCACGGGTTGGGGGGCTCACTTTCTTCAACATCAGATGGCCGGGCTCTGGTCGTCCGCTGAACGGGACTTACACATCAACATACTCAAGTTCTTGGCGGTTCTTCTCGCCATTCGACATTCAGCGATGGAACTTCGGGGGTCCTCCCTGCTGATTCAGACGGACAACTCCACGGTCGTCTGGTACATCAACTATCTCGGGTCGACAGGTTTGGCGAACCTTCTTCAGCTGGCGCTTCGGTTCTTCCATCTGATCGACTCCCTCGCCATCGATGCTTGACCCAGACACATTCCCAGAGTCAGGAATGTCATCACAGATGCGCTGTCCTGCTCCGATCGTCCATCTCCCACGGTGATTGAACGGCAGTTGAACCCACAGGCCTTTCGGGAACTGGTCTTTCCATTATCAAGGCCCCATGTCGACCTATTCGCCACACAGTTAAACCATCAGCTCCCGAAGTTTGTCTTGCCGATACCAGACCAACTAGAGTGGGATCTTGACGCTCTGGCGATTTCGTGGGAGGGGCTCAACGCTTACGCCTTCCCCCTCCGGCTCTTCTACCCATAGTCATCCAGAAACTCCGGGCGACCAGACAGATTCTACTGCTTTTGGTCGCGCCTTACTGGCCAGTCAGGAGTTGGTTTGTCGATTGCGCACAGTTCGCAGACCTAAACCCAGTTCCTCTTCCTGATCGGGACAACCTACTGTTACACCCTCACTCGGATTGGTGCCACATATCCCTTCGCACGTCTCTGCACGTTTGGCGCATCTGCAGAAGTCCTTCATCGCGAAGGAGTATTCTCGGAGAGTGGCTATGGCCATCACTTCTGCTCATCTGACTTCCACCCGCTCACTTTATGATGAGAAGTGGAAGTGTTTTGAGTGATATTGCACGTCCAGAGGCATGACATCTCCCATTTCTGCGTCACCTCAAATCGTTGCTGAATTTCTTCAGCATTTGCGGGCACCTAAGAAGCTCAAGGGTTCCACTTTGGCCACTTACCTTGCTGCGATCAACTCAGTCCTGGCTACCACCACAGGCTCTAAGGTCTCAACGGTTCCTGAGCTTCAGTATTTGCTCCGGTCCTTCAAATTGGCTTATCAGTCTAAGAAGTTAGACCTCCTGCATGGGATTTATCTGTGGTGCTGCATCATTTGGCCTTGGCAAACTATGAACCCTTGGCTCAGAAGGACTTTGGGAAGATCTCCTTCAAGACCTTCTTCCTTGTGGCCTTGGCTACACCTGCTCGGATGTCTGAACTCCACGCTTTGGACGTTAACAGAGGCCAGTTCGAACGGAAGAAGCATGGCAAAGTCTTCCTCGGTCTCTGTTGGGAATTCGTAGCGAAGAATCATTTGCCGGGACAACCCGATCATACTTTTACCATCCCACCGTTGTCCACGATCCTTGGGTCGCATGACAATGAAGACCTGCAGCTTTGCCCTGTTAGGGATTTGAAGATTTTTCTTGTTGCTTCTAAAGATCGCCGCCGTCTCCGCAAACGCCTCTTCATTCTGTTGTCCTCAACATCCAGGGCGGAAGAGTCTCGCATCACATTATCCTTCTGGATGAGAGCCACCATCCTACGGGCTTACACCTTCGCTGGGTTACCGCCCCTGACAGCTTCCAATCCACATGAGACACGGGAGTTAGCATCTGCGATGGCTTTGCATAGGAACTGCTCTCTCCAGGCCATTATGGAAGGATGTTTCTAGTGATCTGACTCGGTCTTCTCCTCCTACTACCTTCGGGATCTCTCAGTCAAGGACATCCATGGCCTGTACCAGTTTGGACCCCTTGTTCTCGCATAACAGCTGTCTACGACCCAACAACGCTGTTGCTGCTTCCCTGTACTTTCCTGAATATAAGTCTGAACTTGCTGTCTGCCTTATGTTTTGATTGCCTATGGGTTAGAACTACTTCACTTAGTTTTATACAAGATTGATATTCCAGTGGCTCCAAGAATGAGAATGATGATTCGGAGATAGTCACGTGGGTAGCTAGTGGTGCATGCTGTCTTATTATGAGGGTAGCATGGCGTGCTTGGGCAGATGGACAAGAGAGGCCAAGGGAAAAAAGTTTACATCGTTCCACTCAGTGTCGTATCAAGAGAGAGAAGTGCATAATGTGAGATAGGAAAAGTATATAAATATACAATTTATATTTAAAATTTCCAATTTGTCAGTGTTAACTGCTTTTGAGGTATTACATGAGAAAAAGGAGAATCTGAATGCCTTGCAATGAAACAGTATTGGCTGTATCGGAATTGAGACTGTATTCGAAACTTGATGTTATACACGACTAAAGACCTAAGACCCATTCCACAAAGAGTTCCTAGTACTACGGCTGTCGTAATCCCTTGTTGAACATAGCATTGGACTATTCGCATGTTTGTGTTTCAGTCTGGAGTGTCTTCAGCTGACATTATTGTATTTGGTACACTGTTTCCTGTCCTGCTGGGTAATCTTGCAAAAGGTAGATATGTCATGATCTATGCATTGATGCTTTGTCTAGTTCAGGAGATCTACAATAGGAAGTCAGTGTTACTGCAACAGACTCATGAGAAAATGTTTATGTATTACTATTCTGTTTGCCTTGCCTATCCTCAAGCCTGTGTGTTGCTGTAATTCCTACAGAAGTAGGGGGGGCATCAGTTCAGATTCACTATGTGGGGGTGTGGGTGTGGGGTTGTTTAGCCTAGTGGATAAAGCATTCTCTTGTCACACCGAAGACCTGAGTTTGCTTCCCCTGCATGGGTACAATGTGTGAAGCCCATTTCTGGTGTGATATTGCTGGAATATTGCTAACAGCACTCTCCCTCACTCCTCTCCTCCCTCCTCCCTCCCTCCCTCCCCTCCTCCTCCTCTCACTCTCTCACTCACTCACTCACTCACCTCACTCACTCCTCCCTCCCTCCCTCCTCCCTCCTCCTCCCTCCCTCCTCCTCCCTCCCTCACTCACTCCCTCCTCACTCCTCACTCACTCACTCACTCACTCACTCACCACTCACTCACTCACTCACTCACTCACTCACTCACTCACTCACTCACTCACTCACTCACTCACTCTCACTCACTCACTCACTCACTCACTCACTCACTCACTCACTCACTCACTCACTCACTCACTCACTCACTCACTCACTCACTCACTCACTCACTCACTCACTCACTCACTCACTCACTCACTCACTCACCAGGTACATGACCCCCATATAGCCTAACCCTACCCAGCCATGCAGTCTCAAGGGTTGGGGCAAATTGTCTGAATGGTAATTGTTTTGTCATAGCCCCTACAAATACCTTGCACATACACATATAAAACAATCTGATACGCTGAAGTTCACTTAAGCTTTATCTTTACTCAACATAAAAAAGTCAGAAGGAATGTGAACATTAGTGACTTGCAGTGTAGGGCAGTGGGGTAACCTAGTGGTTAAAGTTTTCGCTCATGACAATGAAGACCAGGGTTCGAGTCCCCACATAGGTACAATGTGTGAAGCCCATTTTTGGTGTCTCCTGCCATGATATTGCTGGAATATTGCTAAAGCGTGATAAAACCCAACTCACTCTCTCCTGGGGGTACCCTAGTCCTACTGAAGACCCACCTGCCACGAGAACCCAAGTTACCCATCCCAAACCTGCTGAACAGTTGACAGGAACAATATCTCTTTGCCTTTGTATTATCTGTAGCTAATACTGCAAGTGTTCTGATTGTACAGACAGCATGAAGGAGTGTCCGTCCATCCAGGCGTGGGGGCAGACCGTGGCTGGTCTCACACAGGTTGAGGGGGCGTTCAAGCATGTCACAGAAGGGGGGAATGTACAGTCTCTGAAGGTAAGATTATGTGACTTTCACATATTTCTAATTCATAAAATAGCCCAGAGAATTCAGACACTAAATAAGATGTTATCAGTCTCAATGAAAATGGAATGTTAAATTACAACTGTTTATTATATAGTTCAAGGAGAAATTACATTAATTAAATTCGAAGATGAATTATAAGTATTTTCGTCAGTAAATTTCCAAAGGGCAAAGCTAAATTTTCTATTGAACCCCCTGTGGCACTCCTGGAAACAATCAGTTTCTAACCCTAAATTCCATAAGCTTATGCTGCTGGTATAGCTACTAGTGCCGTGTTTCCTGCTGCAGGCGTCGCTACTTGCCCAGCCAGTGCCCCCTGCGACCAACATCAACACAGCCAAGTTGTATAAAGGGCCACAGGGTAAACCAGTGGAAAGGGTTCCACAACAGGCTGCCAAACCTACTGCCCCTGTAGATGAGTTTCAGGTGAACACAAGCTTCTCTTTGACATGGATACCCTATACCCTAACTATTGTGTTTTATCTCACCTGACCATATGTTTCACCATTACAAGGATGGTATTACTGATATCATACCAATATCAGGAATATTTTGTGTTATATCCCAGCATTACAGTCAATTCTTTGTGTTATCTCCCAGCATTACAAGGAATACCTTGTGTTATATCCTAGCATTACAAGGAATACCTTGTGTTATCTCCCAGCAGTACAAGGAATACCTTGTATTATATCGCACACTTCTAAGGACAACATTATGTCTATCCAACAGTTCCTGCAACCAGAAAAAGCCATCACAGCAGAGGAACTTGCAGCAGGAGAAAAGTCATTTTTGACAGGCGCCCAAACAAGTCCTAAACCCAGACTCCGCAAACACCCCATGTGAGACTTCCCGTATCTTACATACTCATTTATCGAGAGTATTATACGTTCATCCTTCATTTGTGAATACCAGGAACTATGTGCCACCTTTGCTTCTCTTCGGGACCACTTTTCATTCATGCAACTAACATGGCACAGAATGTTACACTCAGGAAATTCAGATGAAGAATGAATGGTCGGATTGAGTCTGCTGACTGAGTGTTATGCGTGTAATTCAATATAGGAGCCATGTATGAGGCTTTGAAATGTCTGTAGTAAAGGATTTTAGATTAAACCAGGAGACAGCTGTAAATGAACAATAATCTGGGTTTTAAGATTTTTGACACAACGACAGGTTGTTTCAGTATTGAAACACATCTGGAACAAAACAGGATTCAAACCCACAAAATAAAGGTTTGGCTGTGCCAAAGGGAGGCAGATCTGAACAGGAAATTGTTGCAGCTTGAATAACTTTGTGCCTGTGTCCCCAAGGAGCAGTGATATATGAGTATAATGATCTATGTCAACATCTGCTTCTTTCCTGCCCTCAACTGTTTGGTTATTATAATTCAGTAACAACTGCCTAGTTATTCTAGAAATATACCTTCAGATTACCCTGTGAAGGGGAGAGGAATATCTTCATCACCAGTGCCTTGCCCTACGTTAATAACGTCCCTCACCTTGGCAATATCATCGGCTGTGTGCTCAGTGGCGACGTCTTCTCTAGGTGAGCGCACTATGTTGTACAACTACACTCATGTGACTACTGATTATAGAATTTCAAATAAGATCATATGAAAATCTATTGGTATATTGTGTAAAACTATGACACAGTCAAGAGAACCTAGGGAATTTCCAGAGGCATTCATAGAGGTAAACTAATGAATTTGGGGACCAGAATTGTCATTTTACAAAAAGCTTATTTCAATTTATGTTTATTTGATTTGTATTGATATTTCCATATGCATTATATTTAAATTCCTCATGGACTTCTAGATGCAAAGACAGACAAAGAGAAGACAGTGTATGCATTTGTCAGGGAAGAAGGACCATATTTTGTTGTTATTTACTTGGTTTCTGTTCCACTGCACTCTCAGACACATTTTAGTTAAACAAATTAGAGATTGATGTTCATACATATTGAATATTCCTATGTAATACCACTTTTACGAAATAAGTGAATATTTACGGTATCTGGCTAGAAGAAACTCCGGGTAGTCAGTGTATATGATGTGTATCCATTGTCATATAGGTTTTGTCGACTGCGGAACCGCAATGTCCTGTATGTGTGCGGTACTGATGAGTACGGCACAGCCACAGAAACGAAGGCCATGGAAGAAGGCCTCACCCCACAACAGATCTGTGATAAATACAACAAACTACACTCAGAGATCTACCAGTGGCTCAACATTGACTTTGACTACTTTGGGAGGACAACAACAAAAGAACAAACTGAGTAGGTGTAGGAATTATCTCCTTTGTGTGATTGACCCGAAGTGAGTTTGTGGGTGAGTTGGTTAGTGTATGGGTGAGCTGGTGAGTGTGGGGGTGAGTTGGTGAGTGTGGGGGTGAGTTTTTGAGTGTGGGGGTGAGTTGGTGAGTGTGGAGGTGAGTGAGTGTGGGTGAGTGAGTGAGTGTGTTGGTTAGTTGGTGAGTGTGAGGGTGAGTTTCTGAGGGTGGGGGTGAGTTGGTGAGTGTGTTGGTTAGTTGGTGAGTGTGGGGGTGAGTTTTTGAGTGTGTGGGTGAGTTGGTGAGTGTGTTGGTTAGTTGGTGAGTGTATGGGAGAGCTTGTGAATGTGGGGGTGAGTTGGTTAATGTGTGTATTGTGAGTGTGGGGGTGAGTTGGGTGGTGAGTGTGGGGGTGAGTTGGTGGAGTGTGTGGGTGAGTTGGTGAGTGTGTTGGTTAGTTGGTGAGTGTATGGGAGAGCTTGTGAATGTGGGGGTGAGTTGGTTAATGTGTGTATGAGTTTGTGAGTGTGGGGGTGAGTTGGTGAGTGTGTGGGTGGGTGAGTGAGTGTGGGGGTGAGTTGGTTAATGTGTGTATTAGTTTGTGAGTGTGTTGGTTAGTTGGTGAGTGTGTGGGAGAGGTGATGAGGGTGAGTTTTTGAGTGTGGAGGTGAGTTTTTGAGTGTGTGAGTTGTTGAGTGTGTGGGTGAGTTGGTGTGTGAGTGAGTTGGTGTGTGAGTTGAACGGAGAGTGGGTTGGAATTTGTATCAGTGACAGTGAGTGAGTTGGTGAATGATTTGATGAGAGAGTAGGTGGAAATTTGTGTGAGTGACATTATTGGATTTTGACATTGGGTGGGTGTTCATGAGAGTTAGTAGGTGAGTGAGATAGTGTGTAATGGATTCTGGTATTAATGATGTATGTGTGTACTGTGATTGCCAATCTTTACAACTCACACTGTGCTGACTGATTTAACACTGTTGTATTCTAGAATTGCTCAGGATATATTCTGGAAGTTGTACAATCAAGGCTTCATCCTCAAGGACAGTGTGGACCAGCTTCAGTGTCAGAAGTGTGTCAGGTGAGACATAGCTAATCCCATGTGCTTGTTATTTACAGAAACATTTGAGAACATTTCAGATAATGTCCAGCTAGTAGGAATACCATGGTACCGACTGAAGAGATAGAAAAGTACTCATGCCCTGTGTAAACCTGAGACATTGTCAGACATTGTGTCTGTATGTTTGGTACATAATTAAATGATAGGTGGATCTGTGTCGTGGGGGAGGTGAGGTAACCTAATGGTTAAGCGTGCTGGGTTTGGGTGACCTGGGTTCGATTCCCCATATGGGTACAGTGTGTGAAGCCCATTTCTGGGGTCACCCGCCGTGATATTGCTGGAATATTGCTAAAAGCGGCATAAAACCATACTCACTCACACTCTCACTGTGTCATAGTATATGTGTTAACAGACTGATACTTAGAGTTTTCGGTCAAAATTCCCTTGACTGCAAGTTTGCACCAACATACATACATACATACATACATACATACATACATACATACATACATACATACATACATACATACATACATACATACATACATACATACATACATACATACATACATACATACATACAGACATACAGACATACAGACCGCCTCCATGATGTAGTGGTTAGAGCGTCCGCCCGGAGTGCGGAAGGTCGCGGGTTCAATCCCCGTCCGTGTCATACCAAAAGACGTTAAAATATGGTACTTGTTGGTCCCTGCCTGACGCTCGACATTAATGGGTACAACAAGGACTGGTCGGCTCGGAGTCAGTATAATGTGTCTGAGTGGGGTATTCATGCTTCACTGCGGCGTGGTATCTCAGTGGGCTAGCACTATAAAACCAGCTTCAGTCTGGGCTAGTACATGCAGCCTCATTACACATACACATGCATGCACGTCGTCATATGAGCGAAATATTCTCAAGCACGACGTTAAACCCAATTCCACCACCACCACATACATACATAACATACATACATACATCGGATGGTCAGGCTCGCTGACTTGGTTGACACGTGTCATCGGTTCCCAATCAATGCTCATACTTTTGATCACTGGATTGTCTGGTCCAGACTCGATTATTTACAGACCACCGCCATATAGCTGGAATATTGGTGAGTGCAGCGTAAAACTAAACTCACTCACTCACATACATACTAACATTTGTATAGCCCCGATATCCAGCTCAGCTGCTCAAAGACGCTTAGTTTTTCCCCTTGATCACTGGATTCTATCTCAATGGCACATCGTATTATCAATCTCAACTCCCTGGGGAGCATACGACTCTTGTAGCCATTAGGCGCACCAAGTTAGTGTGGCTTTCTCATCCTTATGAAGTACCCATTCACAGCTGGGACACATAGTCATAGTACTTTGTCCAAGTTTACTGCACTTTGCTGTACCCACAACTAGGTGTTTGCACGTATTCATGTGGCCACCATCTGGTCATATACCAACAGATTCGTGGGTTCTTTTAAGTGCATAGGGTTGTGTACTGTACACTACTGTATCCCTTAAGAGTGTTGAAGGTGATCTGGAAATGTTCAACTCAAATTTTATCCAGAATAAGATTAGTAAATGAAAACACACTTTTGTTGAAATATCAAGTTGCGCATAGGCACCAACTGAATAGAAAGAAGTGCCCAGACACATGTGTTGGCTGAGACGTGTTGTTTTGATGTAGGTTCCTAGCAGATCGGTTTGTGGAGGGGACATGTCCACTGTGTGGGTTTGATGATGCGAGAGGGGACCAGTGTGATGGTTGTGGAAAACTCATCAATGCCGTGGAGTTGAAGAAACCCAAGTGTAAGATCTGTGGTAGTACCCCTGTCATCAAGACATCCCAACATCTCTTCCTGGATCTGCCCAAGGTGGGTCACACATTCGTCATTCATAGGGAGTGTTACTTGTCTTAATAGCTGGCTGAAAGATCATTATGTGACCAGTTGATATTAGTAACTGTATAAGCATGAAATAGATCAGGAATCTATTCCTGGATTGCCGTCTTCTGTAGGAAAACATTCACTCGCTCTTTCAAAATTGTACAGTATATAGGATGTTATCACTTATCTAGTATCAAATATTGATAATATTTTTACTAGTAACTGCTACAAAAACATCTACATTAATTAAATTTACCACGGCTAAGGTGAATGATAAAAAGAACATTCAGTGGATCAGCATGATTCATATCTATCAGATGTTTAGTATTGATTAACTGTATGTCTGCATAGAGAATCTTTAGTGATACACATCCAGAATAATATAGTCTGAAACATATCAGAACTGTAACTTCAATATAATGATATTGATTGCTCTCCTCCGGTGGGGTAGCCTGGTGATTAGTGTTCACTTGTCATGTCAAAGACCCAGATTCAATTTACCACATGGGTACAATGTGTGAAGCCCATTTCTGGTGTCCTCCGCCGTGATATTGCTGGAATATTGCTAAAAGCAGCATGAAACTTAACTCACTCACACAGCTACTTACACTGTTTATTTCATCCAAGTGGAATTTTTGAATTCTTTGATCATGATGTGAACATAAATGTTTCTCATCAGGTTGAACCTCAGCTGCGTAAGCATCTAGACACAGTGTTTGAGACTGGAACATGGACACACAACGCACAAGTAATCACGTCATCGTGGATCAGGGATGGCTTGAAGCCTCGGTGCATCAGTCGGGATCTCAAGTGGGGAACTCCTGTTCCTCTGGAAGGGTACACTGACAAGGTGAGCAGCCATGGCTTCAGTAAGATCAGAGGTGCTGGTACACCAAGCATACTGGAATGTTACAGATGAATCGTTTCCAGTGCACGCCCTCTAGTGTCTCCGCATATTCTGATTTCTTCTCAGGCTGAAGGTCAAAGATGGTAGATGTGGGTATGTCATGTGATACCAACACATGACATCACAGAGGGGATTGCCATTTAGAGTCCAACTGCTTCATTAGTTCCCAATTGATGATATCTCACAAGCGCATAATCAGAGTGCTTAGTTCAGAAGACATTAGTGAAAGCATTTTGAATGTCTCATCCTCACTGAATGTTGTATTGTAAAGTAGAAGAGGAGATTTCAAGGAGGGTTTGGTACTTTCAGTACAGCATGTACGTCTGGATAATGAAAGGATGACTGGCTGACTGGTCAGAATATTCAAAACCCACAACATTAAGAATAATGGTGTAGTGTCAGGGTTGTTTTCGAGGAGACTGACTTTATTGAATTGACCAGGTGAGACTGAAGGTGTTTACTTGACGATGTTGCAGGTGTTCTACGTGTGGTTTGACGCTCCCATTGGTTACATCTCCATCACAGCCAACTACACCAAGGAGTGGAAGAAGTGGTGGAAGAACCCAGAGAAGGTAACACTATTACTCCATATAAAATATTAAATGTAGTAGAAATTTGGAAATTTGCCACTTTCACAAAATGTGCCGTGTAGTGATGATTTCATTGTTGCCCATCATTTCACCATGAATTCTGTTTATAAAACAAGCACATGAATGTATACAAAATGAACACCACTAAGAATGTCCTCCAACTCACTTGGCTATATTCTTGCCACATGTACAATTCATGACCTGTGTGTACTGTGTGTTTAGGTTCAGGGCCCCATTCCTCAAAGAGATCGTAGCGCTAGGATGATCGTAACTCCGATACTTTATCATAGACTTACGACTGTCGTAGCGCTACGATGATCATAACTCCCATACTTTATCATAGACTTACGACTGTCGTAGTGCTACGATGATCGTAACTCCCATACTTTACGATAGACTTACGACTGTCGTAGTGCTACGATGATCGTAACTCCCATACTTTATCATAGACTTACGACTGTCGTAGCGCTACGATGATCATAACTCCCATACTTTATCATAGACTTACGACTGTCGTAGTGCTACGATGATCGTAACTCCCATACTTTACGATAGACTTACGACTGTCGTAGTGCTACGATGATCGTAACTCCCATACTTTATCATAGACTTACGACAGTCGTAGCGCTACGATGATCGTAACTCCCATACTTTATCCTAGACTTACGACAGTTATAGCGCTACGATGATCGTAGCTCCCATACTTTATCATAGACTTACGACTGTCGTAGTGCTACAATCATCGTAACTCCCATACTTTATCATAGACTTACGACTGTCGTAGCGCTACGATGATCGTAACTCCCATACTTTATCATAGACTTACGACTGTCGTGAAAGTGCTACAAATGATCGTGAACTCCCATACTTTATCATAGACTTACGTCTGTCGTAGTGCTACAATGATCGTAACTCCCATACTTTATCATAGACTTACGACTGTCGTAGCGCTACGATGATCGTAACTCCCATACTTTATCATAGACTTACGACTGTCGTAGTGCTACGATGATCGTAACTCCCATACTTTATCATAGACTTATGACAGTCATAGCGCTACGATGATCATAACTCCCATACTTTATCATAGACTTATGACAGTCGTAGCGCTACGACCGCTTTGTGGAACGGGGCCCAGATGTACAACTCTCTTGGCTACAGTCCTGCCACGTGTACAATTCATGACCTGGGTGTACTGTGTGTTTAGGTTCAGATGTACAACTTCCTTGGCAAAGACAACGTTCCCTTCCACAGCGTCATCTTCCCCAGCACGCTGATCGGAGCCAACGACAACTACACATTAGTCAACAGCATGGTGGCAACAGGTGGGCATTGTCTGTAGACCAACACTCAAATGTAATAAGAATGATGACAATTTTTATGGATATACAACTTCTTTTATTCTGTGGAGGCGACGTTTTGACATAGATTCTAATGTGGTTTTGTCACAATAATTGTGTTTAGATGGTATTTGTCTTCTAGATTCAAAGTATTTCTAATAAGCAGTCCCCCATGGAGATCACCAGGACACAATACTTTTCACATGAGCTGACTAGTGCTTGTTTGTTGTACAATACTGCTCTCAACAATATTCAAACTCCATGTCAATAATCTGTAGATAACCAGTAACAATTCAGAGATTGAAGTCACAGGGATTGGAGATTTGCAAACTATACATCCTTTAGTTTGTTTTCATGATTTCATCTAATGTGAACCAGAGTACCTCAACTATGAGGATGGCAAGTTCTCCAAGAGCCGCGGTGTTGGTGTGTTCGGGGACCAGGCTCGAGACACTGGCATCCCACCAGATGTGTACCGATTCTACCTCCTCTACGTCAGACCAGAGTCACAGGATTCTGCTTTCAGTTGGGATGACTTCCTCTTGAAAAATAACAGTGAACTCCTCAACAACATTGGCAACTTCATCAACAGGTATGAACTGCTCACTTGTTGTTTTGAGGTGAAGTCAACAAGGTGGTAATGACTGAACTGGAATGAGACTGCCATCACATCCCATAGTGCAGTGCATAATAACCAACGGACCATTACCTGTCCTTTTGAGAGAAACCTGCAGAACCTGAAGAGTTTATCTGCAGTTTTAATGTAGATGGTAGATGTGATATACAACAAGCCTACCTCAACTGTCAATTAATGTTGAGGGGTGGTGGGGTAGCCCAGTGGTTAAAGCGTTGGCTCGTCACGCCGAAGACCCCGGGTTCGAATCCCCACATGGGTACAATTTGTGAAGCCCATGTCTGGTGTCCCCCGCGATGTTGCTGGAATATTGCTAAAAGCGGCGTGAAACCAAATTCAGTCAGTCAGTTGATTCCCCACATGGGTACAATGTGTGAAGCCCATTTCTGGTGTCATCTGCCATGCTATTGCTGGAATATTGCTAAAAGTGGCGTAAAACCACACTCACTCAATTGGTGTTGCGATTCTTGATTTGTGTTATTTATTGAGATACTTTTTAAAACAGCTCCATATAAATGGTCATGCTTTAACGCTTGCCGAAAATTTACACCTGCAGCCACACTTTCGAAAACCATGCATCTGCGATTGTACTGTCAGTAACATCTACACCTAGAATGTGCATTTAGTTGTACAGGGTTGTCTGGTTTGTTTGGTCGGCTGATATCAACTGTTTGTAGAGTAACTTGTGTACTAACAACAACTTGTCCTGAATGGCAGCAGATTACTAATAATGATGTGATGTTTTCAGGGCTCTGATGTTTGTGGCTAATTTCTTCGAGGGGACAATTCAGGACATGAATCTCTCTGTAGAAGACAAGCAGTTGATCGCTCTCATCAACAGGGAGCTGGCCACATACGTTGACAACATGGAGAGTTCCAGGTGGGTGACAGGACAGGTGGAACTGCTAGCGGGGAACCAGGGTAACAGGGTTGGTGGAACTACTAGCGGGGGACCAGGGTAACAGGGTTGGTGGAACTGCTAGCGGGGGACCAGGGTAACAGGGTTGGTGGAACTGCTAGTGGGGGACCAGGGTAACAGGGTTGGTGGAACTGCTAGTGGGGAACCAGGGTAACAGGGTTGGTGGAACTGCTAGTGGGGACCAGGGTAACAGGGTTGGTGGAACTGCTAGTGGGGGACCAGGGTAACAGGGTTGGTGGAACTGCTAGCGGGGAACCAGGGTAACAGGGCAGGTGGAACTGCTAGCGGGGGACCAGGGTAACAGGGTTGGTGGAACTGCTAGTGGGGAACCAGGGTAACAGGGTTGGTGGAACTGCTAGTGGGGGACCAGGGTAACAGGGTTGGTGGAACTGCTAGTGGGGAACCAGGGTAACAGGGTTGGTGGAACTGCTAGTGGGGAACCAGGGTAACAGGGTTGGTGGAACTGCTAGTGGGGACCAGGGAAACAGGGTTGGTGGAACTGCTAGTGTGGGGAACCAGGGTAACAGGGTTGGTGGAACTGCTAGTGGGGACCAGGGTAACAGGACAGGTGGAACTGCTAGTGGGGAACCAGGGTAACAGGGTTGGTGGAACTGCTAGTGGGGACCAGGGTAACAGGGTTGGTGGAACTGCTAGTGGGGACCAGGGTAACTGGGTTGGTGGAACTGCTAGCGGGGACCAGGGTAACAGGGTTGGTGGAACTGCTAGTGGGGACCAGGGTAACAGGGCAAGTGGTGCCTGCAGGGGACCAAGGGTAACATAACAGGTGGAACTACTAGCCGGATGACCAGGGTATCAGGGTTGGTGGAACAGCTAGCAGGGGACCAGGGTAACAGGGTTGTTGGAACTGCTAGCAGGGGGACCAGGGTAACAGGGCAGGTCGACCTGCTGAAGTGTATGACCAGGGTAACAGGGCAGGTCACGACCTGCTAGCTGAGGGGACCAGGGTAACAGAACAGGTGGAACTGATGACCAGGGTAACAGGGTTGGTGGAACTGCTAGTTGGGGACCAGGGTAACAGGGTTGGTGGAACTGCTAGCGGGGGATCAGGGTAACAGGGCAGATCGACCTGCTAGCGGGGCCCAGGGTAACAGGGTTGGAAAACAAAAGGTGGTGAAGGGGTGTTGGGATTAAGTTGGGTAACTCCGATGGAGGTAATACAGGTACATGTACCGGTAGCACAACGTATAATACAATATGGTGCAGCATGATATGGGGTAACACAGCATGGTGTATCACAATGTGGGGTAACACAGGGTGTTTGAGCAATATGTGGGGTAACAGAAGGTCATGCCACATTTTAGTTTGTGGAGGTTGCTCTCTCGTTTTCTTTGCCATTGACTACCAAACAGGAAATTTGATTAAATTTTCTGCTGCAGGTTACGAGACTCTATTCGCAATATTCTGAGTATCTCACGCCTAGGGAACCAGTACATGCAAGCCAATAAACCATGGGTGCTGGCCAAGGGGACTCCACAGGAAAGGTTCGTAACCAGAAGATACACTGTGACACTCCAAGTCATTCTATGGAGGCTAAACTGACCCAGTCACAACTGACCCAATGTTATCACAAACAGTTTATGGAGACTAACATGTCTCATGGCTTCCAAATGTTCTCATAGGTAGGCCTAAGAGTTGAGACGACCCTAACTCCCACACTTTAACGTAGACTTATGACAATCATAACACTAAGATCACTTTGTAGAACACAGACTTGAACAGGATTTAGTGTTCCAGGGTGCCTTTGTACAAAACAACCTTAGCGTTAAGACTACCTTAGGTCTATGTTAAAGTATGGGAGCTACAGTCACCTTTGCACTAAGATCGCTTTGTACAACGGCACCCAGGTTGATATATTAGAGCCATAGAAGTTCAGATGAATTTTACACTCAGATGTATGTAATAATTGTAAACGAAGTATATTTCGGGCGCAGGTTTTATTAGCTGCCAAGCAAAACATTTTAGCCAAAATTTATACACCGCAAATAAAACCATAACATCAAGTTTGGACATTGCAGAAATCTACGGAATCTTAAAATGACGAATTTCGATAGTAGCATAAACAATCATACTTAACTGTCGCTGTAATGGATTTCCCAAAACATAAGGCACAAATAATGAGGCCAAATCCCATGCACGAATTAAGCAAAAACAGCAATGTGTTGTTGGTAGCAGCCATAGGGAAATTGGTCACATGACAGATGGTTTGATACAAAGACAGATTACCATGAAACGACTTCGGAAAGAAATAATACAGCAAGTATTTTATTTATTCATTTAGATACAAACGCGTATCATCATGAAGTTTAATAGTCACTTAACACTCAATCATTCTCATTCACAAATAACCCGCTTGTTTGAAAATCACAAAAGCCTTACATACAGTATAAGTTTATAATTCGATCAGATGGAATTCGGCCAGTACCGGACACATAAGACTGATGTGTTTTCATCTCTCCGAGTAAACGGGTTACTGTGTAACTCAGTATATCGACAGAATAGGGATTTTCCTGTGAGTAAGTGCAATAAAGCATGCCGGACAGGTTAAGCCTTCTCTGTTTGTTTTTCACTGCGCTATTAGTGGCGCCAAAGAGACAGCTTTGGCAGTTCCGGCAATCACTGATTGGCGCCCGAATAATTGACCGCCAAGAAGTAGCGTCTAAACTGTCAATTCAGCAAAAATTGCACCACGCCAAAAATGGGCACGCGCTATTGTGCATCTAAAATGTTTACACCAGACCATCGGGCTGGCTAGCTGTAAATTTAGACCATCCGCGGAGAAATCCTAGCCCTTGTCGTAGGCGGTCGGATCGAGCCTTATTTCATACTCTGCTATAGTATCACCATGTTTGATGTAAGACATCTTCTGCTCACTCACTTATATGTGGTTACTGTCCTGTGTCCTGCAGGGCCAGGGGACCATTGTAACAGGAAGTTGGTGGAACTGCTAGCGGGGGATCAGGGTAACAGGGCAGATCGACCTGCTAGCGGGGCCCAGGGTAACAGGGCAGGTAGAACTGCTAGTTGGGGACCAGGGTAACAGGGTTGGAAAACAAAAGGTGGTGAAGGGGTGTTGGGATGAAGTTGGGTAACTCCGATGGAGGTAATACAGGTACATGTAGCACAACGTATAATACAATATGGTAAGCATGATATGGTGTATCACAATGTGGGGTAACACAGGGTGTTTGAGCAATATGTGGGGTAACAGAAGGTCATGCCACATTTTAGTTTGTGGAGGTTGCTCTCTCGTTTTCTTTGCCATTGACTACCAAACAGGAAATTTGATTAAATTTTCTGCTGCAGGTTACGAGACTCTATTCGCAATATTCTGAGTATCTCACGCCTAGGGAACCAGTACATGCAAGCCAATAAACCATGGGTGCTGGCCAAGGGGACTCCACAGGAAAGGTTCGTAACCAGAAGATACACTGTGACACTCCAAGTCATTCTATGGAGGCTAAACTGACCCAGTCACAACTGACCCAATGTTATCACAAACAGGTTATGGAGACTAACATGTCTCATGGCTTCCAAATGTTCTCATAGGTAGGCCTTAGAGTTGAGACAACCCTAACTCCCACACTTTAACGTAGACTTATGACAATCATAACACTAAGATCACTTTGTAGAACACAGACTTGAACAGGATTTAGTGTTCCAGGGTGCCGTTGTACAAAACAGCCTTAGCGCTAAGACTACCGTAGGTCTATGTTAAGGTATGGGAGTTACAGTCACCTTTGCGCTAAGATCGGCACCCAGGTTGATATATTAGAGCTATAGTCAATGTATGAAATAAGCCAGAAACCCACCCCGACATCAGGGCTGGTAACTTCAAAATGTGATCAGCCCAAATGGAATTTAACCAGACCAGACACCAAGTTCAGATGAATTTACTCAGATGTATGTAATACTGTAAACGTAGTATATTTCGCGCAGGTTTTATTTTTCGCAAGGCCAAGAAAACATTTTAGCTAAAATTTATACACCGCTTGAATAAACCATAACACATCAAGTTTGAAGACAGAAATCTACGGGAATCTTAAAATGACGACTGATAGTAGCATAAACAATCATACTTAACTGTCGCTGTAATGGATTTCCCAAAACATAAATAAATAATGAGCCAAATCCCATCGCGCGAATTTAGCGAAAACAGCAATGTGTTGTGGCCGCCATGGAAGTGGTCACATGACAGATGGTTTGATACAAAACAGATTACCATGAAAACGTACTCGGAAAGAAATAATACAGCAGTATTTTATTTATTCATTTAGATACAAAGCGTATCATCATGAAGCTTAATAGTCACTTAACACTCAATCATCTCATTCACAACAACCGGCTTGTTTGAAATCACAAAAAGCTTCATATACAGTATAAGTTAATTAGCCAGATGGATGTCAGGCTATAGTATCACCATGTTTGATGTAAGACATCTTCTGCTCACTCACTTATATGTGGTTATTGTCATGTGTCCTGCAGGGCCAGGTCTGGATGTGTTGTGAGTCTGTCTGCCAACATCACATGTCTGCTGTCCGTGTTGCTCCAACCCTACATGCCCGTCACTAGTGGGGTCATACAGGAGCAGCTCAATGCCCCTGCAGACTGCAACATCATCGTCAGCAACTTCACATGTCAGCTGAAATCTGGACACAAGATTGGCAAGGTAAGAAAACTTTGGAAGAGGTATAAAGGAACAAGCCAGTACTGGACATAGTAATCACATCTGATCTTTACCCATGACAAGACAAGTCATGACTGATGACTGTAAACATTTCATGCTAATTGTAATATGTAAAATGATTTTTACTGATGAAATTTGGATATCCTTTTGTTCCAGCCCAGCCCACTGTTCCAGAAGATTGAAGCTGCTAAGATTGAGGAGCTGAAGCAGAGATTTGCAGCAAAGGAGGTGAGACTGTCTGATGTCCCTGGTACCAGTTAACCAGGGAGACAACTTATGTAAGGATTTGGTGATCACAGACTGATTGACATCCTAGCAACTCAAATCAACTCAGATGGTTAGTCTCCATGGTACCTGGTACCCATAGAGACAGTGTCTGAGTGAGATCAACTCAGATGGTTAGTCTCCATGGTACCTGGTACCCATAGAGACAGTGTCTGAGTGAGATCAACTCAGACTAAGTTGGTTAGTCTCCATGGTACCTGGTACCCATATAGAGACAGTCTGTCTGAGTGGAGACAGTGTCTGGAGATCAAGAGACAGTGTCTTAGATGGTTAGTCTCCATGGTACCTGGTACCCATAGAGACAGTGTCTGAGTGAGATCAACTCAGATGGTTAGTCTCCATGGTACCTGGTACCCATAGAGACAGTGTCTGAGTGAGATCAACTCAGATGGTTAGTCTCCATGGTACCTGGTACCCATAGAGACAGTGTCTGAGTGAGATCAACTTAGATGGTTAGTCTCCATGGTACCTGGTACCCATAGAGACAGTGTCTGAGTGAGATCAACTCAGATGGTTAGTCTCCATGGTACCTTGTACCCATAGAGACAGTGTCTGAGTGAGATCAACTCAGATGGTCAGTCTCCATGGTACCTGGTACCCATAGAGACAGTGTCTGAGTGAGATCAACTCAGATGGTCAGTCTCCATGGTACCTGGTACCCATAGAGACAGTGTCTGAGTGAGATCAACTCAGATGGTTAGTCTCCATGGTACCTGGTACCCATAGAGACAGTGTCTGAGTGAGATCAACTCAGATGGTTAGTCTCCATGGTACCTGGTACCTATAGAGACAGTGTCTGAGTGAGATCAAGTCAGATGGTTAGTCTCCATGGTACCTGGTACCCATAGAGACTGTCTGAGTGAGATCAACTTAGATGGTTAGTCTCCATGGTACCTGGTACCCATAGACAGTGTCTGAGTGAGATCAACTCAGATGGTTACTCTCCATGGTACCTCGTACCCATAGAGACAGTGTCTGAGTGAGATCAACTTAGATGGTTAGTCTCCATGGTACCTGGTACCCATAGAGACAGTGTCTGAGTGAGATCAACTCAGATGGTTACTCTCCATGGTACCTGGAACCCATAGAGACAGTGTCTGAGTGAGATCTGGATAGACTGATCTGATTTGTCAGTGCCAGGCACAGTCACAGCATAAGTGTATTTGATAGTCCCCGATGACATGTGTCAACCTACAAGTAGGAGTTGCTAGCTTTCTCATGCTGACAGAATTGGTTCAAACTCTTGAATCTAAACTCTGTGTGCCTTCTGTTATAGAAGCCTGCTTCGATTGCCAGCCCGGAGGAGATTGAGAGACTGACGCAGGAGGTGACGAAACAGGTACAGTTCTGACAATGCTTAAATGGAAACAGTTGCAATAATCATCATACCTGCATAAAGTATTTTGAAGTGAGGCTTGTGTTTTTATGTTAACATACTATGGCAATGGATAAATTGTGTAATTAGGTATTTTCTTGTCAGTTATAAAAAATTCATTCATACAGTGATACTTTGTAGCAACCATCCACTTTCTGAGTGACCGACACATGTTTCCTCCACTATGAGAGAGTCTGGTCTGTTCCATCATATCAGAGAGTGTCTGGTCTGTTCCATCATGTCTGAGAGCATCTGGTCTGTTCCATCACATCAGAGAGCATCTGGTCTGTTCCATCATGTCAGAGTGTCTGGTCTGTTCCATCATGTCAGAGTGTCTGGTCTGTTCCATCATGTCTGAGAGTGTCTGGTCTGTTCCATCATGTCTGAGAGCGTCTGGTCTGTTTCATCATGTCTGAGAGCGTCTGGTCTGTTCCATCATGTCTGAGAGCATCTGGTCTGTTTCATCATGTCTGAGAGTGTCTGGTCTGTTCCATCATGTCTGAGAGTGTCTGGTCTGTTCCATCATGTCTGAGAGTGTCTGGTCTGTTCCATCATGTCTGAGAGTGTCTGGTCTGTTCCATCATGTCTGAGAGCGTCTGATCTGTTCCATCATGTCTGAGAGTGACTGTGTTGTAGGGTGAGGCAGTGAGAGAGCTAAAGGCCCAGAAGGCTGAGAAGGCCCTGATAAGTGCTGCTGTAGAGAAACTCCTGGACCTGAAGAAGCAGCTGGCAAATGCTCAGGGCGCAGCACCTGCATCAGCTGGCAAGAAGAAGGGCAAGGTTAGTTGTGTGTTTGTATGGGGTAATGTTAGATCTGCAGCTGTTCTTGACAAGGTTAGACCTGCAATTGTTCTTTACAATGTTAGACTTGCAATTGTACTTGACAAGGTTAGACCTGCGATTGTTTGGGGTAAGGTTAGACCGGTAATTGTACTTGACAAGGTTAGACCTGTGATTGTTTGGGGTAAGGTTAGACCTGTAATTGTACTTGACAAGGTTAGACCTGCGATTGTTTGGGGTAAGGTTAGACCTGCGATTGTACTTGACAAGGTTAGACCTGCGATTGTTTGGGGTAAGGTTAGACCTGTAATTGTACTTGACAAGGTTAGACCTGCGATTGTTTGGGGTAAGGTTAGACCTGTAATTGTACTTGACAAGGTTAGGCCTGCGATTGTTTGGGGTAAGGTTAGACCTGCGATTGTTTGGGGTAAGGTTAGACCTGTAATTGTACTTGACAAGGTTAGACCTGCGATTGTTTGGGGTAAGGTTAGACCTGCGATTGTTTGGGGTAAGGTTAGACCTGTAATTGTATACGGCCAGGTTAGACCTGCGATTGTACTTGACAAGGTTAGACCTGCAATTGTACTTGACAAGGTTAGACCTGCGATTGTACTTGATGGGGTTAGACCTGCGATTGTTTGGGGTCAGGTTAGACCTGTAATTGTATACGGCCAGGTTAGACCTGCAATTGTACTTGACAAGGTTAGACCTGCAATTGTACTTGACAAGGTTAGATCTGCGATTGTACTTGATGGGGTTAGATCTGCAATTGTTTGGGGCAAATTTAGGTCTGCAATTGTATGGGGTAAGGTTAGATCTGCATTTGTGCTTTACAATGTTAAACCTGCAATTGTATGGGGTAGGGTTAAACCTGCAATTGTATTGGGTAGGGTTAAACCTGCAATTGTATTGGGTAGGGTTAAACCTGCAATTGTATGGGGTAGGTTTAAACCTGCAATTGTATTGGACAAGGTTAGACCTGCAGCTGTTTACAACCTTGTACTAAATCATTTGTCTCCTGTAACCAATGCTTCTCCAGGGATGAAGTGGCTGGTGTACTTACATTGTGTGACCTTCCATAGTTACTGTACCTTTACTTACTTGTGGCTATTCATGATTGCACCGTCCATGTCTTTCCAGTACAGGAATGTTTTGCTGTTGCTGACTTTATGTGGAAAGTAAGCAAGTAATCGCTCACTTGCTCAGTCCATTACAAGCAGACACTAGAGATAATATGTCTCACTGACATCTTGTCATTTTGATTATTGATTGACGTGAGAAAGATTTTACTAGATAACAGATAACAAATGTATCCAAATGTGCTCCGTGTTTTGAGTGAAGAACAATCATTTAAACACCAAATACAAATCTTGACGTCCATCAAGAGTCTGCCCAGTTTAGTCAACTGCTGATGATGACTGTTGTCATGTGTTCTAGCAGGGTAAGGGTGATGCCAAGTCAGCCCCAGCAGCCACACCCACACCAGCCACGCCCACTGGTGACCAGGCACAGATTGACAGACTAACTGAAGAGGTCGCTGCACAGGTCAGTTACGTTAACAGTAGTAACAACACACACAGGCGATCCTGAAAATCTCTTGTGGCAAAATTCTTCTGAATGTGGCATTTAAACTCATAAAAGTGTCATAAAGTCATAATTACCCAAAAATGGATAGTGTTATTAATGCAATGAACCACTACAGTACACTTGGTGATCAGTTCAAAATGCCAATAAGGTAATCTAACAGAAACTACTTTAATAAACTCTGTAGATGGATGCAATGCCAACTTACAAGAAAGCCTTTGTTTAATTTTCCACAGAAGTTAAAGGTTTCCTGTTGATTGATGGGTTATGTGAACAAACCTACATGGATGTCATTTGGTCATTAAACATTGTGGGGTAGTTTGATTCAGGCACAACATTCCTGTGCTGACTCAAACTTTGATTATTTCATGATGGTAGTATGCAATAAAGAGATATTTACCCTGGTGTGCTCCCTTATTTGAAATCTAATATTTTGAGAATAAAAAGTATGGATTATGCTCTCCAAAGGTTCATGCTCTCCAAAGGTGGGGTAGCCCAGTGATTCGAGTGTCTGCTCGTCACGCTGAAGATTCCGTTCGATTCCCCACATGGGTCCAATGTGTGAAGCCCATTTCTCGTGTCCCCACTGTGATATTGCTGGAATATTGCTAAAATTGGCTTAAAACCATATTCGCTCACTCTTCTCTTATTATCATGATATATGCATATTCATCATAATATATGCATTGCATTAATGTGAACAATATATCCTAAATAAGTTGTCTAGTTGTGTAATAGGAGGCTGTTCTGTTGACTTAACTGTCATGTAAGGTCCATGTTTATAACGTTCTGTTTGCTCCGAAGGTAATCATTGTGGATGTGTTGGAGGGTTTAACCCAGACAGTCATGGAAATCAGGAGAGGGAGGGTTAAACACATACTCAGTCAGTCAGACCCCATTCAAAAAAGCTACAACTGTCCTACATCTATGGGCAGTTACAATAGTCATTACGCTAAGATGTCCTACATCTATGGGAGTTACAATAGTCATTACGCTAAGATGTCCTACATCTATGGGAGTTACAATAGTCATTACGCTAAGATGTCCTACATCTATGGGAGTTACAATAGTCATTACGCTAAGATGTCCTACATCTATGGGAGTTACAATAGATGTCCTACATCTCTGGGAGTTACAATGCAGCTAAGATCTCTTTGTGGAACTTGGCCCAGGTTATGGATGTTGGGACAAGACCGTTTATATTTCTGTGTCACATTGCAGGGTAACATTGTACGAGATCTGAAGACACAGAAAGGAGACAAAGCAGCCATTGATGCTGCTGTTGCCAAGCTCCTGGATCTCAAGAGCCAACTTGCAGTAGCTCAGGGTGTGGACCCAGACCAGGCAGTCGGAGGTGGGAAAAAGAAGGGCAAAAAGAAATAAAGTGTTTGCCATTGACGTGTGTCTGTGTTGGTCCACAAGGTGCAATGATACAGTGAGATGCACATATTCCAAACATAGGTATACCTATACATTAAGGATCAGGAGTAAGCAAACCAAACTGGAATAGTTGGGATTTGATTGTACATGATTCTATGAATTGTTAGGGTTGGGTATAAACTGATTAACAAATTATGAGACTTAAAGTTGACTTAGTTCACAACACCAAAACCACCTTGATAAGGTCATTATGTATTTCTCAGTAACAGACTCGATTATTTACAGACAGCTTCCATATAGCTGGAATATTGCTGACTGTGGCGTAAAACAACACACCAATCCCAGTAACACATTTAAGAAAACATAGTGATGGCTGTGTTTGTTCGAGGAAGCTTACTGTATTCCATCATCAGTACATTGTTAGAAACAGTCACATCTACTAAGGGGCGGTGGGGTAGCGTAGTGGTTAAAGCGTTCGTTCATCACGCCGAAGACCCGAGTTCGATTCCCCACATGGGTACAATATGTGAAGCCCATTTCTGGTGTCCCCCCGCCGTGATATAGCTGGAATATTGCTAAATGCGGCGTGAAGCTAAACTCACTCACTCACATCTACTAAACAGTCTTCCTCTGTTATTGGTTGTTGTTTTGTGTATATTCACATATTACACAGTCTATATTTTGAGCCTCAACAGTCATGTTATTTTTAATAAAGCAGGTGTTTTGCTTGTTGGTTCAAAGATTTGGTAGTTGAAACTTGCTAAGACAAGAGAAAACTAAAAACTTAAATGCATTGTCCATTATGATCCTTGAATTGTTTGTATTGCCAGAGCTATCTTATCATCAGCAGCATGAAACACAGTTGCCATTATGATGTAATGTTTTCAGAAATCTGTGTTTTTAATGTCTGCAGATCCGTAGACCAGTCGGGGCTGTGGGGTAGCCTGGTGGTTAAAGCGTCCGCTTGTCACGCCAAAGACCCAGGTTCTGTTCCCCACATGAGTGCAATGTGTGAAGCCCATTTCTGGTATCTGCAGAAAACTAAACTCACTTACTCACCCACCCACCCATAAACCAATAAAAAAGGAACCCCTAACTTTAATCACTGTAGTTGATGCATAGCATCGTCTGTCAGGAGCCTAGCAAGCCAATTTTTTTGCGTAAGCCTGATAGGTTGCAAAGCTTTAGATAGCATTGAGGGCTTCCCAACTTTTTAGCAACAATCATGTGTATTCCCGGGCTTTTTTTTATAATGGTGTAAAGCCAATGCTGCTGTATAGCTATATTGAGACTTCTACATTCTACATTTACCTAACAGATGTCATAATGAGGCAAAATACTGGAGCTTCAGGCATTTGAATGCCGTCAGAAAGCTACAGCTAAGCTTCTAGTCAAAAGTTAATGTTTAGTGAATTGAAATACAAATAAACATTTATATTAGCTGTACAAGCTGTAAACAATCAGACCACATTAAGTGTGGGGAAGTGTTTATGTAAATCCAGGGCTTGTACCAGTGCCAGAGCAGTGTGTATCATAGAGGGATTACACTGTACTGCGTGTATGTGTGACAAACACTGATTGTTCATGTATCATTTATGCTATACTTCATTACAGATTCAGAATGAAAGAGAGTCTTTATTTATCCTGAATGATGAAATCTCCACTGTCCTCATGGTTTTATTTATTAATAAACTTGAGAAATCTTGTACACCTTTGATGACTTGTTTTGTTATTTCTGGTTAAAACACATACACATCCTGATCATGATTGGTTTGCTTATTGGTTTCCATGGCAACAATTCTGTATAAACTGATATACATCAATTGAATAAAGATCTACAGTACACCATAGTAGTCAAATGTTATGAAGAAAGTACTAAATGTTACTGGTAAGGGTTATATGTGAGTATTGCATGCATATACCATATTCACAGTGGAACATGCTAATCTAACGTGGAATGTGAGGTTATTTATATTGCAGTGCCTTCTGATGCATCTTTAGCATTTTGTGTTATTATGTATACGCTCTGACTTTCTGCTGTACACATTTCATATCACATGTTTTCTTTGCTGCCTATATAAGTCAGAATTGTTCTTTGGTATTTGTCTTGTATTTTAAGTTTCATCATTCACATACAAATAATTACCTTTATTAGGACCATTTAATGCCTTATTAATGACTTTCACTGTTATTGTGTACTGGTATGTGGATTTCAGCTGATGTATAGTTTCCACCAAAGAAGGAAGCATGAACACCTGAGGCATCTTGAGTAGAAGTTGCAGAAATAATGCTTGCACAAGCCGGTTGTCTTAACCAATCAGTACTGTCCGTCAGTATCAGTCAACAGTAATATCCTCTGCTGTATTATGTCTAGGGTCATTGGCGGATCCAGAGGGGGGATTCAGGGGGTTTGACACACACACCCCCCCCCTTTGAAAATGACTTAAGACCTCATTGAAGATTATTTTTTGCATTGTGAAACACCCACACACCCCAAACTCAAAATTCCTGGCAAAATTCCTGGACCCATGAGGGTAATGCAGGGCAATGGGGTAGCCTTAGTGGTTAAAGCCTTTGCTCATAACGCCGAAGGCCCAGGTTCGATTCCTCACAAGGATACAATGTGTGAAGCACGTTTCTGGTGTTCCCCGCCATGATATTGCTGTCATATTGCTCTTAAAGCGGCATAAAACCCAACTCACTCACTCACTCCAGGGTAATGCTGTAGACAGTGTGAAAGTAAATTCATTTGGGCATAGCCTGATACCGTAGTGGTTATAGTATAGGTCCAAGAACACTGGTTCCCATATGGATACAATGTCCGTTCTTGCTGTTGTCTTCTTAGCTATTGCTGGAAGATTGCTAAAAGCAGCATACACCAACTCACGACTTGATATTGTATGTTTAATGTTTTGCTGTATATGGATATATGGGATGGTAGAAGATGGCAGTACTTACCCCTCTGTTATTACCCTGGTCATGCTGTCCGTGTTCTAGAAGATGGTACTTGTTGTTACACTGCCATGGCTGTCAGTGTTCTAGAAGATGGTACTTGTTGTTACCCTGATTCAGTGTTCTAGAAGATGGTACTGTACCCTGCTTGGCTCATACTAGAAGATGGTACTTGTTGTTACACTGCCTTGCTGTCAGTGTTCTAGAAGATGGTACTTGTTGTTACCCTGCCTGGCTGTCAGTGTTCTAGAAGATGGTACTTGTTGTTACCCTGCCTGGCTGTCCGTGTTCTAGAAGATGGTACTTGTTGTTACCCTGCCTGGCTGTCAGTGTTCTAGAAGATGGTACTTGTTGTTACACTGCCTGGCTGTCAGTGTTCTAGAAGATGGTACTTGTTATTACCCTGCCTGGCTGTCAGTGTTCTAGAAGATGGTACTTGTTGTTACCCTGCCTGGCTGTCAGTGTTCTAGAAGATGGTACTTGTTGTTACACTGCCTTGCTGTCAGTGTTCTAGAAGATGGTACTTGTTGTTACCCTGCCTGGCTGTCCGTGTTCTAGAAGATGGTACTTGTTGTGACACTGCCTGGCTGTCAGTGTTCAGGAAATGACGAAAAGGACTGGTCAGCTCAAAGTCAGTATACTTCAAGTTGGGCATCTTTGTTAAACTGTGACATGGGATCTCAGCTGACTAGCACAATAGAATCAGCATTTGTCCAAACTTGAACAAGAGGCCCCACACGAACCTGTTTGCAAATCGCTATATAAGTACAATTATTGTTAATGCAAAGTAAACCCATTTCATTTCCCATTTCTTGCCTTATAAGGTAGCCCTGTGATAATGTCAGTGGCTCGTCATTCCCAAGGTCTGTGTTGGATTCCCAAGGCCTGTGTTTGATTCCCAAGGTCTGTGTTTGTATCCCCTGTGTTTGTGATTCCCCAGGTCGGTGTTGTATTGGTGTTGTATTCCCAAGGTCTGTGTTGTATTCCCAAGGTCTGTGTTGTATTCCCAAGGCCTGTGTTGGATTCCCAAGGCCTGTGTTGGATTCCCAGGTCTGTGTTTGTATTCCCCAGGTCTGTGTTGTATTCCCCAGGTCTGTGTTGTATTCCCCAGGTCTGTGTTGTATTCCCCAGGTCTGTGTTGTATTCCCCAGGTCTGTGTTGGATTCCCCAGGTCTGTGTTGGATTCCCAAGGCCTGTGTTTGATCCCCAAAATTGGTGTTGTATTCCCCAGGACTGTGTTGTATTCCCAAGGTCTGTGTTGTATTCCCAAGGCCTGTGTTGGATTCCCCAGGTCTGTGTTTGTATTCCCCAGGTCTGTGTTGTATTCCCCAGGTCTGTGTTGTATTCCCAAGGCCTGTGTTGGATTCCCAAGGCCTGTGTTGGATTCCCCAGGTCTGTGTTTGTATTCCCCAGGTCTGTGTTGTATTCCCCAGGTCTGTGTTGTATCCCCAAGACCTGTGTTTTATTCCCAAGGCCTGTGCTGTAATCCTCAGGTCTGTGTTGGATTCCCAAGGCCTGTGTTGTATTCCCAGGTCTGTGTTTCTATTCCCCAGGTCTGTGTTTGTATTCCCCAGGTCTGTGTTGTATTCCCCAGGTCTGTGTTGTATTCCCAAGGTCTGTGTTGTATTCCCCAGTTCTGTGTTGTATCCCCAAGGCCTGTGTTTGTATTTACAACCTGTGTTGTAACTCTGTGTTGTATTCCCCAGGTCTGTGTTTGTGATTTCCCAAAGCCTGTGTTTGATTCCCCAGGTCTGTTTGTATCCCTCAAAGACCTGTGTTTGTATTCCCCAGGTCTGTGTTGTATTCCCCAAGGTCTGTGTTGTATTCCCAAGGCCTGTGTTGTATTCCCCAGGTCTGTGTTTGTATTCCCCAGGTCTGTGTTGTATTCCCCAGGTCTGTGTTGTATTCCCCAAGGCCTGTGTTGTATTCCCCAGGTCTGTGTTGGATTCCCAAGGCCTGTGTTTGTATTCCCCAGGTCTGTGTTTGTATTCCTCAGGTCTGTGTTTGTATTCCCCATGTCTGTGTTTGTATTCCCCAGTTCTGTGTTGTATCCCCAAGGCCTGTGTTAGATTCCCCAGGTCTGTGTTTGTATTCCCCAGGTTTGTGTTGTATTCCCCAGGTCTGTGTTGTATTCCCAAGGCCTGTGTTGTATTCCCAGGTCTGTGTTGTATTCCCAAGGCCTGTGTTTGTATTCCCCAGGTCTGTGTTTGTATTCCTCAGGTCTGTGTTTGTATTCCCAGGTCTGTGTTTGTATTCTGTGTTTGTATTCCCCAGGTCTGTGTTTGTATTCCCCAGGTCTGTGTGTTGTATTCCCCAAGGCCTGTGTTTGATTCCCCAGGTCTGTGTTTGTATTCCCCAGGTCTGTGTTGTATTCCCCCAGTCTCTGTGTTGTATTCCCAAGGCCTGTGTTGTATTCCTCAGGCCTGTGTTTGTTAGATTCCCCAGGTCTGTGTTGTATTCCCCAGGTTTGTGTGTTGTATTCCCCAGGTCTGTGTTGTATTCCCAAGGCCTGTGTTGTATTCCCCAGGTCTGTGTTTGTATTCCCCAGGTCTGTGTTTGTATTCCCCAGGTCTGTGTTGTATTCCCAAGGCCTGTGTTGTGATTCCCCAGGTCTGTGTTTGTATTCCCCAGGTCTGTGTTTGTATTCCCCAGGTCTGTGTTGTATTCCCAAGGTCTGTGTTGGATTCCCAAGGTCTGTGTTTGTATTCCCCAAGGTCTGTGTCTGTGTTTGTATTCCCCAGGTCTGTGTTTGTATTCCCCAGGTCTGTGTTTGTATTCCCCAGGTCTGTGTTGTATTCCCCAGGTCTGTGTTGTATTCCCAAGGTCTGTGTGGTATCTGTGTTGGATTCCCAAGGCCTGTGTTTGTATTCCCCAGGTCTGTGTTTGTATTCCCCAGGTCTGTGTTTGTATTCCCCAGGTCTGTGTTGTATTCCCCAGGTCTGTGTTTGTATTCCCCAGGTCGGTGTTGGATTCCCCAGGTCTGTGTTTGTATTCCCCAGGTCTGTGTTGTATTCCCCAGGTCTGTGTTGTATTCCCCAGGTCTGTGTTGGATTCCCAAGGTCTGTGTTGTATTCCCCAGGTCTGTGTTGGATTCCCCAGGTCTGTGTTGGATTCCCCAGGTCTGTGTTGGATCCCCAGGTCTGTGTTGTATTCCCCAGGTCTGTGTTGTATTCCCAAGGTCTGTGTTTGATTCCCCAGGTCTGTGTTGATTCTTCAAGCCTGTGTTGGATGATTCCCCAAGGTCTGTGTTTGATTCCCAGGTCTGTGTTGTATTCCCAGGTCTTTGTTTGATTCCCAGGTCTGTGTTTAATTTCTCAGAACTGTGTTTGAATCCCCAGGTCTGTGTTAGATCCCCCAGGTCTGTGTTGGATTCCCCAGGTCTGTGTTGGATTCCCCAGGTCTGTGTTAGAATCCCCAGGTCTGTGTTGGATCCCCCAGGTCTGTGTTGGATTCCCCAGGTGTGTGTTAGATCCCCAGGTCTGTGTTGGATTCCCCAGGTCTGTGTTGGATTCCCCAGGTCTGTGTTGGATTCCCAGGTCTGTGTTGTATTCCCAGGTCTTTGTTTGATTCCCAGGTCTGTGTTTAATTTCTCAGAACTGTGTTTGAATCCCCAGGTCTGTGTTAGATCCCCCAGGCCTGTGTTTGATTCTTCAGGTCTGTGTTTAATTCCCCAGGCCTGTGATTGATCCCCTTGGTCTGTGTTTGATTCTCCAGCTTGTGGTGTTTTTCGTACAGGGATACTCCTTTACTTGCTGTCCCACAGATAGCGGGCTGTAGGGTAGCTGTTTGCTTATCACACTAAATATCCGGGTTCGATTTCCATAAATGGGTACAATGTGTGAAGATCATTCCTGGTGTCCCTGGACTAACATCTAGTCTCTGATATGAACATGTATTACAGAAAAACCCTTTCCTTCAACTCATGATGTCTCTTGAAATTGCTTCAAGAGGTATGGGAATTATATTCGTAAATGTATATATAGCAGCTTCTCTGTCATTAGCATACAGATGCGGTATTTGGAAAGTCAGCTGAATCTTTAAATGTTTCGCAATATTTTTTAGTTCTTTTTGTCATATAATTGTTCCAAAATATCTTACAAGAAGTTGTCATCAGGTTTTCAAAACATCACAATCAAGTTAGTCTTGGATCATACTGGATGTCAAAAAAAAGGAACAGTATGTTGTGCTTTACAGAGCTCCAAGGATTCCACAAAATTAATTAGAATTTTACTTGCCCCCATCAATATCCATTAGTCAATTGGTAAGTTTTATGTGCATTAGGACACCACAATAAGAATTATGGCTGCCTGTTTTAGGGCAACTACCTGTGAGGTTCGTGCTTGCTTCAGAATGCTTCGGGGCTGTGGGGTAGCCTATTGGTTAAAGCGTTGGCTCGTCACGCCGAAGACCCGAGTTCGAATCCCCACATGGGTAAAATGTGTGAAGCCCATTTCTGGTGTCCCCCGCCGTGATGTTGCTGGAATATTGCTAAAAGCGGCGTAAAACCAAACTCAGTAAGTCAGTCAGTCAGAATGCTTCCTATAACTTCACTGCTGGAGTGGTTGGTGGTTTGTACATCAGGGGAGTTATTGAGACCAGAGATTAGTATGTCAATACAAAACAAGAACCTATTCCCCAAAGAAGAAAAGCCTGCCTCAACCAGGATCTTTGGTTTTATAGTATGACCAGAAATTATTGAGAATTTTAGGAATATGTTAATTGGATTTCTAGTATAAACAACGTTGACCAGCTATCAAGTGCTTGGTTTCATTCAAGAGAGACAACTCTGTTAATCCTTTTTCATTAGTTTGTGAAGAGTTACCCCCTTTGTTTACTTGCTAGCAGACGACATTTTCAGTGATCCTCAGTGAGTATGGATGATTTAGAGAAGAGGAAGCTGATTTTAGAGTATTATAGCAAGGACATCAGATTAGCTAAAGTGATTTCAAGTAGAACACGCATCCCTTTGTCCACTGTTTATCGTGTTTTTAAAATATTCCAAATTGATATGGCATAGAGCACCAGGGAGGCGCAGGTAGGTCCAGAAAATTGACTGTCGGTGACAGGAGGCGGCATGGTATTCTTGTTTCTAAAAACAAACGAAGGAATTTAGAAAACTTGGCAGAAAAGTCGAGGAATTCCATCACCGATCATGAAACCTGAACAAAAGGAGCGAATGTTGAACTGGTACAGCACAGAAATTTTAACTGGGACAATGTGATTTTCTCAGATGAAAGTTCTGTGTGGCTGTTTCCTAATACACTGAAATTCTGGACCAAACAAACTGAAAAACCTTTGTATCAGCGCCCAAAGTCCAAAATTTAACGTGTGGGGTGGCATATCTGTGTATTTGAAGGGAATATGAACAGTGAGCGGTACACAGATATTCTCGAGGGACATTTACTTCCATCTGCTCACGTGTTCTATGGAAATTTTTGATTTTCCAGCAGGACAACGACCCAAAACATCGTTCAAAGCATTCACAGGCCTGGTTTCGGACCCAAAATATGACATTATTAGATTGGCCAAGCTATAGCCCTGACCTAAATCCAATAGAAAATGTTTGGGGACTTATGAAGAAAAGTGTCAATAAGAAAAATCTGACAAATATTGCTGAAATGAAAGAAGAGGTGGTCCGATATTGGGACAGCATGGACCACGACTTTTTAACTTCTTTCATCAGTAGTATGCCCCTCCGCATTGAAGCCTGCATTGCTGCCCATGGTGACTTGTGAAAATACTAACTGTTCACCTGTCTTTGAATCTGGAGTTATGTTCTGCTAATATTCACATTTAATACGTCAGTAATGAGTGGAAAATAAATAAAATAAAATCTTTAAATTCTCAATAATTTCTGGTTGTACTGTACTTCTTATGTTATTCTTTGCAAAGTTGGTAGGTCACAGATAGTCCAGCTTCACACTTGGCTCCTCCCACATGGGTACAACGTGTGAAGCCCATTTCTGGTGGCCCCCGTGATGTTGCTGGAATATTGCTCACACCAGTCAGTCAGTCAGTCTCAGTCAGACTCACCAAGACTGCTCAACTAGACTGCTACTATGTTCTGTTATTACTTTCTTTACAAACTGTATGTAGGTCACTAGACATTCTTGTATATGATGGCAGATGGTTAGGTTTTTATTAAAGAGACAGTAAATTTATTTTTTAAATCTGTCTTTAACACCCTGTTAATAATGACTGCTGTGAAACAGTATCAGCTGTATATTGTTAATAAATAAAAGGTTATCATTGCTTGTTTCATTGCTTACTGCACTTTGTATATCATATCAGAGCAGATAATAATTATAACAATTTCATACACAATACCTATTGACTGATATCAGGCAGTGATACTGTTGATAACTTATCTAGGACACCAAGGTCTGTGCATGGTGTATGTGGACTTGGGTCATAAATAAGTTTACAAACAGCGCTCTCAACTGACAAATTTGAAACCATTATCTTTGTAATACTTAAATCTTGATTCAAAGACTGAGGTCCTGAAGTAGCAGAGGAAGCCTTACTCAACAGGATACTTCACTGGCAGTTGTGAGCGAGCAGTCCCAGTTCTCAGACAGAACAATGACTTGCCTGAAGTAGATGATGTCGGAGTTGCAACCGGTTCAAGACAGAATGTGAATGAGAGAACTTGTTTGGTTATTATTCTTCGAGGAAGTTAAGTCAGAAGAGCCAACTGCCACCATGTTCAAGGGAAACTGTTTGAGAGAAAGTTTTATTTTTGTACTATTTGTCTTGAGTGTTCATGGTGTTTTCCATTCCTGTGTGGACGTGAAACAGAACACAAGGAACACATCTGATGGGGAATACATCCTTTATCTGCAATACAATACTGGAGTTTCACTTTACTGTGCAGGTGAGATATACACTGTATAGGTGAGTGATATGCTGTGCAAATGGGATAAATAATGTGTGTAGGTGAGTTATATATTGTTCATGTGAGTTATGTATTTTATAGATGAGTTATTGACTTGAAGGTGAGTTATTTACTGTGCATGTGAATTATAAACTGCAGGTGACTTATGAATTATACGGGCGGTCACAGGGGTAGCCAAGTGGTTAAAGCGTTCGCTTGTCAAGCTGAAGACCCGGGTTCGATTCCCCACATGGGTGCAATGTGTGAAGCCCATTTCTGGTGTCCCCCGCCGTGATATTGCTGAAATATTGCTAAAAGTGGATGGAAACTAAACTCACTCACTGTAAATTATACAGGTGTGTTATGGACTATGAATACATAGTGCCATTTATAAAGTGGTTAGATGTAACACATGTTATATTTGGGATTACACTTTCTTTGTAAATTACAGATTCAGGTACTTTTGTTGGGTTGAGTCCCATCAGGGACAGTGTTATACTGTTCAGTTGAGTTAGTTTCATCAATGCTCCATGAATCCTGGCTTGTGGACACAAAATTCTACATGGAGACCCATTAATACTGACTGCACAGTGTACATTGAGACCCCATTAATACTGACTGCACAGTGTACATTGAGACCCTAGTAATCCTGACTGTACAGTGTACATTGAGACCCTATTAATCCTGACTGTACAGTGTACATTGAGACCCCATTAGTCCTGAGTGTACACTGAGACCCCATTAGTCTTGACTGTACAGTTTACATTGAGACCCCATTAGTCCTGACTGTACAGTGTACACTGAGACCCCATTAGTCCTGACTGTACAGTGTACACTGAGACCCCATTAGTCCTGACTGTACAGTGTACACTGAGACCCCATTAGTCCTGACTGTACAGTATACACTGAGACCCCATTAGTCCTGACTGTACAGTGTACACTGAGACCCCATTAGTCCTGACTGTACAGTATACACTGAGACCCCATTAATCCTGACTGTACAGTATACACTGAGACTCTAGAAATCCTGACTGTACAGTGTACACTGAGACCCCATTAGTCCTGACTGTACAGTATACACTGAGACCCCATTAATCCTGACTGTACAGTATACACTGAGACTCTAGAAATCCTGACTGTACAGTGTACACTGAGACCCCATTAGTCCTGACTGTACAGTGTACACTGAGACCCTAGTAATCCTGACTGTACAGTGTACATTGAGACCCCATTAGTCCTCTGTGTACAGTGTACACTGAGACCCCATTAGTCCTGACTGTACAGTGTACTCTGAGACCCTAGTAATCCTGACTGTACAGTGTACACTGAGACCCCATTAGTCCGGACTGTACAGTATACACTGAGACCCTATTAATACGGACTGTACAGTGTACACTGAGACCCCATTAGTCCTGACTGTACAGTGTACATGGAGACCCCATTAGTCCTGATTGTACAGTGTACAGTGAGACCCCATTAGTCCTGACTGTACAGTGTACACTGAGACCCCATTAGTCCGGATTGTACAGTGTACATTGAGACCCCATTAGTCCTGACTGTACAGTGTACACTGAGACTCCATTAGTCCGGACTATACAGTGTACATTGAGACTCCATTTCTAGACAGACCCTCCGACAGCTCGCCTAGTATTTTTGCAGATGCACAGTCACGGGCTTGGGGTTGCAAAGGACGAATGGAGTCGTAGACTTGTCTAGGCCGTTTTCGTATTCCAACCGCTTTTCGTGGAATTCGTGGTATGGAAAGCAGGGCGCACGCCCGGACGAAAAAAACCAAAAACAAACGCATGGTTCGTATGCCCTACTAAAATATTTTTTTCCAAATAGGCTGCATTCCACACATCGACGTCTCTACTCCATATAGTGGGGATCCCTGGGTTTGGGCGTGGAAACTGGTTTGGGCGTTTCTGTCTTCTCGTTGACCGGTTGACCGGCGTGCCAGACTGTGTGCATTGAACCATTGTCACAAAAGGTGACTCGAGATAGATCGAAAGTAGCTATACCCGGTAGAACATTGCCAACCATCCAGGACTTCTACCACCGCCTGGGGAAGATCGAGACTCATGCGAGGGAAACCACGAATATGTTGGTCGACATCTTGTCTAGGCTGGACATCGATGACGAGGAAGATTCCAAACTCCTCCGCGAGGAAATGGAGAAGGAACAAGAAGAAGCGACCAATTTCGATATCCAGAAGGTGGGGCAGATGGTGGAATCGACCCAAAGATGGGTCTACATTTCGCTAGTTGACGTTTTTCTCTGGAAGGTCGTCCACAAGACCTGGAAGCACAGCACACCGTCTAGCACGCCAGCCCATATACTGGTCAACGAGAAGACAGAACACCCAAATCAGTTTCCACGCCCAAACCCAGGGATCCCCACTATATGGAGTAGAGACGTCGATGTGTGGAATGCAGCCTATTTGGAAAAAAGTATTTTAGTAGGGCATACGAAACCGTCTACGGAAATGTACGCCGACATACAACGTCACCTCCACCTCTACGACACCAGTGATTATCCACCAGATCACTTCCTCCATCACACCACCAACAAGAAAGTGCTCGGCAAAATGAAAGACGAATGTGCGGGCACCCCCATCGCCGAGTACGTCGGTTTGAGACCCAAAATGTACTGCGTACAGAAAGCTGTATACATTGGGGTTGTTCAGTAGTATCTGTTTTGTACTTTGAGTTTCAGTATTTATATATGCAAATGTTGACCATTGTTACTACTTTAATATTCTATTTATAATATCTGGTCATTATTGCTCACAATGATCAAGAGTGTCCTTCAAGGCATAAACAGCCTTGACCTTCAATACCTGACATAATTGCCAATAAGCTGTGCGAGACCTGTAATAGATCTACAAGCAGCATCACACCAAACACACGTGAATCAGCCTAATTAATTGTCAGGCAAGGTCGCATCTTACTGTATACAGAGTGTCAAGGCCATGTAGATAATGTGTGGTGTAGGTGTGGATAGTGACATCCCCACGGATACCGGTGATAACAGCATCCCATGGCTGCAGTCAGCACTGGGATATCATGCGTGTTTTACTCAGTATCTTCAGAAACCATTGCTATCACCACAGTATCTTGTGCTAGTAATCGGCCACGCTGGGCCTCTTTCCATTAATAAGTTACTTTACACATTTTTCAACAAAAAGAAAGGTCAACAGTTGAAATGAACGAAAAATGAAGATCTGATTTATAAGTGATATGTTAATACAATCTTTGCTCAAGTGAGTGACAGTGATGAAGAAAATGTTTTGTTTTGCAAATAAAAAATTAAAAGTTACTTACTTTTGTATGATGTCTCACCATGATGACAGCTTCAGGTCAAGGGTTACCTTCTAGGTTGTCCTCCCTTGAAGTGTTTATTATTAATTATACCACTAGGGTGTGTTATGTCCATTGTTCTGGCAGGTTGATTTTCTGTGTATCAACCTTCTATCTGCACGTGCAAGGGTTGTTTTCTTGGATGTCCTCCCTTGAAGTGTTTATTATTAATGTAAGGTCAAGGGTTGCTTTCTTGGATGTCCTCCCTTGAAGTGTTTATTATTAATGTAAGGTCAAGGGTTGCTTTCTTGGATGTCCTCCCTTGAAGTGTTTATTATTAATGTAAGGTCAAGGGTTGCTTTCTTGGATGTTCTCCCTTGAAGTGTTTATTATTAATTACAGGTCAAGGGTTGCTTTCTAGGTTGTCCTCCCTTGAATTGTTTATTATTAATGTAAGGTCAAGGGTTGCTTTCTTGGATGTCCTCCCTTGAAGTGTTTATTATTAATTACAGGTCAAGGGTTGCTTTCTAGGTTGTCCTCCCTTGAATTGTTTATTATTAATGAAAGGTCAAGGGTTGCTTTCTTGGATGTTCTCCCTTGAAGTGTTTATTATTAATGAAAGGTCAAGGGTTGCTTTCTAGGTTGTCCTCCCTTGAATTGTTTATTATTAATGAAAGGTCAAGGGTTGCTTTCTTGGATGTTCTCCCTTGAAGTGTTTATTATTAATTACAGGTCAAGGGTTGCTTTCTAGGTTGTCCTCCCTTGAATTGTTTATTATTAATGAAAGGTCAAGGGTTGCTTTCTAGGTTGTCCTCCCTTGAATTGTTTATTATTAATGAAAGGTCAAGGGTTGCTTTCTTGGATGTTCTCCCTTGAAGTGTTTATTATTAATTACAGGTCAAGGGTTGCTTTCTAGGTTGTCCTCCCTTGAATTGTTTATTATTAATGAAAGGTCAAGGGTTGCTTTCTAGGTTGTCCTCCCTTGAATTGTTTATTATTAATGAAAGGTCAAGGGTTGCTTTCTTGGATGTTCTCCCCTTGAAGTGTTCATCATTAATGAAAGGTGAAGGGTTTTCTTGGATGTCCTCCCTTGAATTGTTTATTATTAATTACAGGTCAAGGGTTGCTTTCTTGGATGTCCTCCCTTTGTTCATCATTAATGACTTGGAAGGTCAAGGGTTGCTTTCTTGGATGTCCTCCCCTTGAAGTGTTCATCATTAATGACAGGTCAAGGGTTTTCTAGGATGTCCTCCCTTGAAGTGTTTATCATTAATGACAGGTCAAGGGTTGTTTTCTTGGATGTCCTCCCCTTGAAGTGTTCATCATTAATGAAAGGTCAAGGGTTGCTTTCTTGGATGTCCTCCCTTGAATTGTTTGTTATTAATGAAAGGTCAAGGGTTGCTTGCTTGGATGTCCTACCTTAATGTGTTTATTATTAATGACAGGTCAAGGGTGTCTTGCAATGTTGTCCTGGTTTGGAATGCTTTTAAATAAGGATACTTCAGTCATACAGAAAGAACATAGTGATTCTCATTGTGTCAAAACATTCTTGTTACAAATATTCTGTAGTGATCTGCCTCTTCTGTAATATCAATATTTACAATATCAGATATGTTCGATCCCTCTGTGATGTACAGTATATAAACTTATAAACCGACAGTGACGTCACTCTATTGTTTTTAGGGGACACTTTTTCTCATAATATCCCTCAAATCGCTTCCTCGGGCACTTATCTAAATAACGTCCCTCTGTCCCAGGCAATTATCTTAATAATGTCCCTGTGCCCGGGGATTTTCTGAGGAATAGCCCTTGACTGAATTATTACTTGTTTTGAAGATTGATACGACTTTGTCTTGCCATCACTGAATGCAATCTCATAATATGACATTATTGACAATTTACAACATGTAGTGCCAACACCCGGTTTCGAACCCTCAACCCTTCACTTACTAGCTTGGTGGTTTTATCCACTATAGTTTGGCATGAAATGCATGTGGACCCGTTTTTTTGTAAATATCTCTTCATCCAATGACCCAATCGATCTCAAACTGTGCAAGTGGATGTTTTGTCAGACAACCTAATCACATTGTAAATCACTGATTTTATGCATTTGTATTAAAGAATCTGTCTATGTAACTGTCAACAAAATAAACAGCAAAATGCAAACTGCTTGCAGAGGGAGGGAGCCAATGACCTGTAACAGCGGCAGTGTTGGGTCATAAAGGTAAATGCACATGCAGTTCATGATAGTTACCTGTGCACTGCACAGTGATAGACCGTTTGGATCATTCACATTGACTACTTCTAGCTGTCATCACGAAAGCTTATTCAGATGATGCTAAACGTTTAATTAGAAATGTGTTGAATTTTTTTAAAAAGAAAGCAAACGTAGCAAACCGATTTATAAGGTGTCGGATTACATGAAACGTACAACTTTTGCTCTTGGCATGAAAAAGAACATCGTGCTAAAAATTGTGAAAAATAAACCAACAACCAATAAACAAAACCTTGTACAAGAAGGTAGGCATCCAAAGTTAGATTCTTTTGACATCAGGGTCATCAGAGATGTCATTCGCCGGCTATTTGCTAGAAATGAACACCTCTTCATACCTGTCACGTGCATAGCTGACCTACATTGACAAACGTTGACCTTTATGACCCAACACTGCCGCTGTTACAGGTCATTGGCTCCCTCCCAGTTTGCATTCTGCTGTATATTTTGTTGACAGTTACATAGACAGATTCTTTAATACAAATGCATAAAATCGGTGATTTACAATGTGATTAGGTTGTCTGACAAAACATCCACTTGCACAGTTTGAGATCGATTGGGTCTTTGGATGAAGAGATATTTACAAAAAAACGGGTCCACATGCATTTCATGCCAAACTATTGGCTACGACGGATCGTTGTGAAGAATGAGATTGTTTGTCGGCATGAACCGTGTGTTCCTTGCAAGATGGCACGTGCAGGGCACAGGTAGAGCGTGCAGAGCACGTGCATTGCGAGGCGTCAGCTGCCAGTCTCATCCCAGTTGATTTCAACAGTAAATACCAAATATTGAAATTATATCAAAAGTATATCTTCGGTCGGTTTATAAGTTGGATATAATATGATCCGTGGGCATTATTGAAAAGTAAGCCCTCTTCCCTTGCGAAATGCCCGCGGGCCATATTACTTTTCAATAATGCCCGCATGTCATGTTATATCCTACACATCATAACTAGCTATGCTATCTTTCAACAAGGTTTTACTGTCTGTCTGATTCAGGTATGAACACTAACTCCCCGAAAGAGTATCTCACACTCAAGGCAGGGAGAAGCAACAACTCCGCAGTATACTCTAAAGATAAAGGTAAGTGGTTTGTTAAATAATGTCTGTCATCTTTAGAACAGGATTTACCTGGTCCGGTGGGGAAACAATCAGAATAACATCCTTATGACCACTTCTCTATATCAGACAGGGTAACCTTTGGTCACAAACATAAACCACCAGTCTGCCTACTTGAAGACAGTGTCCATTCACCCACCTACCAAACAATACAAAACTAGATCCTAAATGTCTTGTGTAGCATCTGTCCCATGTTTGTGTAGCATCTGTCGGATCTTACCTATGTTTGTGTAAAATCTGTAGGATAATAATAATAATAATAATAATTGCATTTATATAGAGCATCATTCACTAATAAATGCTCTGTGCGCTTAAGATGGAAATTGACACTTGAAAAGAAATGTTTTGAGGCCAGTCTTAAAAGATGTTAGTGACTCGCTGGTTTTGAGTTCAAGCGGTAGCGCGTTCCACTTCATTGCTGCATTGAAAGCGAACGACCTTTTGCCAAAGTTGGTTTTGATGTTAGGCACTGTCACTAGCATTTGGTTTTGTGATCTCAGTGAGCGTGAGGGCTGATACAGGGGCAGTAACTCTGCGAGGTAGTCAGGGGCCATTCCGTTGAGACACTTATGCGTCATTACAATAGTTTTGTAGTCAATTCTTCCGGTGATTGGTAGCCAGTGTAAATCATTTAGAATTGGAGTAATGTGATCGAAGACTTTAGACTTTGTAATGATTCTTGCAGCAGTGTTTTGGAGGGCTTGAAGGCGGCGTAGCTGATCTTTGTTGGCGTTGGTGAGGAGGCTGTTGCAGTAATCTACTCGGGACATGACCAGAGATAGGACAAGTTTTGAAGTAGCATCAGCACTCAGATAGTTGCGGAGTCTTCCAATGTTCCTGAGATGCATATGGGCGTGCTAATGATGTTGGAGATCTGCTTGTCCATTTTCAGACTTTCATCGAGAATAACCCTAGATTCTTGACCTTCGGGGTTGGAGTTATGGCAGTATTCCCTATTTGGAGAGATGGCTTGTCAAGTTTGGAAAGTGTTGTTTTCGACCCAATAAGCAGGAATTCTGTTTTACTTTCATTAAGTTTCAGTAGGTTTTAGTCATCCATGTCTGAATGTCATTGCAGGAATCAGAAAGGGTGTCCAACGATGGCAGGGCTTCTGTGGTAGGAATGAAGAATAGATTTGATTGTCATCTGCATATTGATGTTGGTTGACTTTGTGCTTGTCTGCTATTCTTCCCAGTGGTGTAGTGTACACAGAGAACAGCACTGGTCCTAGCACGGAACCTTGTGGGACGCCACTCCTGAGATCTGTGGGACATGATGTTTTGCTCTCAATCTTAACCACTTGAGATCGATCTGATAGGTAAGATTGGAACCATGAAAGAGCAGTACCCTGACTTTCAGGTCACTTTCCATTCTTGACAACAACATGTGATGGTCAATAGTGTCGAAGGCTGCCGAAAGATCTAGAAGAACCAGTGCTGATACATTTCCTTTGTCTGCTTCTGTTAGAATGTCATTGGTGACTTTTATGAGTGCTGTTTCAGTGGAATGGTTTGGTCGATATGCAGATTGATGTTTGTCAAGCAGCTTGTGTTTCTTCAGATGTTCAGAGAGAGGGTACAAACAGCCTTCTCTAACACCTTCGAGACGAACGGAAGATTAGATACAGGTCTGTAGTTGTTCAGAGTATTATTGTCCAGGTTACTTTTCTTCAGAAGGGTCTCACCAGAGCTTGTTTAAAAGTTTTAGGGAACTCGCATGATGATATTGAGAGATTGATGATGTTGGTTATTGGAAGTACTAAAACCTCCAGGCATGATTTCACAAATTGAGTTGGTATAGGATCGAGGCTCACAACTCTTGTCTGGCAGAAGCTTAATGTTCTTTTCGATTTCATCGGTTGAGAAAGGTTGTATTTCATCAAAATAGCCGAGGTAGCTGAAGTTGACTCGTCACACTGGTCACCTGGAGTGGATGTGTTGTCATCTAGCGTTGAAGCCGAAGTTACTAGCTTGCTGTGAATTCTCTCGATCTTCTCTCTGAAGTATTGTGCAAAGTTAGCAGCAGCTTCTTGAGGAGATTGGTCCTCGGGCAGATTGGTATCACTGGATTTGTTACACAGTTTGGAGACGAGTCGATGGAGCTGTTTAGAGTTGGCCTCTGCATCCAGCACCTTAGTGTTAAGGTACTTTCGGTCTTAACCTGTCTGATGGAACAATTCACCTTGTTCCTCTGTGAAAGCGATACATCTGGCGGTGTATTTCCAAGCCTGTTCTTTGCCATTGCTTTTCTAGCTTCCTCCTGTTGGTTTTCCAGTTTTATATCGTCTGTGTACCATGGTGAGCTTGGTTTCACAGATATAATCTTAGTTCTAAGAGGCGTGTTTGTCTAGAAGCTCTGATAGAACTCTGTTGTATAGATCTGCAAGTTCTGTGGCAGTCTTCGGTTTCACCTTGTAGAGAGGAGAGTTCCCAATATTTGTTTTAAGCTTGTCAATGTCCATATTGCGAAAGTTTCGACATGTTTTCGTTATTTTTCTGTCTTGTTGGTCTTTCCTTGTTGAAAAGAAACACACAGGAAGTGGTCTGACATTTGTAGGTCTTCAACAGTCACTTTTGAATAAGTTCTTTGTTTGTGTCTCTGACGATTACCCAGTCTAGAATATGTCCACATTTGTGGGTTGGCTGGCACAATTTGGACAAGTCCAATTGAGTCCAGGAATGTGACAATTTTTTTTTCTCTGTCAGGTTTTAATGGGTCATCGAAATGGATATTCATGTCACCGAGAATGGTAATTTCACCTGTTTTGCTGCTCTGAAGTTGAACAAAATTTTCAAAGTCATCTTGAAATTTGGAGGCTGAAAGTTTATTTTTAGCTGACGGTGGGGGTCTGTACACACAGATGATATGCAGGTTATTGCTCTGTTCCAAAACCGTTTCCAGAAATTGAAAGCGGAATGTTCATCATCTGTGGGTTCACTTTTAACTTTATGTGTGATTTGTAGACTACTGTGATTCCTCCGCCCATGTGATCAGATTGCCTAGGTTTGTTGATTAAAGTGTAGCCAGTTGGTGTTAATTCTGCTTTGATGACGTCATCACCCTTATCCCTTATCCAAGATTCTGTGATATAAAGAATGTCTAAATCTCTATCATGTAAAAAGTCACAGATATCAGTTGTTTTATTTCGAGCACTCCTTGCATTCCAAACACACACTGTCAGGAAACTTTCTTTTGAATTAGTGACGGATTTAGTTTGAGGTATTTTGTGAATTGACTTCCCTGCTGGCTTGCCTCTCCTTGTCTTGTGTCTGTGTTTCCTTGTAATCAGCTGATTAACAAACACATTGAATTCTTCAATCCCAGGTTTGATTACACAACTTGTGTTGAGACAATGGGACCCAATCTCACAAAGCTATCTCTTGAGTAGACAAGCGATGAGGTGGGGTAGCTGTTAAAACCAGTCTTTTGTTCTCTGTGACTGGGCATTGTTATTGTCACTGTCAGCTTACATGCACTCACTGAAGTTAGTCCACTGTTTACATATAATTGAAGCAAATAAATCCAAATGAATATCATGATTCTTGTTCTTCAATCTTCATAAAAGTCATATTGAATTGTTCACTATGATGAGGTAGGCTTCCATGCCAAATCCTGTACATTTAGGTGTAGTATAAACTGGTAAGATTGTCAAAAGTGTCAGGAGCTGTTTGAGCGTGCTGCCTCCTCGGGCGCTGCTATAAGGCTGTGTAGGATCTAACGTATGTTTGTGTAGGATCTGATGTATGTTTGTGTTACTAGGATCTGACGTATGTGTAGCATCTGAAGGTTCTGACATATGTTTGTGTAGGGTCTGACTATGTTTGTGTAGGATCTGACATATGTGTAACATTTGTAGCATCTGACGTTTGTTTGTGTAGGATTTGACGTATTTTTGTGTAGGATCTGATGTATGTTTGTGTTACTAGGATCTGACGTATGTGTAGCATCTGTAGGACCTGACCTATGTTTGTGTAGGATCTGACGTATGTTTGTGTAGGATCTGTAGGATCTGATGTATGTTTGTGTAGGATCTGACGTATGTGTAGCATCTGTAGGACCTGACCTATGTTTGTGTAGGATCTGACGTATGTTTGTGTAGGATCTGTAGGATCTGATGTATGTTTGTGTAGGATCTGACGTATGTTTGTGTAGGATCTGACGTATGTTTGTGTAGGATCTGACGTATGTTTGTGTAGGATCTGACGTATGTTTGTGTAGGATCTGTAGGATCTGATGTATGTTTGTGTAGGATCTGATGTATGTTTGTGTGGGATCTGTAGGATCTGATGTATGTTTGTGTGGGATCTGTAGGATCTGATGTATGTTTGTGTAGGATCTGTAGGATCTGATGTATGTTTGTGTAGGATCTGATGTATGTTTGTGTAGGATCTGACCTATGTTTGTGTAGGATCTGACGTATGTTTGTGTAGGATCTGATGTATGTTTGTGTAGGATCTGACGTATGTTTGTGTAGGATCTGACGTATGTTTGTGTAGGATCTGTAGGATCTGACGTATGTTTGTGTAGGATCTGTAGGATCTGATGTATGTTTGTGTAGGATCTGACCTATGTTTGTGTAGGATCTGATGTATGTTTGTGTGGGATCTGTAGGATCTGATGTATGTTTGTGTAGGATCTGACCTATGTTTGTGTAGGATCTGATGTATGTTTGTGTAGGATCTGTAGGATCTGATGTATGTTTGTGTAGGATCTGTAGGATCTGATGTATGTTTGTGTAGGATCTGATGTATGTTTGTGTAGGATCTGATGTATGTTTGTGTAGGATCTGATGTATGTTTGTATAGGATCTGATGTATGTTTGTGTAGGATCTGATGTATGTTTGTGTAGGATCTGATGTATGTTTGTGTAGGATCTGATGTATGTTTGTGTAGGTTTGTGTAGGATCTGGATCTATGTGTTTGTGTAGGATCTGACGGATATATGTTTGTGTAGGATCTGATGTATGTTTGTGTAGGATCTGTAGGATCTGATGTATGTTTGTGTAGGATCTGTAGCGTATGTTTGTGTAGGATCTGATCTGATGTATGTTTGTGTAGGATCTGATGTATGTTTGTGTAGGATCTGTAGGATCTGATGTATGTTTGTGTAGGATCTGTAGGATCTGATGTATGTTTGTGTAGGATCTGACCTATGTTTGTGTAGGATCTGATGTATGTTTGTGTAGGATCTGATGTATGTTTGTGTAGGATCTGATGTATGTTTGATGTATGTTTGTGTAGGATCTGTAGGATCTGATGTATGTTTGTGTAGGATCTGATGTATGTTTGTGTAGGATCTGATGTATGTTTGTGTAGGATCTGATGTATGTTTGTGTAGGATCTGTAGGATCTGATGTATGTTTGTGTAGGATCTGATGTATGTTTGTGTAGGATCTGACCTATGTTTGTGTAGGATCTGATGTATGTTTGTGTAGGATCTGTAGGATCTGATGTATGTTTGTGTAGGATCTGTAGGATCTGATGTATGTTTGTGTAGGATCTGATGTATGTTTGTGTAGGATCTGATGTATGTTTGTGTAGGATCTGATGTATGTTTGTGTAGGATCTGATGTATGTTTGTGTAGGATCTGATGTATGTTTGTGTAGGATCTGATGTATGTTTGTGTAGGATGTAACGTATGTTTGTGTAGGATCTGTAGGATATAACGTATGTTTGTGTAGGATCTGACAGCTGCGGAAGCATGTCCCCAGCACAGGTGTACAGCCAGTGGGGGAGGACAGAGTTCACCAAGATCAGGCTGCATGTCGACACCTTTAGTGTAGACATCACAGACTATAAATTCACCAAACAAATCGGACCAAATCAAATATGGTAAGTATATTTGGAAAACTTTAATTTTTCCTTATCCTGACTCATGCTTATTTGCTTGTCTTCTTCTTCTTTGCGAACACAGTGGAACACTTGTATCTCCCAATTGAAGTTCCCTTCAATGTAAAATCACTAATTAGTACTCACCACGAAGTTATCTTTCCCCTCGCAAGCGCGGGAACGAGGGCGCCACCTCCCACCATGTGCCTCACTCTCTCCTTCTTCGCCCAGTGAGCTGGACGTGAGAGCGCCTGTGTCTCCCTACACACTATATCCTTTATTTATATTTAGTTTGGTACCTCTTATATTCATCTATAGAGGTGTAACTAGTATCCTTATTCAACATGCATTGATAATTATTCGTGTTTCTGCTGCTTTATTCACGGTTCGCCGTGTTTGCTCAGCAGTTTGCGTTAATGAAAATCTGCACTGTTTGTAAATTACGTTACTCTGCTACCGATCCGCATTTAATATGCCCTAGTTGAATAACTCCATGCTCTATTGTTTCATGCTGCAAATTATGTATTAATTTGTCTAATTCTGCCTTTGATAAATATTTATATTCCGTCTTGAGACGGGCGGCAGATGGATCTCGGAAACAATCTCCAGTCATGGCTAATAGATCAGAGTCAGATATACCCTGTCAACTGTTGGCGGACGACCCTCTACCGTCTGGTGTTCCGCCTGAGTTACCTTCGGGGGATAAGCGTGGGACGCAGTCCGCTATATCCAAGAAGCGACCTGCATCCCAGGACGTTCCATCATCACAGTCTAAGACTAGAAGAGCTTCCACGTCGTCTCAACGTACGCTCCGAACCCCCAGGTCTACAGCTTCATCAAAAGGGAAATCCACGAAGGCTACTAAAAACTTTGCTTCTGACATTCTACCTGTTTCAGAATTGTGTTTATATGATGATGACATTCCGATTATCATTCCAGATGTACGTCATAAGAAGCGACCAGTATCGGCTACCGTCACTTCAGCGCAGATCAACACGCAACCAGAGATGCCTACGCTGACGCCTGAGATTATAACTGAGGGTCCCGTCACTATCACAGAGAGGACACCCTCAACGCCAGCGCAGACCGTCCCAGACGACCTGGTTAAGCAAATCATGATGTTGATGGAAGACCGATACGGTTTACAGAGGCCTCAGAGCCCAACCCATAATAAGTCATACAGGGCCCCAGAGCCTGCCTTGACTTCGCGTAGGGCCCTAGAGCCCACAAACACGCCTCCACGAAGGGCAACCCAGCCCGTAGCGAAGCCTTCGCGAAGAACGTCCCAGGCCGCCTCCACGAAGGATCCAGAGCCTCACCAGTTGCGAAGGGCTTCGCGGAGGAGGAGTGCTTTACCGTCCTTACACCCTGTAGAACACAGAGGTCGTTCGCGAAGCAGGCTCCCATTTAATGATTCGGACTCTGACTCGATACCTTCCCGAAGGCCTTCACGAAGGTTAAGTGGCTCCAAGTCATCTTCACCCACAAGATCTAGAAGGGATTCATCGAGAGCTTCACGAAGCCACCAGCGTTCGCCGAGGAAGTCTCCTCCAAGGTCTCCCTATACTACCCACTCGTCAGTCCGTTCACCACAATCTTCTCAAATTCGATCTTCTTACAGATCTAGGACTCCACCTCACTCTATTATATGTGATCCCTCGTCAGAAGAGGAAGAAGGTATCGTATCCTCAGATGCAGAAATTAGATACTGGATGGTGAATGGATTAGAACTTGCTTCCCCGTCTAAGAACGAGAACTCAGCTCATACTTATTTGATGAAGGAAGATGATGCGGACACTATCACCTTACCTCCTATTGACCCGATAGCAGCGGTTCCAGCTAATCTGGATACAGCCTTTACCAAATCTCTGAAATTTCAATCAACACATTTCGGTTTTCAATGCCAAGAAATTTGCAGGTCACAATATGGACTCCTTTTCAAGGCCCAAGAGATTGATGACAACTTTAAGTTAATCAGTGATGCCAAGTCCAGAAATTACAGAATAGACGATCGCAAACTAGCCCAGTTGGATACCATTTCTAGGAGAATGTTTTTTGGATTGAATAGATCTAGAACTGTCAATGAAACTCTCATCACCAAGTTCAAAGATTGTACAGAGGAGGAAGATAGAATTATCTACTAGGCTCTACTCATGCAGAAAAGAGACCATCAGTTCCTCACAGATCACTTGTCAGAGCTTACTGAAGCTACTACCATGGCTCGTCGTCAGGGTCTACTAGCCTCCTGCAATTGGGATAATCAATTTACGGAATCACTCTACGCTGCCCCATGGTCATCGCCCTTACTATTTGGTGGTAACATAGACAAGGTCTCCAAAGAGGTGTCTAAGGACTCTAGAGAGGTGCTTATGATCAAATCCATGGATACGTTAGCGAATGTCATTAAGCAATCATCCTTGAGATACTCTGGCAAGTCTAAATTCTCTGGACTACAGAAAGCACGGGACAAGAAATTGGCTACAGCAAAAGGTCCCAGGGAATCTTTTCGTTGCCCATACAGCAATTTCAGAGGAGGATCAGCAAGAGGCAGATCATCCAGAGGTTCCCGCGGATTTAGACCATGAAATTCAGGTTCGGAACGACTGGAGTCTTCCACCCCCAGCCGTTCCAGTACAACCTTCTCAAGTGGGTGGACGCCTTCAGCTGCACTGGGAAAACTGGGGACTACTACAAGATCCTTATGTATCCAACATCCTACAGCACGGATATCAAATACAACTTAAGGCCACACCTCCGTTAACAGTCATCCCTCCAAGGTTTGACTTTCAACCGGCACAACTACCTATGTTAAGAGAAACAGTAGCTACTCTGCTAAGCAAACAGGCCTTAGAAGTTCTGGATCAGCGAAACATCGTACCAGGTTTCTACTTCCCAGTTTTCCTAGTGCCCAAGAAAAATTCCAAGGAAAAGTTTCGTCTCATATACAACATGTGCATCTTCAACAAAGACTATCTAAGCAAACCGCCAGCGTTTCGCATGATACACTTACCGCAACTTCGGCACTTAATTCATCCCAAAGATTACATGGCCAGCATAGATTTGCAAGATGCATATCTACACATTCCGATTCATCCCAATTCACGGAAATATCTAAGATTTATCCTAGACGGGAAACACTACCAATGGAAAGTACTTCCCTTCGGAATCTCATCCGCCCCTTGGGTATTCACAAGAGTGGCCGAAACCTATTGTCGCATACCTACATCGTCAAGGTCTTCGCAGCACATTTTACCTAGACGACGGGATACAAGTGGATCCAGATCCACAGCGTCTCAGACTACAGCTGAACTTTATAATCAAGTTACTAACACAACTAGGATGGTTAGTAAATCTACTCAAGTCGGACCTAGAATCAGCGCCAAGATCTGCATTTTCTAGGTATACGATTTCTAACAGCCCAGAATCGTATAGTAGTCCCGGAGGACAGATGGATCAAGATCCAACAGTTAATCCCACAAGCCTTACTCTCTCCGCTACCACTACGACAGTGGCAGATCCTATTGGGACTACTCATCAGCCCAAGACTTGACAGTCAGAGGCAGGCTTCAATTACGTCCGTTACAAGTCCTCATCAATGCGCATCTCGAGGACCCTCTACCGTTCAGTCTACCAGATCACGTCAAACCTCATCTACTCTGGTGGACCAAGAGATTGAATGTTTGCGTGGCGTCTCCTTATTAGAGCGAATCGGAAACACATCTCTCACGTAGGCAGCGTCACTACAAGGTTGGGGAGCCCACCTGCGCCTACAAGACAGCGTCAGGCCTATGGAGCAATCAAGAGAGCAAATGTCACATAAATCTGCTAGAGATGCAAGCAGTCATAAGCGCCATAAGTCACTGGAGCAACCTACTACAGAGCGGCTCAGTTGATGATTGACACAGACAATTCGACAGTGGCGTTTTATGTGAACAAACAAGGCTCAACAAGGTCACCGAACCTACTGTCCCTATGTTTCTGATTATTCGATCTAATCGACAATCTAAACATACATGTCAGAGCTTGCCACATTCCAGGAGCAAAGAATGTATTAGCAGACGCTCTCTCTCGGCCACACCTACCGTCGCCGACAGAATGGATGCTCCACACAGAGATATTCACTCAAATAATCATGGAAATAGGATCTCCACTAGTAGACCAATTAGCCACTTTCGATTCAACAAACAACTGACAACCTTCAGTATCGCCAGTTGCAGACCCACTAGCATGGGCAGCGGACGCACTAAGCATATATCGTGGGAGGGACTCAGCGGCGTACGCTTTCCGCCACCAGCTTTAATCCCACAAGTCTTACGGAAAATCAGTCAAGCGCAGAGCCTCAATCTGATTTTGGTGGCCCTACTGGCTGGCCGCGAGCGTGGTTTCAAATCTTATTCAAGAAATCGGACAACCAATTCTACAACTTCCAGAGCGCTCGAATCTATTGATACACCCGCGACACCAAACAAGTGCATGGAAAACCAGAAGTATTCCAACTTCACGCGTATGGATTGTATCAAGGCATGTCTGAATAAGAGAGGTTATTCAGCCAGGCGGCAAAAGCAGTCAGCTTGCACTGCGTAACTCAACTTCATAACTTATCGATGACAAATGAAACAGTTTTGTCAATTATGCTGCAAAGAAAGGATTTACAGCCAGATATGCTACTCATCCTCAAGTGGCGGACTACTTATGTTATCTACGACAAACTAAGAATCTAAAAGGCTCAACTTTGTCCACTTATCTTGCAGCATTAAGCTCTGTCATAACTATGAGAACGGGCTTCAAGTTAACAAAGACCCCAGAGTTACTCGCTTTGCTACGAGCATTCCGATTGGAGGATCACAATCGGAAGTTTCACACTCCAGCTTGGGATTTAAATATAGTGCTCCAAAACCTCACAAGTGAGGCTTATGAACCGTTAGAATCTACATCGTTTGAATCACTGACCCAGAAAACTTTGTTCCTGTTAGCACTAGCTACGGCTGCCAGGATGTCGGAGATTCACACTTTGGATTACGAGAGAACACGCTTTGATGATATTCATAACATCGTACATCTGGGACTACGCTGGGATTTTATAGCTAAGAACCAATTGCCAGGTCAACCAGACAGATTATTCCACGTCCCAGCTCTCTCATCCTTTTTTGGACCTCATGATACGATGGATCTATCACTATGCCCAGTAAGAGCACTGAAAATATATCTCCACCGATCCAAACAGAGGAGAGGAAAATTCAAGAGATTATTTATCCCTCTACCTACAGCTCGCATGAGACGGAAGTCTCGCGTACTACTATCTCAATTTGGATCAGAACTGTCATACTACGTGCCTACAAGGCTGCAGGACTCGACCCTCCAAGAGCATCTAATCCTCATGAAATTAGAGAGCTAGCATCAACACTTGCTCTACACGGCAACTGCTCTTTGAATACCATAATGGAGGTTTTTTTCTGGAGATCCGATATGGTGTTTGTCAACCACTATCTGAGAGATATTATCACCAAGGACGTCTCAGGTATCCACCATTTCGGTCCCATGGTCCTCGCTCAACAGTTGACAGTTCCTCGGAGAAGATAAGTCAATCTTACAGATTTATACTTATCTGATATCAGTACTAAATAGCTACATGCTATATATATATTTTGCTTAAGTTCAGTCTATTATCTTAAGCTCAGTACTATGGTTATTATATCATACAATATATTAGCTAACAACTCAAGAAGTTTTGCTATTATATTTAGCTTAAGTTTTATCATATCTTAAGCTCAGTAACGTGGTCACATTTTATATACATATTAGCTAACAAACTCTACAGAGTTTTTGCTATTATATAGCTTAAGTTAAATTATATCTTAAGCACAGTACTATACTCATATAGCTTAAGTTTATGCATATCTTAAGCTTAGTACTTTGGTTACTTCATAAAAGTATATTAACTATAAACTCAAAGGAGTTTATGCTATCACATTAACAACTTAAGTCTACTAGTCTTAAGCTTTGTATTAATGTTGTATATACTTTATCATAATAAGTATATTGTAATAGTTATATTGTAATAACCCATATATGGCAGCTGATAAGTTAGCAGCAGGAATTCATCAGTTCAGTGCCTTTATGAAGTTCCCATAGGGTTATTACAGTCATTACAATTCAAATCACTAATTATCCAAATCCAAAGTATTATATATTCCCACCTCCATAGCCGTCGGATTCTACAAGCAAATAAGCATGAGTCAGGATAAGGAAAAATATGTAATTTTCTGAGTAAAATTGATATTTTATACTTATCCTGAATCATGAGGTAAGCCCTCCCGTCCTCCCCACACTTTAAATTCACCTGTAAATTCAAGTGTTGGGCTCGCTACAAAAGGAGAGAGTGAGGCACATGGTGGGAGGTGGCGCCCTCGTTCCCGAGCTTGCGAGGGGAAAGATAACTCATGGTGAGTACTAATTAGTGATTTTACATTGAAGGGAACTTCAATTGGGAGATACAAGTGTTCCACTGTGTTCGCAAAGAAGAAGAAGACAAGCAAATAAGCATGAGTCAGGATAAGTATAAAATATCAATTTTACTCAGAAAATTACATAATTCTGTTAAAGTGTGACATGCATGAGTTTGAATTACTCTAACATTTTAGTGGCATGCTATGATGTAAATGGTGTGAGGGTTCCATCGTTCATCACTCACTCACTCTTGCAGTTATGGATGTGCTGGGGACAGCTTCTCTAGTTCCTTCAACTGTACACCACATGGAAACTTCAAGATTGACTTGTCTGACACACCATTTGTTGTGAGTCCAGACGTCCAGTGGACCTGGACTGGACAGTACAGCAAGCCCGGTCCCGTCCAGGGACAAGCCTTCATTGCCAACTACAGTAAGTACCACACACATGGAATAAGTTCCTGTAAGGTTCGACTTTTATCACCTGTGACTTAATCCTGGAAATGTATTAAGACATTGATTGACTGTAATGAAAATTAACTTATAATTAAGGTTCAAGAAGTAATAAATACATTGTTATTTGGATACAGTAAACTGGAAAAAAACACACGCCGAATTGATGGATATAATGAACCGTTGTTTGGTACCTACCACTTACTGAATATTTTAATGAATATTTTTGCAATGAACTATGGTTACAAAGAACTAAAACTCCCTTTGAACTCATTGTAGCTGCCAGAACTGTATTTGGCCATACTGAATTCATTCCTTATGTTTGTTTCATATTTTCCAGCTTACATTGGATGCTTCATAGATGCGCATGTCCGTCTGCTGCCATCAGCATTCATAAGATCGTCCACCTTGACACCTGATGTCTGCGTCAGTCACTGCAAACAGCACAGCTACCGGTATGCTGGAGTCGAGGTGAGTGGATCTGATGTATCTTTGTCCACTGTGTGCTTGGGCACATGCAGAGATCAGGTCAGTTGATGGACTCATGGACAGGGTTCTGGTCAGTGGTGGGACTCATGACCGGGCTCAGGTCTGTGGTGGGACTCATGACAGAGCTCAGGTCTATGGTGGGACTCATGACAGGGCTCAGGTCTGTGGTGGGACTCATGACAGGGCTCAGGTTTGTGGTGGACTCATGACCGGGCTCAGGTCTGTGGTGGGACTCATGACCGGGCTCAGGTCTGTGGTGGGACTCATGACAGGGCTCAGGTCTGTGGTGGGACTCATGACAGGGCTCAGGTCTGTGGTGGGACTCATGACAGGGCTCAGGTCTGTGGTGGGACTCATGGCAGGGCTCAGGTCTGTGGTGGGACTCATGACAGGGCTCAAGTCTGTGGTGGGACTCATGACAGGGCTCAGGTTTGTGGTGGGACTCATGGCAGGGCTCAGGTCTGTGGTGGGACTCATGGCAGGGCTCAAGTCTGTGGTGGGACTCATGACAGGGCTCAGGTCTGTGGTGGGACTCATGGCAGGGCTCACCTCTGTGGTAGGACTCAAGACAGGGCTCAAGTCTAGGGTTGGACTCATGACAGGGCTCAGGTCTGTGGTGGGACTCATGACAGGGCTCAGGTCTGTGGTGGGACTCATGGCAGGGCTCACCTCTGTGGTAGGACTCATGACAGGGCTCAAGTCTAGGGTTGGACTCATGACAGGGTTCTGGTCAGTGGTGGGACTCATGACCGGGCTCAGGTCTGTGGTGGGACTCATGACAGAGCTCAGGTCTATGGTGGGACTCATGACAGGGCTCAGGTCTGTGGTGGGACTCATGACAGGGCTCAGGTTTGTGGTGGACTCATGACCGGGCTCAGGTCTGTGGTGGGACTCATGACAGGGCTCAGGTCTGTGGTGGGACTCATGACAGGGCTCAGGTCTGTGGTGGGACTCATGACAGGGCTCAGGTCTGTGGTGGGACTCATGACAGGGCTCAGGTCTGTGGTGGGACTCATGGCAGGGCTCAGGTCTGTGGTGGGACTCATGACAGGGCTCAAGTCTGTCGTGGGACTCATGACAGGGCTCAGGTTTGTGGTGGGACTCATGGCAGGGCTCAAGTCTGTGGTGGGACTCATGACAGGGCTCAGGTCTGTGGTGGGACTCATGGCAGGGCTCACCTCTGTGGTAGGACTCATGACAGGGCTCAAGTCTAGGGTTGGACTCATGACAGGGCTCAGGTCTGTGGTGGGACTCATGGCAGGGCTCAGGTCTGTGGTGGGACTCGTGCAAGGGCTCATATCTCTGGTGGGACTCATGGCAGGGCTCACCTCTGTGGTAGGACTCATGACAGGGCTCAAGTCTAGGGTTGGACTCATGACAGGGCTCAGGTCTGTGGTGGGACTCATGGCAGGGCTCAGGTCTGTGGTGGGACTCGTGCAAGGGCTCATATCTCTGGTGGGACTCATGACAGGGTTCTGGTCAGTGGTGGGACTCATGACCGGGCTCAGGTCTGTGGTGGGACTCATGACAGAGCTCAGGTCTATGGTGGGACTCATGACAGGGCTCAGGTCTGTGGTGGGACTCATGACAGGGCTCAGGTTTGTGGTGGACTCATGACTGTGGAGGGGCTCAGGTCTGTGGTGGGACTCATGACAGGGCTCAGGTCTGTGGTGGGACTCATGACAGGGCTCAGGTCTGTGGTGGGACTCATGACAGGGCTCAGGTCTGTGGTGGGACTCATGACAGGGCTCAGGTCTGTGGTGGGACTCATGGCAGGGCTCAGGTCTGTGGTGGGACTCATGACAGGGCTCAAGTCTGTGGTGGGACTCATGACAGGGCTCAGGTCTGTGGTGGGACTCATGGCAGGGCTCAGGTCTGTGGTGGGACTCATGACAGGGCTCAGGTCTGTGGTGGGACTCATGGCAGGGCTCACCTCTGTGGTAGGACTCATGACAGGGCTCAAGTCTAGGGTTGGACTCATGACAGGGCTCAGGTCTGTGGTGGGACTCATGGCAGGGCTCAGGTCTGTGGTGGGACTCGTGCAAGGGCTCATATCTCTGGTGGGACTCATGACAGGGCTCAGGTCTGTGGTGGGACTCATGACAAGGCTCAGATCTCTGGTGGGACTCATGACAGGCCTCAGATCTCTGGTGGGACTCATGACAGGGCTCAGGTCTGTGGTTGGAGCTCATGACAGGGCTCAGGTCTGAGGTGGAGCTCATGACAGTGCTCAGGTCTGTGGTTGGAGCTCATGACAGGGCTCAGGTCTGTGGTGGAGCTCATGACAGTGCTCAGGTCTGTGGTGGACTCATGACAGGGGTCATATCTCTGGTGGGACTCATGACAGGGCTCAGGTCTGTGGTGGGACTCATGACAGGGCTCAGGTCTGTGGTGGACTCATCACAGGGCTCATATCTCTAGTGGGACTCATGACCGGGCTCAGGTCTATGGTGGGACTCATGACCGGGCTCAGGTCTATGGTGGGACTCATGACAGGGCTCAGGTCTGTGGTGGGACTGATGACAGGGCTCAGGACTGTGGTGGGACTCATGACAAGGCTCAGGTCTGTGGTGGGACTCATGACAGGGCTCAGATCTCTTGTGGGACTCATGACCGGGCTCAGGTCTGTGGTGGGACTCATGACAGGGCTCAGGTCTGTGGTGGGTTTCATGACAAGGCTCAGGTTTGTGGTGGGATTCATGACAAGGCTCAGGTCTGTGGTGGGTTTCATGACAAGGCTCAGGTTTGTGGTGGGATTCATGACAAGGCTCAGGTCAATGGTGGGACTCATGACAGGGCTCAGGTCTGTGGTGGGACTCATGACAGGGCTCAGGTCTGTGGTGGGACTCATGACAAGGCTCAGGTCTGTGGTGGGACTCATGACCGGGCTCAGGTCTGTGGTGGACTCATGACAAGGCTCAGGTCTGTGGTGGGACTCATGACAGGGGCTCAGATCTGTGGTAGGACTCATGACAGGAGGCTCAGGTCTGTGGTGGGACTCATGACAAGGGCTCAGGTCTGTGGTGGGACTCATGACAAGGCTCAGGTCTGTGGTGGGATTCATGACAGGGCTCAGGTCTGTGGTGGGACTCATGACAGGAGCTCAGGTCTGTGGTGGGACTCATGACAGGGCTCAGGTCTGTGGTGGGACTCATGACAAGGCTCAGGTCTGTGGTGGGACTCATGACAGGGCTCAGATCTCTTGTGGGACTCATGACCGGGCTCAGGTCTGTGGTGGGACTCATGACAGGGCTCAGGTCTGTGGTGGGTTTCATGACAAGGCTCAGGTTTGTGGTGGGATTCATGACAAGGCTCAGGTCAATGGTGGGACTCATGACCGGGCTCAGGTCTGTGGTGGGACTCATGACAGGGCTCAGGTCTGTGGTGGGTTTCATGACAAGAGCTCAGGTTTGTGGTGGGATTCATGACAAGGCTCAGGTCAATGGTGGGACTCATGACAGGGCTCAGGTCTGTGGTGGGATTCATGACAGGGCTCAGGTCTGTGGTGGGACTCATGACAGGGCTCAGGTCTGTGGTGGGACTCATGACAAGGCTCAGGTCTGTGGTGGGATTCATGACAGGGCTCAGGTCTGTGGTGGGACTCATGACAGGGCTCAGGTCTGTGGTGGGACTCATGACAAGGCTCAGGTCTGTGGTGGGATTCATGACAAGGCTCAGGTCTATGGTGGGACTCATGACAGGGCTCAGGTCTGTGGTGGGATTCATGACAAGGCTCAGGTCTGTCGTGGGACTCGTGCTAGGATTCAGGTTTATGGTAGGATGATGTTCCACTCTTAGAACCATTTGAAAGAAAGCCTATGCCAAGCCCTTCACTAATAAATGAGACCCCCTCCATGGTGTAGTGGTTAGAGCATTGGCCCGGAGAGCGGAAGGTCACGGGTTCGATCCCCGACCACGTCATACCAAAAGAGACGTGAAAATATGGTATTTGTTGGTCCCTGCCTGGCGCTCGGCATTAATGGGTACAACAAGGACTGGTCGTCTCGGAGTCAGTGTAATATGTCTGAGTGGGGTATTCATGCTTCACTGAGGCATGGTATCTCAGTTGGCTAGCACTATAAAAACAGCTTCAGTCTGGGCTAGTACAAGCAGCCGCACATACACATACACACGCATGCACGTCATCATATGAGCAAAATATTCTCAAGCACGACGTTAAACCCAGTTTCACCTCACCTCTGTAATAAATGACTGGTCCCCAAAGAGGTAGGCAATTCTACACTGACACCATGCTGAGTATTATATCTGCTTCCCATTTCAGTACACTGATGAGTGTTACTGTGGAGACAGCCACACCCGCTATGCCTTAGCATCTAAGGAGACGGAATGTAACTCCAAGTGTAAGGGAGACTTTGCCCAGACCTGCGGGGGTGCCTACAGGATCTCGGTATATGCTACAGGTAAAGCTCAGCAGTACACAAAGTGTGCTCTACAATTCAAAATACTTTCATAACTATGAAAAACAATGTCAGCATGTATTCCTACCCACAACTTCACCTTACCATTCCAACTCCACCAAGACAAAAGTAGTAGCTGTGATTAATCAGACCTTTATCATCCCATCAGAACTGGCCATTGAAAAGGATGATCTAGAAATACTACAAAGTAGTTTGGGGCAGTACAAGTTATTTCATAAGGTGAAATATTTTGCAAGCTCTGACACTAAAGGTCGATGAAATGTTCTGCAAACTGCTGGTTCAACCCTTCTTACTGTAAGCAAACACCAATACTGTATTTCAAAGAGTCAGTTGTAACAAGGAAAATAAGTGATGATACAATCAGATAATCTATCATTATACTGACCAACCATCTTGTGTTGATATTACATGACTGACAAGTGAGATACCCAGATTTGATGATGATTCTGTTTCTTGTGTTGATGGTTGATATTTTCATAAGTGTCATGATGAGTTTGAGAAATTTCTATGTATGACTGCCTATTTTGACATGTGACCTTCAGCACAGGACCAGATAACCCAAGGAAGCTGTGGGGGGGATGCCTGGATCATGTATTCCTGCCCTCAAGTCATCACCATCAGTCAAAGCCCTCAAACTGGCACTTGTCAGCAAACACCCATGCCTCAAGTAAGAGTGAGGGAGGGAAGAAGGGAGTGAGTGAGTGAGGGAATAAGGGAGTGAAGGAGTGAGGGAGTGAGTGAAGGAGCAAAGGAAGGAGGGAATGAGTGAAGAAGGGAGGGAGTGAGTGGGTAAGAGAGGGAGGGAGTGAGTGAGGGAGGGAATAAGGGAGTGAAGGAGGGAGTGAGTGAGGGAGGGAGAGAATAAGGGAGTGAAGGACTGAAGGGAGGGAGGGAATGAGTGAAGGAGGGAGTGAGGGAGCAAGTGAGTGAAGGAGGGAGAGAGTGGGGTGAGTGAGTGAGAGAGCAAGTGAGTGAGTGAAAGAAGAATACCAAACTGGATTAAGAAGTGATATTGAAGACCTATACCAACGTTTTTCAAGTGTGCATTTCCTGATTTATTGAAATATCCTGGTGTAATGACTTATCAGCTCTTGCTATCCAATATCCTTACTGGGCATGTTTTGTGTACAAGAGAACCAGATTATGTTTTTAAACATACCGGTAATGAAAATTTAGTTTTCAAAATGCTGGTATGTTTTTTTGAGAGATGAATTAATCTGGAATTAAGTCTATAAAATATTCATTATGTTTTTCATCGGTCTGTATATTTTGTACCAATGTACCTATCATGCTGCAGTTTAACATGCTACAGCTGCTCTCATCTGTCATATTTATCTATATTAATCGATTCACACAACCAAAATGAAAACCTTCATAAGAGGAAGAGGATCTGACATTTTCCAAGATGATATTTTATTACTTTTAATAACAGATTGTCTATTCTCCCCCAAAGATATACCATACCAGCCTTTTGGAACTTGGAAATCATTACATTTCAATATGTTTTGGCCATGGAAAGGATACAAGAAATATTTTGTTTAGTGGTGCATGTCACAATGAGGCTTCTTGCGTGGCGACGTCAGAGATGGTCTTCAAGTGTATCTGCCCGAAGGGGTACGTTGGACCACGCTGCGATCAGCTGCAATGTAAGTTATCATACACTTCTGTTTCTATTATAGGGTCTCAGTGTTCCGATATAATCGAAGGGTGTGATCAGTGATATTTGTTTTGTTACTTGCTAAACTATGCACTCGGCAACATATGAGCTATGTGAGTGAGTGAGAAATTAGTTACACTGTTATGAATGGCCAACATGGCACGGGACACCAGAAATGAGCTTCACACATTGTACACATTTTGGGAATTGAACCTGGGTTTATAGCGTCACTTGCGAAAGCCTTAACCCCAAACCTGTCCCACTCCACCCCAGCCATATGATGAAATACAGGTATTGTGTGGACTAACATTGAAATATAACAGGGGTGATCCACGATTGGAACCCTTGATCATAGGCACAGGGGTTCGAATCACTGTTTGGACAATAATTTTTAAAAATAATAAACAATCTATATTTTTGCAACCGTATATTGTTTTTATATGTTATGAGTACCTTATGTTTCAAATTTGAACGAGGTCGGTGAAGAAATGGATTTTTGTGAGAATTCTCCCGCTACACTCATTACATAAAATACACAAAGGGGTGACACTTGCGATGCTAAAAGCCTGATCGAAAACCGGACAGCCCGACTATTTTAACGTGCGTTCAATCAAACCGTACATTTTTTCACAAAACTGACTGACTGACTGAGTTTGGTTTACGCCGCTTTTAGCAATATTCCAGCAACATCACGGCGGGGGACACCAGAAATGGGTTTCACACATTGTACCCGTGTGGGGATTCGAACCCGGGTCTTCGGGGTGACGAGCCAACGCTTTAACCATTAGGCTACCCACCGCCCTTTTCACAAAACAATGTGTTGAGCTTGTAGATTATTCTTTTGGCCTTCTGCTCATCGTATTCAGTTTGTCTAACTGCATTTCATATTTGACCACTGACCCTCGCTTTTACACTACCCTCCGTTTTGAACAAACGTCTGGCCGGCCTTCGGTAAACATCGACCCTGTCCGAAAATCGCGGAATGACTCGGAACACAAAACGGCTCTCATTGGTCATTTTCCATGTGTGCGGTTATTGCGGAATATTGTTTTGACAGTTGATATGTTTGGAAAACTCGAACATGGTTTTGGAAATTCTTTCATGGTGAGTAAAATTATTTTAGGCATTAAATGCAATAAAATAGTGCATACAGCATGAACATCTAACAACCTTATGTGGACATATATATGGTTGCAAAAATATAGATTTGTTATTTTTAAAAATTATTGTCCAAACAGTGATTCGAACCCCTGTGATCATAGGTCTCTGGTGTACCCAAGGGACATAACTCTACACAAGGAATAGTGGTGATTTGATAGGGCTATGATTTAAGTGGACATAGATCAACAGATGAATATATTCGGTTAATGGTATTACCATGCAATGAGCTTGATTGTGTTTTTGTCAGCCTTCATCAATGTGGATGGGTCGGACTGCCCTGCCGGGATGCAGCCTGAACAGTGTTCCTGTTCTTCCACGTGTTCTGGAGCTCGCTTTGAGGCCGACAGCTGCACCACATCATCAGGGAAGGTCAGACTGACAATGTTGTCAACCATTTGGTAGATTGTTCAGAGAAGATTTGTCCAAATATACATAGTCTTTGGAAAGATCATGGACTCTACTGACATACCTTTATTATCTCAGTTATTTATTACCAGGAATTTTACAGTTGAAATCTCTTAGCTTAAGGGATCTTCTTCAGATATAAGTATACCTGAAAAATATTTACCTGAAAAACACACACTCTTTCCTCTTGACCATAATTCCTTTGATTGTGGTGTATTTCAGCCACAAGTAACATGTCGCTATGGTGACCCAGGCTTTGTCTTCCTGTACAACCAAGCACCAACTGGGACGTCCAAGCAGACGGTAATATGCCCTGTGGGCTCCGATATTGTAGGCTGCTCTGTCTGGGACAGGTGAGTGAAACCAATACTTGTCATGAAAGGTGACTGATGGGATCTCGTGGTCACTCTTGCTGACTTAGATAATGCATGAAATCATTTCTTTTTGCAAATCTTGATGCTCATGATGTCCTGGTCCTTATTCAATTATTTAAAGGCTGTCATCACATAGCTGGAATATAAATATAAACATTAAACAAAAAACAATCACTATTTTCACTACTTTACATATTCCATTGCATGGGCAGATCCAGGAACTTTGAAGGGGGTTCAGGGGTTTGAACCCCTGACACCCACTATGGCACAATGGTCTTAAGTCATTTTTCATAAGGTGGGGGTCGAACCCTGACAAGCAAACCCAACCCCACCCCAACCCCAACCCCAACCCCAACCCCCCCCAACCCGATCCGCCCATGCATTGTGTTCCAAACTGATGTACAAAGAAACTATCTTGTTAAATGTTATAAATCCTGCAACAGCTCTGCATGACATTTATAATTTGCACATAACTGGAAAGATGTTTATATACTAGTTAATATGGTATGTATATATGTTTATATCTCAGTAACAAGCACAACCATGGACAGGGTGCAGGAACAATGGATGTCGCCAACAGGAAGTGCTCAATCTCAGGCTGCAGCTCATGTACAGTGCAAGCAAGGTGTAAACGTCAGTAATAAGTTTGGCTCTTACTTTATATTGAATATCATGATGTTGATGCAAGCAAAGAGTTTATTATAGACACACTTTTATAAAACACATCAAGGCATCTATATACTCTGAGGCTAGATGTCCTTCATGGGAAGGGCTCTTGTCACCATAAGTGAAAGGTCAAGGTCAGTTCTCAGGTTTTTCTATGAAACATGGTTTTATCATCATCAGTTTCTAAGGCATGTTTATCTCTAAAGCCATGAATGTTTGCATGTGTAGGCATCATTACAAATCCTACCACATGTAGACCTGTGCTTTATCTCTTGAAGGTCAAGGTCATCTTTTAAGTTATTTTGAAATTGGTTGTGTGAGTCATTGCAAGTTTTTGTGCTTTTTACTTGTACTGTTCAGATACTTGGTAAGAGTCTCAGGACAGTACTAAAATTGGGATCTTTGGGACTGGTCATTTATTACAGGGGTTGATGGGTCACACATTTAGATACATTGAGGTTTTTGAAGGAATGCTTTCCAGTCGAAATCCATCAGAATTTGAAGGGCTTTCTTTTGTGTGTCTGATCTGTTTCATGGCCACACCCTATAAGGACTTGGTTCCCTGATTGTGTGTTATTGTTCTCTAATTGTGAATCATGGTTCAGTGATTGGCCCATTGATTTTCAGATTGAGTCTCATTGTTCCCTGAATATTTTCATTCCCAGAGTGTTTCATTGTTCACTAATTGTGCTTCATTGTTACCCATTGTGTGGCATTGTACTCTGATTGGTTGTTACTGTTCTCTCTGTGTCACTGTAGCCTGAGTCTGTATCTTTGTACTCTGAGAATGCATTGCGCCTTAATTGTGTCAAATTGTTTTCTGATTGTCCATCATTGTTCCCTGAATGTGTGTCATTGTCCCCATATATTACCCTGAATGAATGTTATTGTTCCCTGATTGTGTGTCTGTGTACCCAGATTGTCTGTCATTGTTCGCTGATTGTGTGCCTGTGTAAACCTGGGCCTAGATTTTCGAAGTTCTCGTAGGGCTAAGATAGTCGTAAGTTACTGTTAATGTATGGCACTTACGACTATCTTAGCGCTAAGAGAGCTTCGGAAATCTAGGCCCTGACTGTCTGTCATTGTTCCCAGATTGAGTGTCTATGTACCCAGATTGTCTTTCATTATTCCCTGATTGTGTGCCTGTGTAAACCTGATTGTCTGTCATTATTCCCTGATTGTGTGTCTGTGTACCCAGATTGTCTGTCATTGTTCCAAGATTGTGTGTCTATGTACCCTGATTTAGTGTGTCTGTGTACCTAGATTGTCTGTCATTGTTCCCTGATTGTGTGCCTGTGTACCCTGATTATGTGCCTGTGTACCCAGATTGTCTGCCAGTGTGCCTGTGTAAACCCTGATTTTCTGTCATTATTCCTGATTGTGTGTGTGTGTACCTAAGATGTCTGTGTACCCTAGTTACTGTTAATGTATTGTTGGCACTTCATTGTTACCCAATGGTATCTTACTCTGAGCCTTAAGAGCTTTGTACTCTGAGAAATCTAGGCCCTGACTGTCTGTCATTGTTCCCAGATTGAGTGTCTATGTACCCAGATTGTCTGTCATTATTCCCTGATTGTGTGCCTGTGTAAACCTGATTGTCTGTCATTATTCCCTGATTGTGTGTCTGTGTACCCAGATTGTCTGTCATTGTTCCAAGATTGTGTGTCTATGTACCCTGATTGTGTGTCTGTGTACCTAGATTGTCTGTCATTGTTCCCTGATTGTGTGCCTGTGTACCCTGATTATGTGCCTGTGTACCCAGATTGTCTGCCAATGTTCCCTGATTGTGTGCCTGTGTAAACCTGATTGTCTGTCATTATTCCCTGATTGTGTGTCTGTGTACCTAGATTGTCTGTCATTGTTCCTTGGTTATGTGTCTGTGTACCCTGATTGTCTGTTATTGTTCCCTGAATGTGTATCTGTGTACCCTGATTGTCTGTCATTGTTCCCTGGTTGTGTGTCTGTGTACCCTGATTGTCTGTTATTGTTCCCTGAATGTGTATCTGTGTACCCTGATTGTCTATCATTGTTCCCTGATTGTCTGTCATTGTTCCCTGGTTATGTGTCTGTGTACCCTGATTGTCTGTCATTGTTCCCTGATTGTGTATCTGTGTACCCTGATTGTCTGTCATTGTTCCCTGGTTATGTGTCTGTGTGCCCTGATTGTCTGTTATTGTTCCCTGATTGTGTATCTGTGTACCCTGATTGTCTGTCATTGTTCCCTGGTTTTGTGTCTGTGTACCCTGATTGTCTCTTATTGTACCCTGATTGTCTGTCATTGTTCCCTGGTTATATGTCTGTGTACCCAGATTGTCTGTCATTGTTCCCTGGTTATGTGTCTGTGTACCCTGATTGTCTGTCATTGTTCCCTGGTTATGTGTCTGTGTTCCCTGATTGTCTGTTGTTGTTCCCTGGTTTTGTGTCTGTGTACCCTGATTGTCTGTTATTGTTCCCTGATTGTGTATCTGTGTACCCTGATTGTCTGTCATTGTTCCAAGATTGTGTGTCTATGTACCCAGATTGTGTGTCTGTGTACCCAGATTGTCTTTCATTGTTCCCTGATTGTGTGTCTGTACCCTAATTGTCATTGTTGCTGTTGTATGTTTCCCTGATTGTGTGCCTGTGTAAACCTGATTGTCTGTCATTATTCCCTGATTGTGTGTCTTTGTACCCAGATTGTCTGTCATTGTTCCAAGATTGTGTGTCTATGTACCCTGATTGTGTGTCTGTGTACCCAGATTGTCTTTCATTGTTCCCTGATTGTGTGTCTGTGTACCCTTATTGTGTGTCATTGTTCCCTGATTGTGTGTCTTTGTACCCAGATTGTCTGTCATTGTTCCCTTATTGTGTGCCTGTGTACCCTTATTGTGTGTCATTGTTCCCTGATTGTGTGTCTGTGTACCCAGATTGTCTGTCATTGTTTCCTTCACAAGAGGATGTTTTTCCTCCAGAGTACCTGTGTGGGTGTTTGAATGGCGGCACGTGCAGCAAGGTGACAGGGACGTGTAGCTGTCCTGTGGCCTACTTCGGTGACCACTGTGAATTGTTTGACTACTGCAGCTACTACGAGGACCACAACAACAGGAGTGCATGTGGAGCAGGTAACTGGGGATGTGACACATCGTTTCTACCAGCCATTGCAGAGAAATTATAGAGATTCTCATGTGACTCAATTATTGAAATGGCTGGAATTTGTCTAAAAGCAGCATTAAATTGTTGTTAATTTTTTTCATGCCTGCAATTCTTAGATTCAATTCAAATGGGTACAACATGTGTTGTCACAGACCTTGGATTGTCTGGACAATGTTTAAAGCATTATTCGACAGTTACTGAGTTCTTGTTACAGGCACCTGTATGGCCGTGCCAGAGAAATCAGTCCACACCTATGGAGGTGACAATGCTGGAGACCATTGTCTTTTCCCCTTCACCTACACAGGGCTCACATTCAGCTCTTGTATCAACAGCAACCAGGTGAGAATACCCTTGGAAAACCGCGCCATTGATCTAACCCCATACTGCCACAGACAACATGCCAATGAACAAAACTGTTCAAACTTGATTGATAACATTTGTCTACCATTGTAGAACATGACTATTACTTAGATCTACCCCAATAGGCTATACCCTCATGACAGAGTTGAACAGCAAGATTGAAGAGGTCTGTGGTACAGTTGTCAGTGATACAAGTAGCTTGCACAATCACCGAGCCACCACAATGTCTGTGATGTTCTGATATTGTTGTCTGTGGGTTAAACACAGCAGTGAATGGGTACCCAGTAGGAAGAGATGGTAATATGACCGAAAACCATCCTGCTCCTCAAAGGTACTATCCAGAAGGATGAGATTATAACAGAGTGCACACCAGTCTACTGAGCGGAGTAATAATGTAGATCTATCATGGACTAGTCATATATGAGCAGTTACAAACTAGAAAGTGCTAGATACAAATAAAAGAAGTATCATGTCTTATTCATGTCTGTGAACACAACCTCTGTGAACACAACCACAGACATGGAGTGAAGAAAGTACCCTTATTCATCACCAAACTTGTGTAATGCCAAAAATACAACTGCATAAGGTTATACTGCTGTCACGCACCACTGTTCAACAACTGTGATATGGTAATATCTTGATGCTAGTCATGGCACAATCTCAACTGATTGCACACAGTTTGGGTTACCTGTGGATCATGGCCCAGCTCTCGGTGTTATATAATGATGTATATCTATGCCCAATGATGTATGTCACATGTGCCCTGTTGTTATGCTATTTGGCAGGTTGGACCACCCTTTGCATGTGGAGCTAAGTTTGACGGATACAATGACTATATTGATCTGGGACAATGGAACCCTGGGACAGTCTACACTATAGCAGCATGGTTGTACCCAACAATTTCAGACTCACGGAGGAGGGTATGTACTGCTTTCCTCATTACTAATTGTAATAACTAGGTTGATATTTTTTACATAATGTATAAATCACACGTTCAAACAGTTACGCTTGTCTTTATATGTAAGGTTTCTGCTCATTTAGACACCTTTCTCTGTTTACATACAGACAAGTTGACCTAAAGATCCTTGATGTTTGATGATATGCTTACAATGCCATGTGAACAGTATTAGTACTATGTCTGTGCCTGAAGAGAAGGACATAATGATTTGGGTGCCAGTTCCAAATTATTTGGATTTCTCTACTTAGATTACTTTCCAACATTAGACCCGTGAAGATCCGGGGTAAAATAGGTCTTCAGCAACCCATGCTTGCCACAAAAGGCGACTATGCTTGTCGTAAGAGGCAACTAACGGGATCGGGTGGTCAGCCTCGCTGACTTGGTTGACACATGTCATCGGTTCCCAATTGCGCAAATCGATGCTCATGCTGATGATCACTGGATTGTCTAGTCCAGACTCGATTATTTACAGACCGCCGCCATAGAGCTGGAATATTGCTGAGTGTGGGAATAAATAACTGGGCGACCTTTAATCTTGAACTTGTGAGTTTATTGTTTGAGTTGACTATTCTGTGTAGTAGGTTCAAGCTGGTTAAAGAAGTAAGAAAAACAACATTTAGTTAAAATATCCAGCATAAAACCTTGCAAATAATGATATACAAACACATATTACATAATAGTCTGTGTAAGACCAATAAAACAATGATTTCATAGTGGCACAAAAATAGGTGACACACAACCATGTGCTCGTGCTCGTCAAGTTGAAGTTTACAGAAAACACTTTACCATTAAAATTAATAATACCTGACAAAATTGCTTGAAAAGTGTTGCAATACTAAAAAGAAACAATGCTTACAAATTTTAGGCCCATTATTCTCCACAAAGGTAGGTGTGCAAAGTGAAAAGTAGAATGTTGTCTACCGCAGCAGACGTTCATAGCTCTCCGTTCACAACCACGAGGTCACCGCAGCTATTAGAGTTATCTGCCCCATAACTTCCGGCCTTGTTGAGGCAACAGATAGTTGCGTGAAGCGCACGTAAAATCTTTATAAAAACTTAAAGCAAATAAATCTCTACACTGAGTGCGGCGTAAAACTAAACTCACTCACTCACTCACTGTCCAACATTAGTTTATTTATCTACTTGATGTTTCGTGATTTATGCTAATGTTGTGAATGTTCTTGTGATACAGAGGCATGTTCGTGTTTCTGTAGGAACTGTATCTTTAAACTTGAGATGAAGTCCATCATTTACTAATATGACAGGATCAGTATTTTACGTGACATCTGACATTGTACAGAAACAGGACACAATGTCAGGCTTTCCTCTTGTTTATCACAAATTATTATTTTGAGATATATTTTTCTAAGCCTTTTGTGTCTTTATTTTGGGTAAAATGGTGAAGAAATGCAGGACAGTAGCACACTTTGGAATATTCTGCATACCTATCAAGTAACTTCAGCCTTAGAATGTCCCCAGTAATTACACCCTAAACATGACTGTTTACGAAGTTGTTCTGTTTAGATCACATGTTCTTGTTGACAGACTATTGTTGGTGGAGTGTCTGCGTGTCGTGACTTCGGTCTGGCAATGCAGAGCGGCAAGTTCTTAGCCTACTACTACCCTACTTCTGGGAGGCACTGCACCACGTCTCTGCTTGCTCCAACTCCCTACACTATGGGGAAATGGTATCTCCTAGCTGTTGCCAACAATGGAACTAACACATTTCTCTACCTGAACGGCAAGCAGATCAACACTGTTCAGGTGAGACATGTTGATGTTTTTCCCAGCGCCTCTTGACATCCTTGAGCAGGATGGTTACCCAGAGCATCACGCTTCTGGTTCAGACAACATTTATTGAGGACAAAGTTATACACAGGGTCTGTTTGTACATTTATTTGTAACATAATATATACCCGTGGAGATCTAGGTCAGAATTGATATTCAGCAACCCATGCTTGTCATAAGAGGTGACTAACATCATCAGGTATGCCAATTGCATAAATCGATGTTCATGATGTTGATCACTGGACTGTCTGGTCCAGACTCGATTATTTACAGACCGCTGCCATATAGCTGGAATATTGCTGTGTGCAACATAAAACTAAACTCACTCACTCATTTTTGTTTTGTGTTTGGAAGTTTGATAGCATTAAGCATATAAGTAATTAAAAATAATAATTTCTAGACTTGCGTGGGCTTTCTGGGATATATTTGCTTCAGGTTCTGTATGACGGACTATAGGAGATATACCTACTGTATTTCAGTGCAAAGCTTGGCCACCTGGAACATGGACCTACTTGCACAAAGTGTTCTTAGCGCTTCAATTATCATAATGACCATACTCTATAGTCTGTTTGACTTAATTTTTGACCGATGAATTGCTCAGTAACATGAAATCTAATAATTGCAACAAAACCAAATTTTGCACAGTCACATGATATCGACAGACCAACTCTGATCATTTGTCTCATAATTTTAGACACCAGAAAAAAAAGTTGTTTAACAAACGATCATTATTTTGTTGTCACTTTTCATTATTTCTTACGAACAACCAGGTGTGCGAGTTGTACATGTGAAATTGAAATTTCACTGCACATGCTTGTTGAATCCCTGGCTGTTCTACCAGCATGTGGTCCCCCCTCATAAATATAGCGAAAAGTGACAACAAAATAATGATTATTTGTTAAACAGCTTTTATATTCGGGGTCCAAAAAGACAAATCATCAGAGTTGGTCTGTCGATTTCATGGGACTGTGCAAAATTTGGCCTTGTTGCAATTATTAGATTTTGTGTTTTTTAGCAATTCATCGGACTAAAATGAGGTCAAACGGACTATAACATAGACGTAAGATAGTCTTAGAGCTAAGATCGCTCTGTGCAAGCAGTTCTTTATCCACAAAGCGTTCATAGTACTACGCCATTCATAAGTTAGTGATACAGTATGAAGAATACAAGATACAACAGGTAATCTAAGTTGCTTGGTGAATCCCGGAAATTGAACCATGCTGACTCTACTTTGGAATATTTAATTTAGTATAGTTCAATCTTTGGGCAACCTGAGAGTACCACGGTAGGTATGGCTCCATCAAACCATGACAAATACTAAACATTAACTGTTTGGTGTCAGAAAAGAGATTAGGGAAGCAGCTTGGGTTGAGTCCAGTGTATTGAGTGACTTAGCTGACTGGATCGAAAACACATGGATTCTAAACATTTCTCAAAGTAGGTGTATATGCTCAAACATTGACTTATTACATCCTTTATTTGCTTCAAATAGAACAGACATTGGAAGTGTATGGAACGGTATCTTTTTAAGCCACCATCAAGAAATTTAATCAAACCTTGCAAAATATATATATAATGAACAAACTTAGAAATGCACCACACTAAAATGCACCGACGATGCTCAGATATCATAGGTACATTTCAGTCTGACAGGGATATTCCGTATGATATGGGTGGTGCGTTTCTAATGTTGTTCAGTATAATTCAGTGATATTCAGATTTGATTGTTCATTCAGTGTTATCAGATATGCACCTCTGGGTTTGGGTCTCAGATCTCTGTGGGTATATTTCTAACTAGGTTTTACAGAACTTGATCCATGGATTTCAAGAACCATTTAAGGCCTCTTGCACAAGGGTTTTCCTTTCCCATAAAGCTCACTTGCTGTGGTATGACACTGTTAATTGTGGTGTTATACTCAACTCGCTCTATCATTCTTGTCACTGGGCTTTTACACTGCTAGCTTTCAGCAATACATCCATCGGGCAGCTGAGCTTTTGAAACAGATCCAATCTGATAAATTGTTGTTGTCAGAATCTCCCATATTCACTACCGACGACGCTTGGCTTCAGGATCGGTAACTCCTACTGCTGCAAACAGGAAACCTTCAAGGGGATGATCAAGGTATGGATGGAAACATTCAGGAGATGGTGCTGTTTTACTGTTAAGCTAGGTTACCAGTACATTTAACTTGACTGAATTCAATTTGGCACAAAATGTGCATTTGGCACACAGCTCGGTAAGAGGAAACTCAGTAATACAAAAACACGAAGAATGCGCAATGGACAAATTATGGAAAAGGCAGCCCAGTATATACAGATACTGTGACACATGTACGGCAGATAGAAATTCAAAAGAGGGCAAAATGTACAAAATATTGAAAATGCAACTAGTTGCTGCACAAACTAAATTATTAATTCACATTTAATAATAATTTCATGACCTCACAAACCTGTGATGAACGAAAATTCTCTCTGTCTTGCTATGGTAGCCTGCTTTCACAGCGTCAGACCATCTATCCATGAAGTGACCCAGGAATACATTCGCTTCTTGCTGGTTACCATGTTAATTGTGACAAGTAATCAACAGCGGCAGGAATAAAGTATCACAAATAATCTATCAGTGTTTATGTAAATCTAGAACATCATGAATATAGGGAATGGAAAGTCTACACTTTCTTTCATGTTGCTGTGACAAAGATGCCAATGTTTTGATGAGTTAAATTGGCATTTATGGGTGAATTGTTTTGTTTAAGTCGGTGAAGGTCTGGAAACGAAGCCTAGGCATCGAGGCGATCACAGAGAGCATGAGTGTGACCGGCAGTGTCAACTCTACAGTGAGTATTCTGAGATAAGACCAGTTGGCAGTGTCAACTCTACAGTGAGTATTCTGAGATAAGACCAGTCGGCAGTGTCAACTCTACAGTGAGTATTCTGAGATAAGACCAGTCGGCAGTGTCAACTCTACAGTGAGTATCCTGAGATAAGACCAGTCGGCAGTGTCAACTCTACAGTGAGTATTCTGAGATAAGACCAGTCGGCAGTGTCAACTCTACAGTGAGTATTCTGAGATAAGACCAGTCGGCAGTGTCAACTCTACAGTGAGTATTCTGAGATAAGACCAGTCGGCAGTGTCAACTCTACAGTGAGTATTCTGAGATAAGACCAGTCGGCAGTGTCAACTCTACAGTGAGTATTCTGAGATAAGACCAGTCACACATTGTCCAGGGCTGGAGTGAAGGGCGAATGGACCTGTCAGAAATACTAATTTAGTTTTAGACCAAATTTAATTGAAAATACTAATATGAAATTAAAACATTATAAGGTTATATATTGACAGTTTATTTTGAAAAACATCAAGTTTTATGTGCCTTTGATAGCACTGGACACTTTCATTTTGTCATATGAGAAATACATATTAATCAATTTGGAATTTAAAAACAATTTGCAGTACTCTGTGTGTAAAGCTGAACGAGTTACAGATTACATATGACATTATCACCAAGACTAGTTATGGTTTTGTTTCTCAGTGACATTATGTGTAATGGTATTCTATCAGCAAATTTGACATGAAACTAAGAGTACATTAAAAAAATAAATTTCAGACATTAGACACCAGTTTTAAATCAACTACTTCCCTTTTAGAATTACAAGATGTAATTAGAAATGTCAAGTGATTTTTTTAATGTACACTGTAGTCTTAGACAAGGAGAATTATGTCATTTCTCACTTGGTAAAAGAAGCAATCTGTGTTGCCAGATTGAGGCAAGATATAATGGACTTGTGGCACACTATGAGCTCGGACAGGGCATCAAGGTGCCGTGTAATGGCATCGACCACGGCGGTGATGACTGGACGGTAGCCCAAAGTGACATTCTGTCTGGTATGTTCTATGCACACATTATAACATAACAGTAATGGCATTCTGTATGGTATGTTACAACACAGATTATTACATGTCAGTAATGGCATTCTGTATGGTATGTTATAAACACAGATTATTACATGTCAGTAATGGCATTCTGTATGGTATGTTATAAACACAGATTGTTACATGTCAGTAATGGCATTCTGTATGGTATGTTATAAACACAGATTATTACATGTCAGTAATGGCATTCTGTATGGTATGTTATGAACAGATTATTACATGTCAGTAATGGCATTCTGTATGGTATGTTATAGAGACAGATTATTACATGTCAGTAATGGCATTCTGTATGGTATGTTATGAACAGATTATTACATGTCAGTAATGGCATTCTGTATGGTATAATAGAGACAGATTATTGCATGTCAGTAATGACATTCTGTATGGTATGTTATAAACACAGATTATTACATATCAGTAATGACATTCTGTATGGTATGTTATAAACACAGATTATAGCATGTCAGTAATAATATTCTATATGGTATATTGTATACTCAGTTTTTCGTTCAGTTTATAAAGTCTAAACACACAAGTCCAAAAGTCATGCAACTGAAATCCATGCACACAGAGATTTTATTCTATGTGAGATAAATGAGATAGTCTTCAGAGCTATCAAATAAATATTGTTTGACTTTCCTCTTACATTTCAAACGTTGTCTTCACTCCAGGTACTCACTGCAATGTAAGTGAGTTCGTCATACCAAAGGGAGTGACAGCCTACATCAAGAAATATGATGGAACATCTGGGGGCATCTTTGAAGTGTACTCTGAAGTATGCTTTTGCTTTACATAAAACTAACCATTGAGGTGTTTTAATTGCAAATATTGTTACGGTTAATAAATTGCCATGATGAAAGGTTTAAAAGTCCAGCAAAATAGAACACAGACAAGTCTAACATATTCAATAATATATTGAACAAACAATGAGCAAGCTACAATGAATGACAATACAGATTACTAGTACAATGCAATTGAGTCACAATTCTAAAATATTGGGTCACAAATATTAGATATTAACTCACCAGAGTCTTGACATTTACAGTGAGAGCAGATATACTGATTGAAGGTTGTTTACAATGAAAGTAGACGAATAGGCAAGCATGATCAGTCTTGAAATGTTGAGCAAATTCGATGATGGCAGACAGATGTATGTAGCTCCAGTCATGTGAAAAGTCTGTCGCACAATGCAACAACCAGCCTTTATATTGCTCTAGCAAAGCTAGGCTCCATCATTATCCACTCAGAACGTTCACGAAAGCCATCGTAAACACAAGATGTGACAAGATCCGGAAGTCAAAACAAAATAAAGCCAGCCAAGGGAGGCAACTCAGAAGCGCTATCAAAAAGGCGTGCTGCTACAAATACTATAGCCATTAAACATAAATGATGCGAGATGCGATCCAAACCCACACTCAAAACTTTAAACATTGTGACCCATAATAACTATCACTTAATCAATGATATTACAAATTACAAAAAACATACTCTCGTAACAATATTGAAATGTTTTATTGACTTAATGATCTCAGTTTCATGTTATCAAATATAGTCTGTCATATTCATTCAACATGTTGTAGTTGAAGTTATCTTAAAGGGAAATTGATGGATGAGGGTGGTGATGGGTGTTTATGTCTATACAGAGTATACAGATTGACGGCTACCTGAATGGGATGGGTGCTGGTTACCGAGGAGCAGCACGGGGGGCATCCTTCCCCTCACAAGATGGCATGCAGGGAGAATCCATAAATGGTAGGTATATACTAGCTACCAAAAGCACGGTGGTTTTATACACGCTGGCCTACAACTTGGTCAGGGAAATCCTGCCTCATGGAATATCATGGATATTTACCGGTCTCATAACATGAGTTATCTGTCCTTGAAGACCACTATGAAATTCATGATATAGCTGTATCCACTTCTGGAATGACTTTGCTGTTATTATGTCAATATGTAGCAGGGCATGGAGTCATCCTTCAGATGACATCCTTTCCTTGTGAGCTTGCTGACGGGCTTAACCTCTTTGGTCATGTGGACAAGGTGTCCGACCTCAGATCAGAAGGGCTGTGATTCGAATCCCAGCATAGGACTTGGAATTGTATGGCCGCTACATTGGCGCCAAACGTGGGTCTGAGCATGTTCATATGGAATTTTAGCAATCACTGCTTGTAACATTGTTTACCACGTGTAAGGTCATTGATATATATTTCTCCCTGGTGCCAATACAGACAGCAACATTTTATATGTCAAATTGCCTTTCTAAAATTAATATTGTCACTTTTAAAAATAATAAGTACTTAGCCCTGGTATAACTGGAAATCACACAAAATATCAACAACCCATTATTGTGGTGGCCATGGAGTCACCTTGACTTTCAAAATTCAGATTCTGTTGGTGTTTTCAGAGACCATATACGTGGTTACCAGAGTGCTCATTTGCGAATGTCTGCGCATTTGTTGCGCATGTGTAGTTGGCAGCAGGGTGTCGATGTGTATCAGTTACATGCCAGGCCGTAGCACTGATGGTTAGTGATAAACTGTTGGGTAGGGCCGTCCCTCTATTATATGGTCACTGGTGTTTTGGACAATTGCATCGATCTTTGGATATAAAGGTTTCTGTTCCGAATCCTAACACAGGACTCAGAAATGCTAAGGTCTGTATACAATGGTTTGTTGTGACAGGAGCGGGCACAAGAAGCACAGCAGCCAACAAGGGAGGTGGTGGTGGTGGCAATGGCGGCCATATTGACTCCCAGGGATATGGCCGACCAGGGGCTGGAGGAGGGTATGGGACTGCAGGGTGAGATATGTCGGTTTTGTTTATCATGGACAATGGAAGGCTTTAGCATTTCCGCTATCGACTACTCTGTTGGTAATCCCAGGGAATGTTATTAGAGCTGACTGAATTGAGGTGAGATGGCCAGCATCGGTTGAATGTGGGTGATCTTAACACCACAACATAATTTATTGCTGAAAACATTACAGTTTCCTTGAATGCAAATCCTTTTGGTCTTTAATTTGAGTTGGGGGCTACTAAGAATTTGACACACCTTAATTAATGATATACATGTTAGCATTCGGAAGTTCAACAGAAACAAAAATTTGACACAACTCAATGCAAGAGATCCAGTTTGACACAGACGTTTGTTGATGACTCCACCCACAGAAAGGGCCCGGTGAAGAGATCTAATGGTGGCAGTGGCTGGAGTTCTGGTGGCACAGTGTACGGAGACACAGCAATGTCCAAAGTATACATGGGGTCAGGAGGAGGAAGTGGGGGCAATGCCAAGGACCTCAGTCACACACCTCCAGGTGAGACTTACCTGTACGCAGTCACACACCTCCAGGTGAGACTTACCTGTACGCATTCACAAACCTCCAGGTGAGACTTACCTGCACGCAGTCACACACCTCCAGGTGAGACTTACCTGCACTCAGTCACACACCTCCAGGTGAGACTTACCTGAGACTTACCTGCACGCAGTCACACACCTCCAGGTGAGACTTACCTGCACTCAGTCACACACCTCCAGGTGAGACTTACCTGTACGCAGTCACACACCTCCAGGTGAGACTTACCTGTCACGCAGTCACACACCTCCAGGTGAGACTTACCTGCACAGTCACACACCTCCAGGTGAGACTTACCTGCACTCAGTCACAAACCTCTAGGTGAGACTTACCTGCACTCAGTCACACACCTCTAGGTGAGACTTACCTGTACGCAGTCACACACCTCCAGGTGAGACTTACCTGTACAGCAGTCCCACAAACACAGTCACAAACCTCCAGGTGAGACTTACCTGCACTCAGTCACACAACCTCCAGGTGAGACTTACCTGTACTGCAGTCACACACCTCCAGGTGAGACTTACCAGTACGCAGTCACATACCTCCAGGTGAGACTTACCTGCACTCAGTCACAAACCTCTAGGTGAGACTTACCTGCACTCAGTCACAAACCTCCAGGTGAGACTTACCTGCACTCAGTGAGACACCTCTGCACTCAACCTGCAGGTGAGACTTGTACGCAGTCACACACCTCCAGGTTAAACTTACCTGTATGCAGTCACGCACCTCCAGGTGAGAATTACCTGCTCTCAGTCACACACCTCCAGGTGAGACTTACCTGTTATTTGCCACAAATCCCAAATGCTGAAAGGTCTGCAAGCAAGATAAACCATTTGGTGTAAGAAGTCATGCATCCTGTTGATGAGTTCACTACGAAAAGAATGTTAAATAGTTGATTTAACAGTTCCCAGCAACTGACCTCCTGTTTTGTCCACCAGGTGGCCGTGGGGGTAACGGCGGAGCTGCTATAGTGCTGTATTCAACCGGCAACATCCAAGTCACTGGTTCCATCTCAGTGGCCGGGGAGACTGGACAGGGAGACAGCTTCACTCAAACTGGGTCAGTAACTAGAGAGTTAACATTTTCTTTATATTTTAGTTTATTTTTTCATTCCATTCTCATGTAAGAAGAGGAATTATTTTATATACCTGTGTCATTTTACATGTTTCTTTACATCTTTTGAATTTTGTCTGTTTTCTTGAAGTAAAGTCATCCTGTATGTGACCTCATGCTTTATTTGTATATTTTTATTATCATTTTGCCTACTGCCTTCTGCATGTTGGCCATTTTGAAAACCAGTTAAACATGAACCTATTTTGTATACTGGTTATTGCATAGGAAGATATCACTGATTTCCTATTGGTGTCTACATTTGTCTGTCATTGAACAGGAAGACTGAGGTCATTATTGTTGATTATTCATAGGGACTGACAATGTTGGTTTTTTTCACTCACGGAGATATGAATATAGATTTTTAACAGATATCCACAGTGTGCATGCCAGATTTATTGTTTACACCTCCCTATATGTATGATATTGAAGTCGTTTCACAAGTATCCAAACAACAAAAAATGTCTGCTGCAGTTGTAATGGATGCCCTGCATCATGCAAAGCCTCCAACCCGAAGAACTGCGTAGGCAGCAGCACAAGTGCATGCTGGGACATGTCTGGTCCAGGAGGTGGCGGCAGTGGCGGCAGTCTTTACATGACAGGAAATGTTGTTGATGTTGGTATGTGACCTGGATTTTCATCCCACTAGGAACAGCTGAACATCTGATATGTATTCTCTGTGTGTCGTAGTTGACAGAATCATACAGATCATATTGATATTTACAATGTTCTCGGTGTCCACTACTCAAGTCCTTGTCTGACAGATGTTGGATGTGTTCTGTAGTAGTCACCGTAAGGGACCATTCATAATTTATGGCTGGGGTGTGGGGGTGTGGGGGGGTGGTGTGATGTTGATTTTAAGGGTGGATCTCCCATTTTGTTCTGGGGTTGGGGGTCATTTTGTAAAAAAAAATAATTATGGCTCTAAAAAATATGGGAAGGGGGAAGGGGGTCATTGATTTTGTACATGACATGCAGGGGGGTGTCACTTACATTGTACATAAATTTGGGGGGGTTCACTCACATTGTACATGCTTCTCCATAAGAATCATCATCACTCCCCTTGCCATAAATTTTGAACAGTCCCTAAGATATGATCATCAGTGATACAAACACCAGTTTGGAGCATAAGTTCCCACTGGTCTGAATGAAAGCTGCAACATATTGTGCAGTGTTCTTCAACCTTGATGTTCTGCTGGTCGACAAAACCACAATTAATCCATCACTCAAAGAATGGATTAAACTTATGGAAAACTGTGCAGTCCTCAAACTGCAAGGGCAGATTTTTAAGCGAAAACTTCAGCTCTCTCTTTTAAACAATGTGTTTGTTCCCTCACTAAACACAGTCTATCTCATAGGTCACAACCGGCTGTGGGCCAGTGGAGGGCGGGGGGGATATGGTGGAGTGGGGGGCTGTGGAGGAGATGGAGGAGTGGGCAGAATTCAGATCAACGCTGTCATCTTTAAAGGCCACACCTCCTCAGTCTATGGGCACATCAACACCAACAATGCAACCAAGCAGTATATAGTAAGTGTATTTGTTCACTGAAAGGTCCTATTCACATATGGCATCAGCAATTTCTGGAAAGGTTTTTGTGGCTTTGATTTGCCCCACACTGAAGCACCTGTGATGTCACCTTAGGCAAGTGACTTTGTTCAAACTATGTCCCTGTTCCAGCAGTAAATGGGTACCCAGTATCATGAGATAGTTATGCGAGTAATAGCGTCTAACATCTCACAAGCAGATTGGAATTTAGACTCCCAAGGGGGCTGAAAATGTAAACAGTGGACAGTCTTCTATTGACTGGAGTAATAATAATGCAGATATAATAAGACCAATATAATTTCTTGTTTTATGGATTTTTGTCCTCAGAAATTCTAAAGGCAGGAGGAAAAAACATATAAAAAATCACCAGTCAAATCAAAAACCCACATGAGTTTCCATGTTAACTCTTTTGGTTTGTTTATATCAACTAAAAATAAGTTGAGTGAGTTTAAGTTTCACACTAATTTCGAGAGTATTTCACTTACATCACATTAACATTAGGATTTTATTTTTTGAGCGGGGAAAATTAAATTAATTTTGTTTCTTATTCTTGAAAAAATACGACCGTCAGATCCATAAAACAAGAAATAAAATTGGTCTGGCTTAATGCAGAAAGATTTAAAACCAAATGTTGATTGTTATTATATTTTATTACCGAAGAATAAAATGTAAAGGTACAGGTGGCATGATTCCATGGCGATGGTTTGAACAAATGTTGGGTATTTGGTTACAATTCAAAACACAGGGAACTGACAAATGATGACAGTCAATGGGGCTGTAACGATGCATTGAACTATCGATGGATTGCAGTTATTGAGTCTCTGATAGCAATTAATAGATGGTAGAAATGAAAAACTATCGATGCATCGATAGTATGTGTGACTATCGATAGTTTAGTAATTGACTTCCGTTGATAAATGTGCAGAGTGAAGTACAGGATGTTTGGGTGCAGACTTGCAGCTTCATTGAGATTATGTTTTAACTGTTTACTTGATCTGGGTTTAAAGTTTCTTGTCGGTTATGAAAAGAGACTGAAACTACTTCAACTTGTGTTTTTATTTCATATAAACTATACATTCATTTGGGAAATGACTTCAAATGAAAAAATTATTGCAATAGTTGTTTCGCCCTCAATAGTCACCCCTATTAGTCCATACTTACAACAGATTCCACAACATTGCTTAAAATCTGCACACAAGTGATGTGAATCTCTCCATCCCTTCTGTATACCACAGTTAAGACTATCAGGTATGGTCAAAAGTCCTGCTCCTTCACCACTGCTACTGAGTGGAAACAACTCCCACTTGTTCAGCAATGTTTTAATTACAACAAGTTTCTGTTCATCTGTATTTTAGGATTACAGCATTACAGGACAGAAAATGATTGACCCGACAAGCACTGTGATTGGAAATGAAATATACCGGGGATGCTTCCTTGATAGCACACATAGTCGTCACTTTGTCTATACGATGCCCCTGACTAAACAGGAGACAGCACAGCTCACTCCTGACGTCTGTATAGCAATGTGCAGGTAAGAGTGAACGAGTTAGAGGAACTTCCCAGGTGCCTCTGTCTCAACAGCAGATGGCACAGCTCACTCCTGACGTCTGTATAGCAATGTGCAGGTAAGAGTGAGTGAGTGAGAGGAACTTCCCAGGTGCCTCTGTCTCAACAGCAGATGGCACAGCTCACTCCTGACGTCTGTATAGCAATGTGCAGGTAAGAGTGAGTGAGTGAGAGGAACTCCAAGATGCCCCTGTCTCAACAGCAGATGGCAAAACTCACTCCTGATGTGTGTATAGCAATGTGCAGTTAAGAGTGAGTGAGTTAGAGGAACTTCCCAGATGCCCCTGTCTCAACAGCAGATGGCACAGCTCACTCCTGACGTCTGTATAGCAATGTGCAGGTAAGAGTGAGTGAGTGAGAGGAACTTCCCAGGTGCCCCTGTCTCAACAGCAGATGGCACAGCTCACTCCTGACGCCTGTATAGCAATGTGCAGGTAAGAGTGAGTGAGTGAGAGGAACTTCCCAGGTGCCTCTGTCTCAACAGCAGATGGCACAGCTCACTCCTGACGTCTGTATAGCAATGTGCAGGTAAGAGTGAGTGAGTGAGAGGAACTTCCCAGGTGCCTCTGTCTCAACAGCAGATGGCACAACTCACTCCTGACGTCTGTATAGCAATGTGCAGGTAAGAGTGAGTGAGTGAGAGGAAATTCCCAGATGCCCCTGTCTCAACAGCAGATGGCACAACTCACTCCTGACGTCTGTATAGCAATGTGCAGGTAAGAGTGAGTGAGTGAGTGAGAGGAACTTCCCAGATGCCCCTGTCTCAACAGCAGATGGCACAACTCACTCCTGACGTCTGTATAGCAATGTGCAGGTAAGAGTGAGTGAGTGAGAGGAAATTCCCAGATGCCCCTGTCTCAACAGCAGATGGCACAACTCACTCCTGACGTCTGTATAGCAATGTGCAGGTAAGAGTGAGTGAGTGAGTGAGAGGAATTTCCCAGATGCCCCTGTCTCAACAGCAGATGGCACAGCTCACTCCTGACGTCTGTATAGCAATGTGCAGGTAAGAGTGAGTGAGTGAGTGAGAGGAACTTCCCAGGATGCCCCTGTCTCAACAGCAGATGGCACAGCTCACTCCTGACGTCTGTATAGCAATGTGCAGGTAAAGAGTGAGTGAGTGAGAGGAACTTCCCAGGTGCCCCTGTCTCAACAGCAGATGGCACAGCTCACTCCTGACGTCTGTATAGCAATGTGCAGGTAAGAGTGAGTTAGAGGAACTTCCCAGGTGCCCCTGTCTCAACAGCAGATGGCACAACTCACTCCTGACGTCTGTATAGCAATGTGCAGGTAAGAGTGAGTGAGTGAGAGGAACTTCCCAGATGCCCCTGTCTCAACAGCAGATGGCACAGCTCACTCCTGACGTCTGTATAGCAATGTGCAGGTAAGAGTGAGTTAGAGGAACTTCCCAGGTGCCCCTGTCTCAACAGCAGATGGCACAGCTCACTCCTGACGTCTGTATAGCAATGTGCAGGTAAGAGTGAGTGAGTGAGTGAGAGGAACTTCCCAGGTGCCCCTGTCTCAACAGCAGATGGCACAGCTCACTCCTGATGTCTGTATAGCAATGTGCAGGTAAGAGTGAGTGAGAGGAACTTCCCAGGTGCCCCTGTCTCAACAGCAGATGGCACAGCTCAATCCTGATGTGTGTATAGCAATGTGCAGGTAAGAGTGAGTGAGTGAGAGGAACTTCCCAGATGCCCCTGTCTCAACAGCTGATGGCACAGCTCACTTCTGATGTCTGTATAGCAATGTGCAGGTAAGAGTGAGTGACTGAGAGGAAATTCCCAGGTGCCCCTGTCTCAACAGCAGATGGCACAGCTCACTCCTGATGTCTGTATAGCAATGTGCAGGTAAGAGTGAGTGAGAGGAACTTCCCAGGTGCCCCTGTCTCAACAGCAGATGGCACAGCTCAATCCTGATGTGTGTATAGCAATGTGCAGGTAAGAGTGAGTGAGTGAGAGGAACTTCCCAGATGCCCCTGTCTCAACAGCAGATGGCACAGCTCACTCCTGACGTCTGTATAGCAATGTGCAGGTAAGAGTGAGTTAGAGGAACTTCCCAGGTGCCCCTGTCTCAACAGCAGATGGCACAACTCACTCCTGACGTCTGTATAGCAATGTGCAGGTAAGAGTGAGTGAGTGAGAGGAACTTCCTAGATGCCCCTGTCTCAACAGCAGATGGCACAGCTCACTCCTGACGTCTGTATAGCAATGTGCAGGTAAGAGTGAGTTAGAGGAACTTCCCAGGTGCCCCTGTCTCAACAGCAGATGGCACAGCTCACTCCCTGACGTCTGTATAGCAATGTGCATAGAGTGAGTGAGTGAGAGAGGAACTTCCCAGGTGCCCCTGTCTCAACAGCAGATGGCACAGCTCACTCCTGATGTCTGTATAGCAATGTGCAGGTAAGAGTGAGTGAGAGGAACTTCCCAGGTGCCCCTGTCTCAACAGCAGATGGCACAGCTCAATCCTGATGTGTGTATAGCAATGTGCAGGTAAGAGTGAGTGAGTGAGAGGAACTTCCCAGATGCCCCTGTCTCAACAGCTGATGGCACAGCTCACTTCTGATGTCTGTATAGCAATGTGCAGGTAAGAGTGAGTGACTGAGAGGAAATTCCCAGGTGCCCCTGTCTCAACAGCAGATGGCACAGCTCACTCTTGATGAAGAAAATTATGCATTAAAATTAGGGTAGGACAGGTACCTGAGGTAGTGTTACCTGACCTGACCGATGTTGCAGCTGTATTTCGAATTAATTGCAACTGAAAATTATGTCAAACTGTGTAGTTAAGCAAAGATACCCTTCTTTCTTTCCAGACTAAAGGGTTACAGCGTTTCTGGAGTTGAGTATGGACATGAGTGTTACTGTGACAACAACTTTAACTGGGGCTTGAAGAAACCTGACAGGTGAACATTACATATTCAACTTTGAACCAACTCCAGCATCACTGGGGTATCCATGCATATGTAACTTTATTGTAGCTTCCTACCTACCTTGACTGTTGTGGATTTGTACTTTGCCTGTTGTCATCGGCAACCAAAGAATAGCCAGACTCCATGCTACAGACATTATTCTGGCATGAAGTTTGAAAATAGGTTTATGTAGTGGTAAATATGGAATTCTTACATTTGAGTTATCTCCCTTTGAAATATTGGAGTTATTTCCCTTTATATCAGAATTATTTCCCTTGTTTGTTGCATTAATGCAGCTGGCATAATACATGGACATGGAATGATATTGTGTCCTTGCAACATAAATTTTAGAGGCAAGGCACAAGTGGTAATAAATTTTGATGCAGTCTGGATGAAGTTACTTTTGAATGTACCTTGGGGGCGTGTATTATGGTTGTCTGTTAGGCACTGGTATGTTTGTATGGTAATGGGTACATATCACTGCCCACTGAAAAGAGATACACAAATGGTGAATATTGACGATCTTGTGACGCAGTGTTTCTTTAAAAATGGACATAAGGTGTGTTTCACAGTTGTGATGAGTGTAAAGTAGTGATGCCATACTTTGGGCACCAGAGCATTGATACTGAAATTACTGTCAAATTCCAAGTATTCTCTCCCTGTAGTTTTATTCTTCCTAAGCCATATAAAAATGCAGTGGTTGTGGTCTGGAATAAAAAAAAATTGCTCTGGGCCCACGTGCACAAAACGGTTTTATTGCTACGACTCTGAAATGTCCATGTTACATCATGGGATGATGATCATTATAAGATCACTTTGTGCAAGTTTACATTGATCCTTATCATCCTGGGCTGTTGTCAGCTTCATACTTCAGTTCTTGGTATTATCTGAATCGGAAACCATATTAAGAAACACCTACAATCAGTACCACTGTGGCCTCCCTGACTTTATAATATTCATAGACTGGTGCTTATGATATCTATCTGTCTGGTCCAGACTTCTCCTATTATTGAGTGAGTGAGTGAGTTTAAAATAATCGAGTGTGGACCAGACAATCCAGTGACCAACAGCAGGAGCATCGATCTGTGCAATTGGGAACCGATGACATATGTCAACCAAGTCAGCGAGCCTGACCACCTGATCCCGTTAGTCGCCTCCTACCACAAGCATAGTCGCCTTTTGTGGCAAGCATGGGTTGCGGAAGACCTATTCTACCCCAGATGTTCACGGGTCCCTATTATTGAGAAACCCCTATCACAAGGCTGAGATTGACTACAATTGTTGGAGCCGGGGCGTGGCTGAATGTCGTTTCTGATACAACAGCCATTGACACAAATTATATCTCATCAACCAATCAAATTGCTGTATTTAATTATGCTATAATCCCTGAAGGTGGGAACATTAATGATGAAACGTTCAATGTGTCTGATTCCACAGTGACTGCAACATGCCATGTCAGGGGGACCCCCATCAGCTCTGTGGTGCCGCGTTTCGCCTGGCAGTGTATGGCCCACGACCCTACATCCCGGGGCAGGGTCAGAATGGCGTGGCGTCCTCCTGCCAACCCTGGTGTGCCACAGCAGACGCCTTCTCCAGTCAGGTGAATGCAGACATCCTCTCTTTTCCCATATTCTTAGCTTATAGAGTTTGAACCATACACTGAAGTCATGATAACATAAGTAATCATTGTGTTCAATTAACTTTCTTTACTTTGAAGTATTACAGAAGGTACCAAAACTGAAATGATCTTGAGAACTCACCATCATGGAAGCTATCCACATTTGTGTAATTATACATCAGTTTATTATGCCTTTTACCTATTAGTCATTATGGATTCATTTGGAATGTGACCTTACCATCTTTGTTTCTCCTGATTTCTGTCACTCAGGATTTGACAGTTAAATTCGACAGGCTCAAATGGAAGTTATGATGTCGAATTGGTCTAGGGTATTTATCATAATGGAAAGGTTAAATCAGTGTGGATAATGTCTGTGTTACATCATTGAACGTTGCAACAGTGTTGATAATATGTATGTTACTTCCTGTACATATTGTAACAGTGTTGATAGCATGATCTTACATCTTGCACACATTGTAACCACGTAGATAACATGTACATTACATCCAGCACACATTGTAACCATGTAGAGATAATACATCCTGCACACATTGTAACCATGTAGAGATATTCCATCCTGCACACATTGTAACAATGTAGAGATATTAAATCCTGCACACATTGTAACCATGTAGAGATATTACATCCTGCACACATTGTAACCATGTAGAGATAATACATCCTGCACACATTGTAACCATGTTGAAAATATGTATGTTATATCTTGCACACATTGTAAAAGTGCAGCTGACACCTGATGTGTATGTTCCAGCCCAAGTGGGGAGTGTGTGATCTGAGGAGTCTGACGTCCACCTCATGGAATGTCCACTGTGAATGTCCAGCAGGCTTCACGGGCTCAGCATGTGACCAGGTCAGAAATGGTGTATAAAACAGATACCACATCCCTTACATGTATGTTGATTTCTTGGTATGGAACACATATATATTACAACCAACGCCTCATGCCTTTATGAAACATAAATTTATTCCAGGTTTGCACCAATAACACATGGGGAATCAACTGCCGCAATCCCTGTAACTGCAACATGACCAACATCATCAACTGCAACAGCAACGATGGACAGTGTAACTGTAAGCCTGGATTCAGTGGGGCTCAGTGTAACCAGGTCTGTCCAAACGGAACCTTTGGGGACAACTGCCAAGGTTAATTATATAGATTTTATTACGTTCTTAATTTACATTTATGTCTTATATAGTTTCCAGTGTTAAATTCTATTAAAACATCACCTATTTCACATAGTTACTTGTGTCTAGGTAATAAATGACTTGTTTTATACAACTACCAATGGCAGGGTATTATAAGTACTTATTGTATATAGTTAAATCACATATATTACTTTAAAATCTGTAGTAATAGGCATTCAGCATGTGTTTCAGTTTGTACAAAAATTGTGTAGTGTGTAAATGATTTATGTTTTCAGGAAAGTGTGATTGTCTGGAGACAGCAACATGTGATTCTCGTACAGGAACTTGCATGTATGTAAAATTCATTGCAACCTCCTTCTGCTTAAATAGAAAATAGCATGCCAAGAGTTCCTGACCTTAAACAAACAGGGTCATGGAAAATTGTTGAAGGAAGATATATTGGTTACCTGAACTTCATTCGATTAAGGCTGGAAAATAAAACATTCTCAAAATATTGTTTATAAGCTTAGGGGTAACCTTAAAAGGTCATGACAGGTTAATTATTGTCCCCCGCTGCAACGCGGAACGGGGGACTATGTATTCAGCGGTGTCCGTACGTACGTCCTGATTCTTGCCAAAGCAATATCTCATGAACTGTTGTACCCAATGTCTTCAAATTTGGTGACAGCCTACACTGGGGGATTGCCCAGACACCAGTCGATTTGGCTGACCTTGACCTTATTTTCAAGGTCACCACGACATTTTGACCACTTTTCAAACTCTTGTTAACGTGATATCTTATGAACTGCTGTACCCAGTGTCTTCAAATTTGGTGACAGCCTACATTGGGGGATTACGCCACTTTGGGCCACTTTGACCTCTTTTCAACTCTTGTTAATGCAATATCTCATGAACTGTTGTACCCAATGTCTTCAAATTTGGTGACAGCCTACATTGGGGATTACCCAGACACCAGTCGATTTCGGTGACCTTGACCTTCTTTTTCAAGGTCACCACGACACTTTGACCACTTTTCAAACTCTTGTTAAAGTGATATCTCATGCACTTATCCAATATCTTCAAATTTGGTGACAGCCTACATTGGGGGATTACGCAGACACCACTTGATTTGGGTGACCTTGACCTTATCTTCAAGGTCACCACAAGTAGTATAGGGAGTGACAGTCCGAGATGAAACAGTTTAGTGTGCATCTCCTATGATTTCTTTGGTTTTGGAAAGGAATGCTTGCCGGGCTTGTTGTCTGCCCTGTTCTATCAGCTTTTTTTTCTCCTGATCGTCAATGTCATTCGTCTTGTGGACCGTACTAGAGCTGAAAAATCCGTCAGGACTACCAAAATTGGTACCACTTTTATTTTTTCCACAACTTTGACAATCAATTAGAGATAGGGTTGAACAAAAGTATAGCACTACGAAAAGTAGTATGAAAAATTTGCAACGGATGGCAATCGAAATCTCTTTCCAACAAATGGGCCTACGGGTCAAGAAGTCCGTCGGAACACATCTACTACTGGATATCACTGTGGAAAGCAACCTCGTACCGGATATCGCAAAAGTTGACTATCTGGCAGACAATCTCGGAAGAACGGACCTACAACCTTTGGAAGGACTACCCACATTCATGGACGACATATATGTCTTTGGCTAGCTGCATCGCAAAGACTGTGTTTGGAAGAAAGGCAGAGTTTCCTGCACGATTGGCAAAGAAGTTTCCGCACCACTCTTGGTTTCGAGAATTTCCATGGCTGTACAAGATTCCTTGCCAAAACAAAAATACCGTCAAATCCCGATGAGTCGAATGTCGGTGTCTCAAATATTATGCATAACTCGAAGTACCTGTCGGTCCCGACCATTCCTTGTTATAGTTGTCATCATTTGATTTCTGGTTACACGAATTCGTCTCATAAATAAACACGATGACTCGAGAAGGAACTTTGGTCCCATGAGATTCAAACAACAGCAATCTTGTATACATAAGCCGAAGTCAGTCAATGAGAAGTTGATTGGTGTAGCAAACTGATCCAATTAACAAACCAGCGCGGCTCACACCTTTCCGCCATTGACGGGTGAGTTCAAAAGGCAGATTAGTGATTTTACGGAAATCACTGTCTGTGCTAATCAGACTGGAACTGATAAGGTGCCCCTATTAGTGATATGGAAATCATTAGATAAACAAATGCTTAGGCGGAGGAATTAGGACTGGATCATCTTCTTTTCTACCCTCATAGACATACCTATGTCTTGAATACATCGATAAGTCGAATTTATTACTTGGTCCCCAGCGATTCGACTCATCGGGATTTGACTGTACATGCAAATGAACATCCTGCACACGGTGGAAAGACAAGAAGACAACTGCAGAGCGATATGAAGCACCATTGCGAGAATAGTGAACTTGGAGACTATGGCGGACTATGGGGATTGCCCGAGCGAACACCTTCGTAAGACTTTCCTCCATCCGGACATCCAAGCAAGAGGCTGCACTCGCATCGAAGTGTCGCACATCCACACAAAACAGAAGAAATAGCAAACGATTTGGTGGAACGAACCCTAGATTTGGTTTCCGGCAAACTTGTTTGTCGTGCCACCACCGGGAATGGGAAACCTTATCGAAATGTCTGGATCGGTGTCTCGTTCTGGCGGATTGTTCGCAAGGCACCATATTGTGGCATGGTATGCGCATTCGAAGACCGGCAGAATTTCAGAAGTCCGCATCACACTGATGAAAGAGAAAGAAGAGAATGACGCAACATAGAAGAAAGCGTTGGAATGGGCAACGGCAGACTTAGGTTTCCGAGCATGTCCGATATTTCGAGTGGACATACTTTCCACCACGGACAGGTCTGCTGCGTTGCTACATGAAAAATCCCGAGGCGAAAATGATACTATGCACGTCCAGAAGACCGACGCAGCTGCATCTGGATGCCATGGATCCAAGCATCCTGCTGCCGCCTTGCAAGATGGTGGAATGGGAATGGAGAATGGAAAAATGCAGCTGCATACGCAGAAATTCTTCCAAATTCCAACTGTAGGAAGTGCCAGAGATCGCAGAAGGCAGAGAAATATTCTGCATGTTTGCAAGAGATTGAGGAAAACTGTTGCAAGAAATACGAGAAGCAGCACGCATGGAAGAATGGAGAAGAGAAGCATGGACCATCCTAGCACAGCAGGTAGAACAGGAGCAGCGTAGAGAAAAAATCCCGGAGCGACTAGGAGAAATAGTACGGGAGAAAAAAGAGTACACAAAGAGATCGAAAGAAGCTCGCAAAGAGGTAGAATTGGCTCTATGAAATGCACAAACGAGAAAAATAGCGGAGGTAGTGAATACTACATGGTCTATTCTGGGATACTAGAACAACTAGAAGCCCAAACATCCAGCAGGGTAGTCTTGTCGCAAAAAGGCGTAGAAATGCCCATAGTAGTTTGGGCAAACAAAAGACTGGAGCGTGTGCTTGACCGGGTGTACTACGCCTCAGACACACCTCACCTCGCTACTTTATAACAAGTACGGCAATACGTTGGATAGTTAGCCTTTCACCCGACTGACCCCATGCTCACTAAGAAGTTAATATTTCTTAAACTTTTCGACCAATTTTCATGAAATTTTGCATGTACCTCCGGTATACCTCGTACTTTCACATATAATTTACAGACGTCGAATTATAGTCCACCATCATTCCAACAATATTTTTTACTCCCACAGGGGCAATGAATTGTAAAAAATATGACTTATAGGGACCTGGTCTCGGACTGTCACTCCCTATACTACTCCACAACACTTTGACCACTTTTCAAACTTATTTATACGCGATATCTCATAAAACGTTGCACCCAATGTTTTCAATTATGTTGACAGAATACATAGGGAGACTATGTAGACACCAGTCATTTCAGGCATCTTGTATGTGACCCAAAAATAAAAAGTAGTAAATATATTGTAGATATTCCATTCTTTAGCAGCGGGGGGCATTGCCATATCAGTGGCAAACACTTGTAGCTATATGAAAGGAATTGTTTTGAGCAGTATATGTTTAGACAAGATCAGTTTATCTTCATTTTATGTTAGTAATGTCTTACTAAAATTTATTTGAAGTAAACCAAAAGATATGTTTGATTGCAAATATGTTCCTATGTTAATTTTGTTTTAAATTCTTTCAAACCTTACCACAGAAACTTAATCTCAAATGAACCCTGCTAACGCACTATATTTTCATCTTCCTGCAGTGATTATCCATTAGACAATAGATAACATTAGTCTGTTCTGAACAATGAACAAAAGTACTGCACGTTTCTTCTTCAAGCACACATAGAAACATATTATGATTTCCCGATGTGACAAGACCAAACCTATTCTAGGCAAAAGAAGTACTTTGTATTTATTTATTGATTTATTTGTGAATTGTGAATGTCCAGGTGCAAGGCGGGATGGTCAGGCCCCCGGTGTAACATTCCATGCACCCCGGGGTTATATGGCATCAACTGTACCCAGCAGTGTACCTGTCACCACGGCTCCTGCTCCCCGGAAGATGGCACCTGCGACTGTGACTCCGGATACATGCTGCGTATGTACCCATGTTGACTAACATATATGTTTGTTTTAAATTAAACAATAGTAGTTAAGCTTTCTTGTAACTTTTTCTTCTTGTAGTCTGCAGTGAGGAGCAGCCTGATTTTCATATGCCAAACTGAAACTTGTGATTCCTTCAACATTGCTTTAAAATGTATGTCCCAGTGATCTAATGTACAGAGTTGTTTCCCTTATTAGTTGTCAAGATCTACTGGTTAATCAAGTGTTTGAATTCCAGATAAGAAGCGGGTATGATTTTTTAATTATGGTAATACTGAATTACTATTCAAAGTGATGTTAACAAACAAACATCACAGAAGTGATGTTAACAAACAAACATTACAGAAGTGATATATTTCTAAACACACATTGTTCCAATGTTTCTGTGCAGCTTACTGTGCGGAGACTTGTGATCCTGGGACCTATGGCCCGAGCTGTCTGTTCTTCTGTGACTGTAACGAGCAGGACTGTGACTACCAGACTGGCGTGTGTCAGTGTGGACCAGGGCTTCTGGGGGACAAGTGCGAGAGGGTATGCATTATGATCCTTTTGATGTGTTTCTCAGCCGAACCATGTCCATTTCACCAAAGTGGTAAACACTTACTCATAATACAACCATGACGTTATACTTACAACTGTAGATTCTTTTAATAGAGATCTTCCTTGGGGTACATATATGCATTTTCTGTGACTGAAAATGTCATGTGACAGTTGTAACAATGTCTAATAAAAGATTGTACAATAAATCAAAAGCCTTTTTATTTACCATACGGTCCTCCACCATGTGGAGTTACCTTCCCACCACGCATCTGTGGTCAACCTGGTAAGCACCCTAGCCCGAATCATCATTCCTTCTGCTGTCACGCACCTTGGTACACATGCTGATTACACGTGAGATAATGTCTTGAGACTAAAATACCGTACTCTATGTATATTGTCTTTATTCATTCTAGAGAGCGTTTTATTGACTTTGCAGTTGTTTATGTCTTATTTTATGTGATTTATTGTTGTAATTTACGCTTTTGTTACAGTGGTTTACGTCAATTTTTGCTATTCAATGGCAGGAGTTTTAGTGTTGGTACGTGTTTGGAACTTGCTTATTAAAACAATTGTTTCATTTAGCGTCCTTCTTTCACGTAATTTCTATGTTTTTTACGTGTTATGGTGTATTTGTGCGCCGTTAGCATCAGGCTTTGCATGTTTGCTTTCAGGCGTTTACGGCATGTTCGGCATGCGGTCAAAATATTCCGCCACAAGATAGGCATGATAAATGCCTTTGCTGTTTGGAAAAATCCAGACGTGTGTGAACTTTGTCTGGGTTTTACTCCAAAAGCTCGAAAACGAAGGGCGGCTGATTTCCTGTTTTTCAAAGAGCTTCGTTAGGCGGGAGGTGACCCAATGGCGGAGATCCCTCCCTCCAAGGCAAAAAAGGGTAAACATTGGTCCAAAAGCATGCAGGAAAAGCCTGTGTCTGTTCAACCTTCTGTTTCCAATCAGCCTTTCTAATCAATTCCTTATTCCAACAGCTCATTGACTCTATGAAGTCTCTACTCCATGCGTCGGGAATGGGCTACACCAGGAGTTCCTCTCTACCTCTGGGGGTGGTGCGGAGAGTTCTTGAGTGGGGTCGCGGGCTCAGCTAGATCCCAGAGCTTTGAGTCCACCATTGATCCCTTGCCTCTGGCTTCGGATCCGGCAGTCTCAGCTCCGACAGTGAGGGAGGGTTCGTGCCCACTTCCCCTATCCGTCTTGGCTCGTGGTCCGTTGAACATACCTGGGGTACTGCGTTCTGACCACTCGAGCACTACCATTGAGTACGGAAGCCACTGTTCCGCCAGTGGACTTCCTGGAGTCTGGGGACTGGGCCCCTATTCCGTGCGTGGTGACCGGAGGGGAGAGATTACCAGGTTCCATCTTTCCCCTGGCGTCCTCGGGGCGGACTTCGTTCGGGTCGGTGGTTGGTTCCTCCTTCTGGGGGGATCCCTGACCGAGTGAGTCTTGGATCATTGGTTTGGTTCTGTGTTCGAACTGCTCTTAACAACTATCAACTGAAGGCTTTTATCACTCATGACAATTTATCTCCTGTCGGAGTTGACTATCTTGTTATGGGTCCGCCCTTTCGGTGCTCTTATGATTATGTATCACTCTGTGGGCGGGGCATTTCTGAACATTACTGTATGTATTTACACTATGCTAACACGGTTGTCAGCAGAAGGAATGATGATTCGGGCTAGGGTGCTTACCTTGTTGGCCACGCATGTGTGGTGGGAAGGTAACTCCATGTGGTGGGGGGGCCGTATAGTAAAAAAAGGCTTTTTATTTGTTGTATTAAAACATTGTTACATCTGACACATGACATTTTCAGTCGCATATATGTACCCCAAGGAAGATTCTCTTCGAAGAATTGGAAACCTCTACAGGTTTAGCTAATTATCTGTAAGCAGTTGACTTTTAAAGAATCTCATCTTCTTTCTGCAATACAAATTTGAAGTTAATGCATTAATTGTAAGCACATACATCTTGATTACACTGCCTACCATGATCAAATCACAAATACATATGAGGTATGAATATGCAGGGTAAGGCTTGTTCGAATGCTGTACAGAAACGGGCACACAGACTTCAACATTCTCTGATACATCATACCTGCAGCTAATATATTTTCCCTGATTTATTGATGTCTTTTAAGATACAGGCTGATTACTCAGTATTTTGTTACTTTCATTCTGTTATCTAATTTAGATATAGTATATGTAACTGGACTTTAGTTTAAAAATAATCCTATTCACCAGCCTGGTTTGGTCATATATTATTTGTAATGAATTTCCTGTGATCTAAGATCAAATTCATGCTGTAATATAGCTGGAATATGGCCCCGTTTTTCTTGTGTTTCAGCGTTGTCCCCATGGCAAGTTTGGTCAGAAGTGTGCCCAGTCCTGCTCCTGTCAGCAGAACGCTGGCTGTGATGCTGTCACAGGGATGTGTCAGTGTCCCCCAGGCTATGTAGGGTCCGACTGTGGCACCAAGTGTACAACATGGAAGTAAGTCCACAAACATGGACCTATTGGAGTCCAGGGGTAGAGTGTATCCAGGGTGTGGTGTTCTCAGGTTTAGTATTTCATCAATATCATGGTATCCACACCTTGTTTGGGGCGATGGGGTAGCCTAGTGGTTAAAGCGGTCGCTCATCATGCTGAAGGCCCGGGTTGGATTCCCCTCAAACATGGACCCTTTGGAGTCCAGGGTGTGGTGTTGTCAGGTTTAGCATGTCATCAATATCATGGTTAGGAACACCATGAATGAGCTTCATACATTGTGCCCATTTGGAAAAATGTTTCAACAACTTGACTTCCTAACCACCCTATGTATCTACCATGAGTATTCACTCCTTGTTTGGGCGATGGCGTAGCCTGGTGGTTAAAGAGGATGCTCGTCATGCTGAAGATGTGGATTCCTTTTCCCACCATTGGGAACAATGTGTAAAACCATTTCTGGTGTCCCCTACTGTACATGTCATATTGCTCGAATATTGCTCAAAGCAGCATAAAACCATACTCAGTCAGTCACTCCTTGTTTGGCAGGAAACATACCAGTAGCTGTGATTAAATTAACAAAAGTATCTGTTACCAACAGAAATTGGTATTGTGTGAAAGGTGAGTTCATGATCATGCAGTTCCACTTCTGAGTGAGCAGCATACTATATGTTTTTCTATTGCAGATATGGGCAGAATTGCCTCCAGGACTGTCCGTGTGTACAAGCCAACACAGTCTCTTGTGACTTTGATTTGGGCAGATGTCACTGCAAGCCAGGTTTCAGGGGAAGTAACTGCAGTTCGCCATGTGCCACAGGCTACTATGGTGCTGGCTGCCAGCAGACGTGTGCCTGTTCGGGAGGATCTCCATGTGACCCGGTCAGTAACACTGTTCATATAGATGATGCTGCCTAACATCTCTCCACGATTGCTGGCAGTTGAAATTACATTTTCAAAACTTATCCTATCTCATGGTTTGTACTCTCTCTCTCATGATTCGAAAGCCTAGTGGAAACGAACTGTAACAAAGTTTTCTGACTCTCTTGTACCATTCGCCCAAACATGCCCCACTGCTCCCATTCCTGGACATTGGAAAGTGTTATAGATATGGAAACCTGAGATTTGATATGTATTTTCAGGAGACATATTCCTTAATGGAGTTCAAAATAAGAAACTGTGTTATGATTCTTTACAGAATTATGGTCCTTGTCATGCATTTCTTTACTTAGTGCACAGTATCCCCAATGTGAACAGATTCTCTCAGTAACTGTGGTATGAATGTCATGGTGGAGTTAAAAAACAGGAACCGTTTGGTTGGGATTTTGATGACCATGTCTTCTTGTTGCATACTGGAACATTGTAGTGTTTCAGTTGATGTACTGTTTGGCTGTTGTTATTGTGTAAAACCTGTGGAACCTGTGTCATCTGTCCCCAGGTCACCGGCCAGTGTCAGTGTCTTCCGGGGCTGATCGGTCGCCACCTGTAACCAGGCTTGTCCCTCTGGGAAATTCGGGGCTGCATGTAAACAGACCTGCCCATCATGTTCAGCCGGTGTCTGTAGCAAGGCAAATGGTACATGTATATGTCAGGTGAGGTTCCGTCATGTCTAGTTGATGTGACATAGAATATTACAGCTTGCATTATTTTGAGAATCCTTTGACTTGAATTTAGTGAAAACCAAACTTCTTATATGTTCATCTTGTGTTACATGGAATTATGTTTTATTTATCATTCAGTTGAATCAGTTTTGTCCTGACATTCTCCTTGCTTCAGGGTGGCGCCTGCACGTGTCCCAAGGGGCTGTGGGGGTCAGGCTGCAGCAGTTCTTGTAACTGTGTCCATGGGGGATGTAACTCTCAGTCAGGAGCATGTGTCTGTGATCCTGGCTGGAGGGGCGCCAAGTGTCAGACCAAGTGTACCACGGGTAGGTGGCAAGTACCCAGTATTGTAATGTGTACCCACAGTAGGTAGCAAGTACCCAGTATTGTAATGTGTACCCACAGTAGGTGGCAAGTACCCAGTATTGTAATTTGTACTCAGGGTAGGTGGCAAGTACCCAGTATTGTAATGTGTACCCAGGGTAGGTGGCAAGTACCCAGTATTGCAATGTGTACCTAGGGTAGGCTGCCAAGTTCCCAGTATTGTAATGTGTACCCAGGGTAGGTGGCAAGTACCAAGTATTGTAATGTGTACCCAGGGAAGATGGCAAGTACCCAGTGTTGTAATTTGTACCCAGGGTAGGTGGCAAGTACCCAGTGTTGCAATGTGTACCCACAGTAGGTAGCAAGTACCCAGTGTTGTAATGTGTACCAACAGTAGGTAGCAAGTACCCAGTGTTGTAATTTGTACTCAGGGTATGTGGCAATGCAAGTACCCAGTATTGTAATGTGTACTCAGGGTAGGTGGCAATACAAGTACCCAGTATTGTAATTTGTACTCAGGGTAGGTGGCAAGTACCCAGTATTGAAATGTGTACCCAGGGTAGGTGGCAAGTACCCAGTATTGTAATGTGTACCCATGTTAAGTGGCAAGTACCCAGTGTTGTAATGTGTACCTAGGGAAGGTGGCAAGTTCCCAGTACTGTAATTTGTACTCAGGGTAGGTGGCAAGTACCCAGTATTGTAATGTGTACCAACAGTAGGTGGCAAGTACCCAGTATTGTAATTTGTACTCAGGGTAGGTGGCAAGTTCCCAGTATTGTAATGTGTACCAACAGTAGGTGGCAAGTTCCCAGTATTGTAATTTGTACTCAGGGTAGGTGGCAAGTTCCCAGTATTGTAATTTGTACTCAGGGTAGGTGGCAAGTATCCAGTATTGTAATGTGTACCCAGCGTAGGTGGCAAGTTCCCAGTATTGTAATTTGTACTCAGGGTAGGTGGCAAGTACCCAGTATTGTAATGTGTACCCAGGGTAGGTGGCAAGTACCCAGTATTGTAATTTGTAGTCAGGGTAGGTGGCAAGTATCCAGTATTGTAATGTGTACCCAGCGTAGGTGGCAAGTTCCCAGTATTGTAATTTGTACTCAGGGTAGGTGGCAAGTACCCAGTGTTGTAATGTGTACCCAGGGTAGGTGGCAAGTACCCAGTATTGTAATTTGTACCCAGGGTAGGTGGCAAGTACCCAGTGTTGTAATGTGTACCCAGGGTAGGTGGCAAGTACCCAGTATTGTAATGTGTACCCAGGGTAGGTGGCAAGTACCCAGTATTGTAATATGTACATTAAGGATGGCACATGGGGAAGATTATTTACTGTGCACATTTGTTTGGTATGCAGTGTATGCACACAATATAGGTACACAAGGTAGGCACACATACTGTTCACACAGGCTAGGCACACATGTTAGGCTCACAAGCTAGGCACACAGGATGGGTCTATCTTCTGATGAGAGTTTATGCTGTTTTTTGTGCAGGAACCTACGGAGTGAACTGTGCCAGTCGGTGTAAATGTGTCAACTCCATGTGTGATGCAGCAGATGGCTCTTGCAGCTGCTCAGATGGATTCACAGGACCAACCTGTTCCATGTCCTGTCCGGTAAGTGATCTTCAAGAAGGGTACCTGTTCCATGTCCTGTCCGGTAAGTGGTCTTCAAGAAGGGTACCTGTTCCATGTCCTGTCCGGTAAGCGTTCATCAAGAAGGGTACCTGTTCCATGTCCTGTCCGGTAAGTGATCTTCAAGAAGGGTACCTGTTCCATGTCCTGTCCGGTAAGTGATCTTCAAGAAGGGTACCTGTTCCATGTCCTGTCCGGTAAGTGATCTTCAAGAAGGGTACCTGTTCCATGTCCTGTCCGGTAAGTGATCTTCAAGAAGGGTACCTGTTCCATGTCCTCTCCGGTAAGTGATCTTCAAGAAGGGTACCTGGTCCATGTCCTCTCCGGTAAGTGTTCTTCAAGAAGGGTACCTGTTCCATGTCCTGTCCGGTAAGTGGTCTTCAAGAAGGGTACCTGTTCCATGTCCTGTCCGGTAAGCGTTTATCAAGAAGAGTGCCTGTTCCATGTCCCGTCTGGTAAGTGATCTTCAAGAAGGGTACCTGTTCCATGCCCTGTCTGGTAAGTGTTCTTCAAGAAGGGTACCTGTTCCATGCCCTGTCTGGTAAGTGATCTTCAAGAAGGGTACCTGTTCCATGTCCTGTCCGGTAAGTGATCTTCAAGAAGGGTACCTGTTCCATGTCCTCTCCGGTAAGTGATCTTCAAGAAGGGTACCTGGTCCATGTCCTCTCCGGTAAGTGTTCTTCAAGAAGGGTACCTGTTCCATGTCCTGTCCGGTAAGTGGTCTTCAAGAAGGGTACCTGTTCCATGTCCTGTCCGGTTAGCGTTTATCAAGAAGAGTGCCTGTTCCATGTCCCGTCTGGTAAGTGATCTTCAAGAAGGGTACCTGTTCCATGCCCTGTCTGGTAAGTGTTCTTCAAGAAGGGTACCTGTTCCATGCCCTGTCTGGTAAGTGAGTGGTCTTCAAGAAGGGTACCTGTTCCATGTCCTGTCCGGTAAGTGTTCTTCAAGAAGGGTACCTGTTCCATGCCCTGTCTGGTAAGTACCTGTTCCATGCCCTTCTGGTAAGTGATCTTCAAGAAGGGTACCTGTTCCATGCCCTGTCTGGTAAGTGTTCTTCAAGACGGGTACCTGTTCCATGCCCTGTCTGGTAAGTGATCTTCAAGAAGGGTACCTGTTCCATGCCCTGTCTGGTAAGTGTTCTTCAAGACGGGTACCTGTTCCATGCCCTGTCTGGTAAGTGATCTTCAAGAAGGGTACCTGTTCCATGCCCTGTCTGGTAAGTGTTCTTCAAGAAGGGTACCTGTTCCATGCCCTGTCCGGTAAGTGTTCTTCAAGACGGGTACCTGTTCCATGTCCTGTCTGGTAAGTGATCTTCAAGAAGGGTACCTGTTCCATGCCCTGTCCGGTAAGTGTTCTTCAAGACGGGTACCTGTTCCATGCCCTGTCTGGTAAGTGATCTTCAAGAAGGGTACCTGTTCCATGCCCTGTCTGGTAAGTGATCTTCAAGAAGGGTACCTGTTCCATGCCCTGTCTGGTAAGTGTTCTTCAAGACGGGTACCTGTTCCATGTCCTGTCTGGTAAGTTATCTTCAAGAAGGGTACCTGTTCCATGCCCTGTCTGGTAAGTGTTCTTCAAGACGGGTACCTGTTCCATGTCCTGTCTGGTAAGTGTTCTTCAAGACGGGTACCTGTTCCATGTCCTGTCTGGTAAGTTATCTTCAAGAAGGGTACCTGTTCCATGTCCTGTCTGGTAAGTGTTCTTCAAGAAGGGTACCTGTTCCATGTCCTGTCCGGTAAGTTATCTTCAAGAAGGGTACCTGTTCCATGTCCTGTCCGGTAAGTGATCTTCAAGAAGGGTACCTGTTCCATGTCCTGTCTGGTAAGTGATCTTCAAGAAGGGTACCTGTTCCATGTCCCGTCTGGTAAGTGGTCTTCAAGAAGGGTACATGTTCCATGTCCTGTCTGGTAAGTGTTCTTCAAGACGGGTACCTGTTCCATGCCCTGTCTGGTAAGTGATCTTCAAGAAGGGTACCTGTTCCATGTCCCGTCTGGTAAGTGGTCTTCAAGACGGGTACCTGTTCCATGTCCTGTCTGGTAAGTTATCTTCAAGAAGGGTACCTGTTCCATGCCCTGTCCGGTAAGTGTTCTTCAAGACGGGTACCTGTTCCATGTTCTGTCCAGTAAGTGTTCTTCAAGAAGGGTATCTTCATTAGAGTTACTTGTTTTATGCTGTGTTCAGTGACTGGTCTTCAAGAACCAGCAATTCTCAGGTTACAGTGCAAGGCTGGCAGTAAGGGGATGTATCTCCAGCCACATGTAGCAACCTTGTCCTGTCATGTCCACATTTCATTGTCATCTCAATTAGTTTGCCCTACAAACTGATGTAGTTTGTTTTGGAAAATCTGTTGATTTATGTCCTTATGGTGATAACATGTTTCCAGAAAGGCTCCTTCGGACCCAACTGCCAGCTGCCATGCCCATCCTGTGGGTCCCGGTCCTATGGTTGTGATCCTGTGACCGGTATCTGCCAGTGTTCCACAGGCTATTCTGGACTGTCATGTGACCAGCCGTGTCCACAGGGGAAATATGGTGACCAATGTAGTAAAACATGCAAGTAGGTATACAGGATATTGATTTATACTGTAGTTAATGGTACTTCTCTGTGGCATTGCATTAGGTTTGTACAGAGATAATATATGTTTGAACATGTGAATGTGAAAAGACCTTCTCAGGTAGAAGTGATCTTATATACTGCAAAATTTGCCTGGTATCCAGTAACTCAGCTAAAACAGGATTTGTAGTTCAGTGATTCAAATTTATCCCTATTAAGGTGGTAAGATTTTGACTCCATTGATATACATTTATGAAATTGTACCAAAGAATCTTCATGAAAGCACAAACATCTGTACATTTGTGAAGGTGATTGCTGTTAGAAGACCCTTTTCCTATCATCCTCAGCATAATTGTTGCCATTGTAGACAAAAGTAAATTCTTTTCAGCAATATGAATCCCTACCATTTCATAATGAATGGTTTCTATACCACCAATGAACATGTTAACCAAAGTAGTTTTAACTTTGATAGCACTGAGCTTGCCCCATTGTCATCAAATGAGTCACTTCTTTACCAAACATTGGGATGTTTGGATGTTTTTGCATCAGACCTGGTTCTGTGTTATACTTCAGCTGCCTGAATGGTCTTTGTGACACGGTCACTGGGAACTGCACATGCAACGCTGGTTTCACGGGGGCTGCATGTGACCAGGCGGTAAGTTACAGCATCATACTATCTCATGTACCACATTGCCTTTTATGATTCGGGGTAGTGGGGTAGCCTAGTGGTTAAAGCGTCACGCCGAAGGCCTAGGTTCGATTCCCCACATGGACACAATGTGTTAAGCCCTTTGCTGGAATATTGCTAAAAGCGACGTAAAACCCAACTCACTCACTTACTCACTCCTTTTATGACTAAATGCAATGTGATGTTGAACAACAGCTGGTAGAAGGAAAGTGCAACAAAACATGACTGAAATGTCTTTGCATTCACAAAGTTGATCAACATTATCTGTTTTAGAATGATGGTGTTGACAATTCATGTTGTTGACAACCAGTCTGGTTTGTGTTGTCTGTTCCAAGTGGAATACCTCATCATTGATTAATCAATGACATTTGTGAAACACATAATGCTTAGAGAATTTAACCTTGCAGGGCCGCCTTTAGGGATTGATATCAGGGAATCATTTTTATTACCACAATTCATTTTTTTTCCCGTAGAATATTGTTTTAATTTCAACTTTTCCTCTAAAATATTTATTGAATATTTCATGCACACAAAAAGGAACTTTTGAATGTTATGCAGAAATATATTTTTATGTTTTTGTACGTCAGTGTCCTGCTGGAAAATGGGGCAGCAACTGTATAAACTCTTGTGACTGCGGAACACACTCAACTCACTGTGACCAAAATATGGGGTTCTGTATCTGCAATCCAGGCTTCCAGGGCGGTAGGTCTTCCTGAATCAGCTTGCAGTTGTTATGTCATGGTAGAAATTTCAAAATTATGTTTTCCAAGTTTCTGGTAAGTTTCTTTCATAAGGTACAAGCTAGGTTGAGTCCCATCTGGCATTCAAGCTTCCTATTTCCGAGTCAGGCACATAATCGCCTGGAAAGTTGTGTGGAAGCTGCAGAGGAGTGTGTTAGATCACTGAGTATGTATCCTTGTGAATAAAGTGCCAAACTTGGAGAGTGTGGATTTGAATCCCAAATGGGATTCAAGCCCGAAAAAAAGCACTAGAATCTGTACCTTACTGAGAAAGTGTAATATCAAATATAACATACAGTGGAAGCTGTCTAAACCGTCACTCGTCGGGACTAAAGAAATAATCCGGTTTAGACAGCATGCCAGATTGTACAGATGACACGGTTACCTCCAACTAGAAGTGAACAAGTTTTGTCACTCTCATATACATTGTTCTATCACAATAAAACATGTCAACTCACAAGTTACGTGTACAAGTATTCCAATGCTGAACTAAGATTAAAATGTCTTTGTCGGGAACCATGTAGTTTCAACACAAGATTAATTGGTGACAATACACATCAGGCGGAATCTTCGCCTCGCGCCGGATTAGACAACGCAGATTACAGTATAAACTCATATTCGGGCGGCTCATTTCATGCCGAGATCCAGAATTGACAGCTGCCGGATTGCAGAGCTTTTAAATGATGATAATTGCACTAGCCACGGACGGGACTGAGATTTTATGCCGGTGTTCACAACTTGCTGGATTGGACAACTGCTGGTTTTGACAGCTTCCACTGTATGTTACATTTGATTATTTTCTAATGGCATTGTGTATTCATGGGTCACAGAATGACAATACTGACACACTGTTATATCTTTTCAAATATTGCTTCTGTCATTTCTCAGTGAAATGCCGACAGAGCTGTGACCCTGGCTACTATGGTGCCAACTGCTCCCTTACATGCTCCTGTGTCGGAGGCCAGTCTCGCTGTAGCCCTCTTGACGGGTCCTGTGAGTGTACTCCTGGATACCAGGGGCCTACATGTAGTCAGTGTGAGTATAAAATATCACCCCCTCCCTACTCCTGTGCCCCAGGCCTATCTTGCTGTAGCCCTCTTGACGGGTCCTGTGAGTGTACTCCTGGATACTACCTGGGGCCTACATGTAGTCAGTGTGAGTATCAGATATCACCCCCCTCCCCTACTCTTGTGCCCCAAGCCAGTCTCGCTGTAGCCCTCTTGACAGGTCCTGTGAATGTACTCCTGGATACCAGGGGCCTACATGTGGTCAGTGTGAGTATCAGATATCACCCCCCTTCCCTACTCTTGTGCCCCAAGCCAGTCTCGCTGTAGCCCTCTTGACAGGTCCTGTGAATGTACTCCTGGATACCAGGGGCCTACATGTGGTCAGCGTGAGTATCAAATATCACCCCCCTCCCCTACTCTTGTGCCCCAAGCCAGTCTCGCTGTAGCCCTCTTGACAGGTCCTGTGAATGTACTCCTGGATACCAGGGGCCTACATGTGGTCAGCTGAGTATCAAATATCACCCCCTCCCCTACTCTTGTGCCCCAAGCCAGTCTCGCTGTAGCCCTCTTGACAGGTCCTGTGAATGTACTCCTTGATACCAGGGGCCTACATGTGGTCAGCGTGAGTATCAAATATCACCCCCCTCCCCTACTCTTGTGCCCCAAGCCAGTCTCGCTGTAGCCCTCTTGACAGGTCCTGTGAATGTACTCCTGGATACCAGGGGCCTACATGTGGTCAGCGTGAGTATCAAATATCACCCCCTCCCTACTCTTGTGCCCCAAGCCAGTCTCGCTGTAGCCCTCTTGACAGGTCCTGTGAATGTACTCCTGGATACCAGGGGGCCTACATGTGGTCAGCGTGAGTATCAAATATCACCCCCCTTCCCTACTCTTGTGCCCCAGGCCAGTCTCGCTGTAGCCCTCTTGACAGGTCCTGTGAATGTACTCCTGGATACCAGGGGCCTACATGTGGTCAGCGTGAGTATCAAATATCACCCCCCTCCCCTACTCTTGTGCCCCAGGCCAGTCTCGCTGTAGCCCTCTTGACAGGTCCTGTGAGTGTACTCCTGGACTTTGCTGCCAAATACATCTCCCATGAGATTAGTGAAGTCATGAATTAGCATTAAGACCAACTCTCTCACCCACCCACCCATCAGTGCAGTCTGTTCATGTTATTCTGTAATACCTGTTCACAGCATGCCCAGTTGGGAAGTGGGGCAAAGGGTGTACCCAGGACTGTGAGTGTTCCAACCGAGGCAACTGCAGCGTCACCACTGGCGTCTGTGACTGTGCTCCAGGCTACGCCGGCACAAGTTGTGATAAACGTATGTTATTTGAAGTTGGTATTTAAGTATCTGTGAAGTTTTGATAGTCAACCATACTTTTCAATATTGAGGTAAAATGCTTCAATAATGGCAGTCTGTGTTCTAAAGATGATTGTAATTCACAATTGTTAAATTGGATTCATTAACTGGTTATAGATACCTGAAGTTTAGAACATGCCTAAAAAGGATCTTAAAACGTGTATACTGGACAAAAAATATGTTTTCAGTAGATGTGTATTTTGTTAAACCTGTGTCAGGCGAAACCAGATTACTATGTTATTTCAGCATGTAAGCAAGATGTGTTCTGGGGTAAGCACTGTGCGAACCAGTGCAACTGTAATGGCCACCATTGTGATCATGTCACTGGGTTATGTGATTGCCCTGCAGGGAAGACTGGAGCTAACTGTCAACAGGGTAAGTAAACTCATCATCTTTGTTCCAATATTTCAAGAACTACTCTATATTTGAGCATGTAGGAGGGACTACAGCACTATATATATACCCATATATTATAAATATAATGTATTATCTTACCACACACATAAATGACGCTTTCTGATTGGCTGACCGCTCTTCTATTATTTTCAATGTAGCCCCGCTTACAAGCGAGTAACATTTCAATGTACCTTGCTGTCAATGGCAACTCATTTGGTACTTCGTGGTAGTAATTCTTTATCTCGAATAACATTGAATCACGTATAATGTACGGAAATTACCGATGTTTTGCAAATGCAAATCGATGGAAAGGAGATAACTCTAAATCTGTTTTTCTTGTCAGCAAAATCTAGTGATGGCTACAAAAAGATTTGTACCCGTTCTTCAAACAATTCAAAATTAACGTTAAGGTGTTGGGCTCAGGGAACATAAACAAACATTGAGGGTACATCAACCTATGCCCCCCTCGTGACCAGTGAACAACTTATAATGTAATGTAATGTAAGGCCAGACCAATTTTATTTCTTCTTTTATGGATTTTTGTGCTCAGAAAACCTAAAGGCAGAAGGGAAAAAAAAATAATAAAAAATCACTAGTCAAAATAATTTTCCTTTTAAGTACTAAAAGTATTTATTTTTGCCAATTTATGAAGTTTATATCGGGCAAAAAACAATCAAAACATATTTTTGGTAAGTGTACATGTTTTAGCCAATAAAAACATGAGGATTTTATTTTTGAGCGTGGAAAATTAATTTTTATTTTTTTCTTATTCTTGAGAAAATATGACTGGCGGATCCGTAAAACTAGAAATAAAACTAGAGATAAAATTGGTCTGGCCTAATGTTATGATAATGTCTGAAGTTGTGAAGAGTACAGAGTGGTAATTGGACAGGGTTCATGTGGTACTGTTTTTCTGAACACAGTATGCTACTGATGCTGCAGCTGCAAGTTCCAACAAAGAACATTCATGATTCACATGACTGATTTTCAAACATTTCAAATCTTCTGAAACATAACCTATATATGTTCTGGAGAACTGTGTTGATGAACATGGAACATTCACCCGTGTTTGTGTTTCTGACGATTCAGACAAACACGATAGTTTCCTTACAGATATTCAACATCTGGTTGATTCAAACCATTACCTTCCCACTGAACCACAAGTATTATGGAGTGTGAAATATCATGCATTGTTTCACCTATTTTGTATCTAAAACAGAAGTTGGTAATGGTGTGTTCACAAACATTCTGGTGAGTGTGCTGTAATGCAGTTGAAGCTATTTTCTTAAGTCATTTCTCTTCAGACTGCGATGGGAACCACTTTGGCCTGCAGTGTGCCCAGACGTGCCAGTGTAAGAATGGCGCTGCATGTGACCCAGTCTCTGGTACCTGCCACTGTCCACAAGGCTGGTCCGGTGACAACTGCAACCAGAGTAAGTCACTCAGATCAGTCAGTGGCATTCACATTGGCGTTTTACCTGACTGGGGTGGATCCACCATATACAGACCCAGTGACATACACAAGATAACCAACCCATGGAGGTCCGGGTTAGAATATTGATCTTCAGTATCCCATGCTTGTCGTAAGAGGCAACTAACGGGATCGGGTGGTCAGGCTCACTGACTTGGTTGACACAGGTCATCGGTTCCCAATTGCGCAGATGCTCATGTCGTTGATCACTGGATTGCCTGGTCCAGACTCGATTATTTACAGACCTCTGCCATATAGCTGGAATATTGCTGAGTGTGGCGTAAAACTAAACTCACAAGTAAAACTAAACTCACTCACTCACTCACAAAAAAACTCCCACCATCCACCATCACTCAACATCCCCACTACCACGGACTACGACCACCCAGTAACCATCACCCACCCATCACCCACCATCCACCATCACCCACCATGCCTCAACATCACCACAGTCTACTGAATACCAACCAACGCCCATTAACCATCATCCATCAACCAATTAATATCATCCCCAAACACCTCACAGCCACTGTTGCACTAACCATAACCACTGTTACCAGCTTCCACCAACCTACCACCCCTATCCACCAACCTACCACCCCTATCCACCAACCTACCACCCCCTCCACCAACCTACCACCCCCTCCACCAACCTACCACCCCCCATCCACCAACCTACCACCCCATCCACCAACCCTACCTATCCACCCCATCCACCAACCTACCACCACCCTCCACCAGCCTACCACCCCCTCCACCAACCTACCACCCCCATCCACCAACCACCCCACAGTCACCAACCACCAACCACAAGCATCCATTACCAAGCACTGCCCACCAACCACCTATTCTGTTTTTGAGACATCTGACATACTATCTCATATCTTGTTACTTTGATCATATGATGGCTTGAGTAGTGTGAACCCCTTTCTTCAATTATTTGATGTATTTCAGAGTGCCCCCAAGGACGCTATGGTGATGGATGTACAATGACCTGTAGCTGTATGAACGGTGCATCATGTGACAGCTTGACAGGAGTGTGCCATTGCGCTGCCGGGTACATGGGCACCTCCTGCACAGAAAGTGAGAGATAGTTATACAGAAGGCTGGTAATGTTAGGAACGCTGTCTCTCTTGTCAAATTTATTCTGTTTGTAATACACCTTTTTTCAACATTTTCTCCTAAACCTTGGTCTACCTAATTTCCAAGACAGATCCAGCAGCTGCCTCATGATATTACCAAGGTTAAGTGTCCAGGGTGCCTTTGTACAAAACAACCTTAGCACTAAGACTACCTTTAGTCTATGTTAAGGTTTGGGAGTTATCGTCACCCTCGCGCTAAGATCGCTTTGTGAAACGGCACACAGCTAGACACATTTTTGTTTTGGACCAGTGAAGGTCCCGGTTAGAATGAATCTTCAGTAACCCATGCTTGTCATAAGAGGCGACTAGCGGGATCGGGTGGTCAGGCTCACTGACTTCGTTGACACGTCATCGGTTCCCAATTGCGCAGATCGATGCTCATGCTGTTGATCACTGGATTGTCTGGTCCAGACTCGAATATTTACAGACCGCTGCAATATAGCTGGAATATTGCAGAGTGCGGGGTAAAACTACACTCACTCACTCACTCATTTTTGTTTTGTGTTTGGAACTTTAATAACATTTAGCATATCAGTAATTAAGAATCTCTTTTGTTCATTGACATAAAACATGTTTCAAACAGCAAAGTAGACTGACTGACTGAGTTTGGTTTTACGCCGCTTTTAGCAATATTCCAGCAATATCACGGCGGGGGACACCAGAAATGGGCTTCACTCATTGTACCCATGTGGGGATTCGAACCCGGGTCTTCGGCGTGACGAGCCAACGCTTCAACCACTAGACTTCCCCCCAAAACCCCCAAAAGTAGAGATAGAAAACAAATGTTTATTATGATAACTATTCACCCAAGTGTAAGGCATGTTATAACATGTAAATTTATATTGTTTTTAGCATGAACAATGTATAGGTAATATCTCTTGCTGAGTCGATTCAGGGACAAGTAGTTTATCAAGCTTTACTATTGTACATCAGCGACAGTAATATGTGAAATGTTCCCTGCCATGTTGCAGCATGCCATAGAGGGACGTGGGGTGAAGGCTGCAATCAGATGTGTTCGTCTCTGTGTAATGCCGGCTGCCTCGCTGACACCGGAGTCTGTAGGTGCCAGACTTGGACATGTCAGAATGGAGGAACGTGTGGCAGTGATGTGAGTCTTGCTACGTCTACTAAATCTATAACCTTGTTTACAGCTTAGACTTGACGTCATTTCTGATGTTATATACCCATGTAAACTTAGGATAGTAGTACAGGGGTGCACTATGGATGACGTGGTCAAATTCTGTACTGCACCCCAGATGCCGTATTGAACTCCTGCCGGTTCTACATTCCCTAAAGCTCCATTAATGCAAGATAAGAGGGTATATAATAAATATAGAACGTCATACTAGTGCATTTGGAGGTTTTGTATTGAACTGTACTTCAAACTTGTTTCTCTGACATCTTCTCGTTCAATACAAAACATCCAAATGCACTAGTATGATGTTCTATATGTGTATTGAATACAAATCATCACTATTACCGCTCTTATTTAAGTACCATCTTATAATACAATTTTACAGATTGAGTGGAATAAGCAGAAATTTAATGTAAGGCAGTAGAATTCACTGTGTATCATTGTGTTAGCCGAGTGGTTAAAGTGTTCACTCGTCACTCTGATAATGCGGGTTCGATTCTCCACATGGGAAAAATGCATGAAGCCCATTTCTGGTGTCCCCAGCCATGATATTGCTGGAATATTGCTAAAAGCAGCATAAAACTAAACTTCTCACTCACTCATTCACTCATATGTCCCCTTGCCATGTGTCCCCTTGTCATGTGTCCCTATGTCATGTGACCCCTTACCATATGACCACTTGCCATGTGTCCCCATGTCCTCGGACCCTTGTCATGTGTCCCCATGTCCTCTGACCCTTGTCATGTGTCCCCATGTCATGTGACCCATTGCCATGTGTCCCCTTGCCAAGTGTTCCCTTGCCATGTGACCCCTTGTCATGTGCCCCCATGTCATGTGCCCCCTTGCCATGTGCCCCATGTCATGTGACCCCTTGCCATGTGTCCCTTGTCATGTGACCCCTTGTCATGTGGCCTTTTGCCATGTGACCTTTTGCCATGCCCCCTTGTCATATGACCTCTTGCCATGTGACCCCTTGCCATGTGTCCCCATGTCATGTGACCCCATGTCATGTGACCCCTTGCCATGTGTCCCCGTGTCATGTGACCCCTTGCCATGTGTCCCCGTGTCATGTGACCCCTTGCCATGTGTCCCCTTGTCATGTGACCACTTGCCATGTGGCCCCATGTCATGTGACCCCTTGCCATGTGGCCCCTTGCCACGTGACCTCTTGCCATGTGACCCTATGCCATGTGGCCCCATGTCATGTGACCCCTTGCCATCTGACCACTTGGCATGTGTCCCCTTGTCATGTGACCCCTTGTCGTGCTTTTCCATTGTTGACTCATGACTTTTTGTTACATATATAACGTACTTGTTTGAAGGGTCACTGCAAGTGTGCCCTGGGCTGGACAGGAGACAACTGCATGACGGGTCAAGGACGGGATTTGAGGAGCAGCCAAAACAAATTTGGTGGGTGGATCAGGCTTGTTAATAGTACCATGAGATTTTCTAGATGGTTTTACTTGGGATGGTAAATATGTTGGTTGTGCTCTTTACATAAGATTGTTAAAGGGATGGTTGTGTTGTTTATCTTTGATTGTAAACTGGGTGGTTGTGCTGTTTACCTGGGATTGTAAACTGGGTGGTTGTGCTGTTTACATGGGATTGTGAAGTGGATGGTTGTGTTGATTACTTTGGATTGTAAAGGGGATGGTTGTGTTGTTTGTCTTTGATTGCAAACTGGGTAGCTGTGTTGTTTGTCTTTGATAGCAAACTGGGTAGCTGTGTTGTTTGTCTTTGATTGCAAACTGGATAGCTGTGTTGTTTGTCTTTGATTGCAAACTGGGTAGTTGTGTTGTTTGTCCTTGGTTGCAAACTGGGTAGCTGTGTTGTTTGTCTTTGATTGCAAACTGGGTAGCTGTGTTGTTTGTCTTTGATTGCAAACTGGGTAGTTGTGTTGTTTGTCCTTGATTACAAACTGGGTAGCTGTGTTGTTTGTCTTTGATTGCAAACTGGGTAGCTGTGTTTGTTTATGTTTGATTGCAAACTGGGTAGCTGTGTTTGTTTATTTTTGATTGCAAACTGGGTAGCTGTGTTGTTTGTCTTTGATTGCAAACTGGGTAGCTGTGTTTGTTTATCTTTGATTGCAAACTGGGTAGCTGTGTTGTTTGTCTTTGATTGCAAACTGGGTAGTTGTGTTGTTTGTCTTTGATCGCAAACTGGGTAGCTGTGTTTGTTTATCTTTGATTGCAAACTGGGTAGCTGTGTTGTTTGTCTTTGATTGCAAACTGGGTAGCTGTGTTGTTTGTCCTTGATTACAAACTGGGTAGCTGTGTTGTTTGTCTTTGATTGCAAACTGGGTAGCTGTGTTTGTTTATGTTTGATTGCAAACTGGGTAGCTGTGTTTGTTTATTTTTGATTGCAAACTGGGTAGCTGTGTTGTTTGTCTTTGATTGCAAACTGGGTAGCTGTGTTTGTTTATCTTTGATTGCAAACTGGGTAGCTGTGTTGTTTGTCTTTGATTGCAAACTGGGTAGTTGTGTTGTTTGTCTTTGATCGCAAACTGGGTAGCTGTGTTTGTTTATCTTTGATTGCAAACTGGGTAGCTGTGTTGTTTGTCTTTGATTGCAAACTGGGTAGCTGTGTTGTTTGTCTTTGATTGCAAACTGGGTAGCTGTGTTTGTTTATCTTTGATTGCAAACTGGGTAGCTGTGTTGTTTGTCTTTGATTGCAAACTGGGTAGCTGTGTTGTTTGTCTTTGATTGAAAACAGGGTAGCTGTGTTTGTTTATCTTTGATTGCAAACTGGGTAGTTGTGTTGTTTGTCTTTGATTGCAAACTGGGTACCTGTGCTGTTTACCTGGGACTCTAATGGTTGTGTTGTTTATCTTTCATTGTAAACTGGGTGGTTTTGTTGATTACCTTGGATTGTAAAATGAATGGTTGTGTTGCGAACCTGGGATAGCTAAATGGGTGATTGTGCTGTTTACCTTTGATTGTAAACTGGGTGGTTGTATTTACCCATGATTATAAACTGAGTGGTTGTGTGGGTTACTGGGGAATAGTAAGGAATTTTAAACTGGTTGTTCATATCGCCTGTCACATTCAACAGTCTTATTTTTTTCTGAAATATTGAATAATTGGAAAAAAGTATCTAATATTTCTGCATATGTGGGCAAAAAAGCCTGATGAACATAAAATACTTCTGCCATGACAACTTATTCTTTTCATTCTGTTCTGTTTTAGATTTCTCCTTAACTATTGGCCAGGTGGTCGGTATTGTCATTGCTTTCCTCGTTGTACTGGTGGCATCTGTTATAGGGATGGCATTCTACATGAGGCGACGAACACTCAAGAATGCTCCAGCTTCTCCAGTCGAATACAAAGACGATCAGGTAACTGTTTGTATTTCATCTCCATTCTCTCGATTTTCTTACACAAAATGTTTGCCATATAGAAGATTTAGGTTTAGAATGCTACATAATGGTGTGGTAATCAGATAGTGTTACTGTGATACAAACTTAACTTTCTTGCCACTCTATGTACAGGTCGAGTGGAGAAAGTGAACTGGTAGAACAAACCATAACAGTCAGATATTTATGTACAGGAAATGATGGTATTTATATAGATTCTTGCCATACATTGCAACAAAACCAAATTTTGCAGTCACATGAAATCGACAGACCACCTCTGATGATTTCTCTCATAATTTTGGACACCCGAATAAAAAAGTTGTTTAACAAATGATCATTATCTTATTGTCACTTTTTGCTATTTTTTTTAGGGGGGAGGGGGGCACTTGCTGGTAGAACAGCCAGGTGTGGCAGTTGCACCTGTGAAATGAAAATTTCACTACACACTTATTGATTACCTGGCTATTCTACCAGCAAGTGGTCCCCTCCATAGTGAGCAATTCATCAGTCTCAAAAAAAATAATGAGACCAATAAAGTTTTTAATTGGGGACTATTAGATTAGTCCACAATTAACTGTGTGATTCTCAGCGCAAGACACCCAGACTTTAACCAGGGTTTCGATCAGTCACAATTCTACAATCACTTTGGGGAATGTGGCCCAGGTGATAGAAAATTAGTCCAGGGGTCTTTTCCATTTTGTGTGTATGTGCCGAACTGACTGGACTGTGTGAGCAACAGTCGCTGTTTGTTACCTGATCATATTCTTGTAATTTTAGGTGAAAGTGTTGTCACGAGATGAGGGTGGCGGGTTTTCAAATCCTAACTTCGGTCAGTCCAATGAAGACATCATCATGGAGTCACGACAGGAAATAGACCATGTAGACAGCCAAGCATAAGATGCACAGAATTCAAAATATGTCATTGCACAGATCATGTCCATTGTGTATTACAATTAAGGAGATACCAACAGTGTCACAAACACAGCCAAACATCAAGGTATAAAGATATTAATTCACTTGCATCTGCTTATAGGACGTTGTTCTGCTTTCATGTACCGAAGATGACATTGATTTCTTGGTCATGACCATTCAGATGTATGCCATCATGACGTCATATGCGTAACAAACTGTCGAGTTCTTGTTTGCTGAATTCCAATGCATGTCTCTAAATTCTAATATTATCCATATCAAAGTTCTTTGATTTGTATAAATAGGTAAATTTGCAAATATTGTGTATCTTGTCAGTTTGTATATATTTGCTGGCAGTATGAATAGGTGCATAAATGCATTCATTTCCTTGTACATTTTCATTGATGATTAAAATATATTGGTGTATTATCAAGTGTTCTTTGTCATAGTTCGGATGGATCATCTCTGATCCAGTGGTAAAAGAGGCAACACAGCCAGCCTTGAGACAGGTTTGACCCCAAGTCAGGTTATACTTTATTGTGTCTGGTACTAAGCATCATAGGATTAATTCAACGACTTGGCAGCACTTAGTCTAGCCTGAATTACCAAACAAGTTAACTATGCTAAAAGGATTCACTGTATGACAAGACGGTCCAAATATGCAGATCAAAATTGGAGCCCAGTAATCTATAATAATTGCAATCATAAACTCCACCACAAAGCTTATGTGGAAATTAACTGGACACAATCATTAACATTGTGCAAAGAAAACAGGCCCTGTTTAAGGTTCCTGGATCCTTATTCGAAACGTTCGTAGCCCTAAGAATTCTTAACTTTGATCGTAGCCAATGTGTTAAGAATGGGCTTAAGAATTTCTTAGTTGTAGGGCTACGAACATTTCGAGAATAGTTAGCCAGGTGCACATCTGTGCATCTTCATATTGTGGGTATTTTCGGACGCTTAAGAGCAATCTCATGAACTATAAAACATGTCGCTAACTTATAAAAGACAACTTTCATCTGAACAACCACCACCCATAATTCAAATACTGACAATGTCTGTGACAAACATAACAGTACGAAACATTATTTCTCAAGTTTAATTTGACATTTCATTATTTTTTTAATGAATACAAATTATTCTCCCAAGCCCATCATAATCGTTGACGCAAGGGAGATCAACCACCTGACCAATTTTTTTATCAATCGCTCCAGCACTACTGTCCAGGTGACCTGCAATATTGATGCAATCAGTCGACACTTGTGGCCAGCAGTCAACTGTTTCGCCTGATATCCAAACAGGTTTAACTGGAGGTGGAATCTGGTGTCAAATGTCACAACTAACAAACATTTTATCAAAATGTTTTAATCCCATGATGGGTTTTATACACACAGATGTACAGGCGACAGTAAATAAACAAGAGGAAACAAATTTACAGGACAATGGCAGCATGTTCAGCACTGGTTACATTGTCAGCTCCTGAAACATAAGAAAATATTGGTAAAAATCCATGGACTCGATATCACCACTCTGTAATGACTAACTAAATAAACCTTCAGATAAAGATTGTTGCCTCAGCTAAACTGGCATGAAATGCAGGTGTTTCAGCATTTATCGATAAGCCGGGGAAAAAATATACATCATAGGCAACAAATATCCTTCAACATTGTATTGTGTTCGAAACATTAGAATGGATAAATCTGAAGTAAAGAAAATGAAAACTTTCAAATTCCTATTCTCACAAAAATAAAATGAACTCAAATGAACCAAGCTGAAGACAAGTCATTAGACATATGCCTTGCCTCGATACTCCAAGTTCTGCATGAACTTTAATATTTCCTAGGGCATTACTACAGACTATTTTCAATCAAACAATTTGTATTTTGCTGTTTTAGTTCTGACAATACTGAACAAACAGATTTAACATTTCATTCCTGGTGGTAAACTGGGCAAATATCAGGCCAGTTTTAGAAAAATTCTTTGGAAAATAATTTTTGTAAAGCAATTTAGAAATAAACCATTAATCAATTCTATCATGTATCATTGTCAGTAAATCTGAGACTTGTGACACCCACACAAAGTATGGTAATTTAGATATTAAATAGAGACATAAGAATATTCCACTAATCACCTTACACTCCAGAAATTGGACTAACAGTGGTAAAGATGGGATCTTTACCACTTCAGTACAGTCCTTGAGCGGGTCACTATTCAAACTGGGTTAGCATAACAAAGCTTGATGCACAATGTTAATATTTAGCAATGATTCACACCTTCCATTTTCGGAGTCATCAAATAGGGCTGCAACGATTCATTGAAAATTGATTCTGACACCGTAGTTTCGATTACCATCATCACTATTTCGATTCGATATTTGAGGACCTATTCAAATTATTTCCACACAGCGAGAACTCGAGCAGGAGTGCTGAAATATGGCGAAACGTGATTGCTTGACGCCAGGCTAATTATCCAAGGAGAATCGTTAATAGACATCGCCAGGTTAATGATGAATTTCACGCTAAAAAGTCAACACTGAGAGCTAAATGAAATCTGATGTTACTTGTGTGAAGAATTGCATCGAGGGTCCAATATCAAAAAATTGAATCTGGGTCTGGTTGAATCGTTGCATGGATAACTGAATCCAAGCACTCTTCACACCTAGCACCCATTGTGGCCACACATCAACATTTTCCTTTCTTCATATGACTAGCATTGACACTGATGACCTAGTCTACCAACTAGCACCTCCAACAATAAACCTGCATGTTGTTCTGGTGAAACATCTTTACATTTACACACCATGGACAAAGATCAGGAACTCAAGATGTATCCTCAACATTTATCAGTAGTCCAGACACATTGTCATCACTTCTTTGTCCTTGTATGTGAAATATGTGTTCGAACATCGTCAATCCTAAGCAATTGGGATGAAAACCAATTCTAACCCAGATCTTCACAGATCTGATAATTCTGTCAATCCATTAGTGACCGCGTCTATTAATGACAAGCATGGGTTACTGAAAACCAGTTCAAAACCCAGATCTTCACAGATCTGATCCAGGCAAATTCTGACCAAGTGAGATTTCCAAATTTGAGCGTCTCTATCACACTTCTGTTGTTTGTTCACTTGTGATGATATGATGTTTTCCTACCCTGGAAAAAAGCCGTAACTCATGGATAAGCTGACCCCCAAGACTGCTTTTTGGTCCTCAAAATTCAGTGTCATATACAGTAATTTACAGATACAATTCCAGGGGCTGTTGCCTCAGCTAAACTGGCATGAAATGCAGGTTGTTTCAGCATTTATCGATAAGCCGGGGAAAAAAGTATACATCATAGGCAACATAAAGATCATGCAATGTGACAGACATGATAAAATTTCAAAGTATTGTTATTATTGTAGTAGCTACATTACAGAGTATACTGGTTTCGTAACTAGTTCTTTAAAAGCAATAACTTCATATCTTAATAACCTTGACACCCTGTTTTTATTTAAAGTAGTTTAACCAGTAATAGTTCTGATCTATAATAATAATTTCTGGTAACAACCACACCAACTCCATTAGTAAAGATGATAATGTCGAATAACTTGGAAGACGTTACAAAAATGCATGCAAATCACAAACTTACTAATAGGATTTCGTTCGCTCCACTAAAATCACTGGTTCACTGTTTTGACAGTCTTCCCATTTCCTCAACAGTTTATAACAGAGCTACTGAGGATGTAAGATTGTTGCCTCAGCTAAACTGGCATGAAATGCAGGTGTTTCAGCATTTATCGATAAGCCGGGAAAAAAGTATACATCATAGGCAACAACTGATCCCTCAACATGTTACTCGACTTGTATACCTAACTGTTTGCAAGATCAACTAACCCGAGGATGTTGCTGTTCTTGCATTATTTACTAGCTATTGTCTATTGGCAGGAAGTATGGTAAAGCTGGTTGCTATGATTATCAGGCTGGATAATAGTAAAACTTCAACAAAGTAAAACATAATTAACAAAAACTATTTTGTCTTCTTTGAGAGGCATTTTAGAAGTTGTATAGATGAACTTATTTTGTGCATTGACATATTGTGCCATCCCAGAAAGTATGGTTGATTAAAGAGAGCGAGTTTAGTTTTACACAGCTTTTAGCAATATTCCAGCAATATCACGACAGGGTACACCAGAAATGGGTTTCATACATTGTACCAATGTTGAGTTAAAACAGACAGACTATTTCTATGGACACTGCGGCTCTAGAACCAAGAATCACAAGGTATTAGATTAAGAAAACATCTTTCCAAACATTAGTACTAACATTATTGCCCTTGAGCCATCAGGGTCCGCAGGTAAGATGTACTCTACTCTGCGTAACTTAGCAACTGAGGCAGATGGAGACACGTAGGTTGATATTTAGCAATGATTCACACCGTTCATGTTCATATTCACACTTGTATATTCATTCAAATCACAGCTGAGGTATTCATGGAAGAAATCGTCCAAGCACCTATTTTGACTGACCAATCCACATTCACACCCCTAAAAAGACAAGGCACTGGACGCACAGTCTACCAAACTGACATGAGCATTAAATTCAACAGTTCAATTTTCACATGACGTTATTTTGTACCATCTTGACCTTCACACCAGACAAAGATCAGGAACTCAAGATGTATCTTCAATACTGATCAGTAGTCCAGACACATTGTCATCATTTCTTTGTCTGTGTACATGTAGAAAGCATTTGACAACATTTTTGCTATGTTCAACTTAAACTCACCATAATAGCATTAACAATATCATTATTGTTATTTTTGAGGGCTTTGACTGCCTTTGATCTTGAAACGTTGGCTTGCGACATGACCAACTCAATATCTTTAGCTTCAACCCCGGACTCGTCAACCTGAAAATAGTGCACAAATTGAACATTATACAAACTTAATCATCGCTTTCCTACAAAATAAAAAAAGAAATAACTTCTCTCCAAGCTTGCATCAGACAAACTGGCAAATAGCTGCGATTTGTCGTCATTTATCGATAAGACGGGGAAAAAATTGTCATCATAGCAAGCTGGATCTGAGAATCATAGTGGCTCATAACTAATGTGGAATGGCAGCTGGACCTTGTCCGTGACTTGATTACTTAAATTTGTATGAAATAGTACTATAAACGGTATCTTGGACATTCACTGTATTAACATAAAAACACTTTAGTCGATCAGGTATTTATCTAAAACATGGAAACCGCCATGCACAACAGATATCACTCAAATCAGCAAGTGGCTAGATGTCAGAGGGAGCAATGATCATTCTCTATCACAGACCGATCATTCTCTATCACAGACCAATCATTCTGCACTAAGCACCCGTTCCCATGTTTCTGTAGACTCTGGCAACATGGTACAGTGACATGTCCCACCCAGAGTCCCCAGGATCAGCAATAATGACACTTACGTCTTCCTCCTCCTCGGACTCCTCCTGGATGGGCTGTGAGATGGTGGACTGGACTCCGCCCTCCCCAGCACCAGCGGGGTTCTCTGGAGCCTTGAACTTCTCAGCAGCTGCCATCTGAGCTTGTTGGTTCAGATCCTCAATCTGAAACACGGAGAACACTTAGTCATGTCATCTCTCCATCACCAATTGATAGTTGTCGGCGCTATGGTTGTACCATCTCAACCTTGAATGACAAGATAACAAAAGCATCAATCGATGGAAGACTAGTGAATTCTTTGATTTCTGATGAACAAGTGATAAACACAACCACTGAAACAAGTTATACTGACAATTGTCAAGTGAATCTTACATGCCTAGGAGCAGTTTACTTGTGTTGATTTCGAAATCACCAATCAATGTTAATGTGTCATTATGGTAAAATAGACATTTTGACCAGGATCATATAATCCAGACAAAACTCAGCTATAACAATTCTTCCATTTCTGAAATGTTGCCTCAGCTAAACTGGCATGAAATGCAGAGGTTTCAGCATTTATCGATAAGCCGGGGAAAAAAGTATACATCACAGGCAACAATTGTAGTTTGAATGATAGTGCAATTAAAATTTTCAATAAAGAAACATTCAAGATGATGTTTTAGATTATCCTTGATTATTTTTGAAGACACAAGAAAACAAAGCGAGTCAAACAAAAATAAATTCGCTAACGAATAAATGTATATTGTACCTTCATGAATTTTTTGATCACCTTAACCAAAGAACAATCTGACTTTGTTGAGAACTACGACTCAATTTTGGGTGGTCAATACATTTCTACATAGTTCTTAGCCACTGGCCTAATCAAGAAACCAGCAGAGCAACAAACTTTTTGGGTATGTACACACTATATTAGAAATAGCTATTACAAAGACAATCCCTATAAAGCTTGCATTGTAACTATTAAAAACTGTCCATTTCACAATGAACAGGGCCCATCACATATAAACAATGTATGGTAATCAATATCGTTATTTTTGAGGGCTTGTAATGTGTACGAGTTGGACTTCGATTTTGTAATAATGACTGTTTTAAAAGGTAATCAGAAGGTCTGGCCCATCACATATACGAGTTGGACTTCGATTTTGTAATAATGACTGTTTTAAAAGGTAATCAGAAGGTCTGAATGTAGAGATATATGGTTACTGTGCCTCAGTTAAACTGGCATGAAATGCAGGTGTTTCAGCATTTATCGATAAGCCGGGGAAAAAAGTATACATCATAGGCATAGTAATAATTTCTATATTGCAAAGTTGAAATGGGATACAGCGTATATCATCCCTGGATTAGGAACCAATGTCTGATAAGTAAGGGCAAAAATCCACCCAAATATCACTAGTACCTGAAGAGCAAGCAATCAATCTATCATGAGCCAATGTTCAAAACAATGGACAGGGCCTATCACATATATAATTTACGGTAATCATAACTGCTTGGAACCCTATTGTAATGTGTATGAGTTGGACTTTGATTTTTTCATGACAATGTTTTAAAAGGTAACCAGGTCTTCAGACCAATCAATTTTCGAGGACAATGATTCATCAAAACTATCATGAAGATGCCTTTGAATTTTGGGATTGGTACAACAATGTCATCAAATTACCAAAATCACAAAAATGTCCAACTGACTTTGGTCACTTGCAAAACACTATTTTGAAGATCTTCCCATTACCAGAACTTAAATACTGTGCTATCAGGATAAACAGATTGTTGCCTCAGCTAAACTGGCATGAAATGCAGGTGTTTCAGCATTTATCGATAAGCCGGGGAAAAAAGTATACATCATAGGCAACATATTTCTGTATTGCAGAGTTGAAATGGGATGCGACATATCATCCCTGGATAAGGAACCAATGGCCGATAAGGCCAAACAAAAAATATATGTGTGTTTACGGTTTCCCGACCAACCCCATCACAAAATTCCCGAAGATAAAGTTTCTTCTTTTTTTGAAAAGACAGCAAAACATTTTGCTATTCCAACAGTATGTACTCCCCAATGTTGGGGCGACCATATGTGACCTGTCTTCACTTACTCTTGTTTTTCATCAATTTTTAATTTATGAAGTGTTGATGCTTCAATTTTAAACTGGTTTCCCCTCTTTTCTTTCAAAACTGGTCCCTGATATAACAAATATGTGATTTTATGAAAAATATGCGAGTGCATTTAAAAAAAAAATGTAAGAGAAAAAAAAGGGAGATAAACCCTACCTACCAATCCTGTTTTGTAATTTCATGTTACCCTAAACACATTTTTTTTTTGCCTAAGTAAGCATGGTAAGAGCAAAAATCCACCTAAATACCATTAGTACCTGAAGATAGTGGTGTTCCGATTAATTGAAATAATCGAAGATTGGTCGTAGTGACCAAACGACCAAGCAATCGATCACATAAACGATTTTGGAACTACTGTTTTTTAGTCTTTGAAATACTTGACAATGGAACATATCGTTGAAGTGTCAGGGCCTGAAAACTCACTTCACTAACATAGTCATATCTTTGAAGATGCCATGGGAATAACCCAACCACTGAATGACTAACAATTGAAACTGACAATGAACATACTAAATACCAGAGTGAGTGAGTTTAGTTTTACGCCACACTCAGCAATATTCCAGCTATATGGCAGTGGTCTGTAAATAATACAGCCTGAACCAGACAATCCTGTGATCGACAGCACGAGCAGCGATCTACGCAATTAGGGACCATGCGTCAAAGTCAGTGAGCCTGACCACCCGATCCCATTAGTTGCCTCTTACAACAAGCATCAGTTACTGAAGATCAATATTCTCACCCGGATCTTCACTGGTTCAGACCTAAAAAAAAAGCTTGTGGTTCCGATTTCCCGACTAACCCTAAATATCCCCGCCGAGCCTAACAATTTTACTCACCACATAATAAATTAAATTTATTTTCTGACACATGAGTAATGTAAAAATATTTTGCAAAAAACCCAAAACAAAACCTCTACCTACCTACCCTAGTTCTGAAATGTAGGAAATCGGAAACACAACATTTTTGTGGGGGCCTTACTAAATATCAGGATTGGATTTGGCAAGATAAGGTAGAAATATATGGTTAAAGTGCCTCAGTTAAACTGGCATGAAATGCAATGATCTCAGCATTTATCGATAAGCCGGGGAAAAAAGTATACATCATAGGCAACATAATGTCAAGTTGCAGAGTTGAAATGGGATACAGCGTATATCATCCTTGGGTTAAGAACCAATTCTGAAAAACTAAGAGCAAAAATCCAACCAAATACCACTAGTGCCTAAAGAACAAGCAAGCAATCCATCCATCACAACCCATAGAGAAAATATGAACAAAAAAATCAACGCAATGAATATTCATTTGGGAACAACAGAATCTTTGGCATTTTAAAATGGAATAACATATATGGTCCATACTGACTATAAATGTGACATGCTTTCTTTTAGAGACAGTAAATTGTCTTTAGCGTATTTTGTGAGTAAACAGTTTTGAAAATGTAAGTAATACCATTTTTCACCCTAAACGGACAGACATATTCACATCGTTGCAGATGCAGAATCCCATGGGAAATACCAAACCAACACATGACCAACAATTGAAACTGACAACATTGAACATACTAAAAACCAGGAATGGATTTGGTGAGATAAGGTAGAGATATATGGTTAAAGTGCCTCAGTTAAACTGGCATGAAATGCAAGGATCTCAGCATTTATCGATAAGCCGGGGAAAAAATATACATCACAGGCACCTGAAGTTACCATTTTCGCCTATCTCAGACTGAGAAAAAGGGTAATGGGTCGGTCAAGATTGATAATATTCGGTACCATATCCATTACAAGAGATGGGTCAGGCATGTGAAATGTAGGACCTGGAGACCTTTGTAGAACTGAGGGTCACTGTGTTAGTGTCTTGTGAACAAATTTGTGCAAATTTTCAAATTTCAAACTTAATAATAGCTGATTACCCACCTTTGCTTCACCGAATACAATATATGTGTCTGAAGCTGGACTCTTGTATACATCTGGTCGGTTGATTACAAACAGAATATTTTTAGATTTCCTTATTGTTACCCTGGTAACTCCAGTGACGGGTTTCAGCCCTGAAGGAAAATGGCATATACCATAGTTACCAATCTCATTTATGGCAACAGAAACAAACATCACTACTTCTTTGAACTGACAGCCACAAATTATTTGAATACTTCTCACTGACCAAATATGCAATAAAATATCCATTCAGCATTAACAAGTTAAAATTTACTGAATTAGGTTAAAATAGTAAACAAGATAAAATGTACAATGATCAAATATATCTTATGTTGGTACAGCTATTGAACTATCAAATGAAATCTTGCATATTAGCATGATTAGTTCAGTTGGTAACAGGTGACTGAACAGAATGCAACTTACCAAGTTTAGACATAGCCTTTCTGGCTTTCTTCTCACTACGGGACTGTTTGGACTTGCTGACAAGTTCCTCTTGAATACCTGCTGCCTGTGCCACCTACAAATTGAAAATCATAAAATGATGAAAGGGGCCATTATACAACATGCAAAAGTACACATCTTTCAAACATCTAAGCATTAAAATAGTATGCAAGTAACATCAGTATCTGCCAAGGGAATATCGGTTCATTAGCCATGAACCATTTACTGCTACAATATCAATATGGGCAATTATGAGTCTGGAACATTTTAATCAACACTGACTACAAGCCAGTGGACAAAACCTGAGTATGTAACAAAAATATAGACAAACCTGGCTTTGTTGTTGCATCGAAGCATCTTGGTCCTCCAATTCGGGTGGAGAATCATCGTCTCCATCAGTATCTGTTGCAGACCCTGAGTCTTCAGGTTTTGTCTCCTCGACAGGTTTTTCTACTGCCTCGGTAGGCATTCTGGAGAATTAGACTCAAGTATTATCACAGCGTTCCAACACTTACAGTCAAGTATATCCCCTGTGGATCAGTAAAACATAAAAAAATGCTGGTCTGGTGGTATTTTAAGTGTTATTCTGGGAATTTGAAAGGATTGACTAAACTCACAAGCAGTACCAGCAAACTGAAAAACAATGCGGTACCTGCTTATATCCTTGAGCTTGACTTGTTTCTCATTTTAATAATATTTGCTCACATATTCTATGAATCTGGTTTCTGTGCATTAAAAGCAATACTGTGTCCAACAGTAGATATCCAACAGGGCCAGGCAATTTGTCTGTGCCCAGGACCTTTGGACGTCAGTGTCGAACACTGTTACCTCCGTTACTTGAGCTATGCCAGAACAATTGTTAGTTATTTACAAAATGTACATAACATTTAAAATAAATTTGGCTGCTTCTCGACTTTAGGGTTCTATCCTAGGGTTCTATGCACACAATGTAAACTAGGCATGAATTTCAAGAGTAACAAAGTCATATGGGATAAAATTTAATGCAGAATATATTCCCTATATTCCCAGCACACATTCGTGCCATCTCAATGATAACATATACTATCCCACATTCCTGATTACTGTGTACGAAGGAAATTCAAGATGAGTATACCATATATTCATCACTCAACATTGTTTACAGCATTCTAATGCATGTTTGGAAAATTACGACGAAAGGAAAGAAATAAACAACTAAAATATAAAACCCAAACACCAAAGAAAGCATGCCATAGTAATATTTGTCGGGATGGTGAATAATTTGCTCGATAAAACGTGGATTTGACTACTCACATGTCACTGTCGTTTTTCCCGAAATGGAGATGGCGGAAGAGGTCGCATAGCGGGGGTTATTTCCGGCAGGTGCGCTAAAAATAGAGCAAACTACTTTCAAACCAACCACTATTTATTATAATCGAAAAGTGTATAAAAATACAGATTATTTATACTATCTTACTTATTATGGTATTTAAACTATCTTACGTTTCATGTGAAAAATAATTCTACATTAGTTATATCAAATATGAATGAAAATATTCATATTGTTGTGTATCGGTTTATATATTCTGATGAGGGTCGTATGTAGCTAATATGTATTACATTGTTTTGATATGGCCGCCTGACAACAGATTCTGCCATCACATTTATATGTCGTCCAGGTAATGACATTTATCTGAGTAATTTTTCTGTGTATCATTACGTAAGTCATTAGAAATTAATGTATAAGTATTGTTTTATTTTTGATAATGTGTCGTCGAGTTTAGTGCGACAGGTTTAGACGGGTATCAAGACCAAATTTGGACTTGTCAGATCAAGTTTGCAAAATCTCACAACAAACATTGAAATTACTATATAAACCAATTATTCAAAGAAATAGTTAATTTTCACTCTTTTAATTATGTTTTCTGTAGAAAACAAATGTTACAAATCTTTGGAATTACATGGCACGTATGAAAATGCTACATACCTATTTACCAAAGAGAACATCACTCAATGCAACTGATCTAAAGCAGGCGTCGTTATCCATAAAATTATGCATTTTCTTATTAACTCATATTTAATGTGCCAGTCAAACAATTGGAGGATCATAACATTTGTATCATTAATCTTTTGAATTCAATATTCTATAACCATGATAACACATACTATTTGAATTGAAAAGGTGAATGAACCAATCATTTTTATCACAAATACACAGTCCCATCAAATGTGTAGCAATGGTCACATTGTTGAAATGCATACGTGAATCATTTCATGAAATAATTTGAGAAAACAATCTGAGCTTCTTATGAAGCTGTATTACTTCACATAAGGGTTGATGAAAAAAATATGGGTATGAAATTATCAGAATTATCTTGTAATGTTAAATTACAGCTAACACATTCAGGATGCCAAGTGCAGGAGCACTATGTCCCCCTCAAATTACCCCCATCAGGAGGGTCCCAGACAGGATACAGCTGCCAGTCAACCATATTGATGTCAACACCCTCATCGAGCTATCTACAGGTACTTAGACAGTTATTGTATTATCATAATGTCATAAGAGGCTACTGAATGGATTGGCTCGTCACAATGTCAGTCACTGTATTGTCTGGTCCAATCATAACACTAGGGAGGCAGTGGGGTAGCCTAGTGCTTAAAGCGCTCGCTTGTCACGCCGAAGACCCGGGTTCAATTCCCCACATGGGTACAATGTGTGAAGCCCATTTCTGGTGTCCCCCGCCATGATATTGCTGGAATATTGCTGAAGGGGCGTAAAATTAAATTCACTCACACTGGGATAATGCTTGTTACATGATCAAACAAAAAACATTGACTTGTTAATTATTTTACCTTGTCCTGACTTATACTAATTGCTTTAGTGTAGGAGTCAGGGTAAGTATAAATGATACTTTTTTAGAAAATAAAATACATTATTGACATTATTTGTTTTTAGAGGGTAACAACTGTAAGATATTCTTCACCACTGATGGGACCAAGCCATGTCCATTCCAACGGAAGATTGCAGGGCGGGAAGTCACATATAAATACATCGCACCCTTCACACTGAAGCCAGGGAAGAGAGTGCTGAAGGCTGTTTGCACTACAAGGTAGGGATTACTCTAGACAGTCAGTTAGCAGATCAACATTTTCAGGGGTTATTGAGAGTACAAGAAATTCTTTCAAATTTTAATGTTTCTATGCATCAAATATTCAATAACACCTGCAAATCGGAAAACCTAACATATTTAATGATTTTGTAATAGTTTATCATTTTCTGTAGCACTCTTCATTCTACTGTGTCATCATTCTGACATGTTAGCAACATAGCTTTTTATAGAATGTGAATTTGTCATTTAAAACATTAATCTTGAATGGTGGATACAATCTTTTCTTCAAATCTCTGATATCATTCTGTCCGAATGAGTCAGTAAGTCATGCAATCTGCTCCAACTGATTCAGTAGTTTCTGGGTAGAGAATAATTATGATATTTTTAGGTAACACAGATTTATAGTACTAGCATCTTAAGTACTTTTGTACCTGCATAAAAGGAAGCATGTATACATCAGTGCCATCTCCTCAAAGCTTAAAGTGTTTATGCACCACCATGTGCTTTCAGTCCTAAAACATTACTTCCTTACTTTGATCTTAAAACTAGACAACTTCCTAAGGTCCAAAACTATCCTAGATCACAAGATTGTACTTGTAAAAGTGCCACAGTATCGGACAATAAATGATAGAAATATGTTTCACAGTTGCCTCAATAGATGACCATGACCTATGACAGAGACAGCATAACAATTAGATATCAATGTTTGAAATTAAGCATGAAAGTCATGGCGTCCTTGCCATACCCTCCTGGTAAACAGTAAAGATTTAGGTTTCTAAGATGCTTCGGTGAAAGATCAAAGGCGTCGACAGTACTTTATCAGACGATAATGTGCACTTTTTGCATTACGTCACAATGTATTGGCGTCACTGCGCCATTCTAGTCTGCCCCCTCGTAATGGAACCATTTTGCATTACGTCACAATGTAAGTGACGATGCATGTCAGTTGTAATGACAATGACAATACTTTATTACCCGTGAGGGAATTCTTGAGTAAAGTACAGAGCTCTGGGCGCCGTTATAATTTACCCCGTTTTAAATCCAATCGTGTGATGAAATCCTTTGTTTCCACCAGTATTAATCTTTTAAATGATTCCTAGTGTTTGTCTTACCTTGTAAGCGTGTTATATGTGTGTTATTTATTGTATGAAAATAATTCAATCAATTTATACTCATAGTAGATGGGATGGTCTTGATCAGATATAATCTTATGGGCTGACTTGAGAACTCTTTCTTCATATATTTCATTTAGGTTAGCAAAAGATACACCTGCAATTTTACTCGCTAATAAAACTATTAACTATTAACTATTGTCATCGCCTCATACGGCCTCCTACAGTAAACTACTCCATTGCATACTGTTTCTTGGTTTGCAGTTGCTTCATGCAGCTAAAATCACTGGTCGAAACATTACGTTTATGTTTTACGACGGTTAAAATGTTTCAATTCGACTCACAAGTTTTCAGCGACACGGAAACGTTCGCAATGTTTACATTCCCACAATGCAATCGTGGAATGTCGCTTGACTACTCAGCTTCATCTGGATGTACTGATCTAAACTTACGTTTGTAGGAGAAATGTGACTTTCATATTGCCCAATATGGTTTACGTTAATCACAGATGTAATTACAATAATTCAGAGAAGATATTTAATCCGAACGTAAACCGGCATAAAAATGTTAGCATTTGTTTTTGCTGGTAAAGTTTGTCTTAACATAGGGGGGGCAGACACATCAATAGAACAGCACGCCAGTTAGCCCTGTGCAAGGATTCTTAATTTAGGTCACCGACACCGTCGTTTGTTTTCTGCCTTAAATTAATCGTAATTATCCTTAGAAAGTATTAAATTTGGCATCTTAGAAAAGAAATACAGTTCGCTCTACCACCATGTATAGTGTAATAAAGCACATTTTCGCCCTGAACTATTATAAAACGTTAAAGCACGAGGACGCTTGTGCTCAGAAGCACACTTTCGCCCTGAACTATTATAATCAATAATGTATAATAGTTCAGGGCAAAAGTGTGCTTTATTACACTATACATGGTGGTAGAGCGAACTGTATTTCTTAAATCCATACTCTATAACACTAGATATTCAGATTCTTTGTTAGGAAACATCAAGGACCCAAGGACACTCATTACGTTCAAATACTTGGTGTGCAAGGATTTGTATAGAAACAGTAAAGTTTTCATTATCTTGTGACCTTGACATTTGACCTTTTCATGACAGGTGCCTAAGGGAATTTGCAGGCTGTTCTTAAGATGTCCATTGAAGACTTCTCTCTAATATCAATTATCTTGTGTTTAGTAATCATTAGAAAAATCACTGGTACTGGTAGCAGAAGTGAGTGGGTATAGCTTAACACAGCAGCTATTTGTGGCAACCAGAAGTAAAGTTTCAACAAAAATGGGGTCACTTATAACCGGGTGTTCAGTCTGTATTGCTTAATGTTATGAGGCATGATGTAACCTACAAAATATCCTGTCCTTAAATGTGTCCTACTGTGTAAGTGTGCACTCATGTCATCACATATCTGAAACCACTCCACTACCACCGACAAAAGGGACCGTTCATAATTTATGGCTTGGGTGAATGATGATGATTTTAATGGAGAAGGATGTAACAATGTGAATGAACCCCCCTAAGATTTATGTACAAAGTAAGTCACCCCCCTCTTAATCAATGACATGACACCCCACCCATTACCCCACCCAATTCTCATAATTATAAAATATTTTCATGTACTAAATTGCTGACCCCACCCCCAGCCCCAGGTACATGTGTACAAAATTGATGACCCACCTACCTCCCCAGAACAAAACGGGTGACCCCCCCTTAAAATCATCATCAACACACACACCCCAGCCATAAATTATGAACGGTCCCTAAGCACCCACCTTTATCCACGCATACACACATGCATGCACACACACTTCAATACAAGCACTTCACCCATCCCCACACATGCATGCACACACACTTCAATACAAGCACTTCACCCATCCCCACACATGCATGCACACACACTTCAATACAAGCACTTCACCCATCCCCACACATGCATGCACACACACTTCAATACAAGCACTTCACCCATCCCCACACATGCATGCACACACACTTCAATACAAGCACTTCACCCATCCCCACACATGCATGCACACACACTTCAATACCAGCACTCCACCCATCCCCACACATGCATGCACACACACAATACCAGCACTCCAATCCCCACACCATGCACTTCCACTCCACCCATCCCCACACATGCATGCACACACACTTCAATCAATCACCAGCACTCCACCCATCCCCACACATGCATGCACACTCACTTCAATACCACAGCACTCCACCCATCCCCACACATGCATGCACACACACTTCAATACCACCATGCATGCACACCACCCATACCGCCCCACCCATCCCCACACATGCATGCACACACACTTCAATACAAGCACTCCACCCATCCCCACACATGCATCCACACTCACTTTAATACCAGCACTCCACCCATCCCCACACATGCATGCACACTCACTTTAATACCAGCACTCCACCCATCCCCACACATGCATGCACACACACTTCAATACCACCACTCCAACCTTCCCCACACATGCATGTATACACACACTTCAATACTACAGCACTCCACCCATCCCCCACACATGCATGCACACTCACTTTAATACCAGCACTCCACCCATCCCCACACATGCATGCACACTCACTTCAATACACCACTCCACCCAATTTTCCCCCACACATGCATGCACACACACTTCAATACCAGCACTCCAATACCACCACTCCACACCATTCCCCATCCCCACATGCATGTACACACATTCAATACCATCCACTCCAATACCACCATTACATGCATCCACACTCACTTCACACATGCATTGTCCACCCATCCCCATACACACTTCACTTCAATACCACTCCACCTCTTCCCCACACATGCATGTACACACACTTACTTCAATACTACCACTCCACTCAATACTACTATTCTAATCATCCCTACCACACACACTTCAATACCACCACTCCACCCATCCCCACACATGTACACACTTGTACACACACTTCCAATACCACCGCATGTACACCACCAATACCATTCCACACTCCAAATACCACCATTCCACCTTTTCCCCACATGCATGTACACACACTTCAATACCACCGCTCCAATACCACCACTCCAATACCACCACTCCACCCATCCCCACACATGCATGTACACACACTTCAATACCAGCACTCCAATACCACCACTCCACCCATCCCCACACATGCATGTACACACACTTCAATACCACCGACTCCAATACCACCACTCCAATACCACCATTCCACCCATCCCCACACATGCATGTACACACACTTCAATACCACCACTCCACCCTTCCCCACACATGCATGCACACACACTTCAATACCAGCACTCCAATACCACCACTCCACCCATCCCCACACATGCATGTACACACACTTCAATACCACCGCTCCAATACCACCACTCCAGTACCACCATTCCACCCATCCCCACACATGCATGTACACACACTTCAATACCACCACTCCACCCTTCCCCACACATGCATGCACACACACTTCAATACCACCACTCCAATACCACCACTCCAATACCACCATTCCACCCCACACATGCATGCACTCCATCCCCACACATATCACACACTTCATACCACCACTCCACCCTTCCCCACACATGCATGCACACACACTTCAATACCACCACTCCAATACCACCACTCCACCCATCCCCACACATGCATGTACACACACTTCAATACCACCGCTCCAATACCACCTCTCCAATACCACCATTCCACCCTTCCCCACACATGCATGTACACACACTTCAATACCACCGCTCCAATACCACCACTCCAATACCACCACTCCACACATCCCCACACATGCATGCACACACACTTCAATACCACTACTCCACCCATCCCCACACATGCATGTACACACACTCCAATACCACCACTCCAATACCACCATTCCACCCATCCCCACACATGCATGTACACACGCTTCAATACCACCACTTCAATACCACCACTCCACCCATCCCCACACATGCATGTACACACACTTCAATACCAGCACTTCAATACCACCACTCCACCCATCCCCACACATGCATGTACACACACTTCAATACCAGCACTTCAATACCACCACTCCACCCATCCCCACACATGCATGTACACACACTTCAATACCACCACTTCAAACCACTCCACCACCTCCACCCATCCCCATGTACATGCATGTACACACACTTCAATACCACCACTCCAATACCACCACTCCACCCATCCCCACACATGCATGTACACACACTTCAATACCACCACTTCCCCACACAATACACACACCACTCCACCCATCCCCACACATGCATGTACACACACTTCAATACCAGCACTTCAATACCACCACTCCACCCATCCCCACACATGCATGTACACACACTTCAATACCAGCACTTCAATACCACCACTCCACCCATCCCCACACATGCATGTACACACACTTCAATACCAGCACTTCAATACCACCATTCCACCCATCCCCACACATGCATGTACACACACTCCAATACCACCACTTCAATACCACCACTCCACCCATCCCCACACATGCAGCCACTCATCCATGTTTATCACATGCAGGGATGGACTACAGGAAAGCGCGGTTGTTACAAAGACGTTTAACGTGGATGAGTTGATCGAGGAAACTGTTGAAACATCTGATGGCTACGACTACAGCAGCTACAGCAGCTTCTTTGAAACCTCTGATACAGACACTTCCAAGTCCACAGTCAAGTCCAGATCAAAACCCAAGAAAAGAGTAAGTCAGGTTTTTGCTCCTGGGATGCCCTGAAAAAAATACTCATCAATGTAATTAATGCCAGAATTATGAAACAGAAGATGTATTTGAATCAATACGTTTTACACAATAGAATTAAAGTTTCATGCAATATTTTTTAAATGGGTTTATGGGTTTTTTAGCTTAAAAACATTGTTTAACAAGCTTACATTCAGACGTACTTATGCTTATACCTACCTGTTAAGCTACCTACCGTAAGTCGAGTAGAAACGAGGTGTAAACACAAATCAACCCCACCTGTGCAATTACCTCCCCCTTCCCTGTCACCAATCTTTCCGGAGCCTAAGGCCAGAAAGCCGAAGAAGAGCGACAAACAGGCCAAAGTCCAGAGGGGTGGATGGGTGGGACTAAACCGTATGTCTGAATGTAAGCTTGTTAAAACAATGTTTTTAATCTGAAAAAAACCCATGTTTTAGCTTACATTCAGCCGTACTTATGCTTTATCCGTCGGCTGGCGGTGAGGGACAAGGCCCAACCAGTATAATTGCCTATGTGAAGCTGACATACCCCTGGTGACACGTAGTACTGACAGACTTCACAAGGAGGGTTGTTTGTACCCAAGACATAAAGAAAGTACAATAACTACACAATCGCAACAATCCACAAGAGCATAAGGATGACTGGCTCTGTATGCAATCAAGTAGAAAAGCGAGGAATGATGGAGGATGCAAATATCAACGACAGAACTTCACTAAGAACGATGAAGATATAGCATGAGTCGCAGCTCAGGTAACAAAGTCCAACGGGGAGCAATAACTAAGGGAACAAAACCACAACAAGCAGTAAAGGAAACCATGGGATCGTAAGACTGTCAGGCAATAAAGAACAAGAGTGAATCACGTTCACCAACAATTTATTGCAGTAATTACACAAAGTCGAGATACCGAAGACAAGAGTCACTGACGACGGGCGGAGGGAAGTTGTTGTGCGACAACTAGGAGCCCAAATTGGTGGATGCCTGCAACATCTGCCGTCGAGATATCCCGCAAGTAGTGAGAGGCGAAAACCGAAGTGGATTTCCAAAAACAACCTTCCATAATAGCCTGGAGGGAACAGTTACCATGGAGAGCCAATGGGGACGCAAGCACCCAAACTTTGTGAGGGTGGGAAGAGGATGGTGGACAGATGGTGGATCCATATTCTGCGCAGCATATGCCTGAAGAATCACATCCCGTAAGCCAGTAAGAAAGAGTATTTCTGGTGATCTCTGACTTGGAGGTTGGAAACAATGGAACGAATAAACAACAAAAAGTCTTTCGACGTGATTCAGAACGTTGAAGGTAAATGCGTAAAGCATGCACCGGACAGAGGGACAAATCAGCATGTTCTTGAGAACCCAAGATGGCGGAAAGTGGAGGAATGTGAAACATTCAAGCCTCTTGGCCAGGAATCTGATTTTTGGTGAGAACATCCCACCATAGACCAAGATGGACATCGCCATGAACACATTGGTCAAACTGTACCGACCATAATCGATAGCATGAAGCCCAGACACCCGCCGCCGTAGCCAAAGAAAGGAGAAAACGCTGTCTTTTGAGTCAGAAGGTCAAAGGAGACCGTATCCTGAGGTTCATAGGAGTCGCTAGTAAGATCACGCAGAATGACGTTAAGATGCCAAGCAGGAGGATGGAATTTACAAACTTGACTTGATTTTCCACAGAAAAAGCCCGAAGGAGTTTTTTGAGGGGCAGGAACTTTTGTGAGCTTGTCACCCAAATGGGATGAGACAACAGAGGATGGCAGCCAAATAAGTCGAGATGGTCAAACCCTTGAGACTCTGTGAGGACCGAAGGTGAACTAAGAAATCGGCCACCTGTGGAGGCGTAGCAGAAGACGGAACAAACCCCTGTTTCTCGGCAAGAAGTGGAGAAGGAAACCCACTTATCATGATACATTTTACGAGTCATGACACGATGAGCTGATGAAATAAGCGAGGCAGCCCAAACCGAGTGACCCTTCTTGATCAAGGAAGCTTTGAGCAATCCCACACGTGAAGTTGGAAGTTGTGCAACCCCACTTGCAGGGCGTTGCTGTGTGGATGCAACAGAGATCCTCCCGGAATGGAAGAGCGAGTGGAGGCCGATTTACGCCGCATAACAACTCTGGGAACCACGTCCTGGCTGGCCAATAAGGCGCGACCAAAAGCAGACGAAGTCGATTGGTCTGTCGAATCTTCTCCAAAATCAAAGGTAACAGAACGGTGGGAAGGTGATGGGATTGAGCATCCACTCCGTGGGAGAGGGACAAGATGGATGCGAGAGAGCATCAGCAATCACGTTTCTGGCCCCGGGAATGTGACGCGCCCGGACCTCCATGTGTAAGGCGTCGATGAGGGCGAAGAACTCGAACGTGAGGTCGGGGAGAGCAGATGACTGGGTCGATTCCAGTCGGTTGATGTAGTGGATGACCGTCGCATTGTCCGACTGTATAATCAACCGCCTGCCGAAGAGGCGACGTTCCCAATGTTGAATGGCCCGAATGACTGCGTCGAATTCGAGACAATTGATGTGATGAACCTGTTCGTCTGGTAACCACCGCCCGGAGACCTGGTCCCAATTTCTCAAAACAAACTTAAGTTTTTACTCAAATCTCAAACTGAGTTCACAATTTGGAACAGCTGAATTATAAACTCAACTGCATTTTTAAAATATAAAAGCCCAAACAACTAAAGTAATCTATCCACCAAACTCAAATTATCTTCTATAGTTTGAGTTTAATACATATTTCAGTTCATTCTGTGAAATGCATTTTCCTGCGTTTTCTCAAATTTTGAGTGAAAACTCGAACTTAAGTCAAAACTCAGACTTAAGTTTTTTTCGAGAAATCGGGGCCTGATCGTCTTCGAAATGAGCTCCCAAACCCTCCAGCGAAGCGTGGACGAAAAGATGAGACTGAAACGGAGGCACGCTCATAGAGACGCCTTCGCAAACGTTCGACGGCAGGATCCACCACTCCAGATGACGACAGAGATGAACTGGCAAGTGAAGCAGACGATCGGAAAACAGTAGATGGGGGTACAGAAACGGTGCAGGGGACGAAGGTGGAGTAGGCCTCGAGAAGTGAGATCCTGTGCTGACGTCAACAGTCCCAGAACCTCCTGCCAACGGTGCACCGTTGCCGGCGCATGCAGAAGGGCAGGAAGCCAGGCGACAATCTTGTCCCATCGATTTTGAAGAATCACAACCAGATTGAGCGCTGTCTTGAAACGAATGCCCACGTATGTCAAATCCCGGGTGGGGGATAACTCGGACTTCTGGAGGTTTACGATCCACCCTAGGTAAGCTAGAAGTTTGAGGGTGGTAATCATCTCAAGAGGTAATAAAGTCGTGGATGCATCCAGGGTATAGTGGAGAGTGAAAAAGACTCGTTCATGTCCGTAGGAAGTTTCGTAAAAACTGAAGGCAGAAACCTTAAAGAGTCAGGGGTGTTTCCAAGTTGAAAACCCCCAGCAGTGGGGTTTGATGCACCCCTAAGCGTCTGTAAAGTTGGACATCCATGCCAACACTTCATTGGTCCATGGGGGTTGAGGAGGACTATCATCCCCTTCATCCAGAACCAAAGTGGGGGCTGAGTCAACCTTCATGGGCGAAGACTGAGGCGCAGGAGGCACCATAGAGATAGACACAGTCGGCTGAATGACAGGGTCAACAGACGGAAAAAGCACAGCACGCAATTGAGTCAAGATGTCGGGTGGTACAGCAAGAGAGGGAGGAGCGGACGCCGAACTAGACGGCGTGACATCAGGGTACACACTGGACGAAGTGATAGTCACTGTTGGAGGTCGACGTCGGGGAGAACGACTACGCATGTAAGGATAAGGAGAACGACGACTGGAGACGAGTAATCCTCCTCATAAGAACGCCCCAGGCCACAACGGGAAGGAGTAGTTGCCCTTGACCTGTCATAATCATAACGAGGAGGACGATCATACCGAGACGGACGAAAATCCGTTCTGTCATAGTCGTCATAATGCGAATCCATAAAGTGTTCAGAGACTCGATCTATGGAATGCTCCAAACTGTCCCATCAATCCTTGGATTCGTAGCAATCCGGTCGACCACGTCGATCCTTCCATACAGATCGACCAGAACGCTCCAACGAAGTATCCCGCTGACGTGACGAATGACTGCTCGCATAAGAACGATGTGGACGAGAGGGTGTGTTGACACGCGCCCTAGATTCCTTCTTAGCTGGAGTAGGTAAAAACGAAACCACAATGCAGGGAATCACATTATCAGTAGATCGTAAATCCACCGTATCAGTATTTTCAGTCGACACGGACACAATTCTGGTTGGTTGACAGACGATGTACCCAGATCGACACAAGATGGCAAAGTGACAGCGGGAGATGGCTCAGTCGAACTTTTAACTCTGGACGATAAATTGTCGATGACGACAGGCTCCTCCGTCCGATCCCGAGATGAAGCACGCTTCTTCTTATAACGCTGATCAACCTCCCACTTAGCAATAGCTTTCAAATATGCAGTGAAATCCTCCTCGGACAGTTTATCACACAAAATTCACTTCAAGTCAATGGAACATGGAACATAGCCGTCCTTCGCAAGGCAAAACGGACAACTTCTGTGGGGTCAGCCTTAGAAAGTTTCCGTTGACATTGGGAACACGAAGAAGCCATGCTTCAGTCCAACCACACGTGTTCCAAAATATTGTGCAAAACAAAAGTGTTCAAATTGACGGTAGCAGTCACTGAAGCAACCAAGACGTTTACACCAAGAAAAAAGGTAAGTAAAACTTTACTACACAACTCTAACAACACTTCCAACAAAGGAAAAATATAGAGCTCTATTCCACACGTCCTACAGGTACGGAGCGCAGGAAAGATTGGTGACAGGGAAGGGGAGGTAATTGCACAGGTGGGGTTGTTTTTTGTTTACACTTCGTTTCCACTCAGCTTACATTAGGTCGCTTAACAGGTAGGTATAAGCATAAGTACAGATGAATGTAAGCTAAAACATTTATTTTTGGAGTGTGTCATGAATTAAAAAACTAACAGATTTGTCCTTAACTTTTGTTATTTATAAGCAAAAATTGTTTATGTAACCATACTTTTTAAATGCTTGCCTGTGTTGATTGTTAATGGATACAGGTTATGGTAGATATTCTGTATCTTGGTTGTTTGCTTACAGCAGAAATCTCCAACACGCAAACCTCGCAATCATGTGACCCGAGAAGCGTGGGCCAGTGAGGGAGACGTGGAGGGGCGAGATGTTGGGGCCATGGGGGAGACAGGTAGGCTGATAGTTGGCATAAATGAGTTTAAATGGGATTTAACATTGCTCTCAAGGTTGTTGCAATTATATGACAAGATGAATTCACATATTTAAGTGAGTGGTTCTTGTACTAGTCTGGACATATGTTGGTATTATATTTCCATCCCACTGAGACACCATTCAACCCACCAAGCTGACCACTGTCTATCTAATGACTTTGATAGGAGTATCATCCTTTCACATACTGTCAGATGAAATCTCACCTAACAAGCCTGTGATATGTTGCAGCCTACCCACCTGTTCCAGACGGCCCCTTCAACCCCACCAACTACTCAGGGACACAGATAAATGTGTGGGGTGGGGCACCACCAGGGGTGGTGAGTGGACAGCCAGGAAATTTGATATTAGGAGGGTCCCCTCAGTCTCCGTACCCAGTCCAATATGGCTTCCTTACAGAACAGATGATACAGGTGAGCAGTGGATCATATCTGTTTTGTTTTTAATCAGCAAGGTTTGAGATTCACTCTCATCGGCTGCAAACATATTCAGTGGATAATTTCTGTCATGACTAACTGGTGTCACAATACTGTTTCCAAGGTATTGGTGAAACCAGCACGAGTTTATACATGATATTACACAGTATTACAGGAATTACATTTTGTGAATTTGATAATGGAATCTTTTGACTCTGATGATTGTCTGCAATTCTTGGCCCTGTTTCACAAAGCTATCGTAGCACTAAGGTGATCATAACTGCAGTACTTTAACATTGACTTATGACAGTTGTAGCGCTACGATCACTTTGTGAAACGGGTTCCTATGATGAGTTAATATGTTGTTGTGTTGATGGAGGATGAGATCACAGAGATGCCGCCTCTAACTTCAGAAACTGAATGCTGCTAACCGGCCAGTGACAGTGGGGGAGCTGCGCCATCTGATGGAGGAGGCCAGCAGGAACCAAGCTCCGCCTCCCCCTCCCCCAGTACCAGCACCTGCTCCAAAGCCAGCTATAGAGTACAAGCCAGTGTATAAAGACCCACCCCTGGAACCAGTCAGTCCAGGGAAAGGTAGGTGACCCTCCTGTCTACCTATTGTATTTTAAAGTTGATGGAAACAGTACTGTTAGCCTTCAACATATTATATATATGCTTGAGTTGGTTGAATAATGTGTCAGTATTATTAGTCTTCATATTTTATGTATACAAGTTAAAGCTGTGAACAATATGTAAGTACTGTTAGCCATCAACATGTTTTACACTTGAAATTTGCATTAATTTCAATAGTATTGTAGCCTCTGGCTGGGAAATAAATGTTGGAAATTAGGCAAATATATGTAAAAAGAAGAGGTCAGAACCTGATCTGACTCCTTTAAATCTGGTTGGACTGACCAGTGGTCCAGTCTGGGGCATCTCCTACAGTGCTAGAGTCTGTACACCAAGGCCATTGGGATGTGCATAATCATCTCTTCTATCATCAGAACAAATTCAATTCAAAGTCAGTTTTTCACAGGTCATTCAACAGTTCTGTATGATAGAGTATGGAACATTACAACTGTGTTCTTCGGGGATATGTATGTTTTTTATCAATATGTTCAAATCCAGGTGACTTCAAAGGCAACCTACTCCATGTATACGCCCACATGTTGGAACATGCGAAAAACAACGGCGACTTCCGACTGCGAGTAGCAGAACCACGGATGGGCAAGGTAGCTCATGTACACTTCCTATTGTCTTTTCTATCTCTGTAGCATGCTTAGCTTACAGCTGTTGATTATAAAGATTATTAACTCAAAACACAAATAGGTTAATGATGCACACAGGTTGATGTGAAACCTGCTGATCAGGTGAAGTTTTACCTACGAAATTCATGGATGTAGGCTTTACGTAAGGTCAGGAGTCTGAAACAAATGGGTCATTTGTGTCATCAGGATCAGGGGTGTACTGCACATTGTCTTTTATGTAATTTCTCACAAATATTCCCATGGAAACAAATAAGGGAACACATGAAACTACAAGTGTTCCTTTATTCTTATCCAGGTTTCTTCACAAAGAATGTATTGCACTGTGGGTGAAATTCTGGAAATAAATAAAGGAACACTTGTCCTTTCATGTGTTCCCTGAGTATATTTCAACAGTGTTTATTTACTGGTACTGACATGGGCACAGGTGGCACAGTTAGTGGAGAGTCGTGTCCCTTTGGTCAGCCAGAAAGCCTGATGACAAGGGTTCCAATCCCTGGTTATGTTTCCAGGTCTGTCTGCATCATATCCGTGCTCATGGTAATCGTCTAGACCATGCATGACTTCCCACATCGAACTGACATAGTGTTATACCGGGAATACTCTTTAAAGTGATGTTAAACCAAACTCACACTCCCTGTAGGTCCAAGAACTGCTATAGTAACATGACATTATTGATTTACAGGTACTAGAGGGGAAGTTGGAGGATGAAGGATAGGTCCAAGAACGGCTATAGTAACGTGACATTATTGATTTACAGGTACTAGAGGGGAAGTTGGAGGATGAAGGATAGGTCCAAGAACGGCTATAGTAACATGACATTATTGATTTACAGGTACTAGAGGGGAAGTTGGAGGATGAAGGATAGGTCCAAGAACGGCTATAGTAACGTGACATTATTGATTTACAGGTACTAGAGGGAAGTTGGAGGATGAAGGATAGGTCCAAGAACGGCTATAGTAACATTGACATTATTGATTTACAGGTACTAGAGGGGAAGTTGGAGGATGAAGGATAGGTCCAAGAACTGCTATAGTAACATTGACATTATTGATTTACAGGTACTAGAGGGAAGTTGGAGGATGAAGGATAGGTCCAAGAACTGCTATAATAACGTGACATTATTGATTTACAGGTACTAGAGGGGAAGTTGGAGGATGAAGGATAGGTCCAAGAACTGCTATAGTAACATGACATTATTGATTTACAGGTGCTAGAGGGGAAGTTGGAGGATGAAGGATAGGTCCAAGAACTGCTATAGTAACATGACATTATTGATTTACAGGTGCTAGAGGGGAAGTTGGAGGATGAAGGATAGGTGCATAGTATAATGACATTGACATTATTGATTTACAGGTACTAGAGGAAGTTGGAGGATGAAGGATAGGTCCAAGAACTGCTATAGTAACATGACATTATTGATTTACAGGTGCTAGAGGGGAAGTTGGAGGATGAAGGATAGGTCCAAGAACTGCTATAGTAACATGACATTATTGATTTACAGGTACTAGAGGGGAAGTTGGAGGATGAAGGATAGGTCCAAGAACTGCTATAGTAACATGACATTATTGATTTACAGGTACTAGAGGGAAGTTGGAGGATGAAGGATAGGTCCAAGAACTGCTATAGTAACATGACATTATTGATTTACAGGTACTAGAGGTAGTTAGTTGGAGGATGAAGGATAGGTCCAAGAACTGCTATAGTAACATGACATTATTGATTTACAGGTGCTAGAGGGGAAGTTGGAGGATGAAGGATAGGTCCAAGAACTACAGGCTATAGTAACGTGACATTATTGATTTTACAGGTACTAGAGGGAAGTTGGAGGATGAAGGATAGGTCCAAGAACTGCTATAATAACGTGACGTTATTGATTTACAGGTGCTAGAGGGAAGTTGGAGGATGAAGGATAGGTCCAAGAACTGCTATAGTAACATGACATTATTGATTTACAGGTACTAGAGGGAAGTTGGAGGATGAAGGATAGGTCCAAGAACGGCTATAGTAACGTAACGACATTATTGATTTACAGGTACTAGAGGGAAGTTGGAGGATGAAGGATAGGTCCAAGAACTGCTATAGTAACATGACATTATTGATTTACAGGTACTAGAGGGAAGTTGGAGGATGAAGGATAGGTCCAAGAACTGCTATAGTAACATGACATTATTGATTTACAGGTGCTAGAGGGAAGTTGGAGGATGAAGGATAGGTCCAAGAACGGCTATAGTAACGTGACATTATTGATTTACAGGTACTAGAGGGGAAGTTGGAGGATGAAGGATAGGTCCAAGAACTGCTATAGTAACGTGACATTATTGATTTACAGGTACTAGAGGGGAAGTTGGAGGATGAAGGATAGGTCCAAGAACTGCTATAGTAACATGACATTATTGATTTACAGGTGCTAGAGGGGAAGTTGGAGGATGAAGGATAGGTCCAAGAACTGCTATAATAACGTGACATTATTGATTTACAGGTACTAGAGGGGAAGTTGGAGGATGAAGGATAGGTCCAAGAACTGCTATAGTAACATGACATTATTGATTTACAGGTACTAGAGGGGAAGTTGGAGGATGAAGGATAGGTCCAAGAACTGCTATATATGCTATAATGACATTATTGATTTACAGGTGCTAGAGGGGAAGTTGGAGGATGAAGGATAGGTCCAAGAACTGCTATAGTAACATGACATTATTGATTTACAGGTGCTAGAGGGGAAGTTGGAGGATGAAGGATAGGTCCAAGAACTGCTATAATAACGTGACATTATTGATTTACAGGTACTAGAGGGGAAGTTGGAGGATGAAGGATAGGTCCAAGAACTGCTATAGTAACAGTGACATTATTGATTTACAGGTGCTAGAGGGGAAGTTGGAGGATGAAGGATAGGTCCAAGAACTGCTATAATAACGTGACATTATTGATTTACAGGTACTAGAGGGAAGTTGGAGGATGAAGGATAGGTCCAAGAACTGCTATAGTAACATGACATTATTGATACAGGTGCTACAGGCACTAGAGGGAAGTTGGAGGATGAAGGATAGGTCCAAGAACTGCTATAGTAACATGACATTATTGATTTACAGGTACTAGAGGGGAAGTTGGAGGATGAAGGATAGGTCCAAGAACTGCTATAATAACGTGACATTATTGATTTACAGGTACTAGAGGGAAGTTGGAGGATGAAGGATAGGTCCAAGAACGGCTATAGTAACATGACATTATTGATTTACAGGTGCTAGAGGGAAGTTGGAGGATGAAGGATAGGTCCAAGAACTGCTATAGTAACATTATGACATTATTGATTTACAGGTGCTAGAGGGGAAGTTGGAGGATGAAGGATAGGTCCAAGAACTGCTATAGTAACACTGACATTATTGATTTACAGGTGCTAGAGGGAAGTTGGAGGATGAAGGATAGGTCCAAGAACTGCTATAGTAACATGACATTATTGATTTACAGGTACTAGAGGGGAAGTTGGAGGATGAAGGATAGGTCCAAGAACTGCTATAGTAACGTGACATTATTGATTTACAGGTACTAGAGGGGAAGTTGGAGGATGAAGGATAGGTCCAAGAACGGCTATAGTAACGTGACATTATTGATTTACAGGTACTAGAGGGGAAGTTGGAGGATGAAGGATAGGTCCAAGAACTGCTATAGTAACGTGACATTATTGATTTACAGGTACTAGAGGGGAAGTTGGAGGATGAAGGATAGGTCCAAGAACTGCTATAGTAACATGACATTATTGATTTACAGGTGCTAGAGGGGAAGTTGGAGGATGAAGGATAGGTCCAAGAACTGCTATAGTAACGTGACATTATTGATTTACAGGTACTAGAGGGGAAGTTGGAGGATGAAGGAGACGGCTTCAAACTGACGGTTGTTCTCTCCAAACCCGGAGTGCCGAGTGAGTCCAGCTCTCAATCAGAGTGACATAGAACACAATTCAGATAGACGACTTGCAGACTAGATAACCTAGGACACATACAGTCTACAGCTATAAGGGTGTTCCCTGGCCTCAAGTAATACATCTTCAGTGATTTGTACACCATTACGATAACATTGCTTTCAACTTAATGTGCACACATTTAGAAAATCTTGTACATGAGTAGTTTCTGAAACTGGAAATAAAACTTGAAAAACGTTTATCTGTAGTGACAATTCCAGTGCAGGATGATGTACATGTCTGTCAAATACACATCAGGATTTACAGGGGATGTAGAAAGCTTCTTATAATGCAAAGATTGTGTAGATTATAAATATTTGAAGAAGTGATATGTGACACAACTGTCTCTATACAGAGAAAGTGTAACAAACTGGCACATTTGACAATGCAGTTTAAACATTTTGTTCACATGAACATGAAACCAGAAATTACCTGAAAGTGAATTATGCCGAAACAGCATTCTAAACAGATTCCATGAAGTATATCAGTATTTTGTTGAGTCAACCATGGGTGTAGAAATACATGTCTGGAGACAGAACCAACACTCATGCAATTATGCATTACCTTTGTAACCTGTTTACCTTTACCTGATGGTACCTTTACCTGATGGTACCTCTCCATCAGTCTTACATCAAGTCCCCATTCCATGTCAATGAAGTCTTATACTCATGTCCCGAGGCCATGTGAGTTTCTGCAGCACTACAGCTATGATCAGTCAGTGGAGCCGATCTCAGCGTTAATATCTGTAATATATACATAACCAGAAAGATTTTTGCTTGAAGTACATGACTTATTTCCTCCTTTGTCATTCCTACGCAATAAGGACCCTGTAGAAACAATATGGACCCTGTAGAAACAATAAGGACCCTGTAGGACCAATAAGGACCCTTGTAGAAACAATAAGGACCCTGTAGAAACGTCATGGTGGCGGAATAAGTAATCAGTTATTGTAGTTTACATTATATTTTTTGACAGAAATAATGCAGTGAGCATGTGAGATAGGATAGAATTCCTTGTTTTCCATATTTGGGCATCTGTAGAAACATCCTGGGTTTTCTGTCAGTCTTTAGTAGTCAGTAGTAACAGTGACGTAATATGTCAATGACTATTTTCCATGCCTGTTTTGTACATGTTTACTGTATGGCTACGTCTGTGATACCTCTCTATACATTCTGTACCACTTTTCTGTACAGAAATAAAAAAAATATCTTGAAACATCTATTTTGTTCTTATTTACTTGGACACTTTTGGTTGATGGTTTCATATTAAAGTAACCATGGTAACAGCAAAATTTTGTTTACAAGAAAGCCCAGGTTGTTGATAAAATAGTGAGATTACCTTGATGGTAGACATGATTGTGTTCAGTTACTCTCTCTCTGATGAAAGATGTAGGCAAAGAAACAATTTTTACAACTAGAAATGGTTTTACTGAATGGTTCAACTTTTGATTTCATCTTACATTCAATAAGCAGACAGCAATGTATATCATAGGTGTCATTTTATGACAAGACCATATACTTTGTGGATTTATTTTCTTCTTAGACTTGAGCTAAACACTTCCTGATGAAGAAATGCAACCTGAACATTTGGAATACTATATTTGCCAACTGCAGACAGAATACTGCAAATGTCAGCTTCTTTGGCTGCTTTTAACTAAGATGGAGAATATATGCTGTACGGACAAAATGTGTGTTGCCAGTTTGAAACACAGAACTCCTGATCCTAATTAACAGAAAAAACGAATACTCATTCTTCTTTAACAGTTTGATCATCATTAACAGTCATAATTATAGAACATAGATCCTCATAACTATGGGAAAATGGTGAACATTTGATCTTCATAGACCCTGGAAACACACCAAACTTGACCTTTTATAAGAAACAGAAACACAGAACACGCAACTCTCATAAACAGTTGAAAATACAGAAAACGTGACTCTCATAAACAGTTTGAAAAACACAGAACACTCCCTCCTTAGGAAGAGTTGGAAATTACCTCACAGAACACTTAATCCTCTCACACAATCAAACCACAGATCTATAGATCCCATGAACAGTTGGAAAAGCAGAGAAAAATCAATCCTCAGGAAAAAGAACCACAGAACACTCTATCCTTATAAACAAATACACTGTAAACCTGAGCAGAGTGGTGCTACTTGCAGTGGGCTGGTCCATTATTTCAGGGGGTACAGTAAAGAAGAAGAAGCCACCACCAGCAGCAGCTGCACCACCACCCACCCACCCTCCCTGGAAGCCAACTGGTAGTGCCTCGGACACCTCCAAGAAGTCAGAGAAACAGGAGAAGCCAAAGAAGAAGGATCCCCCAGTTAAGAAGGATCCTTACTATGCCATGGAAACTGAGGATCTCAATGTAAGATAGTGTAACACTCTTAAATATGGTTTCATTCAACGACAGGAAGGTTTAGATAACATTGTACCCAGGGTCACGTGCCAATTTTCTGTAGGTCAAGACATTGTAAGTAACATCTGGGTAAAGCTTATAACATTATCTCTTATGGTTATCGTTAACTGCTAAATTATAATGCTTAATAACATAGCAGAGCAAAAAACTGTTCTTTAGTGATGTGACACAAATTTGCTGGGACTGTCAATATGCCAATCCAAGTGCCATTTAAGGGGTTTGTATGAAGATTATTGCTATTTCTGCTACTTGTAACAAGGTTAACCATCTAAATCCATTAAGGCGTGAACATGCTGTAGGTGACATGGTGGAGCAGGTGTCAGAGCTGGGCTCACTTGCACAAAGCGATTTTAGCGCTACAATGATTGTAACTCCCATTCTCCAACATAGGCTGAGATAGGCATAGCGCTAAGATCGTTTTGTGCAAGTGGGCCCTGGCAGTTAAGGGAATATGACAATACACTGACCAGGTGTAGCCTAAACAGATCACTTGCTTATGTTATTAGTACAATGAGGTATATTAGTGATATGTCGTGTGTTTGTTCCTGCAGCAAGAGGGTACAGTGGTGCCATATGCAGCCTTCAATGCGGAACAAGATGCTGAAGTCCTCAAACAAGCAATGAAGGGCCTGGGTAAGCTGAGAGAGAAGACCATCAGGCCAGCATGGCTACTTAGACAACCCATCATTATGTTATCATGCATGTCATGGTTTATGGGGAATACCTTGACATTAAAGAGAAAGCAAATTCTAACATGCCGTATATTGTCATGGTCACTTATGTTAAGGCATAACCATGGTTATAGAGCATGCAATCGATACATGAAAGCAAAATTATCTGTACATGTTTATTGTATATAATGCAGTTTTGGAGAAAAAATGAATGTGATAATGGACATGTGGACATATTGACAATAGACATATTGCATCATAGCATGTCTATATCCTGATGTACACGTGGTATTACTAGTGGTCTTTTACTGAGCCATGGTCTAATATTGGTACTTGACTTGTCTCAAGCTATTGATGTTTTGGTCCCCTAGACTTAAGGCTAAGATTTCTTGGCATATGTAATTTGAAGGACACAATGTGCTGCATGTTTCCAGGGACGGACGAGAATGCCATCATCAACGTGCTGCCCTACCGGTCCAACCCTCAACGGATGGAAATTGTCTCAATGTATAAAACAATGTTTGGAAAGGTAAACTATCATGTTCATGTGTTACTACATTTCCTTATATGTATTATATCCTAAATGTTTTTTTCAAAGGTAATTAACCTGAAACTAGCCCTTACAATGTCAACTGAATCAGTAGTGACAATATATTTACATGAAACCAACTCTGACAGTATGTGACTGCAATATAGTTCCAATATTGCTGAGTGTGTCATTAAGCAACTAACACACTGACAGTATGCTTACGTCAAATCAGACACTATATCTATATCAAATCAACCCAGACAATATATTACATCACATCAGCTCTGACAATGTATGTCACATCAATTCAACCCAGACAATATATTGACATCATATAAACCCTGTACTTTTTGCCTCCATCCTCTTGATTGAGAAAACCCTTTAAACCAGGAAACATATCCTGACCTTATGACATATATGAAAATATGACCACTTACAACTGCAGGACTTGATAGAGGACTTGAAGTCTGAGCTGAGTGGATCATTCCAGGATGTGGCCAAGTTCCTGTGCATGGCCCCAGCTGAATTTGATGCCTACCTGCTCCGCAAGGCTATCAAGGTAAAGTACCAGGACAGTTGGCGTCTGCTTGCTGGAATTACTATCACATCTTTCGTAAAATATAAAACCTCTCTGCATGAACATCTTAACTTTAAGAAGACCCGGGTTTGACTGCCCATATGGGTACAATGAATAAATGTTAAAACTGTAGCATGGTATCTTAGAGGGATAGCTCTATTCCAGACTAGGTCAAGCAACTACACAATTCACACTTCATGCATGCAGATTCCTAAATAAGTGCAATAATTTTAAACATTGAACCTTATTTCACCTCACCTCCTGAGACATCACAACTATAGATGCACTAGCAGGATCTGCTGATTGTGGGTTTGTATCCCAGATATGCCAGAAGGTGAGCTTCTGTACCTTATACTAGGGAAAGTGTCATCTACCAAGCTCACCATAGCTTTTTGACCCCAATTCAGCTTCTACAGCTAGATCTAACTCAAATGCCATTCTCCTGCTGTACTATTACCATTAACATAAGCATGTTGTTGCAGGGTCTAGGAACTGATGAGGATGTCCTCATCGAGGTGCTATGTACACGTTCCAACGCCCAGATACAGGAGATCAAGAAGAAGTATAAAGAAAGTAAGACAAAATGTTTGATCCTTATGTGTATGTGACAGATCCTAACAGTGAGGGTCTACTGTTTTCTTCCACACATCTTAGTTTGGACATTAAATATGCAAACCTTATCTGCAGTAAGGTTATATGGTCTCAATATGATACTGGTCAGGTGGGCTACGAGCCTTAAAAGTTACCTGCCAGTTTCAATTTTCACTGGCTTATATATATATATCACATTTTTCCCCCTAAAAATTTGATTCTGCTTAGGTATCAATAAACTGCGAAACATCAGGAAATGTTATAAAGGGTGACAACTCTGTGCTCACAACCTTGTTCTATATCAGGTTGACATTACATTTTTTATGGTCGTATTGATTTACAGAAACAGAAGAACTCTCTTATTTAAACTAGGAGGTATGCGTAAAAGAATTACTGATACATTTTAGCGTCCAGTCACAGCCTGGGTTTATGCGCAATCATTGATGACTTTGAGTAGGAGCTCATCGCCACATGGCTTTCTTTATTCACTCTCTGCCAATTTGAAATATTGTCCAAAGCAACACTTGGGTTAACTCACTCTCTCCCGTCCTCTCAGAGTTCAACAAGGATCTTGAGAAGGACATCATTGGCGACACCTCGGGTCACTTCAAGCGCCTCCTGGTGACATTGGTCCAGGCCAAACGGAGCGACTCTACCGAGGTGGACCGAAACAAGGCCCACCAGGATGCCAAGTCTTTGTATGAAGCAGGGGAGAAGAAGTGGGGGACGGATGAGTCCAAGTTCAATGTCATTCTAGGCTCTCGAAGCTACCCACAACTTCGAGCCATGTTTGAGGAGTACAAGAAGATATCCAAGAAGGATATTGAAGATGCGTTGAAGAGTGAGATGTCGGGAGACATACTCCGAGGGATGCTCACAATAGGTAGGTTTACCAGTTTGTGTGTCAGTTTGTTTTTCCAATTGATATTTTGATGAGACACCTTGATGTTAAATATGATTCAAAGCAGCTGTTAGACCAAGATTGTAACACTGAGTATTTATGTAGTGTAAGAATGTGTATGGAGAGCAGATTTCAGTGATGTATCATCATATTACTATGCAGGAAAACATTTATGCTTCTCAACATTTGCTAAGGACCAAAATAGTTTAGATTCTTCAATCAAAGGTGTGGTCCTAAGTAACTGTTGAGTAGTGTATGTCTGAAAGCTTGTATACTTCTTCCTGAGGAACAATGTCATCTAAGATGGGATATATTGTTTTACAAATATACAGCATCAGCACATCAAAATGGCTTTTAGTTTGAGCCTAAACATGATTTACTTCTTCTGTATCCTTTAAATCCTGGAGGGGGTGGGGTAGCCTAATGGTTAAAGCGTTGGCCCGTCACGCCGAAGGCCCGGGTTCGAATCCCCACATGGGTACAATGTGTGAAGCCCATTTCTGGTGTCCCCCGCCGTGATGTTGCTGGAATATTGCTAAAAGCAGCGTAAAACCAAACTCAGTCAGTCAGTTTAAATCCTGGAGGCATGTAGGGATAACTTCTTTCATGTTTGTGAAGATTTTACAGGGGTTCTTGCCTCTTCATCATGCTCATCGTGTGAATCCTGAGTAGTGTCATCATTTGGGAGTTTATCATCCACTTCTGGCAAGTCATTTTCTAGGATGTGGGGTATATTTGATAATACATAAGGATAAAATGGGAGTAAGCATATTGTGTTTATACATATGTTTACACAAGGTAGGAATAATATGGAAAATTAACAATATAACAAAATGACCAATGGGATAAATGGTATAGAAACGTATTCAGTTTCAAGAAGAATGATGATGCTAGATGTGCTAACACAGAACTGACAAGGGTAACAATATAAAAAACAATTGTGACAGCAAAACCCCTCCAAAATATCTCTCCAACTAACCAGACAGATATCCTCTCTCAGTGCCCTGCGGTGAAGCTATGTTTGATGATGTTATTTCTGGTCTTGTTCAGTGCGCTGTGTGAAGAACAAGTTCGGCCATTTTGCCCGGCAGCTACAGAAGACCATGAAGGGTCTGGGAACAGATGATGACACGCTGTGCCGCGTGGTGGTCAGCCGATGTGAGATAGACATGGTGCAGATTAAGGAGGAGTTTGAGAAGCTGACTGGACAGACTCTGCAACAATATGTAACAGTAGGTAGTCAGCAGGCAGTTCCTAAACTTACCAGTATCTCCTGTTATATCCAGATGAGCTTGGTTCAATTTATGATATTATTTGCGAAATGTGTTCAATAAATACTTTTGGTTTTGAGATTCTTAAGATTCCCACACATTTTATTTTGTATTTGACAGGATGACATTTCTGGAGATTATCGTAACATCATCCTGGCTCTAGTGAATGGCGGACCACCTCCTGCCTCCAGTGTGCAGTGTAAGTTGGGTCTATTATCTCCCCTTGCTATAGTAAAGTTGTATTTACGATCCTCACAATATGCAGCTGCATGCACCTTTGATATACCTTGCTTGTGGGGTTAGTTTGATTCTGTGTGATCCATTGGTTGAGGAACAAATAAACGTAGTTTGAGACAAGTGTGTGATGATGATGATGATGATATGTTTCAGCGGGGAAGGGTTTTGTGGAGGCAGTGAAGAATAAAACTGAGGAAGAACTTGATGAAGAGGTTCGCTTAGAAACAGAGAAAGTGGAGGTAAGTTACAACAGCTGGCAGACAGACAGACAGACAGACTGTTATGGAACAGATTGTGTTGTTACACTAACCAAAGTTCAAGATTCTGTCACTGTAGAATACTGTAGAATATGGTGGCCCATGTTAACTACTACATATCTGAGTTAGACATGTCCTATGATAGACTGTTGGATTCCAAACACATCCCTGTTCCAGGCTGACCCGACGGTCACTCCATTCGAGGGCTTCAACGCTGAGCAGGATGCAGAGGCCTTACGTAAAGCCATGAAAGGTTTCGGTGAGTTTCCGCATGTCACATCACAAACATTCATTCAGGCATCAATGTATATTCTCGATACTTCAGTAAAATTTCACACACTAGATATGTGTGTTGTGTAACAGTCATGTAACCATGGGATATGATGTGATGTTGTGTTACCATGGTGATAGTCATGTGATGTACTTTCAGGTACGGATGAGAAGGCTATTATCAACATCCTGGCCTACAGATCCAATGAACAGAGAGTGGAGCTAACCTCAAAATTCAAGACAATGTTTGGAAAGGTGGGTTCTGCTTCCTCGGCATCAATACATACACACATGTATCACCATTTTGTCCAGAGTGATGTATCATGCAGACAACATGTGTGCACTACTTAGTTTTGAATTGGGGATCTCCATACTAAAAGACCCTTGTGGATTCTTCTGTGTCACACATGGCGTGAGTCCATTGATGGTGATTTCAAACATGGTGCCAAACCAAACTAGCCCCTACTCAATAGCTGCTTGTATTCCCCAGGACCTGTCGAAGGAGCTGTCGAGTGAGCTGAGTGGCAACTTCAAGACACTCTGCTTGGACATGTTGTTGTCTTCAGCAGAGTTTGATGCCAAGAAACTCAACAAGGCTGTGAAGGTAAAGATGAAAGATAACGTCCCATTTCATTATGTGAACCCACATATGTATATTTGAAGTTTCCTTCTTGCTGATGTAGTAATCTACACTGTGATGACACTCAGACTTTATAAGGAAGATTGTTTTCAAATATGTCATAAAACTTGTGTCAAATGCGTCATTATCTAACCAATATGATGAATACATGAGTCTTTTAATGGATAACAATGGATCAAGAAGTTGTTATCCATAAACAGTGTCAAGTATTCTTGTTCTTCCAACTTCTAAATGCCTATCAAAGACTACATCTAACTAGTTCAGCAAATACAAGCCTTGTTCTCATGTCTGAAGCACATCAATGATACCTAATGATCAATGAACAATCACAAACTGTCTTGACAAATATTCTCAAAGCACCTGACATTATTGCTCCAGACAATGAATCAGGATACATTACAATTACACAAATTATTTGGCTTCTTGTGATTAATGCATAACTAAGAACAACAAAGGAAGAAAACAGTTTGGGGGTAAAATGAATAGGCAAACCACAGAAAGGAACAGTTTGTATGTTGTTCTGAACATAAGCCCCAGTCTTACTCTCCTCCCGAACCCACATCCCAAGCTGGTCCATGCTAACTAGTGTATGATCTTGTACAGGGCCTGGGGACAGACGAGAAGGTGCTTGTGGAGATAATCTGTACCAGGACCAATGAGCAGCTCAAGGTCATCAAGGAGACATACAAGACAAGTGAGTTCATTGACCATAGAAAGTTTTATGAGTACTTTGAGCCCGCTATGTGTTCATCGCCCGGCTGACACCCTGTGTTCATCAACCCACTCTCTGGAGTTCATTGTCCCTTTTGGGAGTTTGACCCCCTACCTGTGTTCATCATCCGACCCATAAGTATTCATCAGTTCATCATCTGATTGTGTTGTCATCTCAGGCGCTCATTATCCCGCTTCCTTCGTAGCAGACGCGGTGGGGGAGCCCAGTGGTTAAAACATTTGCTCGTCACACCAAAGACCAGGGTTCGATACCTCACATGGATACAAAGCCCACTGGTGTTCCCTGCCGTGTTATGGCTGGAAAATTGCTAAAAGTGGTGTAAAACATAACTCGCTTACACCCTCACTCCTTGGTAGCGGGATCCCCCCCTTCTACCTGTGTTCATCATCCTACCCAGAAGTATTCAGCAATTCATCATCTGACTCCCTTGTGTATATCATACCTCTCTCTTGGTTTCACGCACGCACCCACCACCCCCCACACACACACGCACCAATGTTGGTCTCTCCTATATTTGTCACCAGACTCACCTGTGTATGTCTGTATTCATCTCCACAGTGTTCAACAAGGATCTGGAGGCAGATGTCGCTTCTGACACGTCTGGTCATTTCAAGAGCCTCCTGGTGGCATGTCTGCAAGCCAATCGTCCAGAGGAGCCCACATTTGACCGTAACCAGGCCAAGCTTGATGCTCAGGAGCTTCTGGATGCTGGGGAGAAGAAATGGGGGACAGATGAATCCCGATTCAACGTGATCCTGGTTTCCCGTAGTTACGCTCAGCTGAGAGCAACATTCCAGGAGTATGCCAAGCTGGCCAACAAGGACATCGAGGACACCATAACAAGCGAAATGTCAGGGGACCTGAAGGAAGGATTCCTTGCAGTCGGTGAGAGAACACAAGGAATAATACACACAGTCGAACAATTATTCAGGACTTATGAGAAAAATTATTCTTTTTCATTCTAAATAATGCTTTAATGTTCGTCTCAGGAGCTTAAAAGTCAGGGCCTCATTCCTTCCTCTAAGTAGCTATAGCACTACAACTGTCATATGTTTGCGTTAAAGCATGCATGTTACTGATGTCTTAGTGATGCCACTCTGTGGAACAGGACTGTGAGAACCCTGTAATCTTGTTAGATACCAGTGCCAAGTTCTACTTTTAACATTAAGATGACAATAAAATCATTAACCTGATCATTTAGAAAACATTATTATTTGTATTTATTTTCTCACCTTCTAGTCAAATGTATCCGCAACAAAGCATTCTACTTTGCATCGGAACTGCACCGAGCTATGAAGGGTCTTGGTACGGACGACAACACGCTGGTACGTGTTGTTGGGTCTCGGTGTGAGGTGGATATGGTGCAGATCAAGGAGGAGTTCCAGAGGAACTTCAAACAGACTCTGGGGATGTTCATCAAGGTAAGTAACTGCTTACTGTCTTCAAACATTATCTTAATCTATGATTGTGAGGTAATTCTTACAATTTTCAGATACTTTTCACAATGTCGTTTACTGTTTTAGACGTTGACACTGGAGGACATTCAGTCAAGACAGAAACCATTGATTGTAGAATGCAAAATAGTGGTGAAAAGTACATGAATTAATCAGTGATGATGCTCGCTGTTCGCTAACAGATATTTTGCTCCAATCAGTTCCCCTCTGTATGAAGAGAATTTTCTGAGAGCTAACTGCTATGGAGGGGACATATTTGTAATAGGCATGAATATTTCTTCTTCCACAAGCTAACTATGTGCCTGTTTTTGCAGGATGACACCTCTGGGGACTACCGAACCATGCTGTTGGCTCTGATCCGTGACGAGAGTGTAGGTGAGTGCAGGGTCAAACAGCAGTGCTCCTCTCAGGGAGAGACGGGCTTCTAGTGGATTGTTCTAATCTACATGTCTTATATGGGTTTAGGATTCTAACATTTCCCATTGCATGTTGATTAAGCTGTATCTTTTGATTTCACCTCTGAAAAGATCTGTTATATCTGTTGTTACCACATAAAGATGGACAATGATAAACAGTTGTTACCATATGTACTACATAATGGGGGAGGGGGAGGGGAGAGATCATGTTATAAGATGGTTATCACATGGTACTATGTAAAGGCAGGTCAGTTGTGGAACATGTCATAACGTGGAACAATGATTTTGACAACATACTATTTTACTCAGTGTTTCTGTTATTTCAGGCAAGAAGAAGTAAATGAGCCATCCTCCAGCAACAATAACCACTTCCATCTGATATTCACAACAGAACTGCTCTGTAATTCCTACTGTAAAATGACAACCATATCTCATATATAGGGTAGTTCCTTCCAAGACCTGTAATCATCTAGTCCAACTGCACAGCTGTGTATTATTGTAGAGCATATACATCCTCGTGAGATAACAATACATTTGCCAATTATTTCACACACACTTGCAATTTTCAAACACCTCAGCCAGAGAAGCAATTGCTTTTCCTATTTTCAACCAGAACATTCCTACACAATGGAGAACATTCTAGCACTGCACGAATCCTTGCCTGGTTGTGAATGTTCTCAGCACATGCATTCCATCTTTGTAGGCATTCTGTCTTTTAAATTTCTGATTGTTATATTTTATAATTAGATCTACATATACACATTTTTTAAATTATACTTATATATATTCTAATACTGTCTGTTTTACTGTGCCAACCTGTTTACATGTAAATCCTGCTTTGAGATATGCAGCCCACAGAAATTTTCGTTGAGTGGATCATGAAGGTCCCATAGAAATTTGTTGTATGTAAATATCTATGATTAATTCAGTAATTTAGCTGATTAACATTACAAATGAACCCAGAACACTGAAGACAACAAAGTAATTGGATAACAGAAGAGCAGAAATGTTTCTCTGTGATGAATCCTTTGAAAATGCTTCCTTAAATATCGATAGTACATGATCATAACAGGTTAGCACAACAAATTGTACTTGTGCCTTATACACCTATAGCGTCCAGTAGAATCTTAAATAGCATACAAATATATTTAACATATGAATATATATTGCATACTTTAGAAATGATCAGCTATCATCAATTGACCCAATGACTGTGATATACATCCATCAGCTGTAAAGTGTTCATTAAGTATCAGTGTCAGATTTTTTATTGTAGGCCATCCAGAAAGTGTTACGTCCGTCCGTAGGCATTTATTTTGTTGCCTGTTACCCTTCGTATGTCTCTGTTATGAACCAGGGCCCTTATTCTCGAAACGTTCGTAGCCCTAAGAATTCTTAACTTTGATCGTAGCCAGTGTGTTAAGAATGGGCTTAAGAAGGTTGTAGGGCTACGAACGTTTCGAGAATAGCTAGCCAGTTTGTTTGTATTGTTTTAGCATTGTTAGAAGATCTGACATAAAACTGTGTATTATATGATTGACTTGTTATATTTTCTGAATGATCTGTTTTTCTAAAGCTGAGCCAGCAATATTCCAGGAAAGTGATGTGGCCTATATATAATCTGGGTGGGATGACAGGCACGCTGCCAAGTAGCAGAGCCTGACTAACTGGTCCATTTAGTTGATGCCTGTGAGAAGCATGGGGATATAATGAGATGACAGTACTCTAAATGTGATTGACTGATTCATGCACCAGAGATGACTGAATACCAGTACTGATTGAATACCATAGATGGGTGCAGTCATCATAGCTGGATCATGTCTAAAGTCATCATGGTGGTTTTAAGATGATACCCAACCAGTCAGGCCACATGTGACAGACAATCCAGTGGTTGATATTGTCAAGACCGATCCAAGTCTCTGGGGCCCAATTACACACTATCAACCAAGTCACTGAACAACTCCTCAGTTTAATGACTCCTAATGACCAACCATTTGATATTTGAGGGTCTGACATGTTATTTTGAGACCGTTAAGAAAGTTTTCTTTGACAATTATTTTTGGAGGCTGACAAAGTAAACATCTTTTCCTCATAATCCATCCTCCCCTTCCCCATTCCCCAAATGGTGAGACCCTTATGACCATGGTGCAGGTAAAATCACAGCTCCTCATCATCTGATTCATCACACTCTTACAAGCGACATATAGGTTGAGGAGAAGATGGGGATGGCAGGCAATCCCAGTGGAGATCAATTCACAGTGTTTAATTGTTTGTTGTTTAACGCCAAACTCAGCAATATTCCAGCTATGTGGCGTCAGTCTAGAAATAATCGAGTCTGGACCAGACAATCCAGTGATCAACAGCATGAGCATCAATACCAACACACAGTGAAAAAAACACAACTAGAAACATTGTAACATTGTTTAATGCTGACCTTCTATGTACATGTAACACAACACTGTGTTCGCCCTGAATCCTTGGCTGACATGACACATGGCTCCAACACGAGTCCAAGCGTACACGTCGCTACTCATCCCACGTCACTATTCATTCTGCAATCATGGTCTACAATGATCACACCTGTGTACACATGTAACCACGGCAACATGTACACATAAATGAAACCGGAATCGGATCCTTGCCACAACAAACATGAACTATTCAATTTGTCTTGTTCATATCTTAAACATTCGACATATGAATAAGCTATTATTACTGTCTATTGTTTGGTTTTAAATTTTATAAGCAGTTAAAACAATACATTAATAAATGACATCACTTATTTTACATTCTCCACTTGCTGGCCTGGATAGTAAATATAACGTCAGTCAGCAATATCACTGGAATCCCCAGTACCATTAAGTAGGAGGCATGGGGACCTATTCTGACCTGGAATCCCCTTGTTGTCTGTAACAATGGGTAGTTTGGACTTGAGCTATTTTCTAAACTTTGGGCAAGATGTCTTTGAAACAAAAAATACAGCTTAATACATGCATTCAGGGCTAGACAATCATCTTCAAGAAACCAAAGAAAAAATAGAGGCCAACATTCTTGTACATCATTAAATATTAAGTCATATTTCAATATCACTTTGAAAACAGACCTCCCAAATAATACTGATCAGAGCTCTAAATATTTCATATAATCATCTGCAATCAGAGCTCTAAACATTTCATATGATCATCTGCAATCCCAGCTCTGAGCATTACATGTGATCATCTGCAATCCCAGCTCTGAGCATTACATGTGATCATCTGCAATCCCAGCTCTGAGCATTACATGTGATCATCTGCAATCCCAGCTCTGAGCATTACATGTGATCATCTGCAATCCCAGCTCTGAGCATTACATGTGATCATCTGCAATCCCAGCTCTGAGCATTACATGTGATCATCTGCAATCCCAGCTCTGAGCATTACATGTGATCATCTGCAATCCCAGCTCTGAGCATTACATGTGATCATCTGCTCCCAGCTCTGAGCATTACCAGCAATCTGAGCATTACATGTGATCATCTGCAATCCCAGCTCTGAGCATTACATGTGATCATCTGCAATCCCAGCTCTGAGCATTACATGTGATCATCTGCAATCCCAGCTCTGAGCATTACATGTGATCATCTGCAATCCGTGCTCTGAGCATTACATGTGATCATCTGCAATCCCAGCTCTGAGCATTACATGTGATCAGTGTTCTGGGCATGGAGACAACACCAACAAGTGGAGGAGAGTTTAAAAGTTTCAATATATCATCTATATCAGAACAATATCAAACCGATCAAAATCATTTCAAATCAGTAACAGAAACAAAGAATCATCCATTATGAATATAAACAGCAGACATTCTCAGGAAGTGATCTCAACATTCTAAAACAGATTAAACTAAAATAATTTCTTCCTTTTAAGATAAATTTCATGCAACTGCACATTGAAAACAACCTCAAAAATCAGTTTCAAATCATAAAATCAACAAACCTTATTATTTTTCAGCCTCAAAACCACTGAACCCAAATCAGCTGAATGATATTCTAATATCCAACCTACAACTTGTCCGGCAAACATGCATTACTTCAATCAACAAATTCTACGCTCACTTCAGTCACCATATAAGTCTCCTACAGCATAGAATGTCTGGATCAGCCTTTCAATAGATGTCAAAATAAGAAATACATTATAAATGAGATAAGTTCATGAAAATAATGACGGACCAAAACATATTTCATATTTCATATAGAAAGGGAAGTTTTTCCATCAATTTCAAGCCTTCAAAGGTTATCACAATGATAAACATGAAATATATGAACAGATAACCAGCATAAAACCCTCCTCTACCAAGTTTCGTACAGATTTCTATCCACCAACCTTCGAATCAAAGTCTTGAAAAAAGGGTAGAAACAGGAGAACTCTTTCCCCTCGTCAGTGGGCTCGAGTTTTAGTATTACAGCTGTTTTGGATGTTTTAACAACAGTGTCAATGTCACAACGGAATTGCACTACATATTTCGGTGAGAATCCATCGCTCTCTATGATCTTCTCGGAGATCTCCCTCTCGAGCTCCAACCCATCCAGTTCACCCTCCATTACTTCACGTCTCAGCGTCTTCCGTCCGCTCCAGGTCCGGCAGCAGGAGCTGCACATCAGCTCCATGTGGAGACTCGGGGACTGGGGAGATCCTGGGGAGACCATGCTTGGACCCATCCTTACTCCAGCTCCTTCACATGCTGGTCCTGTGGGCTGCTCAGATGAATTTTTAAGATTAGAACTGTTTACTGCTGGTGTTGTCTGAGAATTACTTGTGTCTGACTCAACCTCCATTTCTACTGTGGGCACATCTCCTGATATTGTCTGGGCGAGAACTTCAGTCTCGAACATGAGAATGGTCTCAAGGACTCGCTGTATGAAGAGGCACACCTTGAAACACCAGTTAAGTCGGAAGTCAGGTGTCTGTGGATTCTTGAAGGCTTCAGGTGGAAGCTGTGCCACCTTCAAGAAAACAGTAAAGCTGTGGTCATCCTCCTTCTCCTCATCCAGGTCCTGCAGTCTCTTCAGCTCCTCCGCTAGTTCGGCAGGTACCTCGGCACCAAGCAAGTCCACCAGCCCAAAGTCTCCTCCAGCCTCTGTGTCAGACCACTTCTCACATTTCTTGGCTGCAATCTGGAACTCCTCCGAAATCTTCTGCTTGACCTTCTCAGTTACATTCCCACCAATGTTGTGGTCCAGGACAAATGGATCCTGGATGCTGATTGGTCCGATCTGAGAGGCGGTGAAAAAATAAATGACATATACCCAACACAAAACTTTTGCAGTGGTGCACACTATAAACAAAAAAGATTTCTTAATTAAAATATCCTGCAGCCATTTTGACAATAATATTCTTAAATTCAGTGGACAATGACAAAAGCTCACTTTGACAATGTTATTAAAATGAACAAAGGGGACCAATAAGCATCATACTGTGATATGTACCTTGAATGTCTGTGATTCGGTGCTTGGCTGTTCCAGCATCTCCTGTACAGGCAGGATGTGACCAGTGCGGGTTTGTAAAACAACCGTGCTGAAGTCCAGGTTAGCATAGTAATCAAAGAAGCCCTTCAGCAGATCCTCTGGAAGTCAAACACAGACAGCTGCAGTACCCAACACTTTGTGGTTTGTTTGATCCACGAACACTAAATAAGGTCGCAAGCACATTGTTCTACCACTGAATTACATGAATCTTTAAAAGATATTTCATCTCTGAAATTAATTCATATAGGGCAACTACAAGAGCCAATTCAATTGTGTCCAGTACTTAACAGGTTAAGATACTACCTGAAACATTCCTATTCTTCAATTCCACCTGACACTCACCTCCAGATTGTGTGTTGGCCGATGATGTGAATGTTTCTGGCTCATCCAGGTAGGAACAGTCCCAGCCATCAATTATCACCTTCTTCTTGCCTGGTTCACAAAGCATGAAGTGTTAGGGTCGGATACCATGCCAGCTTTCCAGTTACATAATGGCCCTATGTGACACAGACTGACTGACAGTGGGGGACACCAGAAATGGGCTTCACACATTGTACCCATGTGGGGAATCGAACCAGGGTCTTTTGACGAACGCTTAAACCACTAGGCTACCCCATCGCCCCATGTGACAAAGAAATCTTAGCCCTTTGACGATCAAAAGCCAATGTTAAAGTGTTTTCATTATCGTAGCCTTAGTACTAAGATCACATTGTAGAATGGGTCTATGAACCTGTACCTACCTGAAATGTTAACATGATAGAGAAGTCCAAAGTGACACTGTGTGAAACAAAGAGGTGTCCTGAGGTCTTTGGTTCATGACAAGGACCCCTAACTTCCATGTTTACATTCATACACTGGGGTTGAAAATGTTTAGTTACAAGTTTTCTGATGGTATCTGATATTCTTTACCTGCCAGTTCCCCCAGCTTACTGGTGGTGGGCAATATGGGAGTGGCCAGATTCTGGAGGTACTGAACCACCAGAAATGTAAGAGCGTAGTTTGACAGACGGGGTCCTGAGTTGATGTTTCCCGCTATCTCCTTGACCTTGGACCAGTAACGGACAGTGTAGACCAGCAACCCCACACTCTCGTCAATCCTGCTGCACAGCTGCAGCAGACGTGTGTTCTGCAAAGCCAGTCTGTGGGTAGAAGTGAGGTAGGAACTGTTGAAGTGGTGGCAAGTGTTGATAAGATTTTTTGCCCAACTTTGCATGTATCTGCATTCTATGGATTGATACTGAGGGATACAATCAAGAAAAAAAGCAAGAATAAAAATCCAGCTTGATCCATGTGCCACTTTGTTTAAAAGAAATGAGCCGAGGTGGATGACTTACTTGTTGTTGATGGAGAGGTCACACTTGATGCCGGAAGGTTCGTGGAGTGAACTTGATGAGAGGACACCGGCTGGGGATGACGATGATGTTGTTGCAGCCAGGGGCATGATCCACCAGGATGCGGGACACCAGTCTTACTTTGTCGTAGGCTGTCATCTCCTGGAGGTCGGCAGAGGTCAGAGGGCCCTCTGTCCTCTTCAGGGACTGGATGTCTCGGTGGTATGGAAGTTTCACTGGATCCTAGTGAAACAAGGAGGACAAGTTCTGACAATACTTCAGCAATATCGGGTAACTGTAGGAGGGAATTCCAAACTGATGTAGATTTGGGTACACAAGCAAAACACACAAGTAACATAAAGAAGACAAATTAATGAGCTTTGAACCATTATCATAGGATACTGGCACATTCAAGGGAAACAACTCTCCTCAGCAACATGCAACACCTTCAACTACTTGGCTGTTCATACTGCCTCGGGGATGATGTAAAGTATCAGTTGATATGACAACAATTGTGTTTCCAATTTTATATTTCAATGTCAGTGCACCTCCTGCATGGAGCCTGCAACTAGCCAGTACTACATCACTGTTACAGCGTATTTAGTTTACCTGGACATCTGGGAGATCCATGTCTTCTTCTCCCTCGTCATGGAAGTCCAGGTATATGTCTACATCACAGCCCTTCACTCCAAAGCCATTCACAGAGGAACCAAACTGATGCACGGAACAGGCTGAAGGAAGAAATAACATCATAATACAGCAGGGATGGCAAGACTTCATGACATGATATACACTCGGCCACTATGATATACCCTCGGCCACTATGATATACACTCGGCCACTATGATATACTCTCTGCCAATATGATATACACTATGCCACTATGATATACACTATGATATACGGCCACTATGATATATACAATATGATATACACTCTGCCACTATGATACTCCCACTATGCGTACCGCTATGATATACTCTGCCACTATGATATACTCACTCTGCCACTATGATATACTCGCCTGCCACTATGGCCACTTCTGCCACTATGATATACCCTCGGCCACTGCCACTATGATATACACTTCTGCCACTATGATATACACTCGGCCACTATGATATACACTCGGCCACTATGATATACACTCTGCCACTATGATATACACTCTGCCACTATGATATACACTCGGCCACTATGATATACACTCGGCCACTATGATATACACTCTGCCACTATGATATATCTGCCACTATGATATACACTCTGCCACTATGATATACACTCTGCCACTATGATATACACTCTGCCACTATGATATACACTCTGCCACTATGATATACACTTTCGGCCACTATGATATACTACACTCTGCCACTATGATATATATATACATGCCACTGATATGCCACTATGATATACACTCTGCCACTATGATATACACTCTGCCACTATGATATACACTCGGCCACTATGATATACACTCGGCCACTATGATATACACTCGGCCACTATGATATACACTTGGCCACTATGATATACACTCGGCCACTATGATATACACTCTGCCACTATGATATACACTATGCCACTATGATATACACTATGCCACTATGATATACACCACTATGATATACACTCTGGCACGGCCACTATGATATACACTCTGCTACTATGATATACACTCTGGCCACTATGATATACACACTCTGCCACTATGCCAATGTCTCACTTCATGCCATCTCTGTGTCATTTTCATCATGGCTATGTTATCTCCAATAATACCACAGGTTAAGACTGCATGCTATACCTGGAAAGAACTTCATGAGTGCTGCACTGAGTATGTCACAGATGCCTTGTTTTTGTGTGATCTCCTCATCCGTCATACGAACAAAGTCCGCCAGCACTCGCATCTGGTCCACAATCTATAGAAACATGGCAGTCACATGTACCACACACTTGACTCAGTGAAATATTTAACAATTGACAAATGACTTAACAATTCACTGCTGTTAAGCCCCTTGTATAGCCATTTGGCCAAATTTACAAATTCAGAACCGTTGAGACCATAGTTAAGCACTCTAACCAAACTGAGCAAATCAACACTGTTGAGCTACCTAGGGAATACCTAATTCAGCACCTAGGGAATACTGGGTAAGTGATCTTACCGATTCAGCACTTTTGAGTTTTAGCAGCAGCTCCTCCTTGTTGACAGCAATGGCCTTCATGTTCAACTTGGCTGCCTTCTCCCTGGCATTCTGTCTGGCCTTCATCTTTCTCTCCTTCAGCACCCAGCGAGGAGTCTGATTCACCTTCCGTGGATTCACAATTATCTTGTTCCCTTTCAGTTCATGGTCAGTGTGAGAAATGGCTGCTGTAACAGACTCCTGCTCAGCGTACTCGACCATGGCGAACAGACCCTGCAGGAACAACATGGGAGCGTCTGAACATATTCAGGACTTGTTTCAAGAAGGCTGATCAGGTTTTCATTGATGCAGGGCAGGGATACTTCTTGGATTAAAAAAACTGCCCTTGACACACAAATTCGAACAAACCTGTAGAGGTTGCAGATTCTTTGAATATAGTCCTCCTTGGGGTACATATAAGCATTTAAATGTCCATTTAAAATCCCTACGACAGTTGTAACAATATTTTAATAAAATATTTACAAAACAAAAACTATGTTTTGTCTTGTGAGACCACCCCTACAGGGCCCTACTGACCCCTACAACCAAAAGCAGGTAACTCTTGACTATAACCTCGTACCTCACTTTCCATGCTGAATGTAATCAGACAGAATGTGGGGAGGTGGGTCGCCCGTTACCCAAGGAGGACTATATTCAAAGAATCTGCAACCTCTGCAGGTTTGTTCGATTCTTTTTCATATATTCCTCCTTGGGGTATATATAAGCATAAGATACATATAGCATAAGACAGACTCCTAAAGCCTGAATCTCGTAGAACAAACCTGACAACAAGAGGAATTCCCAAACTATAAATAGAATAAGAAATCTCACCTACCAGGTCACATGCCTACCATAGCCAATCGGGCGGAGGCGTGAACCACGGTCAGGGATCGAACACACTAGCTTAACATGCGAAACCTCGCTAATGTAAATTGCTTCAAAACAGTCCCCCCTCCCTCCCGTAATTGAACGGAAGTGAAGATAAGGGAAAAACTGACCCAAGAAGAAATTTGCCGAAACAAGCAAAGGTTTCCAAGGAAATTGTTCTAGTGCAGTACAGAGGAATGCAAGTACATGGGATAAAAACCACTACCATAAAACCCGACACCACGGGAGAAGGTAGTATAGTTCAAAATAACCCAACACCAGTTAAAATGGCAGATATTTGATTCTCGTCATAAAACCTTGTAAGCTCAAACGGCTAGAGAGGTGGAACCCTGCCCACTGGAGAGAACTGACTGACTGAACCGAGCATGTGAATGTCGCCTACCCGCCTGCACTGGAGAGAACTGACTGACCGAGCTGAGCATGTGAATGTCGATCGAACCGAGCACGTGAATGTCGATCGAACCGAGCACGTGAATGTGCTACCCGCCTGCCAGAAGTTGCCGACACAAGAAACGCTGCCTTCCATGTCAACAGCTGGAGGGAAAGAGCCGACAGAATGTGAAAAAGGAGACAGGACAGCCATTCGTGAACGATTGACAAGCCCCACGGGGACTAATCCAAACAGATTCTGTCCACGCCTGCTAAACAGCGCTGAACCAGAGTGCACCATCAACAGGAATGTGGAATGCAGAAATAGCTGTTGAATATCCTCGAACAGTTGAAGCCGCTGAGACTGGAGGAATTCTAACACAGAGTCTAAATCTGCAAAAAAGGGATAGAGAATCCCCCTGCTGAATCCTGGGATTCGGGTGTGGCGCTCCATTCTAGGATAGTAGGTCCGGTCGAAAAGGTAAAAGTACAGGAGGCTGAGCCAGAAACCTGAGGATTACCAGAAAGCAGCTTTGAGCCAACCAAAGCAGTGCAAGGAGCACAAGTAGTCGAGCTGGTTGTGTGGCTAGCTGTGACAGGACTTTGGAAATCAGTGGTATCGGTGGGAACGCCCACAGTACCCTGTCCGTCCAATCGAGCTGAAAAGCGTCATTGGCTACCGCTACCATTGGAATCTGAGAGCAAAGCACTGGTATCTGGTTCGTCATCCCAGAGACAAACAGATCCACCTGGAACGACCCGAACAACCGGGAGATAATCCTGAAGATCCCCCTATCGAGCATCCCCTCGTTTGGGGCTAGTATACGCGTGAGAGAGCATCTGCACAAACGTTGTCTACCCCCGGGAGATACACAGGGAACACCCAAATGTGTCGCTGGTCGCACCACAGTAGAAACTGCCACGCCTCCTGCAAGAGTGACGGAAGAGATCACTGAGCATCTCCATCCTGAAAGACGGCACTTCTATTAACTTGTTCAGCCCTCTGAGATTCAGAATGGGTCTGAACCCTCCGTACTTCTTGGTCACTAGGAAGTAAGTGGAATAAAACCCATCTCCTTGCAGACTTCCGGAACCAACTCGATGGCTGCCTTGTCCAGTAAACACTGAACCTCGGCACGGAGAACATCCGCCTTCTCCCTGGAGACTGGCACTGCCGTGTGCCAAAACCCCGGAGAAGGATGGTGGATCTCGCCTCCACTGTGGCAAATGGCCAACCCTGAGTGTGGACAGGACCCAGGGATTTGATGTGGCTGCTTCCCACTCTCGAAGGAATAGTGACAGACGGCCGCCTACAGGGACGTTTGGCATAATGCAATGCACCCCCACACTCGGCAAGTCTCCGCTTGCTTGTGCGGGGGGCAGTAAGGGCACGGGGGAGAGACTCTATGGGAAGCTGCGGCGCAAGCACGGGTGACGACAAGTCGTCACCACTAGAGTCCTGGTCCACTAACTGCCCCTGCAAAGCTGAAAGATAGGCAGAGTGGACAGTCACGCGAAGCTGTTGTGCCGCACATCTGTAGACCTCCTTGAAGGAACGGTATGCAGACTTAAGCGTGGGGGCATTGGCCTGAAAAGGCGGAAGCCACCTGCCTTGAATGGCCGAAGCCAGGGAGGAAGAGGACGACCAACCAAGTGTGATGGAGGCGTACACGTACTCGTCCACCCCTGGATGCTCCAATAGGGCCTCCTCCACTAACTGGTACCATTTGCCAACGTCCGGCAGATCGAATCAGTCAGAAGAGGGTTGACTACATAGCTTACCTTGCCTCGGCAACCCGGGAGCCGAAACTCCGCGGGATCGGGCGCCTGTACAGGTACAGTCACCTGGGGCAGCACTTCCGCGATACCCTCACGAACTTGCCGCAGGGACGACCCGAAGGAGTACGTGACCCCCGACTTCTGACTCCTCTCTCCCCTCATCCTCCTCCATGTCAACATCTTCACACTCCCCAGCAACTGGACTCTCATAACAGAGAGATGTCGCCGAGGGCGCTACTGAAGTCGAACACGAAGGGCTCAGAAGATCGAGTGGAGCCAAAAGGTTCAAGTCGCCCCGTCCCCTGGTGTAGCCCAAGTCGGGGCACCGAGGCACCAGGGAAGAACCTGCCCCTACAGGATTCCCTGGCAGCCCAGACTAGTCCAAAGCTAGGTCGACGCGAGACGCCCCAGACAAACTATCACCGGAGCCCAAGCTCGGATCAAGTTGCCCAGGGGGAGCAGCGATCCCCGAGCCTGAACTCAGGCCGCATCCAACCCCCTTAGACGCGTCCGATCCGCCCCTGATGACAGGCGAACTCCTTACGGAACCCAGAAAACGCCGTGTCTATCAAAGACTTCACGGACTACATCTGTTCCAGAAATAAACTTGACAACGCATCAAAGGTTACTATGGGAGGTGCAGGGGAGGCTGAGACAGGGGCAGGGGAGGCTGAGACAGGGGCAGGAGAAGACCCCTTGCCTACCTTGGCTTTTTTAGAAACCCACTACGAAGAGGAGACCCTGGAAGGCACCTTCGTTTTATGCGAGCGTTGGACGGGGGATCCTCAGCCCAGATATCACCCCCTACTTGAATGATATTACTGTAAAACAGTATATCCGCCCACCTAGACTTAACAGTCTTAGGCATAAAACAGGCACAAGCAGGGCAGCCTTGCTCTTCATGACTGCCCTCTGCTTAACATCTCAAACACAGATCGTGCGTATCCTTGACAGGGATGGACGATTGACACGTAGCGCAGGTTTTATGCTGCAAAAAAGTGAAAACGACCTTATGAAGTGCCCCATATATAAACAATACACAAAACCATGCATGGGCCGAAACAAGCAACTAATGCTAAACATTATATAACTAACACACTCATGAAAGATAATGTAAGAACCCACATGAATAACAGCAGATAATAACAGGCTGCAACCAAGGCAACATGACTATAAAATACAACTATTAGCGTATATATAAAAAATGCTAGCAGCGGAAAAACACCCTAACCTGCTAAGCGAACGCAATAATAACGCATAACGCGCACACATAAATAACCTATAACCACACTAAACATTGAGAACCCTAATGGAAGGCAATGAAAAGTGAGCATAGCGAAGGTTCGGTCCATAATCTTGACAAACACATGGCAAGCCCGACCGGGGACAGGAACAAAAAGATGAATGAAAATATTCAGAAACAATCTCTAAATCGCCCATGCGGAAATAAAAGAGAACCATGCATACAGTAGTTGTTTCAAACCACTCATCATGAAGGGAATTCAACTCTTGTTGAAAGGACACATAGAACCGATAGAGCGACAGCATGGAAAGTGAGGTGCACGAGGCTACAGTCTAGAGTTACATTGTTTTGGCTGTAGGGGCCTCTACAAGACAAAGCGCAGTTTTGTTTTGTAAATATTTTATTCAAATATTGTTACAACTGTCGTGAAGGGATTTTAAATGGACATTTAAATTCTTACCCCAAGGAGGAATATATGAAAAGAATTTTATATTGCAATAACAGCCTGCGACTTTAGACACTAGCCTGAAGCCTGCTAGTTTGATCATGTCACAAGAGTACCAAACAACTGGACATGTGATAACACTTAAATTTACTAAAAAGTGATGTGATAAGCAATCGTTTGAGTTGTAGATTTATACAGTTCGGCACAGACGGCCATATTGTTTATTAAAACAATGGTAACAATAATTTTATTCTAATCTTGGAATTTTTACTGACATATGACTTCGGCCGTTATTCAGCCTCTGGGCAGGTCCAGATAACTTTCTGGAGAGGGACTGGTTAATGCACAATACTGAGCAGGTGACTGAAAGCAATGATCTATCTTACTTGGACATGATGGTATGCATCGAACTTAACCAAATGTAGTACTTGACATAACAACTGTACAACTGAATCAAGGATGATAAACAGGTTAAAGGCTGGGGACATCCTGTTTTTTCAGCATGGCAATAGTTTTCTTTACATGAAACATTGTTCAACAAATCCAATAAATCTACTTACCCTCTTGTACTCCATGAATATTTTCTCCACCTTGCCAAACTTTGAGAAATATGTTCTGAGTTCGTCCTCAGTGGTTTCATCACTGAATCCCTTTGTAAAGACAGTGAGGCTGGCTTGTTTCTGCCGCTGTTTGCTGGCCTCGATCACCCGCATGTGGCGCTTCCCCTTCACGTGGTCCTTCATGGCCTCCTCTACACAGTCACAGTCATTCTTTTACATGTATTGCCCACAGTTGTCAGTAGCTTATATAATCTGTTGATTTCCAGCTTTATCCAAAATGTATGTGTACTGCCCCAATCATGTTTAAAATCTACTGCCATAGATGTGTAAGGACCTGTGCAATACTTTGTAAATTTTGGTTCACAGACTGTGAAGAAACTAACTGAATAAGTCCAACTAAACCAGTAACAGCAGCAGTACTACTAGAAAAATATGTTTATCATTGTTTGTTTATTATCCTTATTGGTGCAAATGGTCCTTGAAATTTGTACAATCTTGGTCAATGTTTCTTCTTTATTTCTAAGTTTATCACCATGATCATACAGTTGTAATCATTAATCCTGTTGTCAGCAAACAGAAAAAAACTTCTGACCTACCTGAAGGAACAGTCACCATACAGTATTCACACTGAAGCACCATGTCTCCTGGCTTCAGAAATATATAATCTGAAACATACGAAACATAGTAATCACCTTTTACCATTATGATCAGCTTGTGAGATATGTTGTAGGGGTATGTTTTTCATTTACATATTGAGAAAGTAGATACTTTTAGGTAAAATGTTTTATCATTTTAGTAACAACATACAACCAAATATAATTCTTCTGTTGTCATGCAATCTTAAATGTGGTTGATAATAATAAGAAACTGAGAATGTACATAGTAACATACGAATTTGCTTAATGAATTGTACCCACATGGCGAAATGAACCCCGACCCTCTGTGTGATGAGCCACTGTTCATACAACGACAGGCTACCCCAGGGCAACATATGTTACATTTGACCACTTTCTAAATGGCATTGTGAATTCATACCCCAGGGTTGGTTGACACGCATGTCATCAGTTCCCAATTGGCGCAGATCGATGCTCATGTTGTTGATCACTGTATAGTCTGGTCCAGACTTCGATTATGTACAGACGCCGCCATATAACTGGAATATTGCTGAGTCGCATTAACACTAAACTCACTCACTCACTCATACCCCAGGGCAGCAGAAGAAACACTTGTTGTAGACCGTGATACTCCACACTGTCAGCTTGACAGCAAATTGCAGGAGATAAGCAAAGAGTGGTGCACATCATTGAGTCGATTACTGTGGTAAAACCTAAGAGCATGATGAGTTGAATAATGTTGACATGCCAGGCATCATGAGGTAAATCTAAACAAATTTGTCGAAAGCAATCCCAGCATTGATTTTTAGCATAGTTTTATCACCCAGATCCACTGGCACCCATCAACACAGATTTCACTCATAATTACATTGGATTACTTCTTAAAATATAGGGGGCGGTGGGGTAGCCTAGTGGTTAAAGCGTTGGCTCGTCACGCCGAAGACCCGGGTTCGAATCCCCACATGGGTAAAATGTGTGAAGCCCATTTCTGGTGTCCCCCGCCGTGATGTTGCTGGAATATTGCTAAAAGCGGCGTAAAACCAAACTCAGTCAGTCAGTCAGTCTTAAAATATATAGCTAACCCATACCCAAATTCACCACTAACTCTGAGGATCAAACATAGGTACCTTGTGCTAGAGATTGTACACAGGGTGTTTGACTGACAAGTGATACCAAACCCGAGGAAAAGATGTTTCATCTGGCGAACTTAAGCCTAAAGACTGCTTAGGGATGCTTCATCAGAAAGGGGACCTTAAGACTCAGGATAGAAATGGAGGTAACCCTAATTTTAACATATCAAATGCTAAAGATAAGAGTCATGTTGGATCTGAGAAGCAAGAACCAGCAAGCCAGCGCTAATTAGCACAATAAGTGCAGTAAGCATGATAAGCTGTACCTGGTAAACTGCAACATATGTTATATTTGGGATTACACTTAGGGAGTACAAGTACAGATTTTAGTACCTTTGGGAAAAGTGTAATCCCAAATATAACATGTGTTACATCTGACCACTTGGCATTGTGTATTCATAGCTTTTGGGCATGTGATGATGCCAATTTACATGGCAGATGTGTTAGATAACTAACTTTGAGAGGGTGATAAGGTGACAGATTCTGAGAATGTGGGTCCTGACATGCTGAATGGGACTCAACCCAAAAAGGTTCAATAATCTGTGTTTTACACTGCTGACGGGATCGTTGTTGACACAGGTACTAAATATGTGTACCCCAGGTACATTTCTGTATACAGAAACGTACCCTAGACAAAATCTGAATTCAGTAATGTACCCCAGGACCCCAAGTCCATTCAGCTTTGTGCCATTTTCTTGTTTGGAACCATCATAATGTTATATTAGATCCATTTGATTATGTTATATAAGAAATGAGCATACACAATAAGAAAAATTTTTGCGATGCACAATACATGGGGTGAAAGCGTACACTCTGCGGTATTAGTAAAACAGCAGTATTTTGCCTTCAGTTCTGTATACCATAATGCCATCCAAAAATTCAATATTTTTGGTTTTCGTACCGTCATTTCTATCCAGCCATAAAATGACAGTTTTGTTCACTCAAAGTAACAAAGATTATGGTTATTTTTTCCCATGTTATTAAACAATGTAAGGTTTGGCTCTTGTTGTCAATTTTCTGCATTATGATCATATCTCATATACCGAACTGAAATGGACCAAACTGAAGGCTGTGAATATATAACAAGTTTTATGGATAACAACTTCTTTATTTTGGTGAGTGTGACGTTTCGATACAGATTCTTGTACCGTTGTCAAGCATAACTTGTTTGAGTGGCATTTTAGAAGTTGAGACGTACAATATATAACAAGTTTTATGGATAACAACTTCTTTATTTTGGTGAGTGCGACGTTTCGATACAGATTCTTGTACCGTTGTCAAGCATAACTTGTTTGAAGGCTGTGAAGTTGTGCAATATGTGCCATTCCGTGGTAAGAGCATACCGTTTCACCCCTACATAATACCACTCGCAATCTGTTGAACAGGAACAACTAAATACGGTTTTGGTTTTTGGTTGTGTTTAGATATGTTTCTATATTTTGAATTTGTTCTGGGTACATTTCTGTATACAGAAAGGTACATCTGTAGAACCTTTGCCAACAACGACCCCTTCAGCCTTAATACTGAGAAAGTGTAATCCCAAATACAACAAATGTTTCATTTGATCACTTAGAAAATGGCATTGTTTATTCATGGTAAACTGCAGCATTGATACATTCAGTATACCCATTCCTGCTATAACACTATAGGTTTGGCTATAGTATCATCCATCCAAACTAGCTAATAAATACATTCATAATGGTTAACAGCGACTTCAGAAAAATAGGAGAGTTATCCTGGAGAGTGCAGTTGTTTCCATGGACTGCCTGGGGCCTTTCTAGTGTCAAAAGTTTAACTAGGACAGACACAACAGATGCATGTATAATATGAATCTTGATCCACCGACAAACCATGAATAGCGGTGGGTGCATAGCTCCTGTTAACTCGCGAATAGTCTTTTCCTGTAACACAACGGCTATGTCAAAGTGTACTAGGTGTGCGTTTGAATCTGTGAAACATACCTTGTGCAAATAAACGTTCGACCATATGAGAAGAACAGGGTCAGAAAGCGGGAAGTCTCTCAGCTCCACGTCGGAGTTACGCGTCCCTTTCTGATAAGCTCATCATATCATATATTCCTGTGTGTGGAGCTTTTGAACGGATCATTTAACCAGGCATTAACAGAAGAAAGTGTAATCGCAGATGACAAAAACGCGTGGTACAACCATTGCTGTGGAATAAATATGTCGTGCTTTTTCCTGTATTTTATATCAAGATATTTTAAGGTTATTCACGGTACCAAATGCGGTAAAAACCCGTACATATGGCCAATGCAAGCATTGCATACATTTTCGGATGTTAAAGTTACAAATATGGCGACTTGTCTTGCCAAACATGCTTAGACGGCATGTCCTAAGACGTTATCCAATGTCATTAGGCATTGAATGGCCATGCATCTGTTCTCACAGACCCAGTACACGAAACTACGGATCAAGACCAGGGGGCTCAAACAGAACAGGTAGAGCACTCGATATGATTTCCCTACAGTTATTTGTTCGAACTGTCAGTCATGTTGAGCCAGTAAAACCAGGACTTATGCCATGACCATGTACGGTGACGATATGTAACTCTTGTGCAGAGAGGTTTGAAATACGTCACTAGGGATATACCTGTTGGCCCTACCTGTTGTGTATATATACACCCAATATACTATATAGTACTTGAGGCTGTTGTCCTAACAAAATATCTTGTCACATGTTCTTTGAGCGTTGTTACTTAACCTCATCTGCATCACTCCCTCCTGTGAGGCAAGATGAGACAGAATTCAATAGATGACACAGGTTTCAGGGGTTGACGAAATCTAAACCACAAATTTGTTAACAAAACAATTGCAGGTTTGATTGGCTGTGGTTACCATTGCTTAATTAACCATGCTAGACTATCCCTCTGAAGAATGATGACAGTTTATATGGATATACAACTTCTTTTATTCTGTGAAAGGCAATGTTTTCGACATAGATTCTAATGTTGTTGTCATCACTTGCTTGACAACGACATTATTAGGAATCCATCAAAACGCCGCCTTTCACTAAATAAAAGAAGTTGTATATCATAAAAATTGTCATCATTCTTCATCAACTCAACTTCTAAAATGCCCTTCAAAGAAGAAATATCTCTGAACATCATGATGTATTCAAATGCGAGGCATTGAATTCTGAGTATAATGTCCCAATTTATTCAAACTGAGCTCTCTTTGATGGGAGTTCTGCATGTTACTAGGTATACTATTTTTTGGATTTCAGTTGGCTGCCAGGATGCTCAAACTTGTGTTGACATCTGAAAAACTGGGCAAATGAATCCAACACTTTACCATAGGGACCACATGCTCAATCTCAAACCACTAACTATGGCTCATGATCAGCACTACCTCCCTATCTGTTCACTACCACTATCAGCACCAGATTGTTTACCTTGATACACATGCATGATTCACTGCAGTACTACTACCATTTTGTGGTGGGTGAGTGGGTTAGATCACTGACTTTGTAGGTACTGGCAATTATTGCCCCACTCTTACGATAGTGTGGGTTTGAATCCTGGATGGATCTCAACTCAAAAGTATATGACAAAATTTCTCATTTTGAGGCTTTGGTAATGTTTAGCAATCAGGGTTTGCAGTGTTATCCCTGATGTTTGAATGTCACACTTTTAAGATGCCAGCTGCTCATATGGATATCTGTCCATGTCTAATGCCACCTGTCACCACGGTCACTGTATTGTCTGGTTCAGTTACTTACAGGTCTCTGTGATAATGCCAGAATATTACTGCGAGCATTGTTATGTGTCATATGTCTGGCAGTTGGGTTGTAATGTGACTAAACTTGCTATATGTATTGGATGGTGATGCCTGTTGGCTTGGTTGACAGCATGTCAGTCTCAGTTGCATGGTTCTGTGTTCACCACTGGCTTACAGACAGTGTCATACAACTGGAATATTGCAGAGTGCAGCGTTAGACAACAAACAAAAACAAAACAACAACAACAACAACAACAACAAAAAAGACCACTGAGATGGGATGCCACCCAAAAGCTGAAACATGTGTTGCTAATGTTCTGTCTATGCTTTGTGTGCTGTTGTAGATGAGGCGCGGGAAGATATCATGAAGGGAGAACTCTATGAGTACATATGAGAGTGTTGTGGAAGGAATGGAGGTGGCACATCGACTGTGGTGGTGCAGGGAGTGGGACGAGGACCAGGTGGGTCGGCACCTGCAACAGTATGGCATGATAAGAGTGACGTCGCGGTTCCATCGCACGAAAAGGTAATACTATGAAAATATATTGTTATATTTTAGGAGATCACCACTGAAAAATATGTTTAATTGTCCTATACCCTCTTGTAATATGAGGGGCGTGGGTTAGCCTTAGTAGGTATGGCGTTAAATCATCGTCCTCCTGAAGGCCGGGTTAGATTACCTACATGTGGGTAAAATGTGAAGCCCATTTCTGGTGTCCCCCGCCATGATATTGTTGGAATATTGCTAAAAGCGTAAAATCAAACTTATTCACTCACTCACTCACTCTTGTAATATGAACATAGTTGCACTTAGTTACCGGTATGCAATATTGAATTTGTGGCACACACTAAAAGGAATAAAAAAGACTGATTCTGAAGATACTTTTTAGATATTTTCATATGGTAATGTAAAATTTGAACATTTATTCACTGACATTGCTATAGATTTTGCCAGTTCCCTGATCCAATCCCCATGACAACATAAGCATTTTTTATCCTAGTCTTTCTTCATGGTGGAGTATAAAGAGAGGGCGTCAGTGGCCAACCTGATGGTGGACACAGGCTTTCATTTGGGGAATTCCCAGTCAAATCTAGAGTGATGTTCCTAAACCAACACAGTATTAAAAAAGACGAAAGCACCCTAAAGAAGATATTACCTCCCATGAACATGTGCTTTCAAGTTTGAAGGAGTGCAAGTCAGTAAGTAGAAGGTGTGTCATGTCCACTACCTACCTGTATATAACAAGGTATATAATTGTGTATACCTGTATGCCTTATATCGAGGTATATTCAGGTGCCTGACTTGATTCTTAATCTGTGTGCCTTAGAAGCAACAGGCGGTGCTTGCTGTAGACTGATGTTGCTGCACAGAAGAATATATGTATAGGATTTTGGTCAACCTCCTTGTCTGAAGTTTGTCATGATAAGCAGTTGTGGATGTTTGTTGTTTGATATTGAACGATATTCAGCTGTATGATGATAGTTGCCTATAAAAACATGATAAAAGATTAAAGTGTGACCAGAGATTTCAGTTATCAACATTCAGAAGCATGGCTTGCATGGTGTCAGCTAAGACAAGAGGACACAGTTTCAACTTTCAGCCATTGTCTTACACCTCAAATGAACAAAAAAAAGGTTTGCTGGAGACCAATATTCTGACCATTGGAATCACCACTGTTTGCGGAAGGATGTATTCTGGCAGTTATGTTGAAGTTACTTCCTACATTGTTCTTGTGGAATGTGCTGATTGCAAACTCAGGATTTGTTGAGAATATCCATTCAAAGAGATATTGGGTCCTAGTGTCATTTGATGTCAGAGTACCACTGGTAGTCATGGTAACAATAGTCTAATGCAGATTTACTGATATTTAAGTGAAACCTTGTTGCCTTGGTTACCTGGAAACGAACATTTTCTCTCATAGTATTTTGTGACTCCTAAATCTTAAACTTTCAACATTATGAATACATCAAGGAATCTAATCATCATTCTTTAATTCAAACGCGGGTAAGCATGATGTTCCTTTACTAATCCTGTACAATATCCAATTTACTGTCATTGGTTATCGTCTGTTCCCAGATTTCTGATCAAATGGATACCCTCCATCGATGCAAGCGTCTTACAGCGAGAGAGAAACGCCTGGGTTCTTCATTGCATCAGCCATAGAAGAAGCCTTGTCAGGCATACTTCCACACACTGCCAAATAAAGCCGCTTTGGGTCATGTTAACGGCTTTGGCTGGACAGACTGTGATCTGGACTTCACTTGTGATATTTTCCCCAGATACTGTAAGTTGCTATGGTAACTGTTACATTCCGGAACAGATGTATGTATCTTCATCAATACTTGTTGCAGTTTCAGTTTTGTATTAAACTAAGATTTTGATGGGGATCGAGAACAAACGGGTGTAAAGACAGATCATTTTGTACTGGGGATGAAATGTACTATGAGGTTGGATTACCATTGTCAGCGCTAAGATAGTACGTGGTTCCAGTTCCACAGTACACTTAAGGACTGGTCAATTATCACAGCCCCCCACTCCAACCATCCCTCCTCTCTTGTCTGTTTAACAGAGTACAACACCATCAAGATTGAGTGGGTTTCTCTGTTAGTAAAACAGGTTTGGTCTCAGACTGAGGATGTTGTACATGATTGATTGATGTTTGGCTGCTGCTCCTTTTCATGTAAATCTGTGTAGTTGTAAATCATTGTACCCAATTGTAGTTCTACCCTCCATCTATACAGTAAATCATTGTACCCGATTGTAGTTCTACCCTCCATCTATAAATCATTGTAAATTCCAATTGTAGTTCTACCCTCAATATCTATACAGTAAATCATTGTACCCAATTGTAGTTCTACCCTCCATCTCTATACAGTAAATCATTGTGCCCAATTAGTTCTACCTACCCTCCATCTATACCAGTAGCCCACCTCCATCATTGTAACCGCTTTGTACCCAATTGTAGTTCTACCTCCATCTATACATGTAAATCATAATGCAACCAATTGTAGTTCTACCCTTCCATCATACGAGTAGTGTAATCATTGTACCCAATTGTAGTTCTACCCTCCATCTATACAGTAAATCATTGTACCCAATTGTAGTTCTACCCTCCATCTATACAGTAAATCATTGTACCCGATTGTAGTTCTACCCTCCATCTATACAGTAAATCATTGTACCCAATTGTAGTTCTACCCTCCATCTATACAGTAAATCATTGTACCCAATTGTAGTTCTACCCTCCATCTATACAGTAAATCATTGTACCCAATTGTAGTTCTACCCCTCCATCTATACAGTAAATCATTGCCACTCACCCATACGGTAAATCATTGACCCTCCATCTATCCATCTATACAGTAAATCATTGTACCCGATTGTAGTTCTACCCTCCATCTATATACAGTAAATCATTGTACCCAATTGTAGTCCTGCCCTCCATCTATACAGTAAATCATTGTACCCGACAGCCAGTTCTACCCTCCATCTATACAGTAAATCATTGTACCCGATTGTAGTTCTTACCCTCCATCTATACAGTAAATCATTGTTTTGATTGTAGTTCTACCCTCCATCTATACAGTAAATCATTGTACCCAATTGTAGTTCTACCCTCCATCTATACAGTAAATCATTGTACCCGATTGTAGTTCTACCCTCCATCTATACAGTAAATCATTGTACCCGATTGTAGTTCTACCCTCCATCTATACAGTAAATCATTGTACCCGATTGTAGTTCTACCCTCCATCTATACAGTAAATCATTGTAATCATGCTTGTGGTTCTTCCTCCATCTATACAGTAAATCATTGTACCCGATTGTAGTTCTACCCTCCATCTATTTAGTAAATCATTGTACCCGATTGTAGTTCTACCCTCCATCTTAGTTAGTAAATCATTAAATTCATTTGTAGTTCTGTACCATATAATACATACAGTAAATCATTGTGTGTACCCGATTGTAGTTCTACCCTCCATCTATACAGCACATCATTGTACCCGACAGTAATTCTACCTTCCATCTATACAGTACATCACGTAAATGCCGTTGTAGTTCAACCCTCCATGGTATACAGTAAATCATTGCAGCGCTGGTTATTTCTTTATCCATGTATACAATGGGAATCAACCGACTGTTGTCCATGTTTTTGAAGTCCAAGATATTATTTCAATTTTGATGAAGGGCTGATTAAGGTTGGCGCGGGTGTTTGGGCATTATGGTTTGATTCCCCATGTTGCTTGATATGTGATGAGCTGTTTCTGGTTGATCACATAACGTGATATATTAACGGGTGTTAAAGTGGCGGCGGGAATAAAACTCACCATTCTTGAGAATTGTCCAAGAGGCTCGGCTTGAGTTCGTAATTCTGTTGGTTTTACATCATTGTTGTATTTATGCAGCGGCTTCGGAAGAACAGACATGAAGTTCAGTCTCAACGGCTGTAGCACGCCGGGTTATCCGGAAGATCAGAGAAGCGGACTGTTTGAAGAGCCTGAGCCGGACGCTGAAGAGTTGCGTTAGCCTTGTTGGGACTTCCAGAACATGCTGAGGAATTTCCGGTTGCCCAATAGGTCCGGTTCGGGCACTTGACTTGCGGGTGTTGAATGTGATCTCAGCTATGACGAAGTAAGTTAGCATTGTCTATATGGCCTTCTGACGCAGCTCTGTTGGTTTGGGCGGGAATGGCATTAGCTCCGCCAATGATAAATCCAATGGGTTTCCGGCATCGAAGTGGAATAAAACCCATCTCCTTGCAGACCTTCCAGAACCAACTCGATGGCTGCCTTGTCCAGTAAGCCCCACTGAACCTCGCACGAGAACATCCTTCTCCCTGGAGACTGAGCACTGCCGCGGTGCCAAAACCCCGAGAAGGATGGTGGATCTCAGCCTCCACTGTGGCAAATGGCCAACCCTGAGTGTGGACAGGACCCAGGGATTTGATGTGGCTGCTTCCCACTCTCGAAGGAATAGTGACAGACGGGCCGCCTACAGGGACGCTTGGCATAATGTAATGCACCCCACACTCGCAAGTCTCCGCTTGCTTGTGCGGGGGGCAGTAAGGGCACGGGGGAGAGACTCTATGGGAAGCTGCGGCGCAAGCACGGGTGACGACAAGTCGTCACCACTAGAGTCCTGGTCCACTAACTGCCCCTGCAAAGCTGAAAGATAGGCAGAGTGGACAGTCACGCCGGCTTGACTGTGCCGCGACATCTGCAGACCTCCTTGAAGGAACGGTATGCAGACTTAAGCTGCGGGGCATTGGCCTGAAAAGCGAGGAAGCCACCTGCCTTGCATGGCCGGGCCAGGGAGGAAGAAGGGCGACCAACCAAGTGTGACGGGAGGCGCATTTGCGCACTGGCCCACCCCTGGATGCTCCAATAGGGCCTCCTCCACTAACTGGTACCATTTGCCAACGTCCCGCAGATCGAGAATCAGTCAGAAGAGGGTTGACTACATAGCTTACCTCGATGGCCGGGGAGCGAACCCGATCGGTGGCCTGTACAGGTACAGTCACCTGGGCAGCACCTCCGCGAAAACCCTCACTTAACTTGCCGCAGGGACGCACTCCGAGCGAGGAGTGCGTGGACCCGACTTCTGACTCCTCTCTCCCTCATCCTCCTCCATGTCAACATCTTCACACTCCCCAGCAACTGGACTCTCATAACAGAGAGATGTCGCCGAGCGCTACTGAAGTCGAACAATTTAAGGGCTCAGAAGATCGAGTGGAGCCAAAAAGGTTCAAGTCAGCCCGCCCCTGGTGTAGCCCAGGTCGGGGCACCGAGGCACCAGGGAAGAACCTGCCCCTACAGGATTCCCTGGCAGCCCAGACTAGTCCAAAGCTAGGTCGACGCGAGACGCCCCAGACAAACTATCACCAGAGCCCAAGCTCGGATCAAGTTGCCCAGGGGGAGCAGCGTTCCCCGAGCCTGAACTCAGGCCGCATCCAACCCCCTTAGACGCGTCCGATCCGCCCCTGATGACAGGTGAACTCCTTACGGAACCCAGAAAACGCCGTGTCTATCAAAGACTTCACGGACTACATCTGTTCCAGAAATAAACTTGACAACGCATCAAAGGTTACTATGGGAGGTGCAGGGGAGGCTGAGACAGGGGCAGGAGAAGACCCCTTGCCTACCTTGGCTTTTTAAGAAGCCCACTACGAAGAGGAGGCCCTGGAAGGCACCTTCGTTTTATGCGAGCGTTGGACGGGGGATCCTCAGCCCAGATATCACCCCCTACTTGAATGATATTACTGTAAAACAGTATATCCGCCCACCTAGACTTAACAGTCTTAGGCATAAAACAGGCACAAGCAGGGCAGCCTTGCTCTTCATGACTGCCCTCTGCTTAACATCTCAAACACAGATCGTGCGTATCCTTGACAGGGATGGACGATTGACACGTAGCGCAGGTTTTATGCTGCAAAAAGTGAAAAACGACCTTATGGCGTGCCCCATATATAAACAATACACAAAACCATGCATGGGCGAAACAAGCAACTAATGCTAAACATTATATAACTAACACACTCATGAAAGATAATGTAAGAACCCACATGAATAACAGCAGATAATAACAGGCTGCAACCAAGGCAACATGACTATAAAATACAACTATTAGCGTATATATAAAAAATGCTAGCAGCGGAAAAACACCCTAACCTGCTAAACGTAAACGCAATAACACGCAAACGTACACATAAATACCCTATAACCACACTAAACATTGAGAACCCTAATGGAAGGCAATGAAAAGTGAGCATAGCGAAGGTTCCAGTCCGCAATCTTGACAAACACATGGCAAGCTGACGGGGACAGGAACAAAAGATGAATGAAAATATTCAGAAACAATCTCTAAATCGCCCATGCGGGGAAATAAAGAGAACCATGCATACAGTAGTTGTTTCCAAACCACTCATTATGAAGGGAATTCAACTCAACTCTTGTTGAAGGACACATAGAACGATAGAACGACAGCATGGAAAGTGAGGTACGAGGCTACAGTCTAGAGTTACATTGTTTTGGCTGTAGGGGCCTCACAAGACAAAACGCAGTTTTTGTTTTGTAAATATTTTATTCAAATATTGTTACAACTGTCGTAGGGATTTTAAATGGACATTTAAATTCTTACCCCAAGGAGAAATATATGAAAAGAATTTTATATTGCAATAACAGCCTGCGACTTTAGACACTAGCCTGAAGCCTGCTAGTTTGATCATGTAAGAGTACCAAACAACTGGACATGTGATAACACTTAAATTTACTAAAAGTGATGTGATAAGCAATGCGTGAGTTGTAGATTTATACAGTTTCGGCACAGACGGCCATATTGTTTATTAAAACAATGGTAACAATAATTTTATTCTAATCTTGGAATTTTTACTGACATATGACTTCGGCCATTATTCAGCCTCTGGGCAGGTCCAGATAACTTTCTGGAGAGGGACTGGTTAATGCACAATACGAGCAGGTGACTGAAAGCAATGATCTATCTTACTTGGACATGATGGTATGCATCGAACTTAACCAAATGTAGTACTTGACATAACAACTTGTACAACTGAATCAAGGATGATAAACAGGTTAAAGGCTGGGGACATCCTGTTTTTTCAGCATGGCAATAGTTTTCTTTACATGAAACATTGTTCAACAAATCCAATAAATCTACTTACCCTCTTGTACTCCATGAATATTTTCTCCACCTTGCCAAACTTTGAGAAATATGTTCTGAGTTCGTCCTCAGTGGTTTCATCACTGAATCCCTTTGTAAAGACAGTGAGGCTGGCTTGTTTTTGCCGCTGTTTGCTGGCCTCGATCACCCGCATGTGGCGCTTCCCCTTCACGTGGTCCTTCATGGCCTCCTCTACACAGTCACAGTCATTCTTTTACATGTATTGCCCACAGTTGTCCGTTGCTTATATCATCTGTTGATTTCCAGCTTTATCCAAAATGTATGTGTACTAGTGTTGGGAATTGGTTAAAATCTCATAATTGATGATTGGTTCATTACAACCGATCAATCATCGAAAAAATTGGTTAGCGTCATTAATTAAATTTGTTAATGCACATAAAAATAAGGAAAAACCACGTAGTTCTTTTGGATTTTTTTGGGCAAAATTTCACATCTTTAAAGGATGACTAGTATGTTAGGAACATAAATTTCTTGGAGTCATTAAGATAAATTCAATCATGACTTGAAACGAGCTTGTAGTGCTTATGAAATGTAACAGACAAAACCAACCTTGTGAAAAATATTGTTAATGAAAACAAGTGTTCCAGAATTGTTTGTGTTCGATTATGAGGAAACATGATCGATTGCTTGGTCGTTTAGTCACTGCGACCAAATCATTTTTAAAAATCTACTGCAATCATGTTTAAAATAGCCATAGATGTGTAAGGACCTGTGCAATACTTTGTAAATTTTGGTTCACAGACTGTGAAGAAACTAACTAAATAAGTCCAACTAAACCAGTAACAGCAGCAGTACTACTAGAAAAATATGTTTATCATTGTTTGTTTATTATCCTTATTGGTGCAAATGGTCCTTGAAATTTGTACAATCTTGGTCAATGTTTCTTCTTTATTTCTAAGTTTATCACCATGATCATACAGTTGTAATCATTAATCCTGTTGTCAGCAAACAGAAAAAAACTTCTGACCTACCTGAAGGAACAGTCACCATACAGTATTCACACTGAAGCACCATGTCTCCTGGCTTCAGAAATATATAATCTGAAACATACGAAACATAGTAATCACCTTTTACCATTATGATCAGCTTGTGAGATATGTTGTAGGGGTATGTTTTTCATTTACATATTGAGAAAGTAGATACTTTTAGGTAAAATGTTTTATCATTTTAGTAACAACATACAACCAAATATAATTCTTCTGTTGTCATGCAATCTTAAATGTGGTTGATAATAATAAGAAACTGAGAATGTACATAGTAACATACGAATTTGCTTAATGAATTGTACCCACATGGCGAAATGAACCCCGACCCTCTGTGTGATGAGCCACTGTTCATACAACGACAGGCTACCCCAGGGCAACATGTGTTACACATTTGACCACTTTCTAAATGGCATTGTGAATTCATACCCCAGGGTTGGTTGACACGTGTCATCAGTTCCCAATTGCGCAGATCGATGCTCATGTTGTTGATCACTGTATAGTCTGGTCCAGACTCGATTATGTACAGACCGCCGCCATATAACTGGAATATTGCTGAGTGCGGCGTAACACTAAACTCACTCACTCACTCATACCCCAGGGCAGCTTAGAAACACTTGTTGTAGACCGTGATACTCCACACTGTCAGCTTGACAGCAAATTGCAGGAGATAAGCAAAGAGTGGTGCACATCATTGGAGTCGATTACTGTGGTAAAACCTAAGAGCATGATGAGTTGAATAATGTTGACATGCCAGGCATCATGAGGTAAATCTAAACAAATTTGTCGAAAGCAATCCCAGCATTGATTTTTAGCATAGTTTTATCACCCAGATCCACTGGCACCCATCAACACAGATTTCACTGATAATTACATTGGATTACTTCTTAAAATATAGGGGGCGGTGGGGTAGCCTAGTGGTTAAAGCGTTGGCTCGTCACGCCGAAGACCCGGGTTCGAATCCCCACATGGGTAAAATGTGTGAAGCCCATTTCTGGTGTCCCCCGCCGTGATGTTGCTGGAATATTGCTAAAAGCGGCGTAAAACCAAACTCAGTCAGTCAGTCAGTCTTAAAATATATAGCTAACCCATACCCAAATTCACCACTAACTCTGAGGATCAAACATAGGTACCTTGTGCTAGAGATTGTACAGGGGTGTTTGACTGACAAGTGATACCAAACCCCGAGGAAAAGATGTTTCATCTGAAAACGTAACTTAAGCCTAAAGACTGCTTAGGGATGCTTCATCAGAAAGGGGATCTAAAGACTCAGGATAGAGATGGAGGTAACCCTAATTTTAACATATCAAACGCTAAAGATAAGAGTCATGTTGGATCTGAGAAGCAAGAACCAGCAAGCCAGCGCCAATTAGCACAATAAGTGCAGTAAGCATGATAAGCTGTACCTGGTAAACTGCAACATATGTTATATTTGGGATTACACTTTGGGAGTACAAGTACAGATTTTAGTACCTTTGGGAAAAGTGTAATCCCAAATATAACATGTGTTACATCTGACCACTTCCTAAATGGCATTGTGTATTCATAGCTTTTGGGCATGTGATGATGCCAATTTACATGGCAGATGTGTTAGATAACTAACTTTGTGAGGGTGATAAGGTGACAGATTCTGAGAATGTGGGTCCTGACATGCTGAATGGGACTCAACCCAAAAAGGTTCAATAATCTGTGTTTTACACTGCTGACGGGATCGTTGTTGACACAGGTACTAAATATGTGTACCCCAGGTACATTTCTGTATACAGAAACGTACCCTAGACAAAATCTGAATTCAGTAATGTACCCCAGGACAAGTCCATTCAGCTTTGTGCCATTTTCTTGTTTGGGACCATCATAATGTTATATTAGATCCATTTGATTATGTTATATAAGAAATGAGCATACACAATAAGAAAATTTTGCGATGCACAATACATGGGGTGAAACGGTACACCGCGGTATTAGTAAAACAGCAGTATGTTGCCTTCGGTTCTGTATACCATAATGCCATCCAAAAATTCAATATTTTTGGTTTTCGTACCGTCACTTCTATCGAGCCATAAAATGACAGTTTTGTTCACTCAAAGTAACAAAGATTATGGTTATTTTTTCCCATGTTATTAAACAATGTAAGGTTTGGCTCTTGTTGTCAATTTTCTGCATTATGATCATATCTCATATACCGAACTGAAATGGACCAAACTGAAGGCTGTGAAGTTGTGCAATATGTGCCATTCCGTGGTAAGAGCATACCGTTTCACCCCTACATAATACCACTCGCAATCTGTTGAACAGGAACAACTAAATACGGTTTTGGTTTTTGGTTGTGTTTAGATATGTTTCTATATTTTGAATTTGTTCTGGGTACATTTCTGTATACAGAAAGGTACATCTGTAGAACCTTTGCCAACAACGACCCCTTCAGCCTTAATACTGAGAAAGTGTAATCCCAAATACAACAAATGTTTCATTTGATCACTTAGAAAATGGCATTGTGTATTCATGGTAAACTGCAGCATTGATACATTCAGTATATATTGGTTTACCCATTCCTGCTATAACACTATAGGTTTGGCTATAGTAGCATCCATCCAAACTAGCTAATAAATACATTCATAATGGTTAACACAGCGACTTCAGAAAAATAGGAGAGTTATCCTGGAGAGTGCAGTTGTTTCCATGGACTGCCTGGGGCCTTTCTAGTGTCAAAAGTTTAACTAAGGACAGACACAACAGATGCATGTATAATATGAATCTTGATCCACCGACAAACCATGAATACAGTGGGTGCATAGCTCCTGTTAACTCGTGAATAGTCTTTTCCTGTAACACAACGGCTATGTCAAAGTGTACTAGGTGTGCGTTTGGAATCTGTGAAACATACCTTGTGCAAATAAACGTTCGACCATATGAGAAGAACAGGGTCAGAAAAGCGGAAAGTCTCTCAGCTCCACGTCGGAGTTACGTCCCTTTCTGATAAGCTCCTCATATCATATATTCCTGTGTGGAGCTTTTGAACGGATCATTTAACCAGGCATTAACAGAAGAAAGTGTAATCGCAGATGACAAAAACGCGTGGTACAACCATTGCTGTGGAATAAATATGTCGTGCTTTTCCTGTATTTTATATCAAGATATTTTAAGGTTATTCACAGTACCAAATGCAGTAAAAACCCGTACATATGGCCAATGCAAGCATTGCATACATTTTCCGGATGTTAAAAGTTACAAATATGGCGACTTGTCTGCCAAACATGCTTAGACGGCATGTCCTAAGACGTTATCCAATGTCATTAGGCATTGAATGGCCATGCATCTGTTCTCACAGACCCAGTACACGAAACTACGGATCAAGACCAGGGGGCTCAAACAGAACAGGTAGAGCACTCGATATGATTTCCCTACAGTTATTTGTTCGAACTGTCAGTCATGTTGAGCCAGTAAAACCAGGACTTATGCCATGACCATGTACGGTGACGCTATGTAACTCTTGTGCAGAGAGGTTTGAAATACGTCACTAGGGATATACCTGTTGGCCCTACCTGTTGTGTATATATACACCCAATATACTATATAGTACTTGAGGCTGTTGTCCTAACAAAATATCTTGTCACATGTTCTTTGAGCGTTGTTACTTAACCTCATCTGCATCACTCCCTCCTGTGAGGCAAGATGAGACAGAATTCAATAGATGACACAGGTTTCAGGGGTTGACGAAATCTAAACCACAAATTTGTTAACAAAACAATTGCAGGTTTGATTGGCTGTGGTTACCATTGCTTAATTAACCATGCTAGACTATCCCTCTGAAGAATGATGACAGTTTATATGGATATACAACTTCTTTTATTCTGTGAAAGGCAATGTTTTTTCGACATAGATTCTAATGTTGTTGTCATCACTTGCTTGACAACGACATTAGAATCCATCGAAACGTCGCCTTTCACTAAATAAAAGAAGTTGTATATCCATAAAAATTGTCATCATTCTTCATCAACTCAACTTCTAAAATGCCCTTCAAAGAAGAAATATCTCTCTGAACATCATGATGTATTCAAATGCAGGCATTGAATTCTGAGTATAATGTCCCAATTTATTCAAACTGAGCTCTCTTTGATGGGAGTTCTGCATGTTACTAGGTATACTATTTTTGGATTTCAGTTGGCGCTGCCAGGATGCTCAAACTTGTGTTGACATCTGAAAAACTGGGCAAATGAATCCAACACTTTACCATAGGACCACATGCTCAATCACAAACCACTAACTATGGCTCATGATCAGCACTACCTCCTATCTGTTCACTACCACTATCAGCACCAGATTGTTTACCTTGATACACATGCATGATTCACTGCAGTACTACTACCATTTTTTGTGGTGGGTGAGTGGGTTAGATCACTGACTTTGTGTACTGGCAATTAATTGCCCCACTCTGATAGTGTGGGTTTGAATCCTGGATGGATCTCAACTCCAAAAGTATATGACAAAATTTCTCATTTTGAGGCTTTGGTAATGTTTAGCAATCAGGGTTTGCAGTGTTATCCCTGATGTTTGAATGTCACACTTTTAAGATGCCACGCTGCTCATATGGACATCTGTCCATGTCTAATGCCTGTCACCACGGTCACTGTATTGTCTGGTTCAGTTACTTACAGGTCTCTGTGATAATGCCAGAATATTACTGCGAGCATTGTTACGTGTCATATGTCTGGCAGTTGGGTTGTAATGTGACTAAACTTGCTATATGTATTGGATGGTGATGCCTGTTGGCTTGGTTGACAGCATGTCAGTCTCAGTTGCATGGTTCTGTGTTCACCACTGGCTTACAGACAGCTGTCATACAACTGGAATATTGCAGAGTGCAGCGTTAGACAACAAACAAAAACAAAACAACAACAACAACAACAACAACAACAAAAAAGACCACTGAGATGGGATGCCACCCAAAAGCTGAAACATGTGTTGCTAATGTTCTGTCTATGCTTTGTACTTTGTTGTAGATGAGAGCGTGGGAAGATATCATGAAGGGAGGAACTCTATGAGTACATATGAGAGTGTTGTGGAAGGAATGAGGGAGGTGGCACATCGCACTGTGGTGGTGCAGGGAGTGGACGAGGACCAGGTGGGTCGGCACCTGCAACAGTATGGCATGATAGAGTCGGCCGTGCAGTTCCATCGGGCACGAAAGGTAATACTATGAAAATATATTGTTATATTTTAGGGAGGTCACCACTGAAAAATATGTTTAATTGTCCTATACCCTCTTGTAATATGAGGGGCGGTGGGTTAGCCTAGTGGGTATAGCGTTCGCTCGTCACTCTGAAGGCCCGGGTTCGATCACCTACATGGGTAAAATGTGTGAAGCCCATTTCTGGTGTCCCCCGCCATGATATTGTTGGAATATTGCTAAAAGCGGCGTAAAATCAAACTTATTCACTCACTCACTCACTCTTGTAATATGAACATAGTTGCACTTAGTTACCGGTATGCAATATTGGCCTGTGGCACACACTAAAAAAGGAATAAAAGACTGATTCTGAAGATACTTTTAGATATTTTCCTATAGTATGTAAAATTTGAACATTTATTCACTGACATTGCTATAGATTTGCCAGTTCCCTGATCCAATCCCCATGACAACATAAGCTTTTTTATCCTAGTCTTTCTTCATGGTGGAGTATAAAGAGAGGACGTCAGTGGCCAACCTGATGGTGGACACAGGCTTTTCATTTGGGGAATTCCCAGTCAAATCTAGAGTGATGTTCCTAAACCAACACAGTATTAAAAAAAGACGAGCACCCAAAGAAGATATTACCTCCCATGAACATGTGCTTTCAAGTTTGAAGGAGTGCAAGTCAGTAAGTAGAAGTGTGTCATGTCCACTACCTACCTGTATATAACAAGGTATATAATTGTGTATACCTGTATGCCTTATATCGAGGTATATTCCAGGTGCCTGACTTGATTCTTAATCTGTGTGCCTTAGAAGCAACAGACGGTGCTTGCTGTAGACTGATGTTGCTGCACAGAATATATGTATAGGATTTTGGTCAACCTCCTTGTCTGAAGTTTGTCATGATAAGCAGTTGTGGATGTTTGTTGTTTGATATTGAACGATATTCCAGCTGTATGATAGTTGCCTATAAAAAACATGATAAAAGATTAAGTGTGACCAGAGATTTCAGTTATCAACATTCAGAGCATGGCTGCATGGTGTCAGCTAAGACAAGAGGACACAGTTTCAACTTTCAGCCATTGTCTTACCTCAAATGAACAAAAAAAGGTTTGCTGGAGACCAATATTCTGACCATTGGAATCACCACTGTTTGCGGAAGGATGTATTCTGGCAGTTATGTTGAAGTTACTTCCTACATTGTTCTTGTGGAATGTGCTGATTGCAAACTCAGGATTGTTGAGAATATCCATTCAAGGATATTGGGTCCTAGTGTCATTTGATGTCAGAGTACCACTGGTAGTCATGGTAACAATAGTCTAATGCAGATTTACTGATATTTCGTAAACCTTGTTGCCTTGGTTACCTGGAGACAAAACATTTCTTCTCATAGTATTTTGTGACTCCTAAATCTTAAACTTTCAACATTATGAATACATCAAGGAATCTAATCATCATTCTTAATTCAAACACGGGTAAGCATGATGTTCCCTTTACTAATCCTGTACAATATCCAATTTACTGTCATTGGTTATCGTCTGTTCCAGATTTCTGATCAAATGGATACCCTCCATCGATGCAAGCGTCTTACACAGCGAGAGAAACGCCTGCGGTTCTTCATTGCATCAGCCATAGAAGAAGCCTTGTCAGGCATACTTCCACACTGCCAAATAAAGCCGTTTGGGTCATGTGTTAACGGCTTTGGCTGGACAGACTGTGATCTGGACTTCACTTGTGATATTTTCCCCCCAGATACTGTAAGTTGCTATGGTAACTGTTACATTGAACAGATGTATGTATCTTCATCAATACTTGTTGCAGTTTCAGTTTTTGTATTAAACTAAGATTTTGATGGGGGATCGAGAACAAACGGGTGTAAAGACAGATCATTTTGTACTGGGGATGAAATGTACTATGAGGTTGGATTACCATTGTCAGCGTTAAGATAGTACGTGTTCCAGTTCCACAGTCTGGTCAATTATCACAGCCCCCACTCCTGATCCAACCAGCCCTCTCTTGTCTGTTTAACAGAGTACAACACCATCAAGATTGAGTGGGTTTCTCTGTTAGTAAAACAGGTTTGGTCTCAGACTGAGGATGTTGTACATGATTGATTGATGTTTGGCTGCTGCTCCTTTTCATGTAAATCTGTGTAGTTGTAAATCATTGTACCCAATTGTAGTTCTACCCTCCATCTAAATCATTGTACCCATTAGTTCTAAATCATTGTAAATCATTGTACCCAATTGTAGTTCTACCCTCCATCTATACAGTAAATCGATTGTAGTTCTACCCTCCATCTATACATCATTGTAAATCATTGTAGGTAAATTGTAGTTCTACCCTCCATCTTGTACCCCCAATTGTAGTTCTACCCTCCATCTATACAGTAAATCATTGTGTACCCTCCATCTATACAGACCCTGTAGTTCTACCCTCCATCTATACAGTAAATCATTGTACCCAATTGTAGTTCTACCCTCCATCTATACAGTAAATCATTGTACCCGATTGTAGTTCTACCCTCCATCTATACAGTAAACCCGATTGTAGTTCTACCCTCCATCTATGTAGTTCTACCCTCCATCTATACAGTAAATTGTAGTTCTACCCTCCCAGTAAATCATTGTACCCGATTGTAACCCTCCATCTATTGTCTACCTCCATCTGTACAGTAAATCATTGTACCCAGTTCTCTCCATCTATACAGTAAATCATTGTACCCGATTGTAGTTCTACCCTCCATCTATACAGTAAATCATTGTACCCGATTGTAGTTCTACCCTCCATCTATACAGTAAATCATTGTACCCGATTGTAGTTCTACCCTCCATGTATACAGTAAATCATTGTACCCATCTATTGTAGTTCTACCCTTGTAGTTCTCCACAGTACATCATTGTACCCGTTTGTAGTTCTTCCCTCCATGTATACAGTAAATCAGCCGACTGTTGTTTATGTTTTGAAGTCCAAGGATATTATTTCAATTTTTGATGAGGGGCGGTGGGGTAGCCTAGTGTTTAAGGCATGCCAGGTTTGATTCCCCCCATGGGCACAATGTGTGAAGCCCATTTCTGGTGTCCCCTGCTGTGATATTGCTGGAATATTGCTTAAAGCGACGGAAAACTAAACTCACTCATTCTTGAGGAATTGTCCAAGAGAGAGCTCAACTTGATTCCGTAATTCATAGTGATTTTATCATTGTATTTATACAGCAACTGGGAAGAACAGACATGAAGTTCATCTCAACGAAGCAGCAGTACGCCAGGTTATCAGAAGATCAGAGAAACCGGAGACTGTTGGAAAACCTGAGCCAGACACTGAAGAGTTACGTGCCCTTGTGTTCGGACTTCCAGAACATACTGAAGGCTCGGGTGCCAATAGTCCGGTTCAGGCACGAACTTGCAGGTGTTAGATGTGATCTCAGCTACCATGACAAGTAAGTTAACATTATCTATATGGCCTTCCTGACACCAACTCTGTTTCTTCCAAACTCTAGTTTCCGTTTGGATCTGTATTACATACCCAGTCTAAACTTCAATTTTTTGTTGTTAAAACCATAGGCCATATGGTCTCTGTTAAAACAAGCAATGCATCAATGTTGTTCCTGGTAGGTGACCTCATGGGCATGTTTATCAGATCATCATGCCATGTTTATCAGATCATCACGCCATGTTTATCCGATTGGTTTTCGGCAGAGATAACATTATCCATAATGTCATCCAATGGGTTTCAGCATCACACACAAGTTATCGGAGCTGATGTTTGTGTACGGATGCTACAACCCCGATGTGTACCCACTGATGAGTGTTGTGAAGCAGTGGGCGCGGGACAAGCTGATCACGCGGCCCATGCCGGGTCGGTACGCCACCAACTTCATCCTGCTGGCCATGGTGGTGTACTACATGCAGACGCAGGGACTGCTGCCGACTGTCGGCGCCATGCAGACCATGGCAGGTGGGTACAACTGATGGATTCAGATCAACACTCCATGTCAGCAACAAGCATTTAGATAATCTGCCCCAATAACAATAACATGCTTCGGCAATTTCTGAATGTACAGTAAAGTTAAGTGCATTGAAATATGTCATGGCAAGTTTGTGCTACTGATGGATTCAAGTCTTACCAATGCATCAAAAACATGCACTCTGCTCCAATATGTGACCTGCACGTAATGAAAACAAGTTTTCATGACTGTTTCTTTATTGTTACACATTGCTTTGTGTCTGAGTTGCTTCCCTTTGTTGTACAGGGATATTGTGGTTATCATCTGCAACCTGCATTGTTTTTGCCTTCATTTCCTCATGAAGTGTACTTGGTGTTAACAAAAATAATCTGTTCCAGTGTAATATTCAATCACTTAAAACATAAATGGTTTGCGGTCATGTTTTTCCTAAGTGCAAAGTGTCCACACTACTCCCTACTTGCCACAGCTCACTAACCTGTTGTCACTCAGACAGAGAAAACAAACACACACACACACACGACGCACGCGCGTGCGACGCTGCACACACACACACACACACACACACACACACACACACACACACACACACACACACACACACGCACATATGCACATTCTGTTTGTCAGTCTTTTGCATCAATCTTTCAGATACCAGCAGTGAATTTTTAAATGGCAGAGAAAGTTTCTACTTTGTGCGAGATCTGGACAGTCTTCCCAAAGCCACAAACACAAGAAGTCTGGGTGAGTTGATGATAAGGAGTGGTTGTGAACTGCTGCCGATGACAGCAATAACTCACCATTTGTCTTCTTTCCATCAAAGATTTGTGACAAATTTGCATAGCTTAAGGGACCGTTCATAATTTATGTGTGTGTGTGTCCAACAATTTTGTACATAAAAATATTGTAAAATTATAGGAAGGGGGAAGGGGTTCATTGATTTTGTACGTAAATTTTACAATATCTTTCAGAGTGTTATAATTTGCAGTGCCCTGAGGTTCACCATTAACTTCCTGACAAAGGAGGGCAGTTGACCAGAAACGTGCCTTGAAATACATCATCACAGTTATGATAGCTAGTATGGACAGAATTTGTATCTAGTTCTACAATGAACAAAACAACAAACACCAGTAAAAGTTTGTAGCTGCAGTATAAACCTCACAACATCATAGAACATAATCTAAGGTGTCGTCACAAACAAGAAAGGTCACTGTGGGGCCAGCAACATCCTATAACAATAGAAAAAATAGCAGAAAAGTTAGGGAAAGGTGGGCATCCTTCAAGTTACAGGAGCCAGCAGATTTCTGATAACATGCAGGATTTGTGTGATAATCCTATCCATTTTTCTATCAATATGTTGAGAATGATCACTGTAAAATCATTGAAATGGTGTTACTGATTCTGGTTGTGCCCAACAATGTATTTGAAGTCACACTGTACGGTCACTTTTTGTTTTTCAGAGGAATTGCTTTATGGTTTCTTCTCGTTTTACACTAAGTTCAACTTCCGACATCGCAGAATATCTCTTATAACGGGCACTGATTTCGACAAGACAACTGACAGTGCCATGCAGGTAGAGAACCCTCTAGACATCACCCTCAACGTCAGTCGAAGCATGGCACCAACAGAGGTCATCAACCTACAGAGTGAAATGCTCAATGCATTGAGAACATTGGACACTCACAGAAAGGCTGACAGTTTAGAGGACTGGGGAATTATGTGTTTATTTTCTAAAGAGGATTCTACTCAGTCAACAACTGTACATACATCCTCTCTCTTAGACTCTTTACAGAAGCAGACGCATGACTTTCCCAAAACTGACACAGACGTCTTCCTCATTCCTCAGGTGACCACGAGGGGAGTGTGAAGTGTTCCGTCAGTCACACACTGCATGTTGCTTTGTACTGTATCCTGGGTTAACTGTATAGAGTATCATGTATGAGGTACTCTCGAAATGCCTGTCCACACTCGTCGGTCAGTCTGTTGACTACCATCTGTTTGGTTGTTGTAGTCTGAAATGGACATCTTTCTGTGAACTATTTGTGTATGAAATCATTAGTGATCATGGTAAATTCTGAGTACTTAACAGTTGAATATGGAAATTCTATTTATTCAGATCTGAGCACAAACATAAGTTAGGAGAAGACATTGACTGGCTGTTGTTCAAACTGTTGTCATTCATCCAAGTTCGGTTGTGTGCATGTTGATGACTCTGAGCCAAGTCTTCATGATACAGGTGACAATACTGTACAAAACTCTTCCAGATGATACAGCCTGGATAATTATCACATAAAGAGGATTTGACAATCTCTTCATGCATAGTGTGCAGTGGAAGTGACCGTGGATGGCATAGTGGGTATCATAGTCAGTGTGGATAATATTACCAAAGCCTATGGACGGTGGTTTAATGCTTATATTGAACAGCAGGATCAGTCATTTCCAAGGACAACAGTACCTTGTTTTTTATGTTGGACAAAACAACATTTCAGTTATGATGACATTGCAGAGATGAAATAATCATAGTAAGGCCAGACCAATTTTTTTCTTGTTTTACTTTCCACTGGTCGTATTTTTTCAAGAATAAGAAAAAATTAAAAAATAATTTTCTCTTCTCAAAAGATAAAATCCTGATGTTTTATTGGTCCAAAATGTAAACTTAAAAGAAAATATTTTTAAGATTGTTTTTTACCCCATATACACTTCATTAATTGCCTAAAGTAAAATACTTTTAGTATTTAGAAGGAATATTACTTAGACTGGTGATTTTATTATTATTTTCTTTCCCTTCTGCCTTTAGGTTTTCTGAAGACAAATATCTGTAAAACAAAAATTAAAATTGGTCTGGCCTAACCTACGGTAAGAAAAATACACTTTGTTCCTGATTCAATCTCCTGTAAACATTTCATATATATCCATGATATTGACTGGTCTGTTTCTGGAGGTGGTATTTGCTAACACTGTTTTGTCAAAAAGGCATATTTAGTGCTATTTTAATACTTTCTGGGGCATTGCTGTGAAAGATGTTCATGTTTAATACGAATGTAACAGACATTACAATTTGAAATATATTGCAATGCTTGGCTCTTCCATCTTTGAAGGATACAAGGAGTAGAGTGCCAGTATGTATAACCTAAGACTCAGCTGCACATAGAAGAAACCATACGTTTTTTTAAGTGAGTCAAATTCAAGATCAAATGCCGCCATATCGCTGGAATTTTGCTGTGTACGGCGTATAACTAAACTCACTCACTCACTAAAGATCAAATGCTTCACCGTTGAGCCAAATTTCTAAAATCAAGGGCCGAAATTTTACGACGTTTCTGTGACTTGATCGAGTTAAATGGTGAAGGGAGGTTACTCGTGTTGTCTTCAGTCCGCGTCGTTTCCACAGAAAGGAACCGGTGGGCTGAAGTGATTCCAATCCGACCGACAACTTGCAACTGATCATATGTGTAAATGTTTACAAAAGAGTAATGGATAAGAAAGTTGACATTTTGAATGCTCACCCTATTTGGCTGATGAAAGCCGTAGTATCGCAGATCGATGCTCTTAATGATAATCGCTGGTAATCTAATCGAGTAAATCTAATATCGAGTAATCAGTTTCCTGTAATATTATATATACACCATTAATGTTAAGCATTGAATCTACTCAGCAAATACCATATACGATTATATAGGCGCCCCATATACCACGCTAAAAGACCCCCGAACCACAAAAAGGACCGCCTCAGTGGTGTAGTGGTTAGAGCGTCCGCCCGGAGTGTGGAAGGTCACGGGTTCGATCCCCGACCGCGTCATACCAAAATACGTTAAAATATGGTACTTGTTGGTCCCTGCCTGGCGCTCGGCATTAATTGGTACAACAAGGACTGGTCGGCTCGGAGTCAGTGTAATGTGTCTGAGTGGGGTATTCATGTTTCACTGCGGCATGGTGTCTCAGTGGGCTAGCACTCTAAATCCAGCTTAAGTCTGAGCTAGTACAAGCAGCCGCACATACACATACACACGCATGCACGTCGTCATATGAGCGAAATATTCTCAAGCACGACGTTAAACCCAATTCCACCACCACCACCCGAACCACAAAGGGTTTGACAGCTTCATCCAAGTATTCAGCTCGAGACTTACTTTTGCTTTTGTTGGGGTTTTTCCCCAGAGAATATACGGTTTATGCACGAGCTGCGCAGAATAATTTAGGTATTTAATACGTGCTTTTTGGCATTTCTTTTCCATTTTTTCTGCCCTGTATCTGAGCACCGGTCATGTCAGTGGTACATGGTATAACTGCTTCAAGTCCTGTGTTAGGGCAGCCCTTGCATCGACTGCTGCCAGTCACTTCAGAGTTCAAACGCGAGGCTCAGTCAGATGCATATACAGTATATATGGGCAGTATATATATCATATTCTCAATAGTAATATATGTATTTCAAGTTAGTGATCAACACATGTCAGTTAAATCTGCTGATGGACAAACTATTAGGTTCGATAATATGTTGTCATAGCGCTTTGGACACCTATTTAACGAAAACACAAGCATATAGATCCACAAGAGCCAATGATTGTTGTCAGAGACGACTAAAAAAAATTCGCGGTGACTTGGTATCCCAGTTGCGTGGTTTGGTGCTCATGATGTCAATCCCTGGTTTTCTGGCATATTGCTGAGTTCAGCGTTAACAAGAAATAGGCTTTTAAACAATCAACCAACACTCCCAGTTATGTATAGCTAATATGAAGATCGACATACTTAACATTATTTAATGGGTGGTGGTTGTAGCTGGATACAAATAATCCGACTGTTGTACTGACGTCTTTGAGACCCGTGAAGATCCGGGGTAGAATAGGTCTTCAGCAACCCATGCTTGCCACAAACTGCGACTATGCTTGTCGTAAGAGGCGACTAACGGGATCGGCTGACTTGGTTGACGCATGTCATCGGCTCCGAATTGCGCAGATCGATGCTCATGCTGTTGATCAATGGATTGTCTGGACCAGACTCGATTATTTACAGACCGCCGCCATATAGCTGGAATATTGCTGAGTGCGGCGTAACACTTTAACTCACTCACTCACTAACAGACGTCTTTGAAGGTCTGACTGATGTATGTTTATGCTGAAGTACATAATAGACGACTTTACATGAACAGAATAAATACCAGCGAGTCATAGGCGCTTGACTCTGATATGTTTATAAGTATGACCTATATATATATATATAAGCGCCCATGCAGCGAGTATAGAATCGGACGCTTCAGCATGAGATTGGATGAAACACGAAGTGATGAATGTCTTTGGCGTCCACTAATTTGAGGAAAATCATTTACAAACCTATATTCAGGTCGAACCGGGATTCCAACCCACGATCACAGACTTGTGACAGTGTCCCATTTCTGTATGTAGAACTTCGGTGCCATAGACGTTTCGGCCTTGCGTGCCCCCTCGCCTCTGCCTAAGGATCAAAGTAGAGTCAACGAGATTATCTTTCCCGGCCGGTGAAATACCGTAAGCACCGTTACTTGGCATTCATTCACGAATGACACATAATCCTCAATCCGTTTGGTGAGTAGTTTATTCCATATGTAACACACTGTAATGAGGTAAATATAATTGTGTAAAACGAAATTAAGAAGAAGAAGAAATTAGAAAATCTATATATGATCTTAAATCAAATAAATCACCAGGCACTGACGGGATACCCCCCGAACTGTACAAACTATCATGTAATATTTTAATTCCATATGTGAGGATGCTATTCAACAAGATTTTGGACAAAGGTCTGTTTCCTACAAACTGGAATATCGGCGTTATTATACCACTGTTTAAATCTGGATCCAAGAAAGAACCATCGAATTGTAGAGGAATATCAATGCTAAATTCAATGGGAAAACTTTTTATTTCAATTAAAGAGAAAAGATTAAGGACGTGGGTTGAGTTAAACGAAATATTATCCGAAAGTCAAGCTGGTTTCCGCCCTCAATATTCAACTACTCACCATATTTTTACTCTTCAGGCTTTGTGTTCGAAATATTTGTGCAAACCCAAAGGTCGTTTCTACTGTGGTTTCGTTGACTTTAAAAAGGCATTTGACTTTGTGGACAGAGATAAACTGCTACATATTTTGATTCAACGCGGCTGTCACGGAAAGATAACTATGTTGCTTAAAAGTATGTACGCATCGGTGAAAGCCGGTGTAAGAGTGAATACTGATTCAAGAACTGAAACTTTTGATACTTCCCGTGGAGTGAGACAAGGGTGTATTCTCAGCCCCCTCCTCTTCCTTCTCTTTTTTAATGAATTTGCAACAGAGCTCTACCAATCAGGTAACAATGGAATTTTTGTTACGCAAGATATACAAGATCTATTACTGCTAATGTTTGCTGATGACATCGTTCTTTTTGCTACCAGTGTAATAGGTCTACAGCGCCAGCTTAATATCCTGGAATCATTCTGTATCAAATGGGGATTACAGCTGAATCTTAACAAAACAATTATCATAGTGTTTCGCAACGGAGGAATTCTGAGACATTCTGAAAAGTGGACTTTTTGTAAAAATCCTCTTAAGGTGGTTACATACTATAAATATCTCGGCATAATATTTTCATCTAGGCTCGTGTGGACAAAAGCCTGTGAAGCCTGCCTCTCTGTTTTCAGACCTTTTAACAAGTATCAAGAACTAACCTATTCAAGTGCAAGAACTATATTTGATCGAAAAGTGGCACCTATACTACTATACGGCTCGGAAATATGGGGACATAAATATTCTGATGTAGTCGAGAGGGTCCATACTATGTATTTCAAACGATTTCTGAAAATTGGAAAATGTGCTTCAAACAAAGCCACACTTGGGGAGCTTGGACGTCACCCCATCTACGTATTAACACAGATTCGAGTAATCAAGTTTTGGTTCAAGATACTCAGTATGAATGAACAGCGTTATCCACTGCAGTGCTACAGAATGCTAAAAACATTTGATGATATGGGCAGAACAAACTGGGCATCCAATGTTAGAAACATATTATTCAGAAACGGGTTTTCTCATGTCTGGTTAAACCAGGGCGTTGCTAACGTTCAGTTATTTATGTATTCTTTCAAACAACGATTGAAGGATATCGCCTACCAAACTTGGCACAACGAAATCAACAGCTCCACTTTTTTCAGTCATTATTCACAGTTTAAAAATGAACTTTGCCTGGAGTCCTACATAACAGAACTAAAATATAAACATCTGATCCGTGCACTTATCAAGTTTCGTATTTCGAATAACAATTTTAAAGTGAACATGTACAGACTTAATGAGGATGCCCCACGTACGAACTACTTGTGTTCATTCTGTGATGCCGCGGAAACAGAAACTGAGAATCACGTATTCTTCCGATGTGTCAAATATCAGCGGTACAGAGACAGTTTCTTCAAACAATTACAAAATGTCTACAAAGGCCCACTCACTCTGCAGTCAATTTTGCAATCCAAAAACCCCCAAGTTATATACTGCACAGCACTATTTTTACATTATGTTTTTAAAGTAAGATCCCAATACTAATTATGACCACTGTTTCACGAAACTGCCAAAGTTTGTGACTGTATTATAGGCCATGAGGCCGATATTACGAATAAACTTCTGTCTGTCTGTCTGTAAATATAATTGTGTAAAACGAAATTAAGAGTAGAAATGAATGAAACGTCAATTCCGCAGAGAAATTCTTCTGATGATGTCTTGTTACCTCTTTCTTATGTCATGAACGATGACGTCAGATCGTATTGTTGCAAATAGCTATAACGAATGTGACGTCATATCACTTCAACTAAAATTTAGAATCAATATTCAGAATTGCTAAACTGATTACATGGACTAAAGTGTAAACATCCAAAAATTACCGCCATTGATATTTCAACTCTCATGTCTAACGTTCTGTGTTCTGTTTTTCAGTAAAACACAATTAATACATAAGTATATTTCATGTTTGTTTCCCCTGAAATTCCACCTTTGTGCTTTTATAAGCATGTTCAACTAGCTTGAAATATGTGGATGACATGTTTAAGCTACAATTAAATCACATCTTTATCAATTT